AATTTCCCCAAGCAGTAGTGTGCATCCTGCATCACTCCCCACCCAAAGTTCTCAAAGATTCCCTGACAGCCATAAAACCGAAAATAACATCATTTCGACTCAACATCATTGCACGTCTCTCTTTAGCATATTACTCCAAAACTTCCCCATAAAACTAAAACATCTAAAGCCGATCAAGAGCATGAAATTCACTTTGGAGTATGAGAGCAGAGACTCGCTTGTAATTGCTTTGATACCCCATCTATAATCTCAAGTGCCTCGAAGATCCGCAGCTTGCAGTTGTAGGTCTTCGAATGAGAAAATGTCCACATTCTGAGTTTCATAGCCAGGATCCGTGATTTATCACAGCTGGATAATTTTTTCAGCTTTGAGAAAATGAAAGAATCTCTGAACCGTGTACCTTTCATTTTTGGAGGGGTCTGCTAGCTGTTGTTCTCGTGCTCTGGTCTAATGAAAGAAAACTCACCGCAAAGGTCTCCAAATATTTGTATTAGGATAATTGTGGAGTCCTTCAATTACACGGCGCCTATGATATTCCAAAATTTGAAAATTGGTTGGCATCTCGGAAAAGTCAATCTCTTCAACAGTAGAATCCAGGCGTAATTGTGTGAGTCTCTTAGCTCCAATTATGTCAAATGAAAACTTTCTGATACTAGTTTGATCGACGTCAAGAAACTTTAGCTCCAGCTTCTTTGGTATCGTCAGCCTTGATAATCGATAATTATCACGAAGGTTTAGTGTCTCAATATAGGACTTAACTTTCAATGATCCAAAATTATTAAATTCCAATTCTAATGAAGTAACTGTTTGCGGAATGGTGAGCTTATCGATGTTTTTCAAGAGATTGCTATGCAATCCTAGGGATTTCAAGCCGAGGGGTAGCTCGATCATTCTGTCGTCGATTGTCTTCAAATCACAACTGCTCATACTCAATTCTTTCAATTTTGATCCTTTGGCAAATTTGACTCCACTCATTTGTAACAAGTAGATTTCACAGAGGTAGAGCTCTTCTAATGACGATGGAAATGTCAAGTCTGGAAGAGCTACACATTCAGTTCCCGCGAGGTCTAGAAGCTTTAAACTCGAAGGCAATATAGACATAGGGGAGAGTTTTAGCAGTTCGCTTCTGATGATAAGAGCTTGAAGACTATCAGGAAGTTTGGGAATTGACGTCAACAAAGTATAACTCAAGTCGATATGCTCAAGAACGGGAGCTTCGATCTCAAGTTCCTGTAAAGGATTGCCTTCCAAGCTCAAGTATTCACAGCAATGAAGTACGGCATTGAACGATGAGAGTTCATTGTGATGAAGTGAAAGTCGCTTCAATCGGGCTGGTAGTAGCCAGCCGTCCGTCAGCATAGTGCCACAATAGCTTAACTCGAGGTCAACTATTCCAGGCGGAAAACTGATTCTGTTATGCAACTGAGTACACGAAATCGAAAGTTTGAGCAAGTTGGGCGGTAATTTCAAAGGGTCGGTCAGACGCGGTGGCAGCACCATTGTAAGGGAAGTCATATTTGTAAAAGCGGTCAAATCGTACAGTTTGTCACGATCATCAGACCAAGGTGTGTACACATACCTGAAGTTCAAAGTGCGTAGCAGTGTAGGAATCATAGAAAAAACCCTAGAAGGCGACGAACTGGAGAATCCAAAAAACTATCAAATTGGGGCCAATCATGGAGATGACCTCTTCCACATTTGTGACTTCTCCATAATTAGACTTCTCAATATAGGAAAAAGTTTTCAAATTTTCGTTCCAGAGTACGCGTAGTAGCGACGAGCAGTCAGACGGTTCTTGTGTGTATTCTAGAGCCAACACTGTGAGAGCAGCAAGTCTTGGGTGGTTTTCCTTCATCCTTATGCTGCAATATTTTGCAACCAACTTTTTCAAATTAATCGGTAATGAGCTGAAAGTCAGGTAGTTGAGATATAGGTTCTTCAAGCTGGGGTGGTCGTTGTCAACCCTTATTTTGCAATGATCGCCATAGAAAGTCTCCAATTTCGGGAACTTATTCAAATTGATACTGCTAGAATTGCGCAACGAGAGGCAGGTGATCTTGAGATTGATAGCATCGTCTGCGAAGAAACGAACACAGGAAATCGACAGGTCACTGAGGTCAAAGTGTATGCCTGAACTCTGGTCGTGGTAAGCCAAGTTTATTTCATCGAGATCTCGACGCATTTGGAAATCGTATTCCCATTTATAATGGAAGCAAAGAGGACGCGAGATGGAGTTCTTTTCGAGGATCTTGTGTATGCGGCGGAACCTGTTAAAGTCAGTTTCATAGTGGTACCGGCTGAAACCAATATGATCGTCATACTGGTCGAAACTGGTTTCATAATCGTCTCTACGGCGCGCAATTTTTACCGCGTCTTTAAGTCGATTTGAATGCCATAAATGATTGAGATTGTTAGCTGCTGCCACAAGTATATTATCAGGAATGTTCTCCAATAGTAATATATCGGTAAGAAAACCTGTGCTCAAGTAGGAGAAGCAGCGCGTGATTATTTCACATGGTAGGTCATTTAGTCTCATGAATAGACTTTGAGTATAAAGTTCGCATGTCGAAGTGGTTGTGTGTGTGCAGGATCATGACTGCAAATTCTACACTTATCAAATGCGATAAGAATAGCTCGGAAAGAAACAGAGCATTGAGGTTCATCAATGATATGGTTTCTTCTTACAATGAATATTTCTTGTTTCTGCATAAAGTTAATTAAAGAATCTTCGCTATCACCACACTAAGTTACTCAGCATGGCAGCTCCTAAATTGAATTGAAAATTCTAGTTGATCGATCACAACTCTGAAACCTCATGGCGTCTGTAAATATTTGTATTGAGATGCCTGCGGAGTCCTTTTATTTGACAGTACCCAGGATATTCCAAAACTTGAAAATTGACGGGCATTTTCGAAAGGTCAATCACTTTAACTTCAGAACCTAGACGTAGCTGTGTGAGTTTATCAGCTCCAAATATATCAAATGAAAACTTTTTAATTCCAGTTTGCGTGAGATCAAGAAACTTTAGCTCCAGATCCTTCGGTATTGCAAGACTTGAAAGTCTTGGATTTTCATCGAGGTATAGTGTCTCAATATGAGACTTAACTTCCAATGATCTCATAAGGTTTGATCCCAAGTTCAAGAACGTAACTGTTTGCGGAATGGTGAGCTTTTTGATGTGATTAAAGTGATTGCCACACATATCTAGTGATTTCAATCCGAGGGGTAGTTCGATCATTTTGTCGTCGATTTTGCCTAAAAGAGAACAGCTCAAATCCAATTCTATCATTCTTGACCCTTTGGCAAATTTGACTCCACTCATACCTGACAAGTCTAATCCTGTAAGGTGGAGTTCTTGAATTGATGATGGGAATGTGTAGTTTTTAAGAGTTCCGGTTCCAGCATCCGAGAGGTCTAAAAATTTTAAGTTAGGAGGCATTTCAGACATTTCGGAGAGAGCTAGATTATTGTAACGGAAGACTAGTACTTGAACACTAGCTGGAAGTTCGGGAATATAAGTCAACTTATTTTCACTCAAGTCAATATTCTTAAGAACAGGAGCTTCGATTTCAACTTTCTCTATTTTATTGTCGCTCAAGCTCAAGAATTCACAGCAAGGAAGAACAGCTTTGAAAGATGAGAGGTTATTTCGCGCAAGTGAAAGTCTCTTCAATTGAGCTGGTTTTAGCCAACCTGTAGTCAGAGCAATATCACACAGCTCTAATTCGAGATCAACTAATTTGGGAGGAAATTCGATTTTGGTCAAGTCATTAAATTTAGCAGACGTGATCGAAAGTTTGAGCAAGCTCAACGGAAACTTTAATCTTTCGATCGTATCATCTGGCAGATTCAATGTTAGTCTGAGCAAGTTGGGTGGTAAATTACAACTGTTGATGTCTGATGGCTCCCACAATGTTAGGGAAGTCATATGGGTATAAGCATTCAAATTCTCGAGGCCTCCTCCACTTATGGAGTATAGTGAGCGTAGCGTTGGAATTGAAGCTGGGATAGAGCCAGACTTTCCAAGACTTGTCACTTTGGGCCCGATCATGGAGAAGATTTCATCCTCTTCTCGACTTTCATTCTCCTCTATTACCCCTCGACCGATATACGAGAAATGTTCCAAATTCTTGTTCCAGAGTAGTCGTAGTAATGAGAAGCAATCCGTGCGTTCGTCCGTGCGTTCTAGAGTCAACAGTGTGAGAGCTTTTAGTTTTGGATGGTTTTCATCCATATTTATCCAGCACTCTTTTGCAACCAACTTTATCAAATTCGTTGGTAATGAGCTGAAAGTCACCTGGTTGAGATATAGGTTTTTCAAACTGGGGTGGTCGTGGTCAACGCTTATTTCGCAATAATAGCCATAAAAAGTTTCCAATATCGGAAAATTATCCAAGTTGATACAACGTTTATAAAAGGAATTCAATGAAAGGCAAGTAATTTTGAGATTGATATCATGAGTTGAGAAAATAGGATAGGTTTGAAACGCCGGGTCTTCGAGATCGACATGGATGCCTAATTCTTGGCCGTTGTAAACCAGATCTATTGAATCAAGATTTTGGTGCATTTCAAGAATGTTATCCCATGTACAATGGAACCAAAGAGGACATTTGAATGACTTTTCTTCAAGGATCTTGTGGATGCGTAGAAACCGTTCGAAATCAGTTTCATAATAAGCTTCAATATTTGCAACTTTATCTTTTTCGACGCTTCGATATCGCTTTGAATACCATAAATTATTCAAGTTATAAGCTGCAGCTTGGACGATTTTATCAGGAATGTTCTCTAATAGTATTATGTCTGTGAGTGAATCTGTGCTCAAGTAGGAAAAGCAACGCGTGACTATTTCACTTGGTAAGGTATCTAGGTTCATTTAGATGAGTTTTGAAGTTCTCCAGAAGTTCACCAGTTGAGAAATGGTGATGTGTGCAGGATGCCGATTGGCTGCAAATTCTACACTTATCAATGCGATAAGAAATGACGCTGGGGAAAAGGAAGGAGACATTGAGTGGTTGAAGTTCATTTATGATTTATTTATCGCAATTTGTATTTCATGTTTTGCAAATTCTTGCATTTGAAATCTTTGCTCGTATCTTACTCACCACTGACTTTAATTCTCAAGTACCCATTCTAACACTTAAACTTGATGCTCCAAGACTTCCAAAAACTAAAACATTTCCCATTCAAACCTATACCATATAATTGGAAAGTTGAAAATTGGTCTCATTTTCAATTGCTTTGACACCCATTTGCAATCTCAAGTTTCCCAAGGATTATGTTCCCCAGGTTGAAATTGTTGCAGACTTTTGGATGAGAGCAATTAATGTACACTATAATATTCTTCCTGAAGCCAGATTCCTTGTCCACCACGGCATGACTCTATAAAGCTTACAGCTGAGTTCTACAGCTGAGTTCGGGTTGTTGACTCTCACCGGAGACATGCTAGCACCTATTCAATGGAGCCTCCAGCCTTCTAATCATGAGTCTGATTTATGGAACCTCAAATGAACTTCTGAATATTATCTTATAGGGATACCTGTGAGGTCCTTTTACTACACAGCGCCGAGAAATCTGTAAAGCCCGAATGTTGATGGGCACCTTTAGAAAGTCAAACACTTTAAGCTGAAGCCCTAGTCGTAGTTGTGTGAGTTTCTCAGCCCCAAGTAAATCAGGTGGTAATTTCCTAAATTCAGTTCCCATGAGATCAAGAACTCTTAGCTCCAGATCCTTTGGTATCGTAAGACTTGATAAGCTATAATTATCGCAAAGGTATAGTGTCTCAATATGGGACTTAAATTCCAAGGATTTCAATTTGTTATATCTCAAGTCTAGAAAGGTAACTGTTTGCGGAATGGTGACATTATTGATGTCTTCCAAGAAATTGCCATACACGTCTAGTACTTTCAAGCCGAGGGGTAGCTCGATCATTTTGTCGTCGATTTTTCTTGAAACACAACACCTCAACTTTAATTCTTTCAACTTTGACCCTTTGGCAAATTTGACTCCACTCATATCTGACAAATTTAAGTCCGTGAGGTGTAGTTCTTGTATTGATGATGGGAAAGTGTAGTTTTGAAAAGCTCCAGTTCCAGCTCTGCAAAGGTCTAGAAGCTTTAACCTAGAAGGTAATTCAGACATCTGGGAGAGATCTAGATTATTGTCACTGAGAACAAGTACCTGGACACTAGCTGGAAGTTTGGGAATTGAAGTGAAATTGTTGCTGGTCAAGTCGATATGCTCAAGAACGGGAGCTTCAATCTCAACTCCATTAGAGAATTGCTTCTCAAGCTCAAGAATTCACAGCAAGGAAGAATGGCATTGAAAGATGAAAGCTTATTATATTGAAGTGAAAGTCGCTTCAATCGGGCTGGTTTTAGCCAGCCGGCAGTCAGCTCAATTTGACAATGCCTTAACTCGAGGTCAACTATCGTGGGAGGGAATTCAACTTTGGCCAAATCTTCAAATTCAGCATACGCAATCGAAAGTTTAAGCAAGTTTGGTGGAAGTTGTAAGCCGTCAATAGAGCCTTGCTGCACATCAAATGTAAGGGAAGTCATATGAGTAAAAGCGGACAAATCTTGCAGGCCGATACGATTATGGAAGAGAACATTACCATTGCAGTTTAATGAGCGTATCAGCGTAGGAATCCTAGAAAATGATGAGCCAGAAAATCCAAAACTTGTTACTTTGGGGCCTAGCATGGAGAAAATTTCATCCTCATCCGTTACGCCTTGACCGATAAACGAAAAATGTTCCAAATCTTTGTTCCAGAGTATTCTCATTAGCGAGGAGTAGTTGAAAGGTTCTTCTTTGCAATTAAGATCCAACACCCTGAGAGCTTCTAGTTTTGGATGGTTCTCGTTCATCCTTATTTTGCACCATTTTGCTACTAACTTTTTCAAATTAGTCGGTAATGAGCTGAAGGTCACCTTGTTGAGATATAGGTTCTTCAAGCTGGGGTGATCCCGGTAAACCCACATTTTGCACCTAGACCCATAAAAAGTCTCCAAGTTTGGAAACTTATTCAAATCGATAGAACATTCAAAATGACTAAAAAACGTTTTCAATGAAAGGGAAGTGATCTTGAGATTAATATCATGGTCTGAAAAAGTAGGACAGATTTGTAACGCCTGGCCTATGAGGTCGACATGGACACATAGCTTTTGTCCGCTATAAGCCAAATTTATCTCATCGAGATTTTGTTGCATTTCAAAGATGTTCTCCCATGTATAATGGAATCTAAGAGGACATTTGAAGGATTTTTTTTCAAGAGTTTTGTGTATGTGTAGAAACCTGTCGAAATCGGTTTCATAGTGGTCTTCAATACCTCCAATTACATCTCCATAAATCCCTCGAATTCGCTTTGCATACCATAAATAATTGAGATTGTTAGCTGCTGCTTCAAGTATGATATCAGGAATGTTCTCCAATAGTATTATGTTGGTGAGTACTTCTGTGCTCAAGTAAGGAAAGCAACGTATGACTATTTCATAAGGTAAAGAATTCATGTTTAACATTAAACTTCAGGAGTTGCATTCTGCAAGGGAACAAAAACGTGTGCAGATCACAATGCACCAACATGCATCAAGCTGCACCACACTGCATGAGGCGTGACGCATCCCAACACCGGATTTAAAACACCCTAACACCTATCTGATTTACATCCCAACACCTTTCTCAATGCACCCTAACACCCAGCCAAAAAGGGCCAACAGCAGGAATGGAGTCGTACCTGCGAGCGCATTACCGATATGCGGTCTTGGCACCCTGATGCGATAAACTTTTTTGTTTTATGGGGGGACTGGGGAACTAGCGTTGAATGAAAAGAAACTTGAATGCTTTGCGCATTTGAATAGTAGGTAGCTGCAGAGGTCTTTATCGAAATTCACATCTTATGTTCCTGTCAGCTAAATTTTCCTCAAGGACGCTTATATGTAGGAATTCGACTGCAAAAAATCAGCTGTACCATGTTTGATTACATTGATCAACTCGAGGTTATGACATTCTTTGTACTTCCTGTAATCTAACAAAGCCCGCCGTTGGTTCTATCCAAAAATCCGATGGGTATATAGGCTACGAGCCGCATGCAGCTCGCATTGAACCCGCATGAACATGCGTTGAAATCGACAATGACATCTACCAATATAAGTCAATTGCTATTGAAATACGCATTGTGCTCCAAAATGTGAAGATCACTACTTGAGCTGTATATTTAGGCTTCTCAACTGGATGAATGTGTGGTCGTGTTATTTTTGCGGCTCAAATGGCTGCAAATTTTCATCCACCCATAAGTGTATTTTATCGTAGCAATGCTTTTGACATGATCCGCGATGAAAATGAGTAGTACTGTGATTCTAAAAAATACTTTATTGCAAAAATAAATTAATCTAAATTCTTTTTTTATTCAAAATTATCATAATCATGTCATTGAAATCACAACCCCATTTTGATGGCACATGGTCAAGTGGGACGCCTTTCTTGGTGGATACTCGTCATCAAAGCTAGCCAAGTTTGGGAACAATTGGGCTAATCTGGCAATAACATATGAAGCTTCTGTCAATGCAAATTGCTGTCCCAAGCAGATTCTAGGTCCTCCATTAAAAGGAAGAAAAGCCCAGCCCAACTTTCTGGTTTCAGGTTCAAACCAACGCTCAGGTCTGAAAACCTCGGAATCTTTACCGTAATATCTTTGGTCTCTTTGAAGAGCATATACCATATAAGCGACCGTCTGACCTTTGCGAATAAATACTGGTAGGTCTCTGTTTGGTCCTCCTCCTGTGGGTAAAGTTGTATCTTTCTGAGCAACTCTAAAGTTTTGAGGAACTGATGGGTACATTCTCAAAGCTTCGTTTAACAAGGCTTTCAAGTATTCACATTTTTTCAACGACTCGAAAGTAATGTCTTCAAGATTGGAATCGTCTCCCAGACCAAATCTATTATAGATTTCCTCCTTTAATTTCAGCCAAATATCTGGGTTTCTTGCCAACTCAAAGAATGTGAAAGATAACAACCCAGCGGTGGTATCTCTACCAGCCAACAAGATATTTAACAATTGATCTCTCAACACTTTTGGATCCCGAGTCTGCTTTGCCAACTCGTACAAGAAAATATAACCATCCTGGGAGTATTTATCCAATTCTTCAGTACTGAAACTCAATGCTTTTTGCACATAGTAGTCGGCAAACTTGTGCACTTTGGCATTGGCATCTCTAAACTCTTTATTGTTGATTAAAAAGTAAACCTGCTGCGCCAAAGCACGAATAGACAAGTATATCTGTGAAGTATTGAATGCTTCAGCAAATTCATTCTTACCGTCAAAGTCAATGGCAGATTTGGAAAATCCAATGGTTTCATCGTGCAAACTATCCACCGACTCACCGAATAAGAACTCAGTAGCACTATCCATTGTCAACCGGAAGAACAACTTTTGAATGTCGAACGGCTCTCCTTGGAACTTTCTGATATGCTTGGCAAGTAGCTGGATATGAGGTTCCAAACTTTTGACATGAGCTACTTGTTCACGAGCAAATTGGGGCCGCAACATCGCACGAGAATGCTTCCATCCACTGCCATCCAAAGTAAAGATTCCATCTCCCAATAATGGACCAAGGTGATCATGACGACCACCCAACACAAAATCGTTAAATTGGGTAGCTAGAATTGCCTTAATATTTTCTGGATTTCTGGTTATCACCATTGGGGTTCCAGCAACCCTGAATCTCAAAGTATCCAATTCCATATCTTTACGAAAGTCCACAAGAGTTCCCTCACGCTTGTGCTTCAACAAGGTGAAAATAACACGAAATCCAAAGAAACCATCCAGCTCCACAGTGGGTCCAACACAATTTAACTTTTTCATGACAACCTTGACTCTAACATAGTCAAAAACATTGTAAGCAACAATTGCAGCCAAAACTATCCCATACCAGCTGGTGAGGAAGTTATGAACTTCTTCGAACCCATTCATTGTGCCTAGTAAAACTTGGGGACACCGTCTAATATACCCACGGTGGGGAAGGTTTCGGACGGAGATTCGTCAAAACTCCGGGTTGTCTGCAGACTAAACCCCTCAATTTGCATATGACATGAGACATGCATATTGTTAACTGCGGGTGTAGCGCATAATTCTCATGCAAGACGCGGGCTTATACCGTTTGCATGTGGTAGCCCTTACGGTTTCTACTTTGAAAGCATGAGATAGGAATTGAGGGGCAAGTTGTAGATTCTTGGCGTTTTCAACCTCAATCTTTACAATATGTAAAATCCTATTGTACGAAAAATTATGAACTCAAAAGCATACATTGTGGAACATTGAGGTGCGATTTTATAAAATCAAGAAGAACAAATGTGAATGTTTTATTGAAATCGCTTATTTTCTCTCCCCTCCTGCTTTAGTGGTTGTGCATTGACATAAATCAGCCCATTCCCTACTTCTAGAACGGCGTAAATTTACACAAATCTAGTGTCAATTGGCATATCAAGTTCATGTCTTTAGGAGAAAGTGCATTTCAACTATTCGGTTCAATTCTTTTGGATTCGATTATCAAGCTACTATCACACAACCATTATGGGGAATCTGTGTAAAGCGTCTTAAATCAAACATAGAGCATTGCCAGCATTATGATATGTCTAGCATGTGTTCTTGTATCTATGATTCTAAAGTCTTTGGCAGAAAGTCAACTACAAATCTTCTGATTACCTTTTCATTTATGAATATCAAGCTGAGTCGAAAGTCCCGTTGAATTTATTTCTAGTAATAAGGTGCCACTTGCTCCTCTGTCCATTCATTGAATCTCTTGGCAGTTCCGTCCTTCACTCCCTCTTTGATAAAGTTACTATATTCTTCAATCTGACCCCATGGTCTCACAAAACAGCCACTTTTCTCGACAGTAATATCAGGACTCAAAGCAGCATAAAGCTCAGTGTAAGCTCCGTACACTGGGTCTGCCAAAAGTAACCCAAGGAGAGATCTTTGGATCGAGGAAAGATGTCTTTGCAAATCGGATTTTAATCCACCTGGATTGAGTGCGGCCGTGATAATTATACCCTTATGCTTTTCAGCATAAATCAAAGCATTGTAATTCATTCCCGCTTTGGACTGACCATAAATAGCAAAGCCACCGTATCTGCCTTTTTTATCGTTGATATCGTCATAAGGAAGCAAGCCACGAGGTGAAGGACCTTGCAAATACGCATTGGAAGAAACCCAAATAACTCTGGAAATAAAGTCGTTTGTGCTTGCTGCCAAAACAGCACCATCAAGGTACTTCTGAAGCAAATACGGTGCTAAAGTATTGGTACCCAATTGCAATTCGTAATTTTGTTTCGTCACCGAGCCTTTGGGCGGAACCATTACCCCAGCATTATGGAGCACAATATGGATTTTCGGGTACTTTTGAACAATTTTCTGTGCACAGGGTCCAATTGATGTCAAATCACTAAAATCAGCTTGAAAAACCTCCAATTTAGGAGCCTTCAGATCCACCTTTAGTTGTTCTTCAGCAGCCTTCATCTTATCGAGATTACGAATAACCACCACCACTTGAGCCCCAGCGGCCAAGAGAAGTTTGGTGGACTGGAATCCTACACCAGCATTTGCTCCCGTAACAACTACGGTTTTGCCGGTCAAATCAGGATAGTGTTCTGGCAAGAATTTGGGCTTACCGGGAGAGACGTTATTGGTGTATGCGTTACTAAGTTTTTCAAAAAATGAGGCCATTCTGAATGTTTTTAGGGAATGGAATTGACTTGAAGGCAACCTTAGTAATCGATAACAAATGAAATTGCGGCTAAACCTTATTTCGAGTTCGAATTGAGATATGCAACATTGAAATATGCGAACATGTAATTTTAGTGCTCATTTGCAGCAATTTGCAACAAAATTCGCAGCCATTGATAAGAAACATTTATTCATAAAGAGAATTAAGAAACTAAAGAGGAACCTGGTTGGAAGAAGAAGTGAACTTGGCCTTGGCAATAGACACAGTGTTAGCATCGTAGTTGTAAACAACATATGCTTGAGAGAGGAAAATGTCTCCAAGCAAATTGAAGTTGTACTCAATGATGTTGAATCCTGGTCCGTAGCTGTTTCCATACTTGTCAATGACGTCGTTAGTGTAAGCGCTAGCCAAGGAAGTGGTGATGGAGATTCCGTTAAAGTTGAAAGTAACTGGTTGGTCAATGTTTGCATCAGAGTCCACAAGCCACACACCAAGGTCTCCATTGAACCTAGCGTTGTCATAATTGCTGAAGATGTTATCTCCAAGCTCACGAGTGAAGGCAGCAGTAGTGGTACCGGTGTCAAGAACCGAGTCATCTCCAGACTGGAAAGTTTGACCATTAACAGTAACCGAGCCTAAGGTGATGGCAAGTGTTTGGTCGTTAACAATTGGCTGAGCAACAAGTGGTCCATCAATCTTGTCCAAATCCTTTCCACCAAAAATAACTGTTCCTTGACTAGCACCTGCCTCATTCAAGAAAATAGAGTAACCCTTAGTAGCAATAAGACCGTCACTCTTCAATCTGTCGAGGAAATTAGGGTACACGGAAGGTTGAGTTGTTTCATCGAGATCACGACCAATACCAAAAATCCCATAATCAAGAGTGGTAGTGGTGGCATCGGCAAACTGGAAATTTTTAATTGTCGCCTGAACAGAATTTCCAAGACTCACGGTATCCTCATAGTAAGTTCCTTCAATTTGAGTTCCATCGACGTACCCAATTTGGAAAGGTTCACCGGTGTTTCTGGCCGTTGAAGATTGACCTGGGTTATACGATCCATAGTCCCAAGAACCATGAGGGCCTCCAGCATTGACATCTGGAACCCACAAATCTGACGATCCGGTATCGATATCAACTCCAATACTCTGTTTGTTGGATCCAATGTCCAAGTAAGTGATATAATAAATTCTTTCATTGAGCAAGTCGTTGGGGTAGATTCCTCTCTTGGTCACCACCAGGCTGTTAGCGGAACCCTGGATTTTTTCAAAACTAATCAGAAGAAACTTGGAATCTCTTTCCTCGAGATTAGGAACGGCTGCTCCGGCAACGGAAGCGACCAAATAGGTGGCCACGGAAAATAAAACTGAAAATTTAAACTGCATTGAATGCTGCTATCAAATAGAAATTTGGGCTCTATTTATAATGGACCGGCTGCTGTGGATCCAGAGCCATAGTAGGGTATGTTACCGGAAAAGCCGTGAGCGCAAGTTTGAAATGAACCCTAAGCCATCGTGCCGTACTGTGATAACGGTTTTTCCGGACGAAATCCAAACAAGGCATTTTTTGCAGCCACATAATGACAAGTTGGTTGGTTCATTTTTTTCAAGCAATGACCAAATCAACTGAATTCTTGGCATTGAGGCTTCTCTCGTATCTGACTGTCCTCTAGTACTGACAGGCAGTTTGACGTATGTATGGTTGCGAGCAAAGTCGCCGCATAAAGCTTCTGCACATGTCAAGAATTAAACGGTGCCATTGTTGTCACGTGATATCTGTGGCCGTTATTGCGCTTAGACTGGAGCCGTGCAATGCAGGCAGTTGCAACATTCTAGGCCTCAGTTGCCGCTTCAGTTGGCCGCTACCCCGGATGGAACCGTCAACCACAGTACAAGTGTGGATATAGCGGCTCAGTGTGGCCTGACAGAACGGAAATTGAACCACAAAAATAGCCGAGGTTATTCAGAGATTGAAGTTTTGAAACCAAGATGGATGAAGTTGAATTAAGTTGACCCGAGTTTAATTAACTCTTCAATTCGAATGCAGCGATTTGGTTATTCACCCATTCGCTTCGGGTGAATTTTATCAACAAACCGTAAGAGTAAATCGCTCGCTAATAATTTCCTGTGCCCGTCAGTAAGCAACTGTACCACACCACAAACACACAAAAAGCCACGAAAAGAATTAAGCACATGGTACCCCGTGAACTACATAGAGCAATCATAACGGTGTCGAATTGTTCCAATGTCATAATTGCAAAATTTTAATGGCTTTCCTCTTCAATTTCCCAATTTCTCAAGTTGCACCAACTCAATTCCACCAAAAAAAACTGACCTCGGTTCGCTGCCATGACTTCGAACATGAAACAAGAACAACTTTTTCAGTGCTTGGACGCACATCAAATGACAAATTTGCAGCCTATCAGTTTCGCGCACGGCGCAATCGTAAATCCATTCACATTGAGATAACGATTTACCATTTGACCGCAAAATTGAAAAGGTTTTAGTGGCTGGTAGTCATGTTGCATAGAGCAAGCGGCTAGCTGTACTTTGAGTTTCACCAAAAACTTCCACTTACTTCGTAAATATCAGAGACACAATACTCGTCTTTGCCTGTATTGAGATAATTGCCTATTCATTTAGATATACTCTTCCCTCGAAAGGCTCTAGCCATTGATAATCCGAACAGGGAACGTTAGAAATCAACAACTGAAGATTTTTTGAGGAATGATTAACAAACTTCTGTCGAGAACGTGAAAAGTTTAAAGCAACATAAGCATAGCGGTCCCCACTTTGCTTTGAGTAGTAAAAAACATCTTCATTATTCTCATCAATGATGTTTAGTTTTCCATGGATGAAGTAATTCTTGTACAATTTTCTCATTTTTAAGCACCTTCTCCAAAAGACCAAGAGAGATTTTGGATCACCTTCTTGAGCTTGTACGTTCACATCCGGAAAATTATCATTTACCTTCATCCACGGTTCACCTGTAGTAAAGCCTGCATTCTTGGAGCCGTTCCACTGAACTGGAGTTCGACCATTGTCGCGAGCTAGTTGGTTGATATGGTCAAGAGATCCCATACCATTTTCATTGAAGTAATTTTTAGATTCGATGTCAACATAGCACTCAATTGGCCAATCTTTAGGAATATTTGTCATACCGATTTCTTGACCTTGGTATAAGAAGAGGGTACCACTCAAGGTCGTCTGCAACAACGCCAATAGCTTTCCTGATCGTTCTCTATATTTGGGAGAATCATCACCAAAAACACTAATTGACCGAGGCTGATCGTGATTTTCTAGATAGAACGTAGACCACCCATCTCCTTCGTCCATCAACAAAAAGTTCTTTTTAATCACTCTTTTGAACCTTACCAAGTCCTTTGAAATAGGAGGCCTGCCAATTCCAATGCCAAGCATATCAAACAGGAACATCATATTGAGTTCGTTCGCTTTCAGACTAACATACTTTAGTGATTCTTCCACACCAGCACTGCCTATTTCGCCCACTGTGAAAACATCATATCTTGAAAACGTCTTTTCGTTCATTTCTTTGTGGAACTCATGAATTCTTGGTCCATTTTGATACATGCTAATGCAAGGCTGCCATTGACAATTTGGATTAACAATAGATACATCTTCAAAGGTCTGGTCTTTCGAGTACATTGCAGCCGTATCAATACGAAACCCATCTATGCCTTTTTCCAACCAAAATGTAATAGCCTCATCATATATCGCTTGTCTCGTAGTTGCATTTTCCCAGTTGAGATCAGGTTGTCCTTTGGCAAAAATATGCAAATAATACTCGTCCGTCAACTCATCGTACTCCCAAGCACTACCTGAAAAGACACTGGCCCAATTGTTGGGAGGAAGACGGTTACCGTTGACATCGTACTTTGGAGGTTTCCAAATATACCAGTCTCTCTTTGGGCTCAATTTCGACGACCTTGATTCTTGGAACCATTTATGTTCAACAGAGGTATGGTTTATAACCAAATCAAGAATTAGCCTCATGCCTCTCTTATGTACTTGCAGTATTAAGTTGTCCATATTCTCCATTGTACCGTAAGCCGCATGGATCTTTTGGTAATCAGAAATATCATATCCCATGTCTTCTTGAGGAGATTCGTACATTGGAGATAACCAAATGACATCTACTCCCAAGCTTTTGACATAGTCAAGGGTCGATATTATGCCTGGAATATCTCCGACTCCATCACCATTGGAATCTTTGAACGAAGCGGGCCAAATCTGGTAAACAGAAACATTCTTCCACCAAACGTCCTCGTCGACAGTCATTATAAATTTAGTTGTTTCAAAGCAGCAACTGGACTTATATATGGAACAAAACCATTTTTGTAGCTTTTCAAATTGGCAATCTCGGCCGAGTTCTGATTTTAGTATGAAGAATTTCGCGTGAGATTGATAACAATACAATCACCCTGGTGGAAGCTGATTGGTCGCCATATTGAACTGGTCAGAAGGGTTTTTTGCAATCCAGTCCCAGAAATCAGTCCAGTTCAGATCCAAGTCCAAGTCTCTTGCTGGTGAATTGTCAAATAAGTGCAGAAATCCTCCATGCATAGTAGGAGCCAGGTTCAACTTCTCCAATAAGGCTGACATACCAGTATCATTCCAGCTATAGTTACTCGTTTGTTTTATCACAAGATCAAGTAGTCTTTTCATGAGTTGTAGACCTCCAGATCCGGCAATTTGAATATCTTGAATATCCTCCAAGATCGGCACACACCGTTGCACGGTTTCAAGCCTTACATCCGGATCTTTTAGTGGAGACACGAATAGTATATCGACCAAAAGATAGATACACGAGCTCATACAGTGGTCTGCAACGAACCAAAATTTTCGATATGGTTTGTTTCTATCGTCACATGTAAGATTAATCATGGCTTGGGCACTTTCCAAGCAAACAAGTCTATGAGTTGACTCCCATTCAGCCATCAGTAGAAAATTTGCAGCCATCCGGTTGACCTCTAGCAACTCATGGGAGAAACGTAAATGTAGGAGAAACTCTTGAAAAGCTAAAGAAGCCGATACTCCTTGCTTTTGCTTGGTATTATCTAGCATTAATAATGCAAAACGGCGAAGCTCATTAAGTTCAGCATGAGCCACTTGTAGTTTTTCTTGCGTTACATTGACGGTGTCGATATTGTCGTCAAAGTAAAGCATTCTCTTGATTGTTGCAATTTGGATCATCTGAAGCTGGAACGTAACTGGCAAGAAAAGTTGAGACTCGTTGGCATCGGAATCTCTCAGTAGTAGTTCACTTTCTGTGTAGTTTCGAGGAATTCCAGTAGAAAAAGATCCTCGTCGAATCAATGGTGTTCTATTAAAATCTTCCAACCAGTCAATAACCGTTAACGTCCACCACATACGTTTCCCTAATTCAAGCTCAAACAAGTGGAGGTTCTTCACGTTATCCAACCGATTCAAATTGAGAGATTTGGCAACGTAGATTGCAACTTCTAGGAGACAATTGCTCAAATGAAACCCACCAAAGCCATTCAAGCAGCTCGAAAGAACGCAAAAAATTTGAACCGTGGTGATATCGGGATAGGTCATAAACTCTGCTTTCATGAGGCACTCCAAGCTGGCTGCCAAGGTAGCCTGTGCAAGACGAAACAATTCATCAGAAGAACTTTCCAAAGTTTGGGTCAAATTTTCATCAGAAAAAAATAATGCAGAAGAGAGTAACGAATACCAAAGAGCTAGCCATCGACATTGTTGACGAGAGAGCCCCTCAAATATTCCAGTCACCTGGTCAGCAGTACCGGATTTCCAAAAATTATCATGTTCCACAAAAAAGTGTTCAGGGTACACCGCCATATGCAAGCAAAAGAGCATATCGAAATTGTGTTTCACAAGGGTTTCTGACATATGTCTGGTAAGAGTGCCACGTAAGAGCAGAGCTTTCTCTGGTGTCATTTTAAGGTCTCTTTCTTCAACGCTGGCGAATCCTCGAAGGGCATAATGCACCGCCGTGAAGAACAGATCAAAGGTAGTTTTTGTGTACTTTCTTTTTCCACCTTCAACCCTACTCAATTCCAGCTTCAATGCTTCAACCTCGTTCTTTAGCTTGGAATTTTCTGTTTCCAATTCCTCCACTCGAAACTCCCACGGTTCGTTTCTCAATTGCCCTTTTACAACTACCTTTTCTCGACCACATAAATGGTCTATTTTGCGCTTTATACACTGGTCACAAGGAACCTTTTTATTGCATTTTATTCGTTTGGCGGCACACTTTCGACAAGCTCGAGGCACTCGTTGTGTAGTTCTGACATTGGACATCGGATGTGAGTACAATATAGTTATCAGATAGCTGCGAAATAAGCTGCGAAATACGCTGCGAAATCTGCGAAAAAGTAGCTGCGAAATTGTCAACTAGTGAAGATCTCGACTGTTTTAAAAGCGAACAAATAGAAAGACTCGAAAGGTACTAAATTACAGGACTCTTACTCATTCTCTTCGCATCTTGTATTACTGATAATTGCAAAATCAGTTTATATGGTAGCTACTTGCACTCGCTTATACCGCCCACTACCACCAGTTCTTTCTCTATCTCCGCTACGGACTCTGGGTCACTGGCTTCTGCATCTACAGCTTTGGGTCTCTGGAAAAGCTTTTCCACTTCTTCAATGGGAACTCCTTTGGTTTCGACCCACACATAGTAAATTATCGGGACAAAGATTACGCTGTAACCTGCGATTACCATAAAAAACTTCCAACCAAGGTTATCGAGCCCAAATGGGGACACGAATTGAGCAGCAAGACCCAATCCTTCGTTCCAAAATTTGTAGAATGTCTGACCCGCTACTCTGGTCGAGTAAGGGAATAATTCAGCAGAATAGAGACAACTCAATGGGGTGAAAGTAAAGGCATAAAATCCGTTGAACATGAAGAAGAAAAATATAGTAGCATAGCTTCCAGAATGGTTTTCGGTGCCTTCAAAAGCTTTTATCATTCCTCCAATGACAAAGTTGCAAATGATCATTCCGCAGAGAGAAATGAGAGCCAGCTTTTTTCTTCCAATAACATCAAAAGCATAGGCTCCGAACGCGGCAAGCACCACAGACCATGCACTCATCACTATACCCACCTGAAGCTTTTGAGTATAATCTGTCACTCCGGCCTGATCCAAAAACAACGAGTAATAATTGCTGATACTGGACCCACCAAATTCATTGAGAAAGGATTGAGTGACAAGAATGAAAAGTCGGCACCAATTTTCTCTCCGAACCAAAAGCGTCTTCCATACATTTGCACTCGAATTCATCAGCTGCTGACCGAGAATTGCGATTTTTCTCGCTATCGCCTTTGCGCCAACAGCATCAACGTTTTCCACAATACAAAGAATCTCAATAGCTTCTTCTTCTCTGTTGTTCATTATAAGCCAGTGTGGAGATTCCGGACAAAAAAAAAGCAAGATTAGCGACGCAATCGAAGGAACTCCTTGAACAATAGACGGGATTCTCCATGACCATGTACCCAGTGCGTTTCTCGAAGCATACGTGACACCACTGGCCACCAAAGCTCCAACCTGAAAACAAGTAAAATAGCCACCAACTAGTATACCACGATACTTTGCAGGAGAGATCTCTGCGATCAAAGTGGGTGCTGCGGTGTTGCCCAAAGCTGCTCCAAAACCCAAGATGATTCTTCCCACTACAAACATGGCAATGTTTTGCGCTCCGCTTTGAATAGCTATGCCAATTATTGTGATCACAGTTCCTATCAATATGGAGATTTTTCTTCCAAGCTTATCGGTAGACCATTGCATAATCGTCAAAACGCAGAGTATTTCTCCCATCCACATGGAAGCACCATTTAGACCAATTGTAGCGGTAGTCAATTCAAAGTACTCATTGTAACTTGGCAAATTGAGTATGCCACCTATCATAGAAGCATCAAAACCGAGCACAGCTGAGTTTATGAGAGCCATGAGCGACACCACCACTAGCAAAGGAATTTGAGACTTTGGGATCCATCTGTGAACATTGCTGTTAGCTTGTAAATTTGTCATTGCAAGCCTGGAGATAACTGTTCAAGGGAGAATTGTTTGTTTCAAATCGCATGTCTTCAGCCTTTTAATATAGGTTGTAAAGATGTAATCTGAGCGACAGTTTCGCATAGCGATAAATATTAAATCGACCTCGCGCGAGATTGAAGATTAGTATGGGCATTTTCGGGTGAGCTGCGAAATGCGATAACGAGCTTTTGTGTTACTTTGCATACAAATGCTCACAATTGGAGTAGTGAAGTCGTCTGAACATGTGTAGATCAAAATAGAGTGTCACTTTCTGAATAACATACTCTTTTGGTGATGATGCTTTCGCATTGTTGCCGAGCGGATGGTGGTTAGTCTTGAAAGGTTTCTTGTCAGTTGGTTGTCTGAAGTTAATCAAAATTATCAGAGGCAGACTAGTTTCGTAACACATAGACCTGTGACAGCCAGGTAAAACTCACCGGATTGCGTACACCCGAGTTTAGCAAACGACACCATGTGGACTTATTTTTTTCTGCCTTTTGCCATTTGAAATCATGACCAGCTCTAAGTAAGCCTTCCATATTTTCTGGCAACACCCCTCCCATGTATGAGGCCATATACATGAACAGGTCAAAACGTAGTTGCATTGATGGTCCCATGTGTTGCATTAAAAATATATTTCCATCAAAAATACATTTTCAAAGTTTTTCATCATCACTCAATTGATGTGGACCATTGCTCCAACAAAGCTTTAAGAACCATTTTTTAAAAGTCTCCTCGGGATCTTCACAGGCTACGAATCGCACTAGAATTCGATTCATTCCCGAACACTGCGGAACAAAAAAGCATAATTTAGCCTTTAGTGCGAGAGTGAAAAACTTCCTTCAGAATGGTTTGCTTCCGCCAAGCAAACATTATCTCGTGCGCAACTCAAGTGGATGAGGAGATTTGGCATGTCGTCCGCTCCGATTGGAAAAATCCCGAGATTCCGTTTATTATCTGCATCATGAGAGCCGCACAGGCGGATCCCTGCGTCATAGTGAGTACCCGTCCGCCTCAACATAATGTCTGATAGGCGAAAATTCCATGCGTTCCAGAAGAGATCATTACACTTCGAAACCTTTGGGGGCGAAAGGACAACCAGTTCAAAACAATCACTTTGATTCCTATTTCACCAACTTTCAGATTCAATTTCAGGTCGGCTCAAATTGATGTTTTTTATCAGGAACAAAGGGACATGATCGCATGCCCATCGCATAACAGCACTGGCCAGGGGTGCCTTTCGTGCATGCGAAATAATAGTTGAAATGTACATACTCAACTAAACTTTGAACAGCCGTGCCAAGTACTCCTGAAAGAGCTGGCCAAGTCCGTCAAAAGGCAATTGGATTCACCCAAGCAGAACAGGTTGTATTTGTAACACTCAGGTGTAAAAAATGGGGTCGCATTGTAAGTAGGTTAAACCTCATCTGCTTCAATAGCATGTTTGCTCGACATGCATCCGCCTCAGTCTGTGCATGTAAGAAAGATCGACGAGTGCATCACTATGCATACGGGCCCCTACCACGACGCTATTCCGAGGCACAGTTGATCCATTTCTGTAGAGCAGGGCGAAGCATCGGCATGGTGTAAGTGAGCTTGATGCCATGGTGCAGCGAATTTCACCATCGAGCCTATTTCGCAAAATTTTTTAACGGTTTCGAAAACCTCGACTATGCATGGCTGCACCCCGAATATGCACGTCGCCGCACGCGCGCCATCCCTTGCATGTGTCGCAGAATTCGCTTTTTCATATAATTGCCGTGTACAAGGTTTTACGGGGCAACGAAAAGGTCGAGACCCTGCGAAAAGCATTGTCATAGTGATGAATGCTGCTGAATTTGTGTAATATGGAATTTTTTTCGCGATATGACAGACTTCATCATACGACCTGTAGACTGCATTTTGTCATTTTGGTTGCAAATTTCAAGTTGTAGCACTTATTTTTTATGTCTATAAGTTTCACTTTCATGATTTGTATACAAACACTGGTGTTCGTATTATGCAAAAACAAACTCATTAAGACGATCGCTGCAAGAGGCGCTATTTTGCGTCTATGACGTAGTATTGGCCGGTGATGCAAGCTTCTGCCGCATTTGCTCAGCAGGTTCAACAAGGGCAAGGTGCACATTCTTGATTGCCCAGTGCAACCTCCCACAACGTACAGCTACTAACAGTGTCGTGAGGCCAGATAGCCGTCACTCTCTTGTTTCAAACGAATCAGTAGCATCATCGATCGCGTAGTTTGCGTTCTTGACGATGCGAAAAGTTTAACCTATGGTTTGAAATAACGCATGCAATTTCGCTAATCGGGAAGTGTAATAGATCTTTCGGGCATGCGTGCAAGCAACGCTTAATGATCTGCAATTCATCAGGGGCCGTATTGATCAAAAATGGACAGAACTTATCTTTTTCGGTACCAGAGTTGCGCGGATGGCGCAAGATGTTCAAATGTCCCTTGCACATATAAATAGTGACCCTCGAATGTAGGTTTTCTCCAGAATGGTTCGCTCTCAGCCTGTAGTTGTTTTCGGACTTTTCTTGCCGTTCGTTTTTGCGAATTTCGATTCACAACCAATACCTAGTACAACTTCAACCCCATGTACCACCAGCACTACATCCACAGCGCCCACATCGACGACACCAACACCAACACAACCTTCAGAAACTCCATGTACCACGTCGTCTGAAACTTCTTCGACGGAAGTTCCGTCAGAGACTCCAAGTACCAGTGAGACTTTGCCAAGTGAAACTTCGTCAACCGAGACTCCTTGTACCACAAGTGAAACCCCGTCAATTGCAGCCTCATCGACCGAAACTCTATGTACCACATCAACCGAAGCTTCTTCTTCAGAGACTTCATGGACTTCATCGACCGAAACTCCATGTACCACTTCAAGTGAAACTTCGTCAGGTGAAATCACTTCGAGTGTGCCAAGTTGGTCATCTGAAATTTCAACGTTAGCTTCTTCGTCTGAGACTCCATGTACGACTTCGTCTGAGACTTGGTCGTCTGTTGTATCTTCTTGGACTGTGCCTACTTCGTCGGAGACTCCATGTACCACTTCAAGCGAAAGCTCGTTGGCTGGAAAGTCGTCGATTGTGCCTTCCTCGTCTGAAATTTGGTCATCAACTGTATCTTCATGGACTGTGCCTACTTCGTCGCAAACTCCATGTACCACTTCAAGCGAAAGCTCCGTTGCTGGAAGATCTTCGTCTGAGACTTGGTCATCTACTGTGTCTTCATGGACTGTGCCTTCTTCGTCGGAGACTCCATGTACCACTTCAAGCGAAAGCTCCGTGGCTGGAAAATCTTCGTCCATCCCTGCTTCTTCTGAGAGTTGGTCATCTGTATCTTCTTGGACTGTGCCTTCTTCCGTCGGAGAGTTGGTCATCTGTTGTATCTTCTTGGACTGTGTCTTCATCATCAGAAACTTCATGTACCACTTCAAGCGAGAGCTCCGTTGCTGGAAGATCTTCGTCTGTGCCTTCTTCGTCTGAGAGTTGGTCATCGACTGTATCTTCTTGGACTGTGTCATCTTCGTCTGAGACTTGGTCATCTACTGTGTCTTCATGGACTGTGCCTTCTTCGTCGGAGACTCCATGTACCACTTCAAGCGAAAGCTCCGTTGCAGGAAGATCTTCGTCTGTATCTTCTTGGACTGTGCCTTCTTCGTCGGAGACTCCATGCACCACTTCTAGCGAAAGCTCCTTGGCTGGAAAATCTTCGTCGGAGAGTTGGTCATCTACTGTGTCTTCATGGACTGTGCCTTCTTCGTCGGAGACTCCATGTACCACTTCAAGCGAAAGCTCCGTTGCAGGAAGATCTTCGTCTGTGCCTTTTTCGTCTGAAACTTGGTCATCTACTGTTTCGTCTTGGTCTGTGCCTTCTTCGACGGAGACTCCATGTACTACATCGTCTGTGCCCTCTTCGATAGCGTCTTCTTCGATCGTGACCTCTACGATTGTGATTTCCTCGACTGTCACGTTATCGTCTGAGACTCCAAGTGTTTCGTCGTCTTCAATCAGACCTTCTTCAAGGTCAGCGGAACTGTCTTCTTGGACTGTTCCTTCTTCGTCGGAGAGTTGGTCATCTATTGCATCTTCTTGGACTGTGCCTTCTTCCTCGGAGACGTGGTCATCTACTGTATCTTCTTGGACTGTGCCTTCTTCCTCATCTGAGACTCCAAGTGTTTCATCGACCTCAATCAAACCTTCTTCAAGGTCAGCGGAACTGTCTTCTTCGATTGTGACTTCCACGATTATGACTTCCTCGACTGTCACGTTATCGTCTGAGACCCCAAGTGTTTCGTCGTCTTCAATCAGACCTTCTTCAAGGTCAGCGGAACTGTCTTCTTCGACTGTGCCTTCTTCGATCGTGACGTCTACGATTGTGACTTCCTCGACCGTCACATTGTCGTCTGAGACCCCAAGTGTTTCGTCGTCTTCAATCAGACCTTCTTCAAGGTCAGTAGCGTCTTCTTCGTCTGATGTGACTATTACGATTACGATATCTTCAACTGTCACATTATCGTCGTCTGAAACACTGCTGTCATCGATGTCGATTGCAAATACTTCAAGAACAAGGTCTTCTTCGACTGTCACGTTATCGTCCGAGACTCCTAGTTCTTCGTCTTCAATCACGGCTTCTTCGAGATCAGCAGAGCTGTCTTCTTCGATGGTCACTCCTACGATTGTGACTTCTTCGACGGTCACGTTATCTTCGTCTGAAACACTGTCGCCGTCGATGTCGATTGCAAATACTTCAAGAACAAGGTCTTCTTCGACTGCTTCTTCGAGATCAGCGGAGCTGTCTTCATCGGATGTGACTATTACAGTCGTGGTTTCTTCAACTGTTACATTGTCATCAGAAACGTCCTCGGTATCTCCTTCTTCGATTGCGGAAACTTCGAGAACAAGGGAATTGTCTTCATTAACTGAATCAACATCAACGACAACAGAATTTTCTACTTCAATTGCAGATACTTCAAGGACAAGAGTATTGTCTTCCACGACACCAACCATTATCACAAGGACAAGAACCACATCTGACACGGTTACTGTACCCACATCGCAGTTGACACCTATGAAATCCATCTTGAATACTTCAAAATATCCACAAAAAGGGATAACAACCATCACTGAACAGTGTGAAGTGTGCACTGAATACACCACAGTGTGTCCAGGCCCTAGTGGAAGTCAAACAAGCAAGGTTGTGGTTACAACAACAGGTACCGAAACGATCACAACTACAGTACCATGTGTCACGGAAACTGAACATTGTGAGGTGTGCGCCGAGTACACTACAGTGTACCCAGGTCCTGGTGGAACTCAAACAAGCAAGGTTGTGGTCACAACTGCGGGTACTGAAACCATCACGAGGACCGTCCCATGGGTCACAGAAACTGAATATTGTGAAGCGTGTACCGAGTACACCACCGTCTATCCTGGTCCTGGTGGAAGTCAAACAAGCAAGGTTGTGGTTACAACATCGGGTACCGAAACCATCACGACCACCGTCCCTTGTATCACAGGAGCTCCTGTTACTGTCACAATGGCGCATTACACATACACCTACCAACCAGGAGAAAGTGTGCCTACTGAAGCAACTTATGAGACTCCTGTCCCCGGACCAGAAGCACCTACTGTCACAGTGCCTGGTTCAAATCCCGAAGGAACTCCAGGTCCAGGTCCAGCTGCGGAAACACCTACCGTTTTTGGATCGGTTCCAGCAAGCGAAACACCTGTTGCTCCTGGACCTGCTCCTACTTCACCTGGCTCCGCACCTGGTTCTCCTGGTTCGCCTTCTGTTGTCCCAGGTTCTCCTTGGTCAAGCACCAGCTCCACTTACTCGCCAACTGTCGCTGACGAGTCCGTTTCAGCTCTCGAGGGAAAGGCTTCAAGAAGCGGAACTTCAATTCTTATTGCGGCATTAATTTTAGGTATCATGACCTAGGTTCAAAATTTGTACATTTCAAGCCGTGAAATATTGCTTCGCGTAACACGTTATAGAGGATTCTATTTTAATTCTTCAGGAAATATTTTCGCCATATACTTTAAAAGAACGATTCAAATTTAAGAAGTTTGTACGAAGTGATAAACAACAACTGCAAATGAATTCGCAAACGCGGTACTATAAATCCTGCACCCGCGCTCGATTTTGCAACAATCCACGGCGAGATGCAGGAATTTGCAACCGTCCCAAGCCACTCAAATTCAAGTTGAAATGCCAAACACTTGAAAAGTTCGTTCAAGAGATTTTGAGATTTGATGAACATGATCATATTCGCTTCTGGGTAATGGAGAGACTACATTTAATAATGAGTAACTTCCCAAAATTACGTATAAAATAAAGCCGAATACAGGTCGAAGACTACAGATTGAAGTAAGATTATGAATAGAAGGAGGCACCTTTGACATATCGAGCTGATTTCTCACGTTCTAAAGATAAGAGCAATTGAAACATTATCAAGTTCTCAATATAAGATCATAGTCATTGTCGCATGAAGCTTCCTCTATCATTTGCCTTTTTTGCAATCTGACAAGGGACATCGATATCCTTTGCCGTCAAAAGTGAAAGACTTGTAGTTTTTGATTCAAGGAAGCAATTGAAGAGTATTGGGAAAGAATTAGAGATACATTGAATAGGTGAGTCGGTCTAATTGCTTAATATAATCAGTATATATCTGGTTAGCACATAATTGCAATTTCACTCATACAAGGTGATCAAAATGTAACTTTTGTCTGTGGTTAATGCTTCTTGATGTAACAAACATGCTGGTATTTCCATAACTAAATTGGCTTGTATACATTTCTAATTATTTTATATTTGCAAAATTCTGTGGTTTCGCAAATTTACAAAATTCTAATTTCCGCAAATATCAAATTGGACTTAAAGAAGACAAACGAGCTCTGAAATTGAACCAATCTCAAACATTTATTACGATTTATGTGCACCAAAATTCAAATTTTTCAAGTAAGCTCAGTCCCCCATTTCTTCTTATCGCTAACCATTTACGAACAGATTACATAATACCGTTACCAAGTCGCAAAAAATTTGGTTACTCTTCATGGCCACTTACCTTCCATACCATGAACCCGGAATCGTTCGAATTTTGATCTTGAGCTCATTTATTCTTCTTCTCAATGTGGTGAACTACGTCCTTGATAAATACTTGTATTGTGGACTCGTGGGCCAGATTTTACTAGGAATAGCTTGGGGAACTCCTGGTGGAAAATGGATCGATGAAAGTACCGAAAAGGTTTTTCTCGACCTTGGATATTTGGGGCTTATTTTGATTGTTTACGAAGGGGGCCTTTTAAGCTCTATGGAAATTTTGATGAAAAATATTCATCTTTCACTAATCATTGCTTTAACCGGAATAACCGCACCAATAGCAATTAGTTTTTCAATTTTGGGTTATTCCAATGCTACTCCGGTGGCGGCTTTTGCAGCTGGAGCTGCTCTTTGCTCTACTAGTTTGGGAACGGCTTTCACAATCATGTCGACATCTAAACTTGTGCTTTCAAAAGTTGGAGTTCTCTTAACTTCAGCCGCCATGATCGATGATATTGCTGGTCTTGTGATGCTCCAGGTGATCTCCAATTTGGGCGACGGGTCTTTTACGGCGGTTTCTGTGATTAGACCTGTTTTTGTTTCCATTGGACTAATTGTGATCACAGCATTAGTGTGCTGGCTAATTGTTCGTCCAGCGACTCGTTATGCTATTTTAAACCAGTGGAAATTTCCCAAAAGTGCCCCGGTTTACTTCGTATGCCATACCCTTCTTCTTTTCGGCATTGTCACCGGCGCAACGTATGCTGGGGCCTCGCTGTTGACGGCTGCCTATGTCACAGGTGCTGCCATTTCCTGGTGGGATAAACTAGAATTTGAACAGGAAGAAGACATAGAAATGTCCGAGGCCAATCTGCAATGGACCCAGCAAACCCTGGGCGAAGTAACACCCACTCAAAATGCTCAGTCAACTACCACCGGCTATGATCAGTATTCTAACGATGGTTCGTTTTCGCCTTCCTCCCAAACTTCTACGGAACCCAGTACCGGGGCCAGCGAAGACAGCATCGAAGTGACGGAGGATGTAGCTTCTACTGTCCACCAACCTCATGTTACGGGGCTCGAGGTTTTTGAGAAATTCTACTCCCAACCTTTAGGCCGCATTTTACGCCCAATTTTTTTTGCAACCGTGGGGTTTTCAATTCCCATTACACAGATGTTCACTGGTCGTCTCCTCTGGAGAGGTTTGGTGTATTCCGTTCTTATGGCAATTTCCAAATTGGTATGCTGCTTGTGGCTCCTCCGAGTCAAATCGCGAAGCAAGACAAATAATTACGCAGTTCCTTTATTGGGACTTTCCATGGTTCCACGAGGTGAGATTGGATTTTTGGTTGCGTCACTTGCCGAGTCTAAAGGTGTATTTGGGAATCCTTTGAGTCCTGGTGGTAGTTCTGAAGTATACGTAATAGTGGTTTGGGCGGTGGTTCTTTGCACTATGGTAGCGCCAATTTGCATTGGGTTGCTCGTGAGGAAAATCAAGCTGGTGGATGCCGATGGGGGCAGCAGTTTAGGAGTTTGGGGGTTTACCTGACAATGCAGCCAAGACGAAGAAAAACTGCCAAAGGTGTAAGCGATTGAAGCTTTGGGCTGTTTAAAGCATATACTGTCAACATATTACAAATGCTAAGCTTTCAAATAGATATATACGAATACAAGTTCAATAATTCCATTTTATCTCATCATAAATCAGTGCCAACTCAACAGTCTCTTACTGTTAAAATCGAGAATCATTGTGTCCATTTTCCGTAACTAGAAGCACGACTCTCAAATGGTTTCCAAAGGTGTCGTCACTGATACCCTATAAAAAGATATAACTTGAAAAGTATTAACATATTATTATAACTAGAAATTACTATGTTGCTCACTTAAACTCTGCGGTTGTAATTCCTACAGTTATTCAAGAAACTATTTTTACTCCTTCGCACCTTCCAAAGAACACCATGTTTGAGCCGTTTCAAGCAAACTCCCCAAGTCCTATACAATTAGGGCACAGGAATGAATTGAAAAGGTTTAGCACGTACTGATAGTTCTACGATAGAAAAGATATTATGCTTATACGTTGCAAGATTCAGCATACCTAACCAAGAAGGTATACATGACTCAAGCTAACCTACTCTTAATGACTTAGAAAATGTTATTACGGTTTCACCTAAACCTTTTATTAAAAGTAGAGAATAACGAATTCTCGTCGCTGTCAAGCCAGAACCTCAAGAATCAACCAACTTCATGACTTTTTCTGGGATTAGTTTAATTAGTGTTTTGAGAATGTTTCCTGATATTCTATCATGACTGTTCTAAGAGCCCTTACTATTGTTCTCTGCGATCCACATGATCGGCTGACTTTACCCATTTAAGTTTCTTTTCAGCTTTTTCGTTTGTTGGTCCACTATTTTTGGGTGCAAATTGCAACCTACAAGGTCGCACCCTCCACCGCGCGGCACTGCCTAATCCAGAGGCCAATTCCGAGCCGCCGCGCAATTCGCATATAAATCGCTGCAACCCGCTGCAACCTCGATATGAAGCTCCTTCCTCTTCTTTTTGCCACTGCTTTGGCTCAATTGACCCTAAAAAACGACAATGTGGTGTACGATTCCAACCCACCTTCCCTCTCGGAGATGTGGGATGGACTCTGGCCATTCCAGGGTATCAATACTTTTGCCCATTTGGACCATAAAGTTTGTTTGACTCAACCCGATGAAATTTACGATTTTGCCATAATTGGTGTTCCATTCGATACGGCAGTGCTGTATCGCCCAGGAGCCAGATTCGGTCCCAGGGCCATTCGGGCTGCTGCTCAGCGCCAAACCTCTCTTCGTGGCTACAATCAACGAGCCAATTTCAATCCTTATACTTCATGGGCCAAAGTACTTGATTGTGGAGATATTCCAGTTACACCCATGGATAACCACCTTGCATTCAAGCAGATGGACCTAGCATTCGAAGAGTTGATTCTCCGTCGAAACTCGAGCTCCAAAGCTCCCCCTCGTTACATAGCTTTGGGAGGAGATCACTCTGTGCTCTTGCCACATTTAAGAGCACTTAAAAAGGCATATGGTCCTCTTAATGTGATCCACTTTGATGCCCACCTTGATACGTGGTCGCCAGACAAGTATCCTTCGTTCTGGCATTCGGACCAGTCGGAAATAACCCATGGTTCCATGCTCTGGACTGCGTTCGAAGAAGGTCTCACCACCAACACAAACATCCATGCTGGATTGCGGACCAAACTTTCCGGACTTGAAGACTACGAGGACGACGACAAGCAGAACTTTGTCAGGATCTACGCAGACGACATTTGGATTGACGGGGTCCAGTCGGTTATCGCCAAAATCAATGCCACCATTCCGGCCGATACTCCCACCTATATATCTGTTGATATCGATGTGCTTGATCCAGGATTTGGTAGTGGTACCGGTACCCAGGAGCCTGGCGGATGGTTACCCCGTGAGCTCATCTATGTGTTGAGACACATCGACCATCTTACCATAGTTGGCGGAGATGTGGTTGAGGTTTCTCCAGCTTTTGATAATGCTGAAATAACTGCTACCAATGGCGCTCAAGTAGCGTACGAGCTCTTGACGTCCATGGTCAAGAAAGGAAGAGTGGATCTGCTCGTGCAGAGAGAAGAAGCTACACCAATCATCAAGTCGTCCGAGGTGGAACTAACTCTTGAAGAACGTCTCACTTCGGAAATCAGACAACTCAAGAACATGCAAGCATTGTTTAACTAGATCCGTTGTGGCTGCTTGCCGCGGCCGTATCCATCCCGACTATAGTAATCCATGGGGTAGTAACTATCCCACTTGTCTTCGTCCATCATCACCATGGCTTCATACGGTGTCAAAAGCGGTTTTTCAAAAGCATATCCCCAATCTATAGAAAGTCGAGGGCACGCAACTTGCACGAAAGCATCGATATCGTCAAACATGGCTAGTTTTCCAGGAAATATCTCGCTTAGAATAATCTTCACAACGGTAACATTATTCTCTTTTAATTTTGCTTCAAGTTTATCGAGAGTTGCTGGGCTTCCTTGCCGGCCTAGCGAGCCCAATATCAAGCCGATTTTGCGTGCTCCTCGAGCATGGTCAATGGCCCATCTCCTTACTTCTGCCATTTCTTTGTGGTCGTAATACTCTCGAGTAAACTTGCGAGAATACGGATCGTATCGATATGCTGGAATTTCCGGGTTGTGGATCATGGCACTCTCCATATGGAACCGCCCGTCACCCACGTATACCATGGCATCAATATCTTTGCTCAATCTTGCAGAAGTGCATCCTAACACTTCTCCCTTTGAGAGCGGCATGGACTGTGGAGGTGTAACGTAGATTTTTTCTTGTTCCAATTTCTGCTTTACACTGTGAATGGTAGGGTTAAACTGGATGGTTCCGAACATGGCTAGGTGCTGTTCTGGGTGGAAATTTCGTATTATAGTGTTCATAAGATGGGTTTCGTCGATGTTGATCGTCACAAAGACATAGAGTACTTTTATCGTCGTAATATCAATAGGCACCAAACACGAGTGGGCATAGTGTATTATAAAGTCGCAATCAAGCGCCCGAGCAGTATAATCGTCAATACAACATGCCCCGTAAGATACATCGCCCATCACTATGGTCTCCACTTGACAGAACTGTTCCAAGATATCCGATATAACCAACGAGTAAATCAAGAGTCCTTCGGGCATTTGCAATGCCACACGCTTGGCGTTATTCTTGCGGATATTCCACACCGTTTTGTGAAGTTCAAAGTTGTAGTTTGAAGGAAGAAGTCGGATGGCTTCATTGAGTTCCTTATCGTTCAAGATGTCTTCTGGTATTTGGTTCATAAGTCGTCCTATATGGCGGCCCTTCAGAGCCCGAACAACAGACTTGTCACCCCCTTCAGGCGCGGGACGTCCCACAAAGCGTCTACGTGGAGTCTTGGACATTACTAATTCGGTTCGAGATGTGAAAAATTTCGAAATCTGGGGTGCGAAATATTATTGAAATTTGCGATGAGCTATCAAGAACCACTACGATGATAACACCATTTTTCACAACAGAACAAGATGAAGAGTTTGTGTACGTGAACATAAAGGTTTCGCATGTCCGCTTCAACAGCAAGAACATGGAAATGGTTGTAGACGATAAAATATTTGTTTTTTCACTTAGCCCGTACTACCTTCGAATCCACTTTCCTCATTCATGTGTGGATGACGAGCGAGCTACGGCCAGCTACGACAGCCAGAACGAGTCAATTCGTGTGAAATTACCCAAGGAGACCAAAGGACAAGATTTTCCAGATTTGGATCTTGCTGCAAAATTGCTCACCAGGTCCGACGAGAAGACGACGACGAAGCCTTTGATTGAGGAATTGGATAATGGAGTAACCGAGCAAGGGTTACAGGAGGCTCAGAATGAAATAAACTGGGAAATCCCCCAGCAACCAGCAGAAAAAATTAATGGCATTGCTTACGGGTTCAACAACGCATATTCAGAAACGGTGGGTATTTCTCTAGCTAAAGGTAACGATATTAACGAGCTTGGAGATCCAGAAAATACTCCAGAGACAGACAGGGTGCTCGAGCGGTTGATAAAAGAAAATATAAAGTTTGACATGGAATATTATGCTGCTGACTACATGATGGCCGACGAAGACGAATACCGTCAAATTTTGGAATGGAAGTCTCCCACCACTCGTCTATTCAAAAAATGGTACAAAGAAGCTGGACAAGTGAACCAAACAATGCCGGTTGAGTTTACCAAGGATGAACAAGAAAAAATGCAACTGCTTCCCAAAAAATCGTATCTCGTTGACGACAAGCCATCTGTCTTTGCATTTCTTCTTTCTCTTCTCTTTGCATTCCATTACGATATGCGAGAGACCGAAGGAGAACATAATGTGGAGAGTGCTTGGACAGTTGGAAAACTCGTTCCTCAAATATGTTATTTGGATTCTCGACTAGCAGTGGACCAAGGTCACAATTATGTACATACCGCCATCATTACGGGCATTCGGAGAGCCCTAGCATACCCTTTACATCGCAACTGGAACGCAGCCATGAAGGCATGGGACGATGTGTACTATAATTTGCGAGGAGGAAAACGGTTGGTGATGAAATCGCTTTTGAATGTCCGTGAGCTCTTTCGGTATCATGATGTTTATTATGTGTACGACCACATCTGGATTCAAGACTTGTGTGCGTACGTGTTGGGAGACGGGGTGTCCGAGACAGACATTAGATCCATTGCCCATGAGCTTCGTCGTGAATGCGAAAAGGTGACCAAGGAAACAGTGACGTTTGAGAAAATGATTGACGAAGAAATCACCCCCACTTCTGTGGCCGACATCGAGGCGATGATCCAACAGTAACCCCCCCGTATAGTCTATATACGTCAAGAAATGTGAGAAGGGATATCTGAAGGACGACGGGAGTGCGACATGGTGATATCTTCGTCGTCGTCGTCGTCGTCATCTTCGTCGTCTTCGGGCTTAACCAGTAAGCTCTTCTGGCGCTTGTGTTCGTTGTGGGGCGGCGGTCCGCCTTCTTCGGGCCGCCAGTGTTGGAATTGAATAACATGCTGGAACGAAGTCATGGACTCCTGCGACGGAGGCTGGGTCAGGTTCTGCTTCATTAGAGGTTGTGCCGGCAGCGGTTTAACCTGGATAGTCAGCGACGCCGGTTTCCGTTTGGGCGAGGGGAATTCGGACGGCAACGAGTAGTGTCGCTGGTGGAGAGGATGTTTCTGTCTTCTTAGGTTCACATTTCTATACGGAGCCGTAGGGGTCGCGAGGCTAGCCACGGCCGCAGCACCCACTTTTGCCGGTGAAAGTGGTCTTCGGGACGTGCTGCTGTTGCTGCTGCTTCCACCAAACCGAAACTGCTGTGGAGGCACCGGACTGGCGTTGTCGTGGGGAGAAAGGTAGGTAGCCGTCGGCGGCATGGGCGATAGATTTCCGGACGGCACAGCCAGCTGGCGTCTAGGGGAGGAATTGGCGGGATCTTCGACCGACCCACACATATATGGGATCAAATGAGGAGGAACTTGGGCCTGGCGGGCCGATTCGAGTATCATGAGTTTCTTGTGGGCGGTTTCATGGCGGTAATATTCTTGTTTTGTGCGCTCCTGTTCGACACGTAGTCGAATTGACTCGACGTACGCAGCCTCGGAGAACGGAAACTCGGTTACGTTGGGTCCTAGAAGTGCAAGAAGACCGGGATTCAACAGATTGGTGGATGGACCCGGTTGCTGTTTTTGCTGTTTTTGTGGTTCTGGGCGAGCTTGTGGGGTGCTGGGAGGATCCTCGATCAATGAACGCACATTCATCGACCCAGACATGCTAAAAAAAACCCACGGGAGTGGCGGGAAAGAACTTGCTAGGTTTTAGTTTATCTACTTTTGAAGCGATGTGCGTGATAAAATTCATAGGGCGGTACTGCACACAAACCACAGCGGGCCTGGAACCGTTTTTGAGCTGGGTGCAAAAAAAATATAGATTGTATAAAATGCAAACGAGGTGGCTAAAAATCCTCAACTTGAAACAAAAACATGCCGTCGTCGCGGCGAAGCGAAGCGATATGTTTGCGGAATTGCCGCCAATCCATGTATTCGGCGCGAAATTTCACCTCTCCATCAACCATCAATTGCAATCCTTCCTCAAGCCATTGGCGCTTGACTTCGAGGCCATGTTCTTCGTAGTAGTTGAACGTGCTAAGAAGCGAGTTGGCAAGGCTCTGCAGCCATTTCATCGACCACAACCCCAGCAGCTGGGTGCCGGGAAGCTGCTTGTCGATGCTGTAAGATGGAGGATCGAGAGCGTAATTGCAGAACGAAACAAAGCTGGAATTGTGAGCTTTTGGCTTCATAATCTTGACCAAAAACGGTTCCTTGGTCCCGGCGTTCAACACATCGGTGAGCGGTTCACCCAACTTGGATACAAAAGGAATATTTAGTGTCTGGATGCGATCGTACCGTATACCTTGTTTCTGCAAGAACCGCTTGCTTCCAATAATATCCACCACAAGATCCAATTTGTACTCGTTGACGTTGGCCTTGGTGATTTGGTTGGCGTTTGCGGAGCCGAAAAGAGCGTTCAAAACTTCGGTAGCGAAAAACTCTGGTTTCTTGTAGTTGATCGGAGTCTTCTCACCGGCGAGAACTAGGTCGTCATTTTTCATGTCAAAAGGTATCAAGTAGAACCGCCTGGCCTTGGTGGGGTCCTTGGTGAGCTTGTTGACGAGCTCCGTCATGTACTGAGAGCTGGACTCTCTTATAACCAAGATCACAGTGATATCTCCCGAGTAGAGCGACGAGCACAATACCTGCAAAAGTGTCACTCCAAGAAGAGTATCGGCTCCATTTATCAAGATATTGGACCGGGTCAGCGGTTTCAAGTGTTGAAGCGCCTGCTTGCTCCTACAGTACTGGACGGGAAAAGCACACAATTTCGACAAAGCTGGCCAATTGGAAATTTGGGGTGATTCTTCATTTTCTTCAGAGTCGTCTTCTTCTTCGTCTTTCACAGCAAATTTGGGATCCAAGTCCAAAACAAGCTCCGCATCCACCGTCTGCAACTTCTGCTCCAATTCCTCATCAACAGGAAGAATAATGTCTCTTCCCGGCATCAAAATCACACTCGAAGATAGCGCACCATGCCGAGCAGTAGGACATGTGCAACCAAAAACTTTGTCTCCTGGGGAAAAATCTTGAACCAGACTCCCCACCCGGCTCACCACACCCACGTACTCGTAGCCCAAACCGACTCTGGTATCACTGAAATTCCAAGCATAGGTGTTCACCTTGGAAAGATCAAAACCATTGAGTGACGAATATTTGACATTGACCAAAATTGCCAGAGGCACAAGTTTCAAATCGATTTCCGGATAGCTGAAGTTGACTTCTGTTTGCTTGTTTTGGACAGAAATGTCCTTGATGGCCATCATACGAAGATCTCCCAAGATCTCATTGCTCTTCTGAGTTCGCACCGGTTTGACCGGTTCTTGAGGAAGCGGTTTGGGACCGGCCGGTTTTTTGTGGAGATACAGCAATTCCGGGGGGATCTTGTGGAACGGATTATACTCGAGTTTTTCCTCTTCTTTCTTGCGCAATGCATCATGGTGCTCCTCGAGCTCCTTAGGAGGCTCGGCAAACCCAACGTGCTTGGAACCAGATTCTGCCATGGTTCCGGAGGTTCCTGGGGTACAAACGGAACAGACCTGGTGCTGGGTGTAAAGCTGGTGTTTGGATTCAGAAATGTGTTTTTGTGTTTGGATGTACAGATATACAACTGTCTCACGCCCTCGGAACTGAACCAGTTATGTGGCTAGTGTGCCTTCCGTGTTTCGCGGCGTCGATGTTTCTATCGCTTTTCGGAATCCGCTATTACATAAGGATTCTCCGTTATCCCGCGTTTTTGCTGGTCCCGGTGGTGTTGGCAGTATTTATGCCTCTTTCTATTATTTTCTTGTTGCCCATTGATTACATCTCGCATCACGTCAAACATACATTCTTTGAGGTCCCGGAGTCGGTAATCTTGTTCTTATGGAAATCTAACTACTGGATCACGTTTTTTCTCACTTGGCTCATTTTGCCTTTTTTGCAATCATTTTACAGTTCCGGCCATTATAACAGTTCTGGCAAAGTTAAGGATGCCATACGAAGAAATCTTCGTTTTCAATTGATCATGTTGGCGGTGTCCATTTTTGGAGCCATTTATCTTATGCTAGAGGCAGGTTTGACCGTGGGTCATATGAAGCTCATGGTGATTGCTTTGGCGCATCTTTACTCGTTGTTGCTTGCGTTGTGGTTGATGTCTCATGGCATGGTCAGCATCCCGCGCACCATGTGGATAAGCGGCAGTGTTCTTCTGGAGCTCAATTACCACTATGTAAAAGTTCCTCCTCTCGTGGACCATTTGGAGGACTCAAAAGTGTCACTTCAAGAAGATGCGTTACAAGTGATGGTGATGGCTCGTAACTTTGGCGGCGAAGGCGCCGAATCGTTTCAGTTTCGGGACTGGATCTTGCTGCTTTCTCGAAAAATACCGGATGACATTTCCATGTCCATCGAGCGCCAGTTCCCAGACGCTGTAAACGAGACGATTTCTCGTGACAAGTTGACGGTGGACTACATGACCAAGCTCAACGCGCGGTTTAACGTCAATCTTGAGCGAGTTGTGGCCTACAAGGCGGAATTCGATACGTTGTTTCGCAAAATTATCATTCTTGAAGACATAGAAATGGCCAAGGCAAGCCAAGAGAGAGAGGTTCATTACCGAATCGACAACTTCCGTGCAAATTTGTCGCCCAAATTGGGCTTGTATGTCCATGGCTACTTTGCACCTGCCGTTCGTCGCATTTGGTCGTTGTGCCTTTTCGCCATGTCTTTTTTGATTCTTGAATCGGAAATGTTGGGCTCACATCTTTCCTTGATCAACAAGCTCCTCGTGGCCTCAAACTCCAGCTTTTGGAAGTTGGCTTTCTCATGTACAACTTTTTCGTACATGCTTTTTGCAGCCCTCAACTCGCTCACCAAGGTCAAAATCTTCAACATGTACCATCTTGTGCCCCACAATTCCGACCCGGTGTCGGTTTGTTTCTTCACCACATACATTGCCCGTTTGACCATCCCACTTTCGTACAACTTCTTGACGTTATTTGCATCGCGCGAGTCGGTGTTTGAGAGCTGGTTCGGCAAATCCATCCACCTCACTGGTCTTTTCAATATCTTGAACGACTGGCTTCCTCGGCTCGTATTATTGCCTGTGATATTAACTACATTCAATATCTATGATCGTCTTAAAAGAAGACTTGGGCTCGATTCTTGGGCCTTTGACGACGATGAAGAACTGGGTCAAAGAGCCGATTTGCAAATTGTCGAAGCCAAGCGTATTATCAACCGAGAAATGTTCAAAAGACTGCAACAGGGAGACCCCACATCATTACGAGAATTCAATCTTGCTTCTGCAGCAAACACTAATTACCAAGCCAACCGACAACTGTTCCATGACTCGTTGAGCAATCGAATCGATAATCCAGCAATCGACTCTGATCAAGAATCAGAACCATCCAACAAACCAGGAATTTGGGGACGAATGAACAATGTGGTGAATGGAGTAGCTGCTCGTTTCACCACCAACAATCCTACACAACCGTACAGAGATGATGTATTATAGTGATTCACAAACAAGTCCGCTGTGTGAGTTGCTTTTTAAGTCCATCACACTCATCTTTGAGTCTCTTTTCTCGTTCTATTAGCTGCTTGATGTACTCGGTAGCGCCATCAAGGATCATGGATTTGCTGACCTTGTGTATCAGCTTTATGTGTTCACCTTTTCCCTGGAAATTAGGGGTGGTAGTGGAGTTCCAGGGCACAAGTCGGTGAAGAATTTCCAACTTTGTATTAATATTATTCCGATACTTTTTCTCAATCTTATTATGGCCTATCTTTTGGGTTTGAGAAAGTTTTCTTCTATTATGAGGCTTAGGCGTTTCCCGAGACACATCCACAAGAAAATCGCTGATGTCAACGGGATCGCTACTTGAAACTGACCCAAGTTTGTAATCTGAACTACTTTCGGTGCTATCAGACTCCGAAGTCGGTGTCAAGCTACAAGTGTCCAATAATGGATATGTTTTAGTCTCCACCTGATCGAGCCACTCATCATAGAACGAGAGAGGGGAGAAGGGCCATTCGTTGTCGATATTCATTAGAGATGCCAACAACTGGACAATTGCTGCAAAATATATACATGGTGCCACCGGAAAAACCTCCTGATCCGATTCGCACTTGATTATCCGAAACATACCATTATATGCACCAATTGCGGCGCCACCTTGTAAAACGTGCATGAAATGGTTGCGATTCGGAAAAACTCGGCGTCCGTCTAGCTAGCAACCCCTGGCCGCAGTAGCGCCATATGCTAAATGCCGTGCCACCAACAGTGACACTCAACTCTACAAACACTTAAATAGCCCGTACACTATATGCAGTACATAACTTATCGGTCGATGCGGAATTGTACGATTGCCAAAACTCCATGTCTAACGTAGAGAGCAATGGGGGCCTTAACCGCCAATTCAAGCTCATATCTGTCAATTTCAAAGAGGCAGCACTAGACTCGCCAACGTTCAGGGCAAGCACAAACCATTTAGACATTCAGGTGGGCAATATAGAAAAATGGATGAAAGCATTGGTGAGTTCAGTGAAGAAATTTCCACGATATGTGACGGAGTTTCAAGGGTTTGCCAACTCTTTTCTCGAGAGCTTTCTTCCCACGTTTCTCCAGGATGGTTTAATAGACCAGGAGTACACGATTGAGTCGTTGCAGTCGACAGCAAGTGCTTTGGGAGATGTATGGATACATACTTTTGAGTCGTTGAACTTTGAAACATCTTGGGTTCAGGAATTATCGTCGAAGATCAGTCGACAGATACAAAGATACCGGGAAATAAAGGTGAATTTTGATGCTGCACAAGAAAAATTCGACAGTTACTTGAACATCTATGTTGCGCAAGCGAAGACTAGAGAACCCCATATGGTCAAAGAGGATGCCTACAATCTCTACGAAGCACGTATATCGTATTTGCACGAGTCCTTGGAGCTTGTGTTGGCTTTAAATGCTCTCAACAGAATTTGTGATGAGGTTCTTATATCGCTTTGTCTGAAGGTTTGGGACAATAGAATTGGACTGCTAGCTTCAGAGAAGGTACTTCCAAACTTCACCGAGAGCTACAAGCGAATGAAAAGAATACAAGCGTGGTCTGCTGCGTACGGTCAGGCCGACGATAAACTCAAAGACGACATGGTGAGAGCTCGTGAACAAGTGGAAGAAAGCACCAAAGAAGCGGCATTTCCCTCGAGTAATACTGAAGACTACAATGTGGCTCATATCAATGGCAGTGTTCTTGCGGACTGCGATGAAACTGCGGTGGAGAAACATGGGTATCTTTTCATGAAGACTACGGTAGGAAAGTCTACAAGACCTATGTGGGTTCGAAGATGGGTTTTCGTTAAAGATGGAGTTATGGGAATGCTCTTGTTGAGTCCGTCGCAAACATATGTTCAGGATTCCGATAGGATTGGAATCATGCTTGCCAATATCCAGTACACACCTAATGAAGAGCGGCGGTTTTGCTTCCAGGTGAAAACAGCAGATCTAACAATTGTGTTTCAAGCGGAACGGCTCTCTGAACTCAAGTCGTGGTTAAAGGTGTTTGACAACGAAAGGGACCGGATTATGAGAGAAAACTGCGATGACAACTCGCTCATGAAAATCGCATCCAGTCGCTATCCACCAATCGTAGCGGAATTTGCTTCAACAGTCAACACTAAAATTGACAAAAGATTGTCAAACTTGCGTATAACCAACTCCGACCACCAAGCTGTTGCGTCCAGCAAACTTTCGTCCCACATTTCCAGAAACGAAAAGTATTTCAAAGAGCATGTATACGACCATGTGGGAAAAATACGTACTCCTTTCACCACCCACAACACAAACTCTGCTATTGTTGCCTACTCGTTAGCAACGGCTACAATTGTTCCTACTGCATTGACGGCTAACATTTGGGGATCAGTAAACTGGGGACTTTATTATATTAAAGGCGGCTTCCACGACGATATTGGAGAAACCGACCAAACTGACGACTCGCTAGGTATACCGTCTCATGCTCACAACACCGAATCTGGAATTCGGTACCCCACATCGTATCCGCATCGTCTTGTACCTTTTGATATCCAAATGAGAGCACTTATGGAGTCTGCAATTGAACCTGGGGAACTTTGCTTGTTCACATACCGAAACATATGGAGCCCCAACACCTCTCGAGATTTGGGCGGAAGGGTGTTCACCACAAGGTACCATGTATATTGTTACGTGAACCAATCTGGTTTTCTTTCTTTGTTTAAGGGAAACTTAAGCGGCGTTTATTCCATAGAGGTTTCTCAAAACGAGGACCACGACATCTTGAGAATGTATACCGAGGACGGGCTGGTCAAGTTTCGGGTTTTCCTCGATTCTGGTGTGGTTATAAGGGACAAATTAACGTTTCTCATCAGTAATCTTGCCAGTGAGACACCAGCCTCATTTGAAGAGATCATAGAGAAACTAGACGAGATCGAAGCCCGGCACAAAAACCAAGTTACGTCTCCTCTATCAGGCCTCAATGTTCAAAACTCAGAAGAACTTAACTCTACCGAGTTGATAACAAATTTCAAGGCGACAGAGTTCAAACTTGATTTCACAGACAAGTACCAGCTTTTTTCACGCAAGACATATCCTTGTTCTCCAAAGACATTGCTTCATGCAATTTTGGGAGAGAGGTCAACTTTCTTCAGTGCTTCTGCCTTGTATCCCACGATGGATAAGTATCTCAGAGCGCCGTGGTGCAAGCATGAAGATGGAACCCTCTCCCGTACATTTAATGCACCGGTTTTGGCAGAGTACAAAAAGGGAGAGTTACGGTTCGAACAAGCTATAGAGGGCTCTTCAGAGGATGAATATTACAACATTTCTCATTCAAAGGCATACTTGAAGTTTGCAATCGGCGCCAGGTTCAAAGTCACCACGAGGATTGTTATCGTGGGCGCTCCCAACTCCAGCAGCAAAGTCTACATTTACGGCAGGGTTGACTCTGAGGGCAAGCAAATCACATCAAAGATTATCTCTTTCCTCAGTTACCGATTTTTGCGGCTTGAAAGTATCCGTCTTAATCAAGTTTTAGCCAAAGTCCGTGAGGAAGTGGGCTCCAAGGGTCAAGCGTTGCGAGCAATTCAGATCTATGGAAAGCTCAGAATGACAGCTGAAAATTCGGCAGTTACCGAAGAGGCTCCTACGCTAGAATTCAAGTTTGGCGAATTGGTGGACCTGCTGATCAAAAGAACGATCAACTTGTTTTTTGGAATTATCACGTTCATTATTGTCTACCTCATCAAAGGTGTTAGAAATTTGTTTAAGAGTTTGCGTATGAACATATTTCTCACTTTCCTCTTGATCTCGTCTGTTCTTCTCAATGTTATTCTCATGGGCAGATCCACGTTGTCGTACTGGACGGTGAGAAGAGCAGGAACCATTGCCCACACGTATATTACCAAAGAACCCATGATGCTCCTGCGGGCCATTTACAATAAAGACATTCAGGATCTCGTTCAAAAGAAGGAAGTTCAGCTCAACAGCTCCTCTTCTCATTGTTACGAGATATTCAAGAACTCGTCCTTCATCTTGAATGCGGACCATCCCGGCAAATGGGACGATGATTATGCCGACGACCCCAGCAGGCAGGTTGCTCGAAGTCTAAGAAGTGCGTTTCAAGATGTTGGAATTCAACGTCATGAGCTCCTTGTCAAGCTACAGCTTCTCAACCAGGTGGAAAAAGATTTAGTCATCTCAGAGTATCGCAATTGGATTGCAAGTGAAGTTCGTCGTTGCCAATATGTGCAAGAAAACCTTGTTCACCAAGTTGCAACCAAAGATGAAGATTTATCATTCCTTGAGTTTAGCACCGGAATGGAAAAGCTTCTTGAGCACTGCGCCGAATGCTCAGACGAGATGAGAACCTGGGGCGTGGACGATACTCTCAAGGGCCTTCTTTAGTCAATACATGTTGCCGGTGAAGATGCCTGTATATAGCTCGTTGCATCTGCGTCTCGGCTAACTTTCAGTGTAAAAGGTCTACCTAAATGTCTCTAAAGAAATTCAAATTGCTAAATGTAGTTCCACTGATACTCAATGGTGTATTAAAGACAGACGGCAAGCTATACAATGTCTTGGGGCCCAAGGACCACAAACCTATACATTCAATGTCTACAATTGAAGTTGCTCAGACTGCAAATATTTGTGAAATATCAAAGTTAGGGTTCCAAAAATGGTCAAAAATGGATGCTTCCGAGAGGAAAACTGTAATGCTGAGAGCTTCAGATATCCTTGTGGAGAATAAAGACGTTATAATCGATGCTCAGGTACAAGTTGGAATCGAACAAGGATTCGCAGGTTTCAATGTCAAATTGGCAGCTGATTCAATCAAAGACTACGCTCTGCAAATAGATGCCAGGCCCGGAAACCTACTCAATTCAGCACTGACTGATATTGCTCTAGCAGTCAATCAGCCAATTGGACCAGTTTTAGCCATGGCACCATGGAATGCTCCAGTGATTCTTGCAACGAGAAGCATTGCTGCGCCGTTAGCAGCTGGTTGTTCTGTGGTATTCAAGACTTCAGAAAAAGCTCCACTTGTTGGATACTTTGTTGCAAAGGCGTTTTTGGAAGCTGGCGTACCGAAAGAAACTATGCAATTGGTGAATCTGGACCCTGAAAACACCCCAAGTGTTGTGGAAAGTTTCATCTCGAACCCCAACATCAGAAAAATTAACTACACGGGATCAACAGCTATTGGTGGTCTGATAGCACAAGTAGCTGGCAAGCATTTGAAACCGGTTTTGTTGGAGTTGGGAGGTAATAACTGCTCCATAGTTGAACCAGATGCAATTATAGAGAAAGCCGCGGCTACCATCTTGGCGAGTGCATGGTCAAATAGTGGACAAATTTGCATGTGTACTGATAAGATATATGTTCATGAAGACAAGTACGACGCTTTCTTGTCCGAGGCTATCAGAACAGCCGAGAAAATTGGCACTGAAAGTTATCTTCGTACAATTATGGCGACCTCTAATGCGATAGCCTTGATTGAAGATGCGCTCGAAAACGGAGCAAAAATCGAATTTGGAAGCTTGACCAAGTTGAATTCTAGCGAGGAGAACGTTCCTTTTACTCCACTCATCTTGAGCAATGTTTCCAAATCCACAAAATTATATTCAACTGAAACTTTTGCTCCCATAGTTTCTATCCACAAATACACCGACATTACCAAAGTTGTGGAGGAAGTCAACGACTCGAGTTACGGACTCAAGGCTTCGATATGGAGCTCTAATGCCGTGAAAGCCTACAAAATAGCAAGCGAGTTGGAATCTGGAGCAGTTCACATTAATAGCTCTACAATTCACGATGAACCAGGAGTACCCCATGGAGGTGTGAAAAATAGTGGAATTGGTCGGTTTAACAACTCTTGGGGTATACAAGAGTTTCAGTCGTGCAAGGCCATCACCATCAATGAAGCATAAGTCTAAAATCCATGTTTATATAAATTATCGGCTACATCTAAATACAACGCAATTGCATTGAATTTGGGATCATGGGCAAACATGGCTTTGTCTACCATGGTTCTAGCTTTATTTGTCCAGTTTATCAAATCGAGGTGGTCCACCTGGTCAAGGGTTCCTAGATAATGGCCCCATTTGGCACTTTCGACGCTGACAAGTCCATCATTTTTGTGGTTTTCAGATTTGATTCTTGTCTTCATTATATCCGAGGTTATTTTGAAGATATTGAACCAATGTGGGTCAAACGAAGCACCATATGACAAATACGAAACATCAGGATCGTCTAGCACCTCTTTGTTGAACTGTCTCATATGCGACGTCGTCAACTCTGGAATCGACTTGGGACAAACAGCCTTCAATGCGGGAAACTGATTTATGAGTTGCACGACGAAATCGGCACATTCTGAGCCATGATGTGGAGTTGAAATCGTGGTCAACGAGACAATTTCAAACAGCTTGTGCTCGAGTTTTGAGATCATGTATCGGCAGTCCAAACCACCCATAGAATGGGCCACCAAATTGACTTTTATGCGCTCATTAATATGCTTGAAAGAACGAGAGTCAGCACTTCCAGTGTCATATATCGAGGCTTTCGACTCCTTCTTTCGGAGCTGCTTACACTGCCGTTCAATGAACTCATTCAAGCTCTCGGCTCGTTCTTTAATAGTGCCAAAAGCTGGAACTTTGGCTATAAGAACTGTACTTCCAATTCTCTCTAATGCCTCTCTAATTCCCATCCAGTAGTCGAGCAGCACCAACGGTGAAGAGAGCTTATCCACAGTAGCCTCTACAGCCGATTCCAACTTTTTTTGCTGGTTCAAAACATCAGTTAGTTTGGGAAAAGCAAGCTTGTCGAAACCAGAAAATCCATGACATAAAACTATAGGGTATCTTGGCGACTTATACTCCGGTCTAAGCGTACTGAACTTATCTGTGATGACCAACTCTTTGGTAGATGAAGAGTATAACCGCTGAAAGCCGCTATATGTTAGCCAGTTACCGAGCCGTCGTCTACCGACTTGCAGCATCTGATAAATGTTGCTGCGAAAATTCAGAAAATCAATACAAATAGAAAGATAATGAAAAGATATTGAGAAAAATAATGGAAAGATGATGAGAGAATATAAATGGGACGAATATAACCACCTTGATGAACCATTTTCGTCATACTATTCGGAAATATAATTTTGTGGGCCAACTTTCTATATACATCATTAATTACCGCTAACCAGCTTTATCATCAAATCTTTAACCACACCCAATGAATTGAGAGTCTTCATACCAAAACCTCTCAAATACACCAACGGAGTGAAATCGGTAGAAAAAATCTTGTGGAGTTTGTCACAAACACCCAAAAGAACATGGTTCCCCGGCCAGGCATTCGCATAGTATTCTTCAAGTACTAATGTGGAACCGACGTCCATACCTCGTTTTGCACCCTTTTCCAAGGCCGCCATGAGATGAGCCACATCTGTCTGGCCCATATTGAGTCCCTGTCCGGCAAGTGGGTGTATAGTGTGGGCGGCATCTCCTATGAGTGCAACTCGTGGAGCTACATAGGTATCAGCGTGGGACATTTTGAGCGGAAACCGGGCTCTGGATCCCTCTACTAGTTCACGTACTGGAAGAGGGTACTTGCTGTCTAATTCCAGAAGCTTAATTTTGGATAATCTCCATTCAATTTCGCCCAAAACAGACTTGTCGCTCGGATCCACTTCAAGTAGCTTGTAGATATAATTGAGATCAACTTCCTCCAAAGTCATCGCAGCGTTCACAAGATGAGGGAAGATTTCTGGGTCAACTTTGAGTAACAATTGCGAGAGTTCTGGGGTGGAAGACCACACAATAGTGGCATTATCGTCGCGAAGAGGAAGAATCGCCAATGGTCCAGTGGTCAAAAATCGCTGCCAGCCGATCGAGCGGTAATCTTCGTAGCAAAGTTTGATAGTAGCAACTACTCCAAATCGGTCGTACATCCACCCACGCGACTGGATACCAGCAAACTTGCGGGCCGGAGAGTTATAGCCGTCGGCACCAACGAGCAAACGAGCTTGAAGACTTTCACCATTGGAGAGATGTATTATGGGCCAGTCGAGTTCACTCATGCCGTCAGTAGGATCGACTTCCAACAAGTCGGGCAGTTCATCCAACGCCTCAGAAGCACTGAATTCTACAGGCGACTGGATTTTTTCAACTTTGACATTGTCCATGATCTCAGCAGGAACATCACTAGTCATATTCAATTCCTGAATTCTTTCCCAGAGAGATGCCTGGATGTTGATATTCTCACACATGGCAGCGAGGGTCCCGGTACCAATTGCAGAAGCATCAAAGGATATCCGAGAGTCACTATCTTGCGAATCGTAGGCTACTATACTGTCATACACCTTGACTCTTTCCTCATTGATATACGCCCAATTGCCTATTTTTTCTTGCATAAACTCAATTGTCTTTGGAGTGAGCGACACCACTCTGTTTGTGTACTCTTCTGGAGGATTCGAAGCGAAATTTTGAACAGAAGCAAGACTTCCTCCTTCGACCAATGTACATTGTAAATCTCTTGTGACTCTAGATGACTTCAAGGCAGCCAAAAGTGAAAGCCCGGCGGGTCCTCCTCCAATAATAACCACGTCACGAAGACGAGGTTGCGAGGTGGTGGCTCGAGAGGTCAAGGTTCTGACCGCTTTCCACATGATCACAAACTACAAAATCGCACCAGAAAAGACATGGTTGGACATCAATGCACCCGCTATAGACAAGGTGACGGCTATGTAGTTTTGGTTTTTTTCTTGGAAGGTTCGTCGGAGTCGGAATCGCTGATATCCAATTCTTCTCCCTCGGATGTGAATTCATCGTCATCGTCTCCTCGAAGCGCTTCTGTGTAGTATTTGACGGCATATGGATAGACATCGTCCACAATAAGCCGAGCCAATTCTTCACCGTTTCGGAATTCTTTGCCTGGTTTTTTGCCCGTCCAAGCGAAAAATGCAAAGAACGACTTCATTCCTTGCCTATACAACTTTTTCTGGTCCAGGGACATGTTTGCGCCATGGGCAGTTTTGATCTTGTGAGGGTTGATACTGTCCAAGCTTGCGGGCCATTCCACCTCCACAGCTTCTGATACAAGCTTTTCTTCGCCATCTTCATTGAAAATTTCAAAGTGTTTTTGAATAGTTTGGTTCTTAATTGTATCTTGATTTTCGGTTTCAAATGTTATAGTCAACGTGAAATTGCGTGGTTTGGCACCGTTGATATCGTACTCTACATGAATGTTGCTCAATGCCTCGAGGTATTTGAGGTCCTCGATTCGAATGTACTCGGCAAAATCCTCGTTTTCAGCAAGCACAATGTACCAAAAATTTGGAATTTTCTTGATAATCTCACTTCTCTTGGTATATATCTTTTGGGTATTTTTGATGCGATAAATCTCTGCGTCTCTTTCCGCCACATCCATTTCCTGCTCACACTCTGCAAGACTAGTCAACGCCCGTTCAAGGTCCCTGGCGTCAGACATAGTAAAGAACTAAAAGAACAGAAAGAACAGAAAGATTAATCTCGTTAATTGATTTTTGGTGATGCGGGTCCTGCATCTCACATGTAATGCATTGTACTTATACTATTCACTAGCGTCTTTTGCCTCTCCGAACCATCTCCGGGAGCTTGAACGGCACTTTCAAAGTGGCTATTTTGTGGCTGGCAGCAGCGCTCTTGGATATGTTGAGTGCTTGGGCCTGGGCGACCGAAGGTGCCTTGATGGTTGCACCCAACGCTTTGAAAAGACTGGAAAGCTTCGTTGGTTTCAAGTTCAATTCGTGAGCCAATGGCGTGAGATCCACCATGAAGCTGTCTATGTGAAGAATCAACGCCAAAAGGTAACACAACAATTTGTCTTCGTGAGCAGGGTCGATCATGAAAGATCTGTCTTTTGACTTACCAAATTGCGACGACCTAGCAATGGTGAATTTGGCCAAAATTCCGTCTACGAGTCCCTCGGGCACTCGGTTGAGTAATCTGGTCATAAGCGTCTCTTTATCTTTGACCCTGCGGTTTTCATGCACTCCAAAGAGCAAAGAAGCATAGTATAAGAGCTGGAGCTTCTCAATATCATTGGAAGCAATATACTTGGCCAAGCGGTCGTTGACATAGGTAGACTTTGCATATGGCAAGCTCTCCAACCGACGTCCAATGTCCTCTTCTTCCAAGACCCCATTGACCCGAATCAAAGCCATTTCTCGGTCGGTTATAATACCACTGATAGGATAAATATCTTCCACGGAAGTTGCTTCCACATTTGCCTTTGGGGTAGGACGCTCCTCCACGGAAGCCTGTTGGATCTCCTCGTGAGTGGGAAGAGTCTGTGTACTTTCTTTGACGTTTTCAATAATATCCATCTCCACATCTTGAAGTTTATCAGCGTCGATTTTGTTCTTTTCATAGTTGGTGATGGCAGCCTTGGCCTTTTTGGTACCGAATGCTTCACCCAAGGCATTCCTTTGTTGGACATTCTTGGTGCCTACCAGCTTAATTCGAGGTCCTTTGTATGATCTCTTTGAGCGAGCAGTTACTCTTCCCACAACCAATGGCGCTCTATACAACTGGACGTTCTTTTTCACGGGGTCATAGAGTCCCACTATGTAATCGTTCATTCTGGATCCTCCCTCAGACTCTCCGTTATAGTCTAAGGTGTCTGTTTCACCATGAATAGCGTATTCGTCAGACCGTTTGTGCTTGTACAAATCGAATTTGGCGTTATTTGGAATCGATAAACCATTGAAAAAGGAACCCACAACCGCACTGGGCTCCTTCAGCAACGACTCTACTCGAAGCTCGGTTACAGGAGCACTGCGCTTCGACATGGAATTCTGGGTTTGTACGATGGGTTTGATTTTCGCGATGAGCTCAAAATGCCGGTGTACTGGGTGCAAAATATTTGGGAATCCACTGAACGAACTCAAGAGCCAGTAAATGAATGAATAATGCCCAAATCTCAAGCCACCAAATGCTAATAAGGCCTGTTTTCTTCATTGCCATCTTTTCATTGCGTTTTCTTTCATTTAAGACTCTTCCGAGTTTGGTGTATGGATGTCATATATACGGAACCCGTTCATTTTCCAGCTATATGTCATATATAGAAGAGGCGGATCGCCTAGCAAGGAGCTTCTATGAAGTTTTGGGAGTAGAAAAAGATGCCAGCATCCAGGAAATCAAAAAAGCATACCGAGAGAAACTTCTTTCTACACACCCAGACAAAATAAATGGAAAAGTAGTTGCAAATAATTCTACTAGAACTACATCAAAAGACGATATAAATTCAATTCAAGTTGCATTCAAGGTACTCACTGATGAAGTCCTGCGAAAAAAGTACGACGAGTCCCTTCTGAAGTCGGTTCAGCGTGCAGGCTTCAATATTAGTGGAGAAGGGCTCGATAGTTATTCTTTGGATGAATTCGAATTGAATGAAGAAGAACTAAAATACTACAAAAATTGTCCAAGATGCCAATTTCCCAAATCAATTCAGGTTTCCGAAGCAGATCTCGAACACGGAACCGCCGACGGAACAGGAGGATATAATCTTATTGTCCAATGTGACAGCTGCAGTCTTTGGCTAATTGTCAACTACTACGAAGGTGAAAGTGAAGATAATTCATAATGCATATTACTATTTACAGCTGACAGCTATTTGTGCTAGTATTACAGCGTTATCTCGCTGCTGGATCTATCTTGCAAATTCATCTCGCTGGATTCTTTCTTTCTAGATTTTATCTTGTCTTGGCTCTTCACCTTGGGCCATATCATCTCTGCATCCACCACTGCTCGCAAAGCTTCTCCCATGGCTCTAAAATCAGTCATCAAACTCACATGGCCACAATCCAGCGAAAACTTACCCACAATCTGACCCTCGCCTGTATTAGGATCAAACTTGCGAAAGTTCTTACCCTCCGGCATCAAGAAATTTTGATGAACAACCCCATCGCCATGCCCATAATAAAACTCATAGTACTTGCCGTCTTTTATATCCTGGATTCCCTCAACGATGGACCGACGCACAGAAGGAACTTTGTTTCCATATACCACTGCCATGGGCGGATACCTTGGCTCTAGTTCGGAGTTGTATTCCAATCCAAGAAGGTACTCCTTTGCCTGCTTGAGAGTTCTCGCCAAGTAATCATATGCTTCAGCAAACAGGAACGAGTATGTCATGTGTTCTTCATCTGGTTGCAGGTTATCAGGAGACTCCGTTGCCGAACGCAAGGTTTCTCCAGTTAAAGTAGATGTTTGTATCAGTTTTTCTGAAATAGGCGACTTGGACCGCCTCAAGGATCTTGTTCTGTAGTTTTTGATTATGCTTCCGATAGAGTTGATGGACAATTGCGAAGATTGTTGCGGCAGCGAAGAACCTAAAGTTTCTTCAATTACACGTTTTGAAGACACAAGCGGATTCAAGTTATACTCGACCCACGTTTTGGGGTCAAAGTAGTCTAGGTCGTAATGAACTCCAGTCTTTTTGTCAGTGAAAACTCGACCGGATAATGGAAGAAATAAGAAACTCGAACGCATCATAAAGTTGGTCTCGAAAGTGAGTATTTTGTCCGACAAAAGGACCGAGTCGCCAAAACGTATGGGACCCAAGATATTCAAGCATTCAGAAGGACTTCCCACGTATATGATTGCACGGAAAAGCTCAGGATTTCGCTGGACCACGCCGTGAGTCATTAATCCACCCATGGAGTGAGCCACGACTATGGTAGGTTGGCCTGTTTTCTTCTTTATCACCTTTAAAAAGCGTTCTAGCTGGGCAGATACCGTTTGTCCGCTCAAGCGCCAGTCGTAGCTGAATTCTTTGACATTAGTTTTCGGGTTTGCTTGCAATTTTTTTATGAATTTTTTGCATATATCGATGGGTCCGATATTTTTCAAGATCCCATCTGGGTAGATAAGGTCGGTAGCCTTGAGCTCATCGTCCTCTGATGGTCCAAGGAGGAGGTTTATCCTTCGAAGATTAAATCCTGCTTTTATAGGAATCCATACACGTTTTCGAGTTCTTGCATCACGAAGAATAGAGCCTCGATATCCACCAAGAATGACAATGTTGCCCTCGATTTCGTTGTATATCGACTCCCACGCCTTGGGTTTCCTGTTGAAAGGCAAAAATTCATTTATATTTGTGGCAATTGAGTGTTTAACTGCCCGAAACCGAACGTTTTCTGTGCCTTTTTGGTTGTGGAAATACTCCGCTTCAGCCAAAGTATCTAGCGAATGCAATCTCGCCAAGTCGTAGTCGGGCGTAGGCAGCTCGTGGCTGTTGAGATTGAACGAAAAACTGGGAAGATGGGCATCGCGTTTGAATGACGAGAGATGCTTGGATATGTTGGACCTTATATTGGCAAGACCTCCGAATGGCAATGCAAAAGAAAAAACCCGTTCAGACTGGGAATATGACAGGTCGTTTTTCATCAAATCGTTCTTATCGGTGTTATCAGCATCTCTGTCTACATCTACAAGCGATGTCTCACTATGGTACATCTCATCCATCGACTCACCACCTACAATCGATTGGGCATCATTTTTCGATAAGTGTCGAGACACCTCTGGACGGGTTCGTACTGGCACTTCCACGTAATTTGTATCTTCGCTTTCATCGGGAGAGAAAATTACACTTTCCAATGGGGTAACAATGTTATCATCAAGATCATCGGCCAGATCAGTTTCGATCTCATCAGCAGCACCAATGGTGTCTGGAGTCTGGGGCTCTGGCAGACTCTTTATAGGGACCAGCTCGTCGTCTGGCATTGGAAAATCGGGCTTTTTGGACATGTTTATTGTTCAATTGCAAAGCATCACAGAGGAGGCTCGGCTACAATCAACAGCCGAACTAAGCCGCAACGTGGGTGTATGGGTCTGATCCACGGCGATGAGCCGATAAAAATAGAAGTAGGAAGTATGGAAGTAATGGTTGATTAATATGGAAACAAGTTAAGTGAAGGGAAGTGATGATAGGACGCCGAATGAACAGATTTAGAAACAACTTTCTTCTTTTTTTTTGATCATCTTCACCGTCTCAAACCATGGCCGCAATTACTTTAAGAATCGCACATCCATACTATTGTGGCGGAAATTGATTCAAAGTGCCAAACGTCATATCACAACCTAATTAGCTCAATCAGCTCAATTGCTCATAACGGCGGATCTAGCGACTCTTGCGGTAAAATACGGTTTGAAACAATGGCTGCAATTTCTTTGCTAATTACCATTCCAATTTCAGTTGACATGTTTTGTATAACACTGCGTATCTGCGTCCCGGGCTCGAGATAGCCAGAGAATTAGCCGTTGCGCCGAATAGTACAGAAATAGGACGGGTAATCATTTCATGTGAACTTGACAGGTGCGACCGGCAAGATTATGCACCACGATGCAGTTAGATGCACCCCACAATGATTTAGCAAATAAGTCAACATGCCACGGTGCCACATGCAATAACATTACGGACAAGTTAATACGCTTTCTACAATTACTCTTTCTACTATAGTCCGTCTTGACAATTACGATTTTGAAGTCAATTGACAATTCTGAAAGTCAATTTACAATTTTGAAATACCTCCCTTCTCCAAGCAACTCCATTTTACGTTGTCCCCATAACCAAAGCCACTATTGTCACAGATTGATCCCCCTGCTACCGATTTGGTGCACCTGTCATTTTGGTTCACCTGCTTGATAGCCACGTGCATATTTGTGCCGCACGTTTAGCTGCAAGGTTTGCAGCCATTTGTTCCGCAGAACCAAAGTCCCCCTTTACCGAGAGCACATGTTGTCAATTACGTCTTTCTCATACGTAGACACACTCTTCACCTAGTACCATGTGGGAAGAACAAAGACGTCACCACGTTTCTCTTGCAACATAAAAGAATCCAAAGTGCCATTTTGACAGACATCAAATGAAGTTCCTGTTTGCTCAAATTCTCTTACTTGTTTCCGCTGTGGCCGCCCAACCTGTTCAATGGTCCGATTTGGAGACCAGAGACACCGATTTGGCGTTTAGAATCTACTCCAACAATGTTAGAGAGTACACCGAAAAACGGTTCCCCGATGAAAGACCATGGGACGAAAGAAAGTACGGTGTGATCGAGGCACTCAATTCCAGAATCCACGATTTTCCTACGTTGGTAGGACTTCAAGAACTCAAGCACAACCAGCTTGTGGACGTTTTGGCGGGACTCAATGGCCAGAACCAGACTGAATTTCCTTGGGCTCATTATGGTGTTGGTAGAGACGATGGTGTGGAAAAAGGTGAGTATTCTGCCATTCTTTACAATACTCTCGAGTGGGATTTGCTCAATGGTACCTATAAATGGCTCAGTCCTACCCCAGATGTCCCCAGTTACGGCTGGGATGCTGGAAGTAGAAGAATTGTCACCATGACTACTTTCAGAAATAAGCAGACCGGCACCAAAGTCAATTACTTCAATACTCATTTGGACAATAAAAGTGAGCAATCAAGACAAGAGTCTACCAAGTTGATCGTTGGCTGGCTACAACTGATTCCCAACGATTATCCACAATTTTTGCTGGGTGACTTCAACTCAATTGCTTCCGACATTGCCTACGAGACTGTCGCGGACTACATGGCAGACACTAATGTCATCGCCAACATCCACGAAACTGGAAACGAAACCACATACACCGGATTCGAGTACGGTGACCACCAGTCAGTGATCGATTTTATCTGGGCTCCATCCAATAGTAACAAACCCAAGTCTGGCGTAGAGGTGGTGGGCTACGAAGTGTTGTCCAACAACTACCTGGACTTCCGGTTCAGTGACCACAGACCAGTTACTTCTCACTTTAGAATCTCCAGCAACTGAACCTACATAAACAAATGAACAAATGTAACAAATAAACAATGTAACAAATTATGACATGTTAAATTGAAATCAACTCTTTCGCACTTGGATTTTACTCGCACTCTTCAGTCTCCCGCATCCTGCATACGCCCATGGTCAACGCCATCGAAGTCGCACAAACTGGTATTCTCCATGTTACTTGCATTCCGCCCCCAGGTGGTTTCTAGGCCCCTCGGGCTAAACACGAGGAGAGTTCTAGTTAAAGAAACGGTAGCGGGCTTAAAAAGAGCATTTCATGTTCAAAATCCAGTAAAAAAAGACCACAAACATGAATCCAAAGAAGATCGAGTCAACAAAGAAATCAGAAAAATGAAAGAGTTAAAGGACAAATACCGCGATGCCGGCTTCATAGAGCGATTAAGGTTGCGTGCTGAGCTTTTGCAGCAAGAAACAAGAGTAACAAATGCTCAGGACTCCTTAGGGGATGTAGGCGACGTTCCCTTGCCCACGATTCGATTCGAAGAAAATCCACTCGATGTGAAAAATGTTCACCATTATCATGTTGTGTACGCTTTTATGTTGGACTCGTTTTTGCGCGAGTGCAAAGCGTTTGCTAGCGGAAGAACTCCCAATGCCAATCCCGACACTTTGATCGAGGATATCATTCTGTCGTTTAGAGAGTACCATCCCAAGGAAACCCCTATTACGAAGGATGATGTTTTGCTCTACTTCCATTTATATTATGCTTTGGCTAATAACATCGTTTTCTTGGACGAGGTGGAGTTTGGTAATCCCGTGGTGTCCAAACTCTTACAAAAGTACACCTCTATGGAGCCTACCGACGAGCCCCAAGAGTTGGCAGCAAAGATCGCCGAAGAATTGGACCTCGAGAAAGATGTGGTAGTAGGCTGGTTCAACGTATTTGGAGTGCTTTCATCTACTCCTTTTGCAGAAACCGACGAGAAATATACCTGCCCACTTTGTCCCTACGAGTACGCTCAATACCAGCTTTTCAGTGAGCAAGTGGGTGAGATCCAAAAATCGTTCTCCAAGTTGTACAAGTCAAAAAAGAACGTTTCTTCAGAGAAGAAGTCGACGGACGAGAAACCCGGCTTCTTTTTCACTGAAAAGAAGAGCAATTCTAAGAAAGGGACGAACAAATCTTCCTCCGACAAGAAAAAACCTATGGAATTTGAGATTAACCTTAACGCGTCTCCCATGAGACTTTTCCAGCTTGGTCTTTTGAGTGGGCTTGTAACTTATTTCATCTACACATTGACCGCAGAACACGATAACGAGATATCTTTCCAGGAGTTCTCTGCCAAATTCTTATCTAAAAACCTTGTTTCTAAGTTGGTTGTTGTTAACAATAGAACCGCTTACGTGGAATTGAACGATAATGGAAAGTCCCAGTACCCACATCAAGGAAGATTCTACTTCAATATTGGATCCATCGAGTCTTTTGAGCGTAGTTTGCGTGCAGTTCAGGATGAGTACAACATTGCGGAACCATTGAGAGTTCCGGTTGTGTTTGCTAACGAAGGAAACATGACCAAGATGGTTATAAATTTCCTTCCTACTCTTTTATTCTTGGGAGCTATTTATTATATGACCAAGAAAGCTACGGCTGGTGGAATGGGTGGACCATTAGGCTTTGGTAAATCAACAGCAAAGAAGTTTAACCAAGAAACTGACGTGAAGATTAGGTTTAAAGACGTTGCAGGTATGTCCGAAGCGAAAGAAGAAGTGGTTGAGTTTGTCAAGTTTTTACAAAACCCAGAAAAGTATGAAAAGCTTGGTGCCAAAATTCCTCGTGGTGCTATCCTTTCAGGTCCTCCTGGTACAGGTAAGACTTTGATTGCTAAGGCTACCGCAGGAGAAGCTGGTGTTCCATTTTATTCTGTTTCCGGTTCTGAATTCGTCGAAATGTTCGTTGGTGTGGGTGCTTCTCGTGTCCGTGACTTATTTAAAACTGCCAGAGAAAATGCTCCATCGATTGTGTTTGTTGACGAAATTGATGCGATCGGAAAGCAGCGTTCGAAGGGTAACGCAAGTGGTGCTAATGATGAGCGAGAGACAACATTAAATCAATTGTTGGTCGAGATGGATGGCTTTGATAGCACTGATCATGTTGTTGTACTTGCTGGTACCAACAGAGCCGATATTTTGGATAAGGCGTTGATGAGACCGGGTCGTTTCGACAGGCATATCGCGATCGACAATCCTGAACTTCAAGGCCGTAAAGAGATTTTCCAAGTGCATTTGAAAAAGATCAAATTGGTTGACAACATCGATGACGATTTACCAGGAAGACTTGCCGCATTGACGCCAGGATTTTCCGGAGCTGACATTGCGAATGTTTGTAACGAAGCGGCATTAATAGGTGCCAGGTACAATGCAAAGGCAGTTGCGTTGAGACACTTTGAACTTGCTATTGAAAGAGTTATTGGAGGTATTGAGAAGAAATCAAAGATTTTGAGTGCTGAAGAACAGCGTATCGTTGCATACCACGAAGCAGGACACGCCGTGTGTGGTTGGTACCTCAAGTACGCACATCCACTTTTGAAAGTTTCTATCATTCCTCGGGGCCAAGGTGCTCTTGGGTATGCCCAATACTTACCACCAGATCAGTATTTGATGTCTACAAAGCAGTTATATGACAGGATGATTATGACGCTTGGAGGAAGAGCTTCAGAAGAGCTCCATTTTAACTCTGTGACCAGTGGAGCCCACGACGATTTCAAGAAAGTTACCAACATTGCCCAGTCTATGGTGTTACGTTTTGGTATGTCTCCAAAGGTAGGAATGGTCAACTATGCTGATTCACGGTCGTCGGACGACTTGACAAAGCCTTTTAGTGACAAGACGAACAAACTCATCGACCAGGAAGTGCAGCGCATAGTGAAAGAATGCTACGAGAGTTGCAAGAGCTTGCTCCAGGAGCGGTCCAAGGAAGTGGAACTTGTTGCACAAGAGCTTCTCAAAAAAGAGTTCATCACCAGAGAAGATATGATCAGACTTTTGGGTAAGCGGCCGTTCCCTGAAACCAACGATGCCTTTGACAAGTACCTCGATGGAAAAGCTGCATTCAAGAATGAACCAGAACCCAGTGCGGAGCCCAGCACATAAATATGTATATAGAGTGGACTAAATAGTCCGGTGGTCTCACGGCCAAATCGATTCAGTGACAATAGCGCTTATTAGCTTGGAAAGAATGTCTGTTTAAGAGGTTCTTGATCGGCTTACGTCAGCAGGTAGATCTCAATTTTTTTGAACCATCAAAAATCATTGAGGTGTGAAAAGCGATTCCACTGCGCCGACACGACTGTACCTTTGGGGAAATCAGCACTTAATAGCAAGGTTAAATTTTTTGCAAGATATTTCGAAATTTCACTGGAGCTATGGATTCGATTATAAAAAATAGACAAATGTTACATAAGTAGAACTCGTGATCAGGCAATCACGGTTAGGCTGATAGGCATCAATTAGCAGGTATAGGCCACTAACAGTGGCAATATCTACCGCAAGCCCACCTAAATCACATTGTCTCTCTGGTTTTCTATTTTTCCTGCGCATTGTTCCTGTGTCTGGATAGCCCATCTGCAGGACAGCCAGCCATTTAATCAAGGTAATAAAACCTAAACAAGTAATAGGTGATCCGCAAGGCTTAAGCGAGTTTAGACGACACCATGAATGTAACGAATAATGGTTACTACACCTCGGATTATTTAAACGAAGTGGTCCGCAAGAGACCTGCAAAACCGGTTATAGTAGCTGAGCCTATTTCCCCGGATTCAGTTCCAAGATCGTTTTCCGGTTCTTCTCCATATTCGTATTCCGGGTCTTCACCGATGCTGAGCATACCTGGGCGAAGCCCCACGTCTTCAAGAATGTCGGAAGTAGACATGGTATCCACAGATGAAATATCAATGGACGATCCTGACCGATTGGCTCAGGGCATCACGCCAGCACAACTATACTATTTACAACGAAGACCAGATCGGGAAGATCCAAGACAGAGAGAGAGGCAGAAACAAAAGTACAGTGACTACTATATCCAGCAAAAACGTCGGCATGACGAGTCAGATTATAAGCCCAAATTGTACACCCACAAGACATTTCGAGATGTGTTCAAAGATATTGAAGAACCGACCGAAAAGTACAATCCCATGGAATTTGTGTTTGACGACCCCGAACTCGTACGGGAGCGTGAACAGAACCAAAAAGTGAAGCGGGCCTTCAAAACGGTACTGAAGTTCATGGGAAAGGACTACTATGATGATTACGACTACTACCAGGCTGAGCCCACCAAAGATAAAAAGAGCCCTCAGAAGCCAGTTAACGAGGTGTACGTTGCTAACTTTAGCGACAGCAGCGATAACGAAGAAGACGAAGTAGAATTTCCCGAAAATAACTTGAAGACAAAGGTGTATGTGAATGCGGCAGAGGAACAGCATCTCAAGAAGAACAAAAAGTTTAGCAAAATCTGGAAACGCAGGTTGAAGAAGGCGAAGAAGGAGATACGGAAGGACTACGAGAACAACATAAATCAGCAGCGAGACCCACTGAACCAACTGCATAGGGACCAACTGATCAAAGAACTGACTAAAGACCAGGCGGAAACTATCGTGCCGGAAGAAGAGGAGATGGTTGAGTCAAAATCTGTGGTACCCGTGGCACAAGAACCGCCGAAGTTCAGCGCTGGTCAGAATGAAAATTTCCATCCTCTTTGGAACTATGTTCTTTCTTGGCTTGCGTACGAACCAGCGGTACCCCTGGTACCGGCCCCAGTGGAACCGTCTAATGTTCCTGCTACATCTGTAGCTCCGCTGGTCAAAGTTGCATCTGAAAAATCCCTTGTGCCCAAAACGCTGAAAGCACTCAAACCGGTACGGCTCAAAAACATGAATATGATGCCGGCGTTGGTCAACATGAAACAAAACTACAAGCAGCTAGCATCCAAATGGAACCAGCCTGTTCGCCAAAAGAAAATAACCGACATAGACAGCTTCAACACTGCACCACCTCAACCTCGTTCAGATGGTATTTCCGATGAGTTTGTCGTGGAGGTCGACAGCGACTACGACGAGTCTACTATCACCACAGAGCTCTACTACAATCCTGTCACGAAACAATTAGAACATGAGCCTCCAACATCGGCATCTGCTCTCAGTCTGGGTGCCGCTGCACTCACCAAATTCTTCCTGTTTTCGCCTCCAGAAAACACCCTTGTGGCCGCTCCGACTGACTCGTCTCCTGTGCAAATTGTCTCGAACATCAATTCACTTCTTAAGCATATAAAGCTATTACGAATGATATTTGCACCCATTGATATCATCGCAGAGAATTTTCCGAGCTTACAAACTTTTGTCATTCTTATCGAATTGGCAATTTTTATGTGGCTTCTCTACGAGTTGAGCTTGCTCATAGATGCCCTCTGCATGATGGTCAAGGCGGTATGTGCCCCCATGATTGCCATGGGTCGGTTTATGAACAGAATCATGTAATGGTGCGAAAATGCGAAAATGCGATAAAATTTCACAGCTTTATACTTTTAGTACACACAACTCCAATGCTATTACGAAGATCTTTTGGGTGCCGTAGACCATTATTGTCACTTCGAGGATCGGCTGGTGGTCCCAGATTGTACTCTGCTCTCAACTTGAACAACGAAGACGAAAAACCAGCTCGCAAGCAACGCCAGTTGAGTCCCCAAGAAGCCAAAGAAGAAGCAGCGAAGGTGGCCATGCAAGGACTTAAGGACATAGGAACGATGTTTTCCTTCTCTGCTGGCAACGACGAAGCCACGAGACCCATAGATCTGGCTCCAATATATAAAGATCCATCCAAATTTGCTCTGTTGAGTTTGCTCCATCAAGGACAGATTTGTAGCGAATTGCAACAGCTATACGACAGAAAATGGTCTAAAATGACCCCCGAGCAGAAGCGCTTGGGATACTATATTGCCTATGGAAACTATGACGTTCGAGAAGATTTTGACAATTGGAAAGATCCGGAATCTCCACCTTATGATCTTCCATTTGTTGTGCCATCGGTGATCTCAACTACCAATCCTAAGCCACACACCAAGGTGAGGAAATTGCCTCCAGTAGAGCTTTCCAAGACACCGGTTCGTGTCAAGCAGTTTGCTACCAATAAAATAGATGGAGTATCTCGGTTTTTCATGTACGTGATACTACTCATTCTGATGGTGGCTATCTATAGAGACAAGAATATTGGAGAGGAAGGAAAGCCGCAGTCTGCTGACGTTGTGGATCCATATTACGAGTCGCCAAAAGAACCGGAACCTGAAGTTGTGGAACCTACCCAGCGTCGCAGAAAGTGGTACTGGTTGTACTTGAGGTGAAGACGCTGATAGATAATTATCTGTACATATAAATAACTCGTCCTTGCAAACCAGTAAACTATAAATATCTACGTTCGATCGCAATATCAATAAACTCTTTTCCATGACTTATTCCCCGCCGTACATGCTATAATACACTACTCCTCGTCGTCCTCATCCTCATCCTCGTCCTCGTCGTCATCGTTCCAACTCGTTTCCACCGTCTCCCTCACCCTCTTGATATACTGTGATCTGTGGTCTTTGTACAAGTTGGCAGCTTCGACGTTGGCAGGAGAGCTGATATTGGGGTCGTTGAGAAGTGATTGAATAGATGTGAGAATACTGGAAACGTCATACGTGGGGGACCACCGGTTCTGAAGGATGTCGAGACAAAGCTCTCCCGAAGCATACACATTCGGGTGAAACATTTCGCTGATAAATTTGACGCTGGGTGGTTTATTGGGATATTGTTCGTCGAATTGGAGCACTAATTTAAACGTTCCATCTTCAAAAGGAGTATCAGCAGGACCAATAATTACAGCATTCCAGCACATCACATTGTCTGGAAGAGGCGAGGCAGATACACCACTCGGCGCGTCCTGTTGCATGCGCTGGGTTAGTAGAATTCTAAGTGGCGTCGAGCCAAAATTTAAAGTTGGTTTTTTTGGAATGTGAAGCAAAAATATTTGCCCAAATAAACCAGAAGTGTCTCTTCACACTTGTCCACTTGTACATACCTTGAAGTCACGCATTAGTCTTCTTTTTGCGGGTGTCGACATTGTATGATAAAATGAATCTTTCACACTAGATTTGTCATGAACTCTTACTCAGTGCGCGCTGCGTGCAGGACGATAAGCCGGCCACAGAACCTTCAAGAAACAGTTTAAACTAGACATATAAAATTAACCTCCTAAACAAGTCCGGAGTAGGCCTCCTCCATCATGTGCTTGATGCCGCCCATGACGTGTGCAAGATTCTCACCAATCTTCTCGTCAATGTTGGAAAGCACCTCGTGAACCTCATGGTGGACATCAAACTTGCTGGCGTCGGACTTATCGCCCCAGAACTCGGTCAAGTTGTGACCAGCACCATTGAAGGCCAAGATGTTGGGGGTGTCCTCAGGAATATCGGTAAGGATGTCCTTGGAGCCAAAGTGGATCAAGTTCTTCTTGAGTTGGGATGGAGATACACCGTCGCCAGCAGCAAAGAACTCGGAATCGGCACCAGGTTGTAAAGACAAATAGTATGACAACAAGCCACAGATATGAGGTGAAGCCATGGAGGTTCCGGAAAGCGTGGCGGTTGCTGTATTGGAACCAATGTAAGTGGACAAAACGTTGAGACCTGGGGCGAAGATGTCAACACACTTACCGTAGTTGGAAAAGTAGGCACGAGCGTCCGAGATGGTGGAGGCACCCACAGTAATAGCATTCTCAGCAGAGGCTGGGGAAGTGTTGCAAGCGTCTTGGTTCTCGTTTCCTGCGGCAACCGCAAAGTGTAAACCAGCCTTGACGGCAGCGTTCACAGCCAAATCAAGAGCTGGACTCTTGCCTCCACCCAATGACATGTTGGCAGTAGAGCCCTTGAAACCCTTCTTTCCCTTCTTCACGGCATCTTGATGCGACTTGGCGGCAAATTCAACACCCTTGATCACATCGGTCATTGTACCACTTCCGTTGGAACGCAACACTTTGACGGCAACAATGTCAGCGTTCTTGGCGATACCGTACAGGGACGATCCAATGGTACCAGCACAGTGAGTGCCATGTCCATTGTTGTCGTCGTCAATGTCTCCATCGGGAATGGTGGCACCCCAGGTAGCACGGCCACCAAATTCATCGTGGGAAACATGAACACCGGTGTCTACAACGTATGCAGTGACACCCTTGCCGCCCTCGGTGTCGTACAAATATTGGTTGAACGAGTTCAAGCTCAAGGGTTGACGGTGGGACACTCTAGCAAGACCCCATGGAGCACCCTTTTGGATGTCAAACTCGGAAGCATGCACCAACGAGTCTTGCTCAACGAACTGAACCAATGGGTTGCTGCGGATGAGGTCAATGGTGGATTCAAGGAAGAAGCCAGAGTATCCAACGAGGTCACTGATTGCAAACGAGTGGATGAGTCCACCTTGCTTCTGGCTTGAGTGGTTCTCTTCCAAAGCAGACCAGAACGAATGAGTTGGGTCGATGTCTCCCACAGCCTGGGCATGCTCAGCAGCAACCCACTCTTGGTGGAACAGAACTTCTTCTGGCGAAATACCTGGTTTCAAAACCACAATATACTTGTGAGGAACAGACTCCCTGGCGGCATCAGTACCGACAAGAGGAACGTGAAGACCTTTTTCAAGCTTGACGTTCAATTTCTCAGCAACCTCGGACTCAAAGTTGTGGATTACATCACCACGGTGAGGCTTGCCGTGGTGCTTTCCTTCAGGGTGCTTGCCATGGTGCTCTCCTTTGTGGTGCTTTGCCTCAGGGTGGTGCTCTCCTTTGTGGTGCTTTCCCTCAGGGTGGTGCTTTCCCTCAGGGTGGTGCTTTCCCTCAGGGTGGTGCTTTCCCTCAGGGTGGTGCTTTCCCTGCTCAACGCCTTCGTCGTGGTGGGGGAACTGTGGCGGAGGTGGGGGCACATTTTCGTCGTCAAAGACGTGGATCACCTCCCCTACATCAGGGAGGACCAAGGCGTTGGCGCCCATGAAAGCTAAAACAGAAAGGGCTACGGATTTTGAAAACAACATGGTAGCGTAAAGAAGAAGAGGTCAGGGGAAATGCGATAACCGGTAAACCAGCGCGTGCGCGGCCCAAGTGATAAGGTGGCTGCAGGAGCGCTTAGGGCAGTGCGAACGGGCTGAGCGGCAGGACTGAGGCTTTGCTGGCGCGGGTGGAGGGAGGCCCGGGAGCTGCGAAAAATGCAAGAGCAAGAAAAGACTGAAAAATGAGAACAACTGAAAAGTGAAGAGAAGGTAGGCGATTTATGAAACGAAGATGATCTGGGAAGTAGCTTAATAGTGTGAAAAATAAATTATATTTGTAGAGGCAATTGTGACGGATTGAGGCATCTGTGTTAATGTAATGCTGCGAAAATTGAGGCTATGAAAAATTACGTCAATGCTCTGAAATAGACAATGATTATCTCGCCTATTCTTCCGATTCTATGAGTTTGTTCTTGTCTATGAGCTTGTTCTGAACTTCTTCACTCGTTACTTTATCTGCTTGACTGCTTCTTAGTTTGTCTTGACTGCGTGAATTTGCAACCATTCTCGGATTCCGTCGTTTCGCTCTTCATTGGCTGCTTTGTATACTAGAGCTTCGTCATACTCTCTCTCAGAAAGAATTGCGTCCACCATAATCTTTCTTCTTTGTACAGATTCGTTGACACAGAACCAAACCTCCGTATTGATACTCTTGTCTATGTTAATTGGTAGTTTTGCAACTTTGGGTAATAAGTGATTTCGCACCCTTTCAATGGCTTCCTTTACGGAAAGTTTTGGCGAAACACCACTGCAGCACTCCTGGTTCTGACACCAGCTGAAACCACACCCTTTGGTAAGCTGTAACATATACCGACGCTCTATTCTCGATTGTAGTTTTATGTTCGTCGGATCATGTTGCTGAACATAGAAAGGACCGTAGCACGTAGAACACATTCCAAGTATGTTGCTGGAATCTTTGATGTTGACACAGTTCATATTGGAGCATTTTGTGAACATCAACTTTGTGGCCTGGTTCATTTCCATCTTGTCCAACTCGTGCATCTGAAGATGGTTGCTCATATCTTTTGATCGCAACACCTTGTTGCATCTGAAGCATTCTACTGTCTTGTTCCCACACCAGTTTTCGTGGTGTGTGAGCCCCAAGTATCGATCCTGGTAGGTCGATTCTTCCTGAGGAACAATCATATGACAGAATTGACATTCGTGTAGTTTTTCAGGACAGTCTATGGCCTTGTGTGTTGTAACTAACTCCACGAATGTTGTAAAGCTTCCAAATCCACATTTATCACACTTATAAGGTCCCATATGGTTCATTTTATTGTGCTTAGACTTCGATACCGCACTATTGCCGTGGGCTGAGCATTGTTCACAATGCCAATGATCTGGTGGAATTTTCTCAGGAAACACAGAACCACATTCACACCTAACATTATGACGATAACAATGCGCCTGATGAAGTGGCATCTTTTCCTTTGCAATGGCTTTTCCACAATTAGAACAAATATCTTGTGGTACTTGAGATACAGTTGAATTTTGTGGTACTTCTTTTTGAGATATAGTTGATGTCAAAGATAACTTGACCGTACAAGGCGACTCCCATGCAAAGGGAACCACATACAAGTAATTATCAGTGACGGTATCTGGATCTATTGCAACAATTTTGCGATCAACGTCATCGGGTATATCCATGGAAGACCATCGAAAACACTCCATTCCTACAAATTTGTCGGTTCCAATCACGACGTCTGAGTTGTATGGAGGTGAGGTACTTTCCAAGACGATATACAATTTGGATTTGTGGACTTTTTGGAATTCTTTGACGTCGATTTCGAACATCCGGGTCTTAAACTGTGGAGAGTTGAAAGGTTCGATATCCACGGAAACAGAACCTCCCAAATGCAACAGGGTAGCTTCCTCTAGGTAGCTGATGGCTTTGGAGAACTCGAGCTGTTGTTGTGCCATGACATTATCTAGCGGTACCACATCGAGAACCATTTCTGTGTCGGTGATGCAAACGGTATTGGCATTGAGATTTTCAACAAAGAGCTCATAGACTCCGTTCTCGTCCTCCACAAGAAGTTTTTCGTGTTTCGTAAGCGTCGTATATAGTTTTGGAAGTCTGGACTCTAAGAAGAACTTCCAGTTGTGAACTTGTGGGTAGAATTGTAGTGGCTTTAACGAGAGTTCTGTGCCCTTTGGGATATCCACAACTAGCTCTGCCGTTACTGGCTCCAGCGAGAGCTTGCTGAACACGATTTCAGGAAGAATAATGGCATTTTCTGGAGCAGAAAACTCGAGAACTCCAACATAGATTTGTTGATTTTCCGAATATAGTCGAAATATAAGCGGGTGCGGGAGATCATCTCCGAGTCTATCTATGACATCAGCAAGCACAGAAGGGGGAAATATAGCCTTGTCTGAGCACCTGGGACCTTTCAGAACTTGGGGCGATAAGGACCACGACATGAGTTGCAAGTTGAGGTTGCGAAAAGTGCGAACGAGAAGATATTTGTAATCGAATAAGTGCAAATTGCCTTCATGGTGGCGAAAAGAATAACTATAAGTAAAGAAAAACGGTATTATAGAGAATGTGTTGACTACAAGAAGTCTATGAATCAAAACTTTATTATTGATATTGCTATTATACTTGATACTTTTTGCAGCTATTCCAGTTCACTTTCACTCTCACTCTCGCTACCTTCGCTACCACTTTCGTAGTCCAGATCGGCAGCTATCTCCTCAATTACAACGTCGTATCCCTGCGAAGCAAAAAACTTTTCATAATCAGACGATTTGGACGGAGGAACACATGTAAACACCACCGAGTGACGGCTGTCGAACATTGGTATAAAGTACTTTTTGGTGATTTCCACAAGTTCGTTGCTGGTGATGGTTCTAAGCTTCCTCAAGAAGAACTTGACATACTCAGGGCCCCTGTGCTTGAATATGTTGTCGGCAATCTTGGAACTGGCGGCGTCGTAGCTGCTGGACTCTCCATCTGCCAAAGCATTGACAATGGCTGCAATACTATTTTCTATGTTGATTTTGTCAAATTGCAACTTTTCCGACGCATATTCGTGAATGATGTCTTTGGCAGTTTTCCATGCTCCTTCGCCATCGGCTCCTCTGTATATGATGAACGATAATGTTCCACATTCCAAATCTCGTCTGATACTCGCTCCATACGCCAAACCGGTTCCTCTTATACCGCGCCAAAATGGACCCTCCACTGCGGTGAAAAACTCACTTGCCAATGCAATCTTGAAGACATCCTCGTGCAAATAGTCGGTGGGAATGCCCGTGGACACAATGAGATGCGTAGACTCTGTTGCTGGAGTTGTCACAATGTACGCTCTGTCTGCCATTTTCTCACCGATTTCCGATTTATATTTGAAAGAACGAGGCAAGTCGCTGAACTCAATAGGTTGCACCTTGTCCAGTTTGAACTCTTGCACAAATCTGTTCCAGGATGAAACAGGTGCTTTCAAATCTGTGCAATTGCCAAGAACAAATAACTTCATTCCGTTCAAATCGAATAATTGAGTTCTCAATTTGTTCAAATCCTTCTCGATTTCATCAAACTCATCGTCCTCGATCTTCGCCAACAAGCCCTTGTAAAACTGTTCGTTCAGAATACAGTCTTGGGCTTTCTTCAACGACCTGTCATTGAACAAGGTTCTGGATTGACACGAATACATCATAAGTTCACCACTGCGTTTCTCATCAGGAATGGAATTGACGAGTTTTTCAAGTATAATTTTGACCCTATTTTTGTCAAAAATAGCATACTTCATAACGTTGATGAGCCACGAAATCGCCTTCTCATAGTTCTTGACTTCAAATTTCACCTTCACTGTTATCAATTCTTGGAACTGATTGTCAAAACCGTTGTCCAACTCAAAGTCTATAAAGTCGTTGTTGAGCTCAGATATCACTTCGTTGTACGGCAAGATGGTTCCGTCGGGAAGTCTGATAGGTAATGTGAAAATCTCCTCAAGCACAGACATGTATCTTAGCAATTTGGTGTCGATAAACGACGACGGCATCACGAGGTGAACAGTGGTGAATTGAGATTTGAACTGTTCAAAATGCATGAACAATGGAAATTCAGCAGGTGTATCTTTGGAAATACTCTGTGCAAGAGAGTCGTCCTCATAGGGACCTTCAAGCTTATTCAAGCCACCTCTGTACGATTGTGTGGTAATGAAAGAAATCTTTTCTGGGTCAGGTTGACCAAACTGAGTCAACACACTTGAAGGAATTTCTCTGTCGTTGTGTTCTTGAGCATGCTTGAGGATTTCGCCTAGTTTCTTTAGACCATCTTTGCCGTATTTTGCCAATATGTCGTCTGCTATCTTCTTATTTTCACGATTTTGAGTCTCAGTCAACTGCGCCGACGGCTTTCCAAGAATCGTCACCAGATGGTTCACCACAAGTTGGTCATGAATTACCTTGGCCCAATCTTCTGCGGTCCAGCCGGCCAAGACGTCATATTCCTTCAAGTCTTGGGTCCACTTGCTCAAGTCAGACCCGTCCACATTGCCATAGATAAACTCTTCAATTGTAATGTTGGAAAACGTCGAAGCACTCTTTTCGCACTTGGAGATAAACTTGAGTCGCTGCTGATGGATAAGTTCTCTAGCATAGTTCAAGTCAAAGTTCTCGGGTTTGGAATGGTGCTTGATCAACTCTTTGATCTTGTAGTCTAGGTCTCGAAGAGATTCTGTGGGAACTCCACTAAACGAAAAGATTATACCGGTGCGAACATAGTCGTTGGTACTGTAATCCACATCGGTAGCCAAAGGATTTTCTATCTCAATTAAAGCTCTGTTGAACACGGAAATGGCACTGTCACTGAAGTAGGAGCCAAGAAGATCAATTGCAACATTGAGCAAAGTATCACTGGCTACAGGCCCAATCCACGATACGAGAACTTCACCCATGGACTCGTCGGTATCAGGAAAAAGTACTTCTTTGACGACAGTTTTCTGCAATGGCTCGTCAGGGACAGAATCTACAAACGGTCTTTTGTTAGGAGTCTCCAACGTAGGGAGCTCGCTATCAATTTGGTCCATAATTTCGAGAAGTTCCTGTTGGTCTACCGAGCCTGTAACCACCACACAAAGGTTATCGGGACGATAATTTTCTTGATGAAATTGACGGATATCGTTGTTTGTCAACTTCCGGAGCTCAGACATCAACCCTCCTGTCTCGGAGGAGTAACCAGACGACTCCCGGTAGAGCGACCGCTGCATTTCCAAGAAAGAAATGAACCACAGCTGCGATTCGATGCCTTGCATTTCACTGAAAACCACCCCTTTTTCTTGGCCATTGCCGTCTATGTGGTAGACCTCCGTCAAACATGCTTCGTCTGTTAATGTGGGGCGGAATAAATGGTCCAAATAGATCGGTAAGAGTGTCTTGAACCCTTCCCAGCCGGCGGTGGTGAGAGTGTACACCGTCTGGTCAACTGCCGTCCAAGCGTTTGTAGACGAAAAAAACCGGTTTCCAAGACTATCTAGGAGCCCTTTATACGGATATTTGTGGGAACCCATGAAGATGAGATGCTCCAAGGTGTGGGGGCACCCCGAATCATTTTCGATTTCTGTGGCCACTGCAAAGTAGCCATTCACCATCGGCGAAGGTTGATCAATATACGTGAGCTGAAGCCCTGTACGTGCGGATCTCCATTTTGTGATATGGGCGGGAGCATAGCCAACAGGAAAGCTGGTTTGCTTCACAAAGTTGGTTACGGTCATGTAATGAAAAATGAGATGAGGTTGAGATTTCGCACCTCAAAAGCCATGGCGTATACTGAGAAGACCACGCTTACGTTCTATGCAAGAGACACGCTGACTAAAGCACCTTGCCCGAGGATTTGACGTTTAATCGATCATTGGTGGCTACAACTGAATTCCAAGTCGCCATTCTTTGAAGTGTATTCGATGAGATGCGCCATGCATGCACCTGTCAACGGTCTTGACATGTTGCATCTTGCATGTTGGAAAAATATGGGACTATCCGACATTGTGGTATCAGCGGAATGCCAAACCCGCACTTGTGCGTATTCACTTACCAAAATCGTACACAATGTATCGGTGCGCAAGTGGCACCGTTTGTCCCTGTGACCTGGGGGGACTCCGGTTGGTTAAATATTCGTCCCCAGATAACGTCCTGATTATGGAGGTGCGTCAAGTTCCGCGCCGATTGCATTTGGGCCGCATTAGTGAGATAACCGGTATAAAGCCGGTGTAAGTCACTATTCTTCACCATGCCATTGCTCGTGCCCACGTATTCAGATATCGCTGCTAAGAAGCGGCTACAAAGAGACAAGAACTTCAAGAAGGAGTGGCTTGTTGCACCGGCAAATCTTCCGCCTGCATCTTCTCCAAGTGTTATCGGGTGGATCGAGAAATGCGGAGAACTTACGTCAAAACAGCTTGAAATCACTGCATCATCTGCGCCGGAGATCTTGCTGGCAGTCCGCGACAAGGTGTGGACAGCGTTTGAGGTCGCAGAGGCTTTCTGCCACAGGGCATCTTTAGCTCACCAACTTACCAATTGTTTGAGTGAGGTCTTCTTCGACGAAGGGTTGCAACAGGCTCGAGAATTAGATGAGTATTATGAGCGCACCGGCCAACTTAAAGGTCCATTACACGGATTGCCCATCTCTTTGAAGGATAATATCAATGTCAAGGGCCAGGCAACCACCGTTGGTATTGTTTCGTTCTCTTTTTCGCCAGAAAAGTTCAGTGAGGACTCGGTGATTCTGGCAATGTTGCGCGATATGGGTGCAATTTTTTATGTCAAGACCAACGTTCCCGTGGCCATGATGATGCCCGAATCCATCAACCACATCTATGGGAACACCACGAACCCACTTAACCGCAAATTGAGTGCTGGAGGATCTTCTGGAGGAGAAGCAGCACTACTCGCACTTAAAGGTTCACCACTTGGAATTGGAAGTGACATTGGAGGAAGTATTCGAATTCCTGCTTCGTTTAACAATCTTTATTCGCTTAAGCCTACTTTTGGGCGGTTTCCCACCTATGGCTCTAGATCAGGACTTCCTGGTTTGGAATCTGTTAACAGTGTTAATGGACCACTCACGACGTCAATAGACAGTCTTGAACTTTACTGCAAAACATTAGTTGGAGCTGAGCCTTGGATATACGACCCTAAAGCTGTCCCTCTTCCTTGGAGAACGGTCAAATTGCCAGAAACTCTTAACATTGCCGTTTTAGAAGACGATGGAGTGGTGAGACCTACACCTCCATTGCTTCGAGGCATGAAAATGGTTCGTGAAAAACTCACTAAAAGTGGTCATATTGTCATTGACTGGAACCCAGAGGAACACTTGAGGCTTTCTGAGCTCATTACAGAGTTCTTTCTCAGTGACGGAGGTAAACACGTCAAGGATGAGTGCAACAAGACCGGCGAGCCTTTCTTTCCATACATGCAAATGTACGGAACAGCACCAGAAAAAGGTGTAGCTTCGTTGTGGGCTCTCCAGGCGGAAAGAACCAAGTTGGTCAAGAAATTCCTCGACAGGTGGAACGCTACCGCTTCTGCAACTGGAAATGGAAGACCAATTGATGCCATTATTCTTCCTGCTACTCCATTTCCAGGTAACCCAAACGGCAAGTTTCAAAACTACGTAGGTTACACTTCTCCTTTCAATGCTGTTGATTACAGCGTTGGTACTATTCCTGTGACCACGGCAGACCGGGGTTTGGATACTAGGGAGGTTAGAGAAACTTTTTATGGTGAAACCGACAAAGCGGTTTACGACAACTACGATGCTGACGAAAGTCACGGTGGAGCCGTTTGCTTGCAAGTTGTGGGGCGCAAATTCGAGGAAGAGAAGGTGATGGAGCTTCTCAAGGCGTTGAAGGCGATTATGGAGTCGTAGATAAGAAATAGATAAGCTGAGGCATGTTTGCGTAGAATGCACCTTCTTATCTCGCACCTGCGAAATCGGGATTGGTGAGCAGTGGGGAATTCCGATAAGTCAGAAATAATGGAGATATAAATTGGAGATATAAATTGAAGAAATTGGTCAAAATTGATCTTTCTGATATAAACTTGCCAGACACAATTGGCATCCCATTGCAAATCAACTCAAGTACCTCCAATAAAGAATTGTCCAGACGATTCTTATAGTCATCGCGCAGCTCGTATAAATTATTCAGCTGCACTTTGCAGTCGTTTGCAACTAATTTATGACTCTGGCTTTGCACAAAGCCAAACTCCTCGTATGGGGGGCCACACCTGAAGACCCTAAGGAGGCGAGACTATTGGTGAAAATTGACTGGTTTGTGCTTTCATTTGTGTGTCTTTTGTACTGGGTCAACTATGTTGATCGACTCAATATTTCTAACGCATACGTCTCCGGGATGAAAGAAGACTTGAATATGCATGGAAACGAGTTCAATGTGATCAACACATGCTTTACGGTGGGATATGTTGTGTTTTTGATCCCCAATAATTTGATTTTGTTGAAGGTTAGACCTCGGTATTGGCTTACATTTTGTGCTATAGCTTGGGGACTCTTGACTTTGGGGATCTACAAGGTTACCAACTTCCGCCAGATCTGTGCTATCAGGTTCTTTCAAGCTGGGTTCGAGAGTTCAACTTTTACAGGTGCTCATCTCATTTTGGGGTCTTGGTACAAGGAAGACGAATTGACTAAACGAAGTGCAATTTTCACCAGCGCAGGTCTTATTGGGAATATTTTCAGCTCCACAATGCAAGCGTCGATTTTCGAAACCATGGATGGAAAAAATGGGTTGGCGGGCTGGAGATGGTTGTTCATAATTGACTTTGTCATCACCATTCCAATTGCAATTTATGGCTTCATTTTCTTCCCTGATACTCCAGAAACATGCAAAGCGTTCTACTTTAATGCCGAGGAGAAACAACTAGCGGTTTCAAGAATGCCAAAGAGACCGCAAACCAAATTGGATATTTCAGTTTTCAAGCGAGTGATAGGAAGATGGCATTGGTGGCTCTTGTCGTTTCTCTGGGTTATGGGAGGAGAAAATGAATCCTACGCTACGAATTCTTTGTTTGCATTATGGCTCAAGTTCTACAACTACACCGTGCCCCAAATCAACCATTATCCCATGGGAGTTTATGGAGTGGGAGTGGTAGCGACATTCACTTTTGCACTTTACGTTGATGGGACTGGTGCCCGATATCACTGGAGAATTGGAGTCTTGATTGGGATTTGCATGTTGGTGTCGACAATCATGCTTCTTGCCAAACCACACCATGACGCAATAGTATTTGCAGCCCAGTATATCTCGGGAATATCCTATGCTGGCCAGGCCACTTTCTTCGCTTGGGCCAATGTGATCTGTGCCAACGACCTCCAGGAGCGTGCGATCGTCTTGGCATCGATGAACATGTTCAGCAATGCCGTCAATGCGTGGTGGTCGATTTTGTTTTATGGTGCTGATACGGCACCCAAATTTCGCAAAGGCTGCTATGCCATGTTGGCCACATTGCTCACCAGTGTTGCGACAGTCTGTGTCATCCGCTACCTCCAGATCCGCGAAGAGCGGCAAGAAAAGACTTTTGTTGAAGAACAAGTCGAAAACGTAGACTCCAAGTCGCAGCATTTGGTTCGATCGACGTCAGTTTCGTCCGGTCAAATATCTGTATGAATAAATGTTACAAGTCCAGCTCTGCTTCCTCAAACATCTTGAACATGTTCGCCACGTCGCTGCTCATGCTTCTCGTGAGCTCCACCAAGTCTCCGTCAGACTTGTTGAACATGACACAGTTGGCGAACATGAGCATAATATCGCGCTCTAGCTCTTTAACCAGGCCATAAGCCGGTGGGTTTTGTTTCAGTTTGACAGCTCGTAGAATGCCCTTTAGGTCTTTTGGCTGGTAAATGCACTTGTGGTAATCGGGAGCGGATCTTTTATTGACCGGCTGAAGAAAAGGCGAAGAAAATCGGTGTGCCTGAATACTGTTGATAAGATTTACAGCAATGTTCTGGAACCGTTTGCGCTGAGACGACACCGATCCTGGCGACAACGACCGCTTTCGAGAGGGGGTAGAAACTGGAGTTTGTTTGGTGGAGTTTGAGTCGCCTGGGGTTTCGGGAAGTGGAGTTTCTGGAGCGGGAGTACTTTCCTCGTCTTCATTTTCGTCTTCGTCTTCGTTGTAACTTTCGTTTTCGTCTTCGTTTTCGTCTTCGTTTTCGTCTTCCTTTTCTTCTTTTTCCATTTCCTCTTTTTCGATTTCTTCTTCCTCGTCGTTTTTCGCTTCCTCTTCTTCTTCCACTTCGTTTTTCTCTTTTTTCTCTTCCGCTTCTTTTTCCTCATCTTTCCTCTGTAGCTCAAGCTTGATTTCTTGCTGGCTTCTGTACATTTTTGGTAAATCTGACACGGCTTTTTTCACTAATTGAAGGTAGTTCATGGTGTGTTCCACCACAAAAGCCTGGAATTTTTCGTCGAAATCGTCGTCTCCTGCTTGTATTCGAACCTTGCCCTGTCTCATCAGCATTATAGACTCCATATTGTGTTCTTTGAGCGCTCTACTTAGACCAGTTCTGTCCAAGATAATTTTTGTTTTTCCACCATTGTGGAACTTTTCGTCATACTTTTGTGCTAGCTGATTGAACGCCGTAATAAAGTCAGAAACGTCAGCTTCTACTTCTTCGCCTTGCTTGACGGCGGAATCTCGAATCACAGACGAAACGGTGGCCGCTATCAAGAACTGTGCAAACTCCCGTTGCATGGTTAGATGAAATGTTCGCGCGATAATGGAGAAGGGAAAAGTGGAGAAAAAGTGAAAAATAGAGAATAGGAAGATGGGGTTTAGAATGATGGATTTAGAGAAAAGGGAAGGGATTAGATTAGAAAGTGATCTAATGCAGAAATGGAGAATAGTAAACTCAAGAGAGATATGGTCAACAGATAAACTCGAAGTCGAGTGATCATCTCGAACAATGGCCCACCAGTCCTTTAACATAATCAGCTTATATTACTCTCAATATATACAGACTTGCCGACACGTTCGACATGTTCAGCCTTAGCGTTTTTGCATGTTTTGCATCAACATAGCGCTGTGTTAGTACTAGATTCGTGACTAAATTCGTCACTAGCTTCGTAATAGTTTCGTAATAGTTTCACCTCAACACTTATACTTACTTTTGCTCCTGGAATCTTTGACCCACTCTCTCGCTGTGCTTCAAGAACTTCTCGGAACATTTCATGATACAACTGCTTTCTTTGGTGGTCAAGTTGGCCGATGTGAAATCGTTGACACAGTCGTCAAAGCACTTGGAAACCAAATTGGAGTACAAACGCATGAAATCCTTCATCTGCTTTTGTTCCACGATTTGCTGAAACTCCTGTTGTTCTTTGACATTTAACTGATCCATTTTTACAAGTACTCAAGTTCGAAAATTGCCGTTGCGGTCCAAATTTTCATCCTATGTACAGAATGTGTGTATGCACTCTCGAAGTTACTGCATATGACAAAATAGGTTTGGCTCTAGCAGGAACATGATCCCGGGGTTCTGGGAAACGCTATAACGTCCTTGATACTGGCCATTCCAGAAAGAAATGCCACTAGTCTTTCCATACCCATGCCAAAACCTCCATGGGGAACGGTTCCGTTTTCACGAATTGACAAGTACCATTCATTATCTTCGATGGACATGTTGCGATTTTTGAGCTCTTGTAATAGTTTCTCGTAGTTGTGCTCTCTTACCGAGCCTCCCACAAGCTCTCCTATGCCAGGAATTATGAGGTCGAAGCACGCAACAGTAGAATTTTGGTTTTCAGATTCGGGCATGTAGAATGGTTTCTGAGCTTTCGGATAATCAGTGATAAATACTGGCGACTTAAAATGGGTTTCAGCGAGCCATTTTTCGTGCTCTGTTTGTATTGAGTCTCCCCACGTAAGCCTGCCCTTCAGTCGTCCTTTGTTTTTGATTTTATTGATGATTTCGATAGCTTCAGTATAGGTGATTCTGGGCCAAGGCTCGCTCTGTAGTATCGTCTTCCAGTTGGCCTCCATGGCTTGTCGTTCGTCTTTATTGTAGCGGGACTGAGCCAAGTCATTCGCAATACTCTGGACCACATCCTGTGTAACGTAGCGGATCATATTCTCGGTAAAATCACAAATTTGGTGGACTGATTCAATGTACGATAATTCTGCTTCCAACATCCAGAACTCACTTAAATGACGGTTGGTATGGGACTCCTCGGCCCGAAAGCATGGGGTCAATGCCCACACCCGATTCAATGACTGAGAAAGAACCTCAAGGTGCAATTGAGTCGATACAGTCAAATACGCTGGTTTTCCAAAAAATGGATTCTCTGGTTTGGAATCTTTTGCCTCAACAATAAACTGTTCGCCCGCTCCTTCGCAGTCAGAGCTTGTAATTAGCGGTGCCAGGACCTTTATAACGTCGTTTTGCTCGAAAAACCGCTGGAACAGACCTTCCAAGAAGGATCGAAGTCGAAGAACTGATGCCAATGATGATGTTCGATGTCTCAATGTAGGAAGTGTTCGAAGAAACTGATACGACAGTGACTTTTTCTGGATGGGATACAGTTCAGGAACTTCACCTATAACAGCTGCTTTGTGCTCATTCTCCGTAGAATCGTATAAGAGTTCATAGTCCTGACTGCCTTTGGACTCTACCCATTTTCCTACAAACGAAACGCTTTGTCCCACTTTAAAGTTGATATTGGTGTCACCATTGAGCACCACATTCAACGTGGAGTGCGTAGACCCGTCGGAAAGGTCCACAAAATGAAGATTTTTAAACGACCGAACAGCCTTTACATGGCCCTGCGTTTTTACTAAACTATCCACAGAAGGTGGAAATGATAATAGATGCTTGATAGTTGGCGGTATGGTAGTACTCAGCGAGGAGAGTGCGCTGGACAGGTACGTTCGCCATGCTCGGCGAGAAATACCACAAAACATACAAGATGACTGAAAGCTAGTTTTGAAGTGTACTGCATAAACCCTACTAATAGCTTATACACAGTAATACCCTATGCTACCCCAAGTTGGCACCCGTGTTACCCATACCCTTGGGATTGTCATCCTTCCAATCGTCCCACTGTCTTTTTTCCAATTCCTCGTCGCTGTCGTCGGTATCTTGGTCATTTTTCTCATTTTTCACTTCTTCCGCAGCCACTTTTCCATTGGCGAGTTCGTAGTCCAAATATTCTTCGACAGACATACTGGGTAACACCTGGCCCGTTCCAAACACCTTATTTCGAAGCTCGTTCTTATTTGCTGTGATGGTGAACGGCTGCAATATCTTGCCTTGTTTGGAAAGCAACGACGATATCGGCTGCTTCTTTCCAGGAACAACTTCGAGTTTTGTGGTGTATCCAGTGGGATCAATTGGTTGTTCTTTTTGTGGTGGTTTTGGGTTCTTGTTGGGTGCAGGCATCTTCTTGAGAACCTCCAACTCCATGGCTATCAGTTCAAGGCTGCTGAAACTTTTGAGTGCAAATAGCTTCACCTGGTCGAGATAGAGCTGTTTGGTAGTTTCTTCGTCATAGGAGTCAAACTCCGCTTTGGCGTCGTCTGCACTGCTACCGTAGCGAGAGACGAGTATTTGGATTTTCGAGGTCAACTCTTTTTCTAGTTTGAAGTTGGCTATTTTATCGGCTCGAATGGTAGCTGGATTTCGTTCTTGAGATGCCAATATGTCTTTTGCCAGTGGATTGTCCGACTCTTTATACAGCCGAACTCGCTCCGTTTGGGCCTTGTTTAGGAGCTTGTAGTTGCTGAGCACCAGAAGATAGCTCGCAAAATGTTCTTGGGCCGCTTGAAGGTTTTCAACTTTGAATTCCAATCCATCCACAATTAACTCCTCTCCAACACTCTGTGAATTCACCATAAGGTTCTGGTACAATGTCCCTAGATAATACTCCACGTTCAAGAAAGGAACATAGTTCACGTTCATCTCAGCAATGGTTTCATTATCGCTGAATATACTGAGATGACTGACAATTATCAAAATGATTCGAAACTCTTTTATCAACTTTAAAAGCTCTTTTTGGTACTCAGGGCCATTTTTGCGGCCTGAAAATACACCAGCGTCATTCCTATAGTTCTCAAAGCGCGCCAAAGCACCCTGGAACTTTTCCGTGACAGTTTGGTCTGTAGAGTCTGCCATACCCGAATGGAAACGGCTCGCGAGTTAATCTGGAGATTCCTGCACACACCACCACGACCTCGCGGGTGCAATTTTAGGTGCAAGTTGCGAAACCAGTAGCTGTTCAATGCACTCACACCATTCCCATAGTGGAACCTATGTCTCGCATGCGCAAGACGAATTGGACGATGTAGTTGCTCGTGCGCATGAATTGGGATTTTCTACATTTTGTCTCACAGAACATATGCCTCGGTTGAACAGTAAATTCATGTATCCAGAAGAGACTGAAAAATCAATGTCAATTGAAGATTTACAGAAAATATTTAGCCAGTATTTGGAACATGCTGCCAGACTCAAGGCTGAGTACGCAAATCGTGGGCTCGATATCTTGGTGGGATTTGAAGTTGAAGGCATAGATTCTGCTCATATTGACCACGCTTGTAACCTCTTACCGTTGGTTGATATGTGTGTAGGATCTGTCCATTTTGTCAATGAGATCCCAATTGACTTCTCGCAGGACCTCTGGCTAGAAGCTCGAGATCTGTTACCAGAAAAGACGACCAGAGCCCTAAATTTTGAGTACTACAAGCTCCAAAGACAGGTTCTTGAAAAGGTGAAACCAACAATTGTTGGTCATTTTGATCTCATTCGTTTGTTCGAACCACAAGAAATAGACCCTACTACGGGCAAACACTTGTCCCAGGTGTGTATAGAGACCGACTGGCCTGAAGTGTGGGACCTAATTGTTGGTAATATTGTATTTGCGAAAAGTTATGGAGCGCTCTTTGAGCTCAATTCTGCTGCCTTCAGAAAAGGCTGGAACAGTCCCTACCCCAAGAAGGATGTATGCCGAGCTATAATAGAGTATGGAGATGCTAGGTTCTGCCTTTCGGACGATTCCCACGCCGTTTCGCAGGTGGGACTCAACTACAATAAGCTTCTTGATTTCATCAAATTCTTGGGTCTACAAAAGATATACTTTCTACTGGCGCAAAACTCTTCAACAGCCATCAATTGTTTGCTGACTCACAACCTTGAAAAGAATTGGAGCCCTTATTCACAATAATACAGTAGTCTAGTAAGACCTGCCGAACATACAGTAGGTGACTGCGGCTCTGTCACACTTGACACATTTCTGGCCCGGCTTCAATTCTGGCTGTTCAAATGGAATACACAACGACTTGGCACCCATCGAAGGAGCACGCTCGTCTTCTTCCTCGTCCTCGCCGTTGTTGTTCTTTGCTGAGGAATCCTTGATGTCGTCTTCGCAATCGGCGTCTCCACACCATGGCGACAAAATGACATTCTTAGCATTGAGAGTGGGCACAAAGTCCTTCCATTCGTCCACCTTCACCCGGTGCTTGTCGAAGTCACCACGGGCCTTTTCCAACATTTCCTTTTGCATCGTTTCGAGCAATTCGGGAATTCTGGTTTCCAACTCGGCCAACTTGACGGTGTATTTCTCTCCATTATCACGTCTGACGGCAGTGACTTGCTCCTGGGCCATATCCTTGGGTCCGAATTCAACACGCAAAGGCACACCCTTCAACTCCCAATTGGCAAACTTCCATCCACTGGTGTAAGTGTCTCTGTAGTCAGAAGTGACTCTCACATCCGCAGCATTCAAGCGGGCTTCAATGTCAGCTGCTCCGTCGTTAATTCCCTTTCTCTCGTCGTCAGCTGTCTTGCTGGTCAATCCAACGGGAATAACTACAACTTGTGTCTGGGCAACTCTAGGTGGAAGAACCAAACCTTTGTTGTCGGAATGGGTCATAACCATGACACCAATGACTCTTGTGGATAAACCCCACGAGGTTTGCACACCATATACCTTGGGCTTGTCAGCACCTTCGGGATTTTCAACGGTAATGTTGAACATTTTCGAAAAGTTGGTACCGAGATGGTGCGAAGTAGCACCTTGAATTCCTCTACCGGTAGCACCAATGAATCCCTCGACGGTGGTGGTATAGTTTCCACCGGCAAACTTTTCATTTTCAGTTTTCTTACCCTTGACCACAGGAACAGCCAAAAGCTCTTCGTAGATCTTGGTGTACAAATCCAAGATTTTCATCACCTGTTCGTCGGCCTCTTTGTCGGTCAAATGAACGGTGTGTCCTTCCTGCCACAAGAACTCTCTGGTTCTCAAAAATGGCTGTGGGTGCTTGAATTCCCAACGAACCACCGAGTTCCACTGGTTGAGTTTCAAAGGAAGGTCTCTATGAGAACGGATCCATTTGGCGTAGTATGGGTACATGACGGTTTCGGAGGTTGGTCTGATGGCAATGTGCTCTTCAAGCTCTGAGTTTCCAGCCTTGGTGACCCACGCAACCTCAGGTGCAAATCCCTCGATATGGTCCTTCTCCTTTTCGAGAACTCTCGATGAGACGAACATGGGGAAGTATGCATTGCGAACGCCCAACTTCTTGATCTGGATATTGAACCAGTCCTGGATCTGTTCCCAGACATGGTACGAGTTGGGTCTTAAGATGTAACATCCGGAAACGTCATAGTAATCCAACATTTCTCCTTTAGTCACCACCTCGGAATACCAAGCTGAAAAATCCTTGGTCTTGTCTACAGTTATTCCAATGAGTTTGGCGTCCTCGCGCTTGGACTCTTCCTTTTTCTGCTTGGCGACGGTCTTACGAGCTTTGGCGTCGTTGGAAGCACCAGCGGCTGGAGCTGATGGAGCAGCCGTGAAATCCACAACTACAGTTTCTATTCCAGTTGATTCAAGGTACTTGACCACCACGTTAGCGGGAAGCGCGGCCTTGGACGACGCGGTGGCCAATTCCAAGGGAGTTTCGCCAGCTTCAGTGATCTTTTGGTCAAGTAAAATCTTGATTTTACCGGCTAAATCTTTATGCAAATTGGCAATTGATACCTCTGTAGGTGCCACTTTGAAGAACTCTTCCACCAAGTCGGCGCTGGCCATTCGGGGCTCCTTTACCAGCGCTGAGGCCGCCACCAATGAAGTTGGAGTTTTGGTGTCTTGCAATGCGATCACCACCACTGGGACTGGGGTGGCTGTTTTTGCTGTTTTTGGCTTGAAAACCAAGGTTTTGGTTGTCAACGCATTTTCGGCGGAGACTGACGCTAAAGAAAGCTGGGCCAAAGACTGCTCGAGGGCCATGGATGAGTCTAAAAAATTTGGAGATAAGGCAACGACGACAAAATTTCAATGTTCGCGCGCGCAGAACAGATGAGTAAACGGCCGGTGCCGCAGATTACGCAGGTTTGCAGCCTGTGCGTAATTGTGAGTCTTCAAGTGCAATTTGTCGCACCATCTGCGGTTTGAGTCAGAAAGGTGTTGTACAAGAGACATGTCAGTTTACGTCAACGAGAGAACGGGTGCCGACGCCGAGGGCCACGGATCTGAGGAGAAGCCGTACCAAACTGCTGCGTATGCTGTGTTTTCGCAGCCAGAAACAAAGATTTTTGTGTTCAAAGCTACTGACGACGGAGAAGGGTACGAAGAAATATCGGCGTCTGCTTTGAAAAAAGCCAAGAAAGGCGCTGATGGACTCAGAAAAAAACAGGAGAAGGCCAAGGCTGCCTCGGAGAAACATAACGAAACATCAAAAAAACTCGAACTGTTGGAAGTGATCGACATAAAAGAGGACCAGTCACTCCCACCGGCAAAAAAAATCAAATTGAGATCCATAGGCGAAAACATAGGCTCGCGTGTGGCCGTTCGTGGGTGGATCCACCGTTTGCGTTTGCAGAAAGGATTGGGTTTTGTCACGGTGCGTGACGGTACTGGCTATGTTCAATGTGTGTTGACGGGAGATCTCGCCAAGGCCAAGTCGACCCACGAATTGACGTTGGAAACCTCGATTTGTATCAAGGGTGTCATCAACAAGCTCCCTGAGGGAAAATCTGCGCCTGGCGGTGTGGAATTGAAGGCTGACTTTTATGAGGTTGTGGGCCAAGCTCCATCTGGCGAAGAGTCGTTTTCCAACAAAGTCCAGGAAAATGCCGATCCTTCGTTGTTGTTGGACCAACGTCACTTGACATTGAGAGGTGAAGCACTCTCTGCCGTCATGAAGGTGCGCTCGGCCTTCTTGTACGCTATCAGAAGATTTTTCGAAGAAGAAGGGCTTTTGGAAGTCACTCCGCCATGTATGGTGCAGACACAAGTGGAGGGAGGCTCGACTTTGTTCAAGATGAACTACTACGGCGAAGACGCTTACCTTACCCAGTCGTCGCAGCTTTACTTGGAAACCTGTTTGCCTTCTTTGGGAGACGTTTTCTGTGTCCAAGAGTCGTTCAGAGCAGAGAAATCACACACCAGAAGACACTTGTCGGAGTACACACATATCGAAGGAGAATTGGCGTTTATAGATTTTGAGGACTTGTTGGTCCATTTGGAGAAGTTGCTCACCCAAACCGTCAAATACGTGTTGGAAGACCCTGTCGCCGGACCTTTGATCAAGCAGCTCAACCCCAACTTTGTGGCTCCCAAGGGCCCATTCTTGAGAATGGAATATGTCGATGCCTTGGAATGGCTCAACGAGCATGGAATCCCCAACGAAGACGGTGAAAAGTTCAAGTTTGGAGATGATATTGCCGAGGCTGCGGAGCGTAAAATGACCGACACCATCGGAAAACCGATTTTATTGATCAGATTCCCAGTGGAGATCAAGTCGTTTTACATGCAAAAATGTGCCGACGACCGTCGTGTGACTGAGTCTGTGGACGTTTTGATGCCCAACGTGGGAGAGATTCTTGGTGGCTCCATGAGAATGTACGACTACGACGAGTTGGTGGCTTCGATTAAGAAGGAAGGATTGGATCTTGATTCCTACTACTGGTTTACGGATTTGAGAAAATACGGAACTTGTCCTCACGGAGGCTACGGACTTGGAACCGAGAGAATCTTGGCATGGTTGTGCGACCGGTTCACCGTCAGAGACTGCAGTTTGTACCCCAGATTCAGTGGCCGTTGCAAGCCATGAGTCATAATAGAACTCTTACATAAGGCTGAATATCATCCCAATTAGGCAAGCGCATCGTAGCCGCGGTGGTGAATCTTTTTTCACCGCGAAATTGTCTGCGAATTTCTTCCTATCACTATGTCTGATACACCAGCCAAGCTCTGGGGTGGCCGTTTTACCGGTGCTACCGACCCCTTGATGGACTTGTACAATGCTTCTCTTCCATACGATAAAAAAATGTACGCGGCAGATTTACATGGAACTGCCGTTTATACGCAAGGGTTGCAGAAATTGGGCATTCTTTCCGCCGACGAATTGTCGTCGATCCAAGAAGGATTGAAGGTTGTTGAGAAAGAGTGGGAACTGGGGAAGTTTGTGGAGAAGCCTGGTGACGAGGATATCCACACCGCTAACGAGAGAAGGTTGGGAGAGGTGATTGGAAAACACATTGCTGGAAAAGTGCACACGGGCCGTTCTCGGAATGACCAAGTTGCAACCGATATGCGGATTTTTGTTCGTGAGACGTTGACCACGCTCTTGGAATACTTGTCGCAGCTCATTGGCACCATAGTCAACCGAGCAGGTCAAGAAATTGACGTTTTGATGCCTGGCTACACCCACTTACAAAGAGCTCAGCCTATCAGATGGGCTCATTGGTTGTCGTCCTATGCCACCTACTTTACTGAAGACTACAAGAGACTCAAGGAGCTTTTGGTTAGAGTCAACCAGTCACCTTTGGGCAGTGGAGCGTTGGCTGGACATCCGTACGGAATTGACCGAGAATTCTTGGCGGAAAATTTGGGCTTTGACGGAGTCATTGGTAACTCGCTTGTAGCTGTCAGTGACCGTGATTTTGTGGTGGAGTCGCTCTTCTGGTGCTCACTATTCATGAACCATATCTCGAGATTTTCTGAGGATTTGATCATCTACTCGGCTGCCGAGTTTGGTTTTGTCAAGTTGGCCGACGCATATTCCACTGGATCATCTTTGATGCCCCAGAAGAAGAACCCGGACTCGTTGGAGTTGTTGAGAGGAAAATGTGGCCGTGTCTTTGGCTCGCTTGCTGGGTTTATGATGTCCATTAAGTCAATTCCTTCCACTTACAACAAGGACATGCAAGAAGACAAAGAGCCATTATTTGATGCCTTGACTACAGTCGAACACTCGATCTTAATTGCTACTGGAGTTATCTCGTCATTGTCTATTAACAAAGAGAAAATGGAGGCTGCTTTAACCATGGATATGTTGGCTACTGACTTGGCTGATTACTTGGTGATGAAGGGTGTTCCTTTCAGAGAAACCCACCATATTTCTGGAGAGTGTGTTAGTCGGGCTGAGGAATTGAAACTCTCCGGCATTGACAAGTTGACTATGGAACAACTTCAGGCTATCGACTCCAGATTTGGAGAAGATGTAAAGGACGTTTTCAACTTTGAAGCTAGTGTCGAAAGAAGAAATGCCACTGGAGGCACTGCCAAGTCTGCTGTGTTGAAGCAGTTGGAACTGTTGAAGAAGCAGGTCAAAGGAAATTAATAGTAGATTACATCTAGTGATTTGACTACTAGATTACTAAATAAGAAAAATTATAATACAATTAAATTACAAGTAGATTCTGATTTAGCTGAACTTCAAGTAGATTACTGAATAATGGAGACCAAATTTATACCAGATTAACTAAACCGACTAAATTTATAGTAGCTAGGCTCATCCACTTCACTAAACTTTACTACTCTTCACCGAAATTTTTATTACCTTTCAAAATCTCTTTTTTACTGCTAATTACAAAAGTATGAAAAAGCTATCGTAGGTAGTTGAGAGGTGACGCTAGCACCTTTATGGTGTACTTATATAAATGGCTGCAAATTATTTTTCGGCAGCAAGCTTATAGCTGAAAAAAAAAACTGAAAAATACATGAATATTGCTTGAATTTTGGACTTAAGATGAGATCAGGAATTTCATGGGATGAAGAATTTCTAGCTACGAATTGGTCTTTCAAACTGCAGTAATGGGGCATAAGTTGTAGGTGAAAAATCGGAATCTGGTGTTTGGCTCTTGTTGTAACCGACGGAATCCTCACAACAGTTATTAGTTGAGGACCATGTAAGCTCGGTGTGCGAAACACAATTCAAACGGAACCATATAGTTAAAGGGAGTGGAATTTACCAGTTGAGACAACCCATTCTACATATTAACCCAATAGCTTGCTGTTTCAGGCTAGTATCCAAACTCTTATTCTGAACACCTTTAACCTCATTGAGCATTTTCAGATCAGGCATCTGTACGGTGAATTAGACCTTGTACCTAAAAAATAGAACCTCGCTAGCAACCCCGCAAAATCTCCTTTAGCTACATGTACTAACCAATCAACCAATCATGCTTTGAGTTCCTCAACCATAACTTATCATTTGAAATAATCCAACTATATTTCTACCGATATACCATATATCAACCATGAATCTCTAACCCATTTGCCTTAAATTTCGTTTTCCTTGAATTCTACCCTTTTGCCTTGAATTTCTAACCTTGTTCCCAAATTCTAGCTTTCTTAGTCATAATTCATCTCACAGCTTGCTCATAAATCGTAAATATCTGGAAGGAAATTGTTTCATCGAATCAATGATATTCTTCCATAAGCTAGGTTGATGGTATTTGTCTATAAGGTCCCTTGAACTTTTTGGAAACCTGCTCACACCTTCATCTATGCTTTTTGATGTTTTCCGCTTATATGTATCCAAGAAAGTATACCACTCAATCTGGGTTTCAGATATAGAAATATTTCTTGAATTTCCATCGTATTGAAGTTGCTGGTTCAAAGCTTCTTGATATCGTTGAACTTCCTTATCGATTATCCCAAGGTCGATAAGCGGCTCTCCAATAGGCTCTTGGGACACCCCAAGTTTACTGAACTGTTTCTTTTCTCCACTGAAATTATGGTTCAGTTCCATGGTAGAGTATTCACTCAGTGTATGGCTCTTGGTGACCTCGCCGGTAACAAAAGATTCCATGGTGGGCACAGACCCAGCGTCTGTTATAGTGTAAAGATCACTGTTTGACATAGCGTAATAGGTTTTTGATAAGTTTTCCATCCTTATCTCATTATATATTCGTTCGGATATTTTTTCGTATTCGCAGCCGAGTGTCCGTGAGCGACCTCATGCAACCTTCTGCTTCCAAGAACCATCGGGCTTAGGATTCGACTAATGCTCGTAAAAGTATTTCTAAAAGTATTTCGCTTGAGATTCTTAATCTGCTGATAAAGAAAGTCTGTCTAGCGTCAAGTGTTCCATGCGTCATCATGTCTATCGAGTTCCGGTCCTTTCTAAAGTCGTTCTGTGGGGGGACCATTCGTTCTGTTCTTGTTATGCAGGAGGTGACGTAAACACTTTAAACTAATGCAGGTTATATCTCCGATGCATGGAACCCATACCATTAGCCCCCATCTAGGCTTATCATCATGCAGCGTACTATCCCGCAAAGATTTTCCGAATGATGGCTGCATGAAACTGCTTGATTCTGCGCTATCGTGCATTTGCAGCCCTCCGCGTAAACTCCGTCTGGTGCACGGGTGTGTTTCGGGTTTTTTGCAGCCACATTCTACTTTGGCAACCACTTTCGATTCCATATAAATTAGGGATTAATTTGGCACCAATTTCTTGCGATCAAAAAAATCTGACAATACCAAGATGAATGAAAAGTCCTCTCTGAGAACCACATATGAAAATGCGTTTGAATTAATAAAAAAAACTACTGATATGGACTCAAAACCTCAATTTTTGAGTAAACTCGTTCAACTTTTAAAAGAAGAAGGTGAAAAAGATTGGATTTTAAACTTGCTAGCAGCTTGCTTTTGGTTCTGCTTGACAGATACTGTTTCCCACCGCTTGCAGTCTTTTTTGGACGAAATTTCCTTCGTAACACGAAATGTGGTGATGCATCATAATGCGACCTATCACTTTACAGGTGAGTTTGAAGATAAAGAAACCTCTAAAATCTTCTTACATCTTTTATGCAACTGCTATGGGAGATTCTACAGTCTCGCAATAGATTTGCAGGGCCCTAATGATGTCATGCCATTGATTTTGGGCAATCTATTTGGACCCTTGAGGCAAATAATGGCAATGATGTTATTAGGTACTGGTGCACTTATGTTTAGTGCCAGCTTTCCAGTAGTCCTTGAAAGTGATACCGCTTCATTGACTGATATTGCCGTGCTTGTCCTCATGTCTACGCATCTGCGAGCCTTGAGTGAGATCTATCTTGCTCCTGAATCTAGTCCAGCATCGATCATTTATCCAAAATCATGTACACCCGCACAAAGCTTGAAAGAGTCTGTCAAGGTACTATTGGAAGTTTTGGATCACGGCACTAATGTTGACTATATAAGCTGCACCGTCGGCGCCGATGCAATTTTTGTATCTCTTTGTGAGCTCAACGCCCACGATAAATCCGAGGTATTACTGGTGTTCAATCAGCTTCTGATAAAGATGTCGTTGACCACATTTTCTTCCAGACTTCTCATTATTGCTAGTTTCCTGATCATCGGCTACAACAGCAAGTTGGAAGACGTTCCGACTTTGATCAGAAGCTTATATCAGCTGGAGCGCCTACCACCTTTGCCTAAAACTGGCCTTTTCGTTGAAACACTGAAAATTGTGCAAGGAATCAACATCTCTTTATTTGATGCAAGTTACAATCTTCAAAAACTTAGTCATGTGGTCAAATACCTATTGGTTTTGCAGAGATGGAGCATCGAGAATATCTTGAAAGAACACGTTACAATTGCAACGAGATCAATGATTGATACTAGTGAAGGTTCGCACTATGTTACCAAGATATTGGCGCCAGTTGCTCGCTTGTTGATCAGCAGTTTACTCATGGTGGTTTTCATCTCCCAAAATGGCCAGCACAAGGAGTTTTATAAGCTCTCAGTAACAAATTTGGCAGAATTGATATCTGCGAATGAAACTTTTTGGACCATTCTTCTCTCTCTTATGAAAGATTCAATCAGTGAAAATCCTTTTCACTCGAAAATTTTTGCCCAGCTCTTGCTGGACCTAGTGGAAATGAAAGCTGGTACCGATTTTATTCCCAGCCTGCTCCAAACTTCCGTTGATGATATCATTTTGTTCGCCAACAGCACTTCCAAACTCGTGGATTTCGACATCACAACCCTAGAATATGTGTATGGGCCATCAGCAAATTCCAAAGGCGCCTCTAAGCTTTCAGATTGAAGCAAATAGAACACATTCTATATTAGCCATTACACTCGAATCAATTGCTATATACGTGCTATCGTAAATCTCAGCTTTTTGAAGTTTGCAGCTATCGGGTACCCCATCTCGTGCCTGCACATAACATCAAAAATACCTCATCGCGATTTCAAGTCCCACTACGACAGATTCTACACCCTTCCTAATATGGTTCTTAAATCCACTTCTGCTGCTGGTGTATCTGTCTACCAGGTATCGGGTACCAACCTGTCAAGAGCCTTGCCCGACTGGATGGCGCGAAAAAGAAAGAGAGCCTTAAAAGATGACGTTGAGTACCAGAATAGAATCGAGCTCATTCAAGATTTTGAGTTCAGCGAGGCCTCTAACAGGATAAAGGTCACTCCTGACGGGCAATATGCCATGGCTACAGGTACCTATAAGCCCCAGATCCATGTGTATGATTTTGCCAATTTGTCATTGAAATTTGACCGTCACACAGACAGCGAAAATGTAGACTTTGTGGTGGTTTCAGACGACTGGACCAAATCTGTTCATCTTCAAAACGACCGTTCAATTGAATTCCACACAAAGGGAGGCATACATTATCGTTCGAGAATACCGAAGTTTGGCCGGTCAGTAGCGTACAATCCTGTGAATTGCGATTTGCTTGTGGGTGCTTCTGGAAATGAAATTTATCGCCTTAATCTCGACCAGGGCCGATTTTTGAACCCGTACGTTCTCGAGACAAATGAGGGTGTCAATGCTGTATCGATAAATCCAGTCCATGGACTTGTGGCAGCAGGATTAGAGGATGGCACAGTTGAGTTCTGGGATCCTCGAAGCAGACAGCGGGCAGGAAAACTATTTGTGTCGGACCATCTTGAAGAGAAAACGCAAATTTCTGCTCTAGCATACCGTAACGATGGCCTTAACTTTTCATGTGGTACATCTAGCGGCAAGTCTTTAATTTACGACTTGAGAACTTCACTTCCTTCGCTCGTGAAAGACCAGGGATATGGATACGATATCAAGAAGATTATATGGTTGGATGACAACAGCTCCAATAGTAACAAAATTTTAACCAGTGACAAAAGAATTGCCAAAATATGGGACCGATTGGATGGAAAGCCCTATGCATCTATGGAGCCCAATGTGGATATTAATGATATCGAATACATACCGGGTTCTGGTATGTTCTTCATGGCTAACGAGGGCATTCCTATGCATACCTACTATATTCCCAACTTGGGACCAGCGCCTAGGTGGTGCTCATTCTTGGATAATGTGACAGAAGAGTTGGAAGAAAAACCATCAGACACCGTCTATTCGAACTACAGGTTCATCACCAGAGACGAAGTTGCCAAGTTGAACTTGTCACATTTGGTTGGATCGAAGGTGTTGCGCTCGTATATGCATGGTTTTTTCATTGACACCGAGTTGTACGACAAGGTCAATTTGATCGCCAATCCCAACTCATTCCGGGATGAACGTGAGAGAGAAATCCGCAAGAGAATCGAAAAGGAGCGTGAGTCCAGAATACGGAGTACTGGTGCCGTCACCAATACCAAGCTCAAGGTCAACAAAGATTTGGCTGGAAGGTTGCAAGAAAGACAAGGAGATCAAGCTGCCGAGTCAGTCATCAACGACGACAGATTCAAGGAGTTGTTTGAGAATCCAGAGTTTGCTGTGGATGAACAATCGCATGAGTACAAGCAGCTTAACCCTGTCCGTTCCACCACGCAGAATGGTGCTGATCGTTCTCGTGGCTTGACAGCAGCCGAGGAGTCTGACGAAGAAAGAATGAGAAATGGTGAACTGGAAGAACTGGAAGACGAATCTGAAGAATCTGATGAATCTGATGAAAATGAACAAGAATCTGAAAAACAGGCAAAGGTGCAAAAAGAGATGGAACGACTCAGGCAGCGTAGAAAAGCCAAGGAAGAGGCCGATCGGTTCATGAACAAAATGAGTGCAGTGGCACAGCAGTCTCAATCCAACAACGAATCCTTTGAAACCCAGGTCAAAAAAGCTGCACCAAGAAACAAAAATGATGATAGCCGTATAAGACGGCATGCTCGTGGAGAAGCCGAATTGACTTTCGTTCCACGCAAAAAAACCACTCAAAAAGTCAAAGTGCAAGACGACCGGCCGGAAAGTGAAAAGGGAAGGACAAAACAACGGTTTGATGGAAGAAGAAGGGCGTCCAAGAATGCATTCAGAGGCATGTAATCTCTGGTTTATATACAGGCAGGCTCATTATAAAGTGCGATGAGCTCACTGCGATGAGATGAGTAGATGATATAGATGTCTCGAAACACAGAAAAAGCACAATCGGCTCTCAATAGGTTCCAGCTCGCCAAATCTCGTAGTGCTGGGGTTTTGGAGAGCAATCCACAGCTACGGCCCAAGTATGTGCAGCTGGTGAAAAATCTCCCTCAAGCTGAAAAATGGCGGTCGGTAGTAATTGGTGAAATTTCCACAAACCTCACTAGAATTCAGGATCCCAACATCAACCACGTACAGATCAGAGACATTAATGAACACTTGAACAAGCTTTTCAGAGAGAAACGAGCGTGGGAGCACCATATAAAACTGCTTGGAGGAGCAGATTACACACTTCTGTCTGGCGGTGATGCGGGCATAAAAGTCAAGGGTTATCGCTATTACGGGCGGTCACGCGAGCTTCCGGATGTTCAGGAAATGTTGAAGCAAACAGAGGAGGCGGAGAAAAAGAAAAATAGTCAACATAGTGAAAAACAAGAATTCGAGGTGCGATTGCAAAAACGACGAGAAAGACTTGGACCTTTCTACTATGGGTGTTTTGACGGAGATTCGTCGTCGTTTCCCACAAAGAAAGATGTTGAGAAGGAATTGGGCTATACGAATGAAGAGAAACACTACAGAATAGACTCAGAACTTCAAGCGTACGAAGAAACTCGGAGTCAAGAACTTGGAAAAGAACTTTCGGAGAACCAGGAGTTTGAGGGTCATTTTGAGGATTTGGTGCCCACTAGTGAGCAGGTATCACGGTGGATCGTCGAGGAAAGAAAACGAAAGCTCATGGAACGGTTGAGGAAAGAGTAGGATGGAGCCGAACATTCGTAGAATGCGAGCAGAGAAATAAAGAGTAGAATTAATCATGGAGTGAGTGAGTAGGATTCAGTATACACTTCATGGTTACTAGTAACTATTTGTCACTGAAACTTTGTAAGGAAAAAGTCGTTCACATGTGTAACGGTGATGCCGTGGGACCGGTAAATGTTATCTGTTAAAGGCATTTTTTGCGGGTATACATTTTTACAAGCCTCTTTCACCACATATGTTTTGTATCCTTTCTTGACGCTATCTATGGCAGACTGGAGGACACAGTAATCGTACGCAAGCCCTGCGAATACAACATCAGTTATGCCATTATCTTTCAAGTATTGGTTGATTTCAGTATGATGGAGGTCCCAGCAATCACCAAAACAGGAATAGTATTCTCGGTCTTTAAGGTATCCTTTTTTGATGATGGTATGTGGCACCTCTAGCTTGTTGAAAACCTTCTCAAACTCCAGCTCGAGCTCAGCTCCTTCTGTATTCTGAATACAATGATCCGGCCAGAGCGTCTGGTTCAAGGTGATGGTTTTTCCATGTTGATCTTTCTTGTTTTCTGGATGCTCAAACACCTTGGATGTGTAGGGCTCCGAACCATGTTGAGAAGCAAATGAGCAGTGGTCAGAAGGATGCCAATCCTGAGTTGCTATAACTGCCAGAAACCTGTACTTGTGAGGATCCAACAAGTTGATGATGTTGTTGATAATTTCATTGCCTCCCGGTACAGCCAACGAACCATGTGGAGGAAGAAAGTCGTTCTGGAGATCGACAATAACAAGAGCTAGTTTTTGCATGTAGACAGTGGCAAACTAAAACCTTATATATCACGGAGTTTTGCTGTAGCCTGCACGGAGGGTGTGGGGTGATTGCGGAGTAGAGATGATCGCGCGATGCGGCTGCGAAAAGTGAAGAGCAATAATAGGAAGTGCAGCAAGAATAGCTGAGCAGGGTCAGCTGATAAGAAATAAGTGGATAGGAGTAGCAGTGTCAGTAGCAGATTATGTAATTGGAGTAGTTGTAGATAGAGTAGCTAGTTGTTTAAAGTAGCTAGTGTAGATAGAGTAGCTAGTGTAGATTAGCTAGTGTAGAGTAGCTAGTGATTAAAGTAGCTATTCCACGCAACTGTTTTTTTGTTTGTAGCCTTGGGTTGTTGCAATAATGGTTTCCATTCTTTCTTATCTCTCGTCTTCCGGTTTCCACGAGCCTGCAAACATATGCTTGGCATACGCCATTGGATCTTTCAGACTTTTGGCTCCCATTTGGTTGACATCAGGACTAAAAGAGGTGATAGGGAGCACAAGCACATCGTCAATAGCAATTGGCATTTTCATACCAGTAAAAGTTTTCCAAGTGACTATTTCATCGTGTTTCTTCGCAGCAAAATTCTCAGGCGATTGAAGAGCATTGTTCATATATGCAAACACAGAATCGGTCCATATTCCTGGTCCGGTCCACACCATAACATCTCCTCCCTCGTCTTTGCCTAGAACCTTGTGAAGTTGATTTTTCTTCTCTCTTTCAAGAGTAATTTCTGTAATCAATGCTACAATTTCTCTCAACATTGGGTGGCCCTTTTTGGCCTGGATGGTCCACTGACAAAACTGGATCCTCCTAGCATACCAATCAGCCCAGTCGTCTCGATCTGGATCCGCTTCGATGCCCACAACCAAGCCGGGGTTGTTGGGCTGGCCATACAATGTTTCATTTGCCGACATCCACACATCAATGGGCTTAAGACTGACAGTATCTATGTCGGAGTACACTCCTCCTCGAGCAAAAAGAATGAGATAGCGGAAAAAATCAGCCTTCAAGATTGATTTCGGCATGATATTGTAGGCACGAGCAACATCAGGAACTACGGAAAAAAGCTGATTGACGAGCTCTTCGCATGCTTCGTCGGGAATAACGTGGTACTTGTATGTTGGATTCACATCCAGCCATGTTTGTTGAAACTTGCGGTACTTTGAAGGGAAATTTTCCAGTTCGAGATCAACTTTCCAAGTTTGCCAAATATTTCTTTCGAATGGTTTTTCCGGCTCGTAAGGGAACTGGAACGCCAACTGCTGCCTCACAGTAGTTATTTTGGGGAGTTGGGCCCGATTATTGGGACTAAATTGAAATCCATAGAGTTTCCAGTTGGTATGTCGTTCATGTTCACGCAACTTTTTTGCGGTGTTGGAGTGGAATTCTGTTGCTGCTGAATGCTTTGGAGTCGTGAATGACGTGTGGAACGTATAGAGCAAATAAAAAACAGCTAAAACGACAACTGCTATTTTGACCTGTTTTTGCTTCATACCATAGTGTTGAAGAAATGAGCGAGCGCACTGAATTTATGTACAAGAATTACCGCCCCAAAAATATGCGCTACATCTTATCTATGCTCAATGTATTCCCAATGTCTAAGTAAATAATTTTTGAACCCCAGGCGTAGAAAAAAAGATTCAAACCCACCATTCTATAATATAGTACAATCATGCCCTTGATAATCATTCATTTCTCTTTCTTGATGATTAGGAATTCGATAGGATCCAAGAAATGCAACGTTAACAACCAAACTCCCTAAAATCAATCATCTATAAGAAAAACCGCAACCAAAAGCATTACTAGCAATGCACAACAAATCATGGACGAAGCTTATTCCGACTTCGCCCCTCCACTTCTTTCTTTTCTTCTCCCCAATAATAGACATCATGCACACCAAGCAGCCAAAACAATGCAACAAATATAGCACGACAACGCAAACTAGAACGCTAACATTCTTACCACCAGGAGTTACCTGACGATGGGTTACCGTAGTTGGAGCTGCTACGGTATCCTCCGTTGCCGGAACTAGAAGATCCCCAGTTAGAACCGGAAGATCCAGACGATCCAAAGCCTCCGCCACTTCTTCTGAAGTCACGGCTGCCTCCTCTGCTACCGCCTCCTAAGACACCGCGACCAGCTCCGCCACGCATGCTTCCAAAGCCACCTTTACTTCCGTACGAACCCTCTCTTGAAATTTTTTGAAGAAAGTCAGGAACTTCTTGGTTGGCCTCAGAAAGCAACTCGATCATACCCTTAACAACGTTTCTGTTGTTTCTGTTGAAAAAGGCAGTGGCAATACCGACATTACCAGCACGACCGGTACGACCGATACGATGGACATAGTCGTCAATGTCACCAGGCAAGTCGTAGTTAACAACGTGGGACACGTTAGGAATATCCAAACCTCTAGCTGCAACCGCAGTTGCAACTAAAATTGGGGCGGTACCGCTCTTGAAAGCAGCCAAAGCCTTTTCTCTTTCATATTGCGATCTGTCACCGTGGATAGCAGTGGCCGGGAAACCTTGGTCGTACAAGAAGTCAGCCAAGTTATCGGCCATTCTCTTTGTTTCGGTGAAGATAATGGTCAATCCGTTATCGTTGGCGGAAAGCAAGTCCAACAATACCGATTTCTTTTCGTCGTCCTCCACGTATAACACCTTTTGGGTGATGTTCTCGGAGGTAGATCCAACTCTACCGACGGAGAGGAATATGTAATCTTTCAAGAAGTCACGAGCCAACATTTGGATGTCACGAGGGAACGTGGCGGAAAACATCAAGGTTTGTCTGCTTTCAACGCCAGGCATGTCACATTCTTGAACAATGTGTCTGATTTGAGGCTCGAAACCCATATCCAACATACGATCGGCTTCATCCAAAACCAAGTATTTGATGTTGGAAAGGGATACACGGCCTCTTTCAAGCAAATCCTTAAGACGACCAGGAGTAGCAACTAACAAGTCACATCCACGATCCAAGTTACGGATTTGAGTACCGATATCAGCACCACCATAGACAACACAGGGACGAACCCATGATCTGTAGGAGAATTTCTTAGCCTCTTCGAAAATTTGCGACACCAACTCTCTTGTAGGGGCCATAACCAACGCAGTTGGGTGGACCTTGTGGGACGAGAAGGCGCCCTGGCTCTCGGGAACTGCATCTGGACCGTTCATGTACGATTCAGACAACACTGGGAATAAGAATCCACCAGTCTTACCGGAACCGGTCTGGGCACAAGCCATCAAATCACGACCGCTGGCCACGATGGGAACCGAGTACTTTTGCACGGGGGTAGGTTTAGTGAAACGCGAGAGCTTAATGTTCTCTACGATCAATGGGTCCAAAGGAGGAGCAGTGAATGCCAGAATTGGCTCTGGGACTCCATCACCGGTGGCTTCCACAGGAATGTCATCATAGTTGTCAAAGTTGATTCCAGATGATTGGACACTGGGGTCTTCAGCAACACCAAACAACTCCTTCTCCAATCTCTCATTGGGAGCGGCTGGCTCGTGCTTACCATCGACCCACTGACCAACGCCCGGTTTAGGCGAGTTGTATCTGCCACTGCCGCCGCCAAAACCACCGCGACCGCCAAAGCCAGAGTTGCCTCTGCGACCAGATCCAAACTGGAAGCCCGAAGAATTGAAATCGCCTCTTCTTCCACTGCCAAATCCGTTGCTTCTGGAACCAAAATCGCCACGCCTCGATGGAGTCGAACCACCATTTGGGCGATTTCTGAGATGAGGAGGTACGTACTGGGAGCGTCCCGAAGAGCCCGAGGGGGTTTCGCCGCCCGCAGCGGCCCCAGAAGCCCTATTGGCTCCGTCCCCAACCGAAAGTTCGTTCATTTTATGGGTGATATCACTCATTGTAGGTGAGAAAAAATTTGTGCGCCGCTGGTTTTTATAGGTGAAAAAAGAAATTCGCACGTGATCTGTGATCACAGCGCGTGACATAATCGGGCCAAGGGAACGGCGGGGCAAAGTGACTGTTTAGGAAGTAGGGACGCCCTGATAAATTCAAGTTGTTTCGTGTCGCTCAATCGAAAGATGGTTCCAGTGTTAAAAGTATCCCAATGGTTGCTGCAACCCGCTGCGACTCATCGCACCCGTACACCAGAGATTGGGATTTCAGCATAAAAAGAAAGGTTGCGAAAACGCCGCACCCGATGCACCAGAGGACCCTGTGAACAAGACACCATTGTATAGTTTTACTGGTGGTCGAGAGTGATTTTGGCATTTGGATGAGCAAAGCATGGTCTATCATCATCGTACTCTACTTCGCTGGGTTCGCTTCCTGTAATTTCTGTGTCTGCAGTTCCCAATTCGTCGTCGTTTTCATCACTGTAGTCGATATCGAATTGAGCATCGCCATGTCCTCCCTCGAACAATTGCTTGTTCTTCGCGCTGAGGAGGTGAGTAAATGGTTTTTGCAGGTCGCGGACGTTCCAGTGAAGATTTCGGCTCACACTGTCGATATATTCTGTTTTGGACAGAATCACGGTAGGAAATGGATATGGACTAGCTCTGATAGTAACGTAGTCTCCTCTCTTTAATTCTAATCTTTCTTTGCCGTCAAAGGATGCCCACGCCGTCAGTCGGCTCGTAAGCGGAACTCTGACCTTGAGTACCATGCCGTCGGGCAAAAGAATTGGCCGAAAAGAAAGTGTGTGGGGACAGATTGGAGTCACTGAAATGGCACTTACGCCTGGGTGCACCAACAGACCACCAGCAGAAAGCGAATAGGCTGTGGATCCTGTGGGCGTGGCTATAATTAGGCCATCGGCTTGGGCCACAGTGAGAAGCGAGCCGTCGCCGTAGAGCTCCAATTGTGTCACATATGGCGAAGGGCCTCTATCCACCACGAGCTCGTTGAGTACTTGTTGCTCACTGACGAGTCTGCCGTCCGCATGGTGAACCCTACAAGTGAAGCGCATACGCAAGTTTGCCCGCACGCCTCGTTCGAGCACCTTGACCATGTGTTTTGGGAACTCTTCGAACTGGAAATTGGTTAAAAACCCAAGGGATCCTAGCGCAAACGATATCACCGGCGGTACGATCCGCTGGAACAAATTCAGCACGTAGAGCACGGTTCCATCGCCGCCCAACGTGAGCACAAGATCAAAGATTTCCGGGTTCCGCATGGCAAATTGCTTGTCCCAGAACCTTAAATTTCGCTGCGCCTTTTCCAGAGACTCGAAAATCTCCCTGGCGTTGAACCGTTTCAGTTTTTCGAGTCCCTTGTCGACATAAACCGCGATATCTCGAGACTGACCAAGAAGCCATTCCACGAGCTCCCGGGTCAAAACCACAAGCAGATTGTCCTTCGCCTTTGTCACAATCATAATCGACCTCACATCAAGCTGAATCGTGGCCCGGGTAAGATTTTTGGCCAACATTCGAACCCCATTGGCGGTCTGGGCCAACTCTGCATGTGACCTGACGGTCTTGAGTTCTGGATCACTTAGTTTGAGGGTTGCTGAAGCCTTTTTCGGCTTGCTCCGAGCCTGTTCACAGTACAATTTGTTATGTATCATCGGTGGTGCCGAAACGGGACTCAGACTGGTTAGTGGCGATATGGTTCCGTGGGGAGAAAACGAAGCTTCTGTGTCTATTGGTCTTGCTGCTGTGGGTGATACTATAGGAGACGGACTAGCAGCGTGTGAATTGGCCATAATGGACCCGGATACCCTTCTGGGAGGAATACTTTGTGGGTTCATGGTGGTGGATAGGAAGAAATTCGGGGTTCGGCCAACTGGGCTGCGTGCAGGAACGGCGCAGCGGCAGGTGGAGTGAAGAGAAGTTGAAGATGAATTGAAAATGATAATGAAAATGATAATGAAGATGAAATTGAAGATTGAAGTTGAAAGTTGATTGTTAGTTATTTGGACAAACTCTGAGACTTTTTGGTTTCGAAAATTTTTGGTTCTTTTTTGTTCTTTCTTCTTCTGCCTAGTCAAGTGAATAAAACAGTTTTTGGTATTTAAACCAAAATTAACATTATAAGGATGCTAAACTGTGTCTGGACACCTCTCATTGACTACCGACACTAATTTTCCGTTCGGAAAAGTGCTGCAATTTATAACTCTTCGTACAAGTCCCAAATGGAATCTGCGCGAATGAATTAAAGAACACTGCAACTGGTCTACTTTTGGATAAATTTCTTCTATTTTGTGGTTTTGCCCCGATTCTGTACTGATTTGAACTAATATACCTTTCGGAAATTGAATCGATTTATGTGAGCTGACTTTTCCCCTATTTGCACTTTTCGCAGCCATTCGCAGAATATGCCTACTTTTGATTGCTCATTGTACGTTCATTGCTATGTAGTTACGCCTGTTTGATCCGACAGGTCCATTTTCCAGATGCCTTGTCCAACAACGGCAACGATGCACCAAGGCACCATCCAATTTCGTTATTGTCGATTTTTTCCGCGGTTCGCAATTCTCGGTACAATGGGATGTCATAGCCAGTATGCAACAATGCGGTAATGAACGAAATGTCCAAGCACCACTGTGGCTCTTTTGTGAGTTCTCCCACGGGTCCTGGCGCCAATGCTTCTGTCCACAATGGGTCTCCAGTACAAACCGTCTTGGCAAGGTCGGTCAATTCCTCCACAGTGAACGAATGAGGAAATCCGAGAGGAACCGTTTTTTCGTAAAAGTACGAGAAAACATACATGTCACTGGTTTTGCGCAATGTCTTGACCAACGACGGCTGGTAAACTCCATTGAATGAGCACGGTTTGGTGTCACATTGGGCATCTTTATTAAGTGCACTCTCGGCAAGGAAACGGCATTGAGCACCCTGAGGTTTTGATGGGCCCTTCATATTCACCACGTAGAACTCTTCTTCTCCAACAGGAACTACCACGTTATCGGCTTGCATTTTGGGAGGAATACATGGGTTGGTTAATGTGACAGATGCCTTTGCATCCTTGGTTTGAGCCTTGGATGACAATTTGGAATTTTGAAGTTCCTTATTGTTTGCGAGAGCAGCATTGACCACCAAGGCATTGACCTTGTTACGTCCTTCCATGAGTCCATACCCGAGATGCGAGAATTGGTACAAGGTGAAATGATGACCCCCAAATTCCAAGTCGTATTTCTGTTCACCTTCCACCATTTTTTCGTTGTCGCCGAACTCGGGTTCAAACACAATTTGTGCCAGGCCACCGCCCAATTCCAACACGGCAGCGGTATCCTGCTTTTCCTTTCCTCCGATTCTGCCCAACAAGAAATTGGTGGAGATCCAAGCATAGACTCCTTCATCCTTACCATCCATGATGGAAACACCGTCTCCTTCCACAACAGCAAACGGATAATCCTCCTCAAGGTGTCTACGAACTTCGTTCAAAATGGCGGTGGATTTTTCCGCTCCCAATAAACGAAGTCCAGCAGTCGCCTTAACAGCTACTGGTGTACAACTTTGCTTATCTTTTGGAACTTTTTCAACTGCCAATTTGAGCAATGGATCAAGCGACTTTGCAGCGTTCACAGTCTCGGTATCAAAGCTAGAAAGTCCTGGTTTGAGCATGTCGAAGTCTTCGTTGAGAAGACGAGGTGGTGACACACACGTGTCAAACAGGTATATATGCACACGCAGTCCTGTAGACCCAGCGTCGATCATCACCACATACTCTTCTCCACAGGCACCAGCACCAGATCCTGAGCCAGATCCTGATCCTGATCCTGATCCTGATCCAGAACCCTTACCTGGCTGATTTACGAGTTCTGGTTTACCAGCATCAGGTTTACCAACTTCGGGTTTTGCCACCTTTCCTGGGGACTTTTCCAACTCGCTTCCACCTACCTTGTCTGCAATGACTTTGGGCTTCTTGCTTTTGTCTTCTTGGGCGTACGGAGGTCCAGATCCTTGATAAGGCGTTCCCTTTAACGTGTTTTCTTCCTCTCCAAAAGAAACTTCTGAGGCAGCCTTTTTCACACCATCTCCTATCCTGGTCAGCGACGACACAAGGAATACGACAACCAAAAGGATGGTCGCCACAGACACTACCACGCGGGCATTACGTGTGGTAATCATGATGATAGTTCTTGAATTTTTCGCGATTTTCAACACGCGGCAGAAGATGTGGTGGCTGGGTGCGTTGCGTTCCTGAATATGGAGGAAGTGGAAGAACCAACACGGGAGTGGAAGAACCAGAGTGGAGGAACCAAATAGAACAAACGGAGAAGAAAAGGAAGAAAGAAGGAAATGAAGAAACAGAAATGAATGAAATGAAAGGAAAAGAAAGAAATAAGTAAAGCAAATTCAAATTACTTTATGGAACTGATATCTAATATATCTCCTGATCTCATTCATTTCTGACCATTTCTCGAGTCAAAACTTCTTTTTGTCAAGTCCGTTCTGATTTCATCATCGTGCATATGTCCCCCCCCCCGGCTTCCTGCATATATGATCACGTGCCCGCAGCAGCAACCACTGTGTAAATCGTCACCCGCAGCAATCATTGCTGCCCTGCAAGTATAAAAGGCCCGAAACTTTCTTTTGCCCGTTACTATAGAAAATTATTCATTGGTGAAATATGTTCCGTCAAATCGCATCCCGCAATATTCGTGCTGCCACTCAGGTAAGATCGCAAAGGTTTTTCGCAGCCACTGCTTACCGCTCCTCGGTTATCGATACCGCCAAAGATTTGTTGAATAAAGCCAACAAAAAAACTGGAGAAGTTCTTGCCGATGGTATTGAAAAGACTGAGCAGGTGACTCCTACCACGGAAACTGTCAAGAACGCAGCTGACAAGGTTAACAAAAAAACTGGTGAGGTTCTTGCTGATGGAATTGAGAAGACTGAGCAAGTTATTCCTGGTAAAGGTGAGGTGAAGGAAGCTGCCGAGAATGCCGCTGACAAGGCCAAAGGTGCTGCTGAGAAGGTCAACCAGAAGACCGGAGAAGTGCTTGCTGATGGAATTGAAAAGACTGAAGATGCTATTCCTAGCAAGGGCGAAGTCAAGAATGCTGCTGAAAATGCTGCCGACAAAGCCAAGGAGACTGCTGATAATGCTGCTGACAAGGCTAAGGGTGCTGCTGGTGAAGTATCAGAGAGTGCCAAGCACGCTGCTGAGAAGGAAAGAATAAGACAAAACCACAAGGGTTACGAGGACTTGAAGGACAAGGGTAGCAAGGTTGAAACCGAACAGAATCGTCCCGACGATGCTGTATAAATGCATTGAATAAACGTATGACAGAAAAGTGGAAGTCATTTGTAGAAATTAACTGAAGAAAGTTAAAATCATTTTCGAGAAGTTGTAGCTTTTATCGTAAGAGTATAGTGCTCTGCAAGTATTCTGAGTGAAGAAATAGTATCGTAAGTATAAGAAATCAATGTCTATTTGACTTCACATTCTCTAGTCGTTTTATGCATTACTGTTTATTCCTACTTCTCACTTCTTTTCGACTGGCGCAGCCTCTGCCTCCACCTGTGGAGCAATGGCCTTACGCTCAATCACACTCAAAAAGTTCAGCGGAACATAACCGACTTTTCCCAGTCTCGATCTGACTTTCCACCATTTACTGTCGTTGCCCAAAGGGTCTTTTTGCGACAAGATCGCTACCAATTCATTGGGTTTGAGTTCTATCTCAATATTAGGGTTTTCTGGGTTGAACTCATAAAGTGCTTTGGCAAACTGGAGGTTCATTGGGGCTTCCACACCATTAGGAGCGGGCATACCGGGTTGTTGAGTTCCAGGAACACCAGGAGCGCCTGGTCCACCTGGTCCTTGTAATCTTTGTTGTTGTTGCTCGTTAAGTTTTTGAATGGCTTTGCTCAACAAGTATGGAAATCCAATTGATGCCGCGAGGAACAAGAGGAGAGGTTTGAACGAGATGCGCAGTGGGGATCCCAGCTGGTTGCGGCGAAGATTTTCCTCCAAACGTTTTTGATTTTTTTCAAATTTGGTGAACTCGCCGGCGGAAATTCCATGATTATAGTTGCGACCCGTTAGCTTGTAAAAGAATTTTTTGGTGAACTTTATCAAGGCGAAAATGCCTAGCAACGACCCCAAGGCGTTTTTGAGATTGCCAAATTGCTCGGCAAGCGAAACCATGGTGAAAAATGACGAATGCGTCGCCATATAAGTGGCCTCCAACATCTGTGCAAATCCTCCCACGGCGCCAATTATTGATTCTATGAGATGGAAAGTGGCCTGAGTTCCCTCAGCAATGCCTCCAGCGCCCGGTTGATTGCCATACATTCCTCCACCATAACCTCCCATTCCATACATGCCTCCTCCGTATCCTCCCATCCCATACATTCCCGAACCATAGTTGCCATAACTCCCCAAACCTCCCCCATACATCAGAGATCCGAGTCCGTACCGCGATCCATAACCTCCTCCGATCCCAGAACCATATCCTGAACCATAGCTTGATCCATAGCCTGAACCGTATCCAGACATCCCGGACCCATATCCTGAACCATAACCGCCAGTACTACCATATCCAGAAGAGCCATACCCGGCTGTTCCTGCTCCATAACCTGAGCTTCCTGTGCCATAGGGAGTTGTATTTGACATATTTGAAAGATCTGAAGAAAGTGCCGCTGGTCGCTCAGGAGCAGTTGGAATATTCAGATCTGACGATAAAGTTGATGCTTGAGTTGAAACACCTGTGCTTTCAGCTGCCGCTGCAGAAGTCCCAGAAGAAACCTCCCACGGTTTTGGACGGGGCTGAGACATATAGGTGGTGAGTTAGTTGAGAGTTGTGAATGTGCGATGATCATGGCGGCGCGAGGTGGGTGTTTGGGCGGGAGCCGTGAATCCTCGGCCCAAGTGTGGAGAAGGAAGATGCAGGAAAATCGAAGCGAGGACTCGTAGCGAGAGAATCGAGCGAGAGGAAAGGAGCATGATTTAGTTTATATTGTTGAGATGGTGAGGAAGGAACTGTTTCTGTCTGACTGGCGGATAAGTATCTTTGAAATTTTTCCTATTTTTCTATTTTGTAATTTTGTAATTTTTGTAATTTTTTCAATTTTTCAATTTTTCAATTTGCATTTGCAGCCAAATCATAATGCCATTAAAATCTAACTACCCTATCTTCTATGGAAGAGGCTCGCTGCTGCTGCTTAATCGGTTCAAATGCAAATACACATCGGTTCCATAACCCTCCATCAGAATCAACTTTAAGTCACCTCCAAAGTACTGAGCGTACAACCGAGATATTGGCAATCCATAACCAAAACCGGCCATTGGAGCCTTGAATGAAGTCTGATCGTACTCTGGTTCCAACACGGGAGTCTTGCTCACTGTAGTATACAAATAAGTCCAAATTAATGGCACTTCGCTGCGAGCAATTCCTCCTCCTTCGTCGCTGATCTTGATAGCAATATCTTCACTTCCCTCAGAAATAATCACTTTGATGGGTGGAAACTTGAGATCATTGATATCGATATCTGCCTCCTTAAGCTCAGGGTCTTTCAGCATCAATTCCTGCTTGAGTCTTGGCATATGGAACTCAATGGTTGCACGAAGCGAATTCTTGAGTGTTTCAAATAACATATGAATCAAGTGGCCCGGAACGTACATGAAGGAGATATCGTTGCTGGGGGCAATGAGTTGGATTTCCGGCGCTTCAAAGAGCCCATAGTATTCTTCACAGATATATTTGGCTGTTTCAATTGCATCTTCCGCAATTTCACCGACATTGCAATCGGTGCAAATCACACCCACATAGTTGGATTTGGACTTGGAGGTGTTCCCGTTAAGTACCTTGTTAATACGGGCCTTTGTGGGTGACGCTTGTGCCATATTGAGGGCGATATGTTGTCCAATTAACATTCTAATACCAATCCTCAGCATGTAAAATCGGTCCAAAAAAGTTTGGATTTGCGAATTGACAGAAACTGTCTTGTGTTCGTGTTTCCATTCTTGTACACCTTGAGCCATGGTAGCCACTGTAGCATCATGACGCTTTTTGATTTTGGTGAGCGCATCGTTGACCAATTTGTTGTAATCGTAAACTTCTTTGGGCCACACTACATTGGTGGGACATGAAGTGTAGTACATTTTTCCAAATGTAGGCAGCTCCAGTCGCAGTTTGGACGATGACCTGGGGTTAGAATGCTGTCTTACAACGATACCGTCGTCACTGAAAACGTTGTTTATGGCCGGATTGACATGTTCGCTGTTTGCAGGATTGTGGGTTTGTTTGAGAAAGTTTTTATCTTCGTGGTTTGTTTCGTCATCCACCACTCTACTTTTGTCCAATCCTCCATTCCCATTCAACAACTTGGCTAACTCTGGCGAAATCTCGGGTTTGGGAAGCGTAGTGAGTTCTTCAAAAGATTGAGCGTACCAATTCTTCACCTTTTGTGTAGAGGGCATGTCGCAAAGACCAAATGGCGCCGACTCCAAATCCTTGACTTTAAGTGCCAAACGAATGGGCAATTCCTCCACGATGAACTGAGAAGCAAGAAAAATCAGTCCTGGAGATGGACTTGGTCCAAATTGGACCATTTGCCGTAACGATACCGACGTCTGTCGGTATGAAGCATACCGATGTATCTGGTCACGCAAAGCCGCCGTGAGTTCCCAAGCCGTACCCATGATGTTGTACGCTAATAAATATTTGTTGCTTGCCGCTCAATAGGCAAAAGAAGGGAAGTATCGATGGTGAAAAAGACAATGCAACGAAGAAAAACGGAAAGGAAGCTTGCTCAAGTGGTTTTGAATAACTTGCAAAACCAAAAATGAAAGGATATTGATTTTTTCAGCGTATTTGGCCCGTTACACAATACTTCAAGGCACCTTCGTGACCGTCGTCAGACAAACAGGTTTCGCGGGGAGACAGCGCGGTGGTTGGATGGGCCCCGGATTTGCGCACGAGCGGAGACTTCGAAGGAAGAACTGCACATAAGCGGTTTCCGCTACTCCGAGGTTGACGGTCGTAAATCCGAGGTGGAATGGCGTGGTCAAACAAGTCAAGTAAGGCCATTCAGAACATTGCAGAATATTCGTAGCACGTTTAACAGAACATTTGGCTGCGCCTAAGCAATTCTACGCCACAGTGGGCCGAAATCCCTCGGACAAATGTCACTCGGCTCCAAACACCCAGCTTCAACCCCAGACTCACATGCCGAGCACACCCGCACACCCACGATGGACGCACGGGGGTGATCCCCCGGATCCCCGTGACTCAAATGACTCAATGTGCCTGCCGGATGGCCGGAGACGCACAAGTATAAAGCCACCAGTTTCTCCCCGGATTTTCGCATCAACTCAATGAGCAAGTTTCTTCGCATATCTACTTTTAAGACTGCTTCCCGATGCTGGGTACCAGTTCAAACATCATCCAACAGCACCATGCGTCATTTTTCATCAAAGCAAAGATGTATCAATTTTAACAATTTGAATGAAGGATTTGCTGTTTCTAACGACGATGTGTTACGTCACGACGATGTGAGACAAACCCATCTGGACCTGGAGCCATTTGAGCCCACAGTATTTTCTTCTGAGGAGATCCACACTGCTGGACCAGTGAATAAGGCATAAATATTTATTAACGAATTATGATAGAACATGTAGAAGAATCAAATAACCTCATGTTGAAGCCCTGTAGATGGCAGTCGCCAATTGATTTCCATTGATCCATTGATCCCACGCTAATACGTACATTAATTGAGCCAATGGCTCTCTGGTGGCATTGGCTTATCACCGCGGCTTGACAGGTGGAGTGCATATGCATCATGCTCAATTACTATTCGCACTGATTAAGGCACAGATTAAGGATTACCATGTCCTTAAAGGTAGCATGTGGCCAGATGTGTTCTTCGTCCAACCTCGCCGCCAATGCAAGGGTGGCTTGTAAATTGATACGTCTCGCTTATAAAGAAAAAGCCAAGGTTCTTTTTTTACCAGAAGCTTCAGACTACATTTCCCGAGATGCTGCTCACTCAATGGAGTTGGCAAATGCAACAAATAGCGAGTTTTTGGCACCGATTCAGGAAGAAATCCGCAGAATCTACAACGGAGTACCCTTAGCAGACGAAGATTCGGGATTATATGTGGCATTGGGTGTACATGAGCCTTCTCACCAACTTGGTGATGACGTTGAAGGACTCAATAAGGTTCAAAATAATCACTTGTGGATCAACAATAAGGGTCAGATTGTGCACCGGTACCAGAAAATCCATCTTTTCGATGTAAACATACCCAATGGTCCAATTTTGCAAGAATCCAAGTCGGTGGAAGCAGGAAAGTCACTCATAAAGCCATTTCCCATTAACGAAAAAAACCTCGGTAAATTTAAGATTGGGTTGAATATCTGCTACGATATCCGGTTTCCAGAAACATGCATTTCCCTCAGAAAAAACGGAGCAAATATAATCACATATCCATCGGCATTCACGACCAAGACAGGTGAGAGCCATTGGGAGCTTTTGGGCAGAGCACGTGCAGTAGACTCGCAATGCTATGTAATTATGGCGGCCCAGTGTGGCGAGCATGATGTTTATGCTGACAAAAGTGGGGACTTTGATGGCCAAAAAAAGACAAGAATCAGTTATGGTGAGAGTATCATAATCAGTCCATGGGGAGATGTTCTTGCCAGGTGCCATAAATACAGTGATTCATTGTCTGTGGATGAAGATGGAGACTACTACGAGCTTTGTGGCGCCGAATTGAGCCTCGAAGATTTAGAAAGAATTAGAACAAACATGCCGTTGATGGACCATCGTACAGAGTACGACATAGTAGAAGGAACACGTGAAAATAGAACATAAATAGACGAAATGAATGTATTCAGAAACAGAGAATGGTCAATTGCCCGATAGCATTTGCCCGATAACAACGGATACGTTCAGAGTCTGATAGACTAGCGATAAGAACGTGGTCCTGCATCGGGCTCGGGGTTGCGATAAGATAAGACACATGCATAAACACACACATGCCAAAATTTTCGCCACCCAGACTAGATTGTTCCACGCCGATCTAGATTACGGTAGCAACGTGCTCTCGCGACCGATCCCCCTTCTTTTCAATCTCTAGCACATACATAACCACGTATCTGAAAGCAATGCTAGATCGCATTTGTCCCGATTGGGAAAGTGACAGCAACGTGCATATTCGGAGAGAAGGATGCCGGCGAAGACTGAAGAACAAAACTAGAGAAATAGATGGAAAACCAACAATTTCCACCCAGCCATGCAAAAGTAAACATTCATTCCCCTCTATCGTTCCCCATTATCATACTCTTCTCCTCTCCACCCCTATTATTCCTCGTTCCGCTCCCCTCTCTCACGTGATCAGGGAACTCAAACCAAATTGGGACTGCAGGTAAACAACTCCTACCGTTTTGCTGTTCGTTCCACCAGCACTATACTGCACACAACCGCGCCACCATCGCTATTTTTGCCTTCCCCTCCTTCCCCTCCTGCCGCGCCCACTGTTCTGGCCGATTTGGGGCAGTGCGCGGCCAACATTTTCAGAGCGGAGAAATTTCGTCTGGCCCACATTTTTCCGGTCCCCTCAATCATACGATGCGTTTATAAGTGGCTGCGACCGCGCTTTTTTGCAATCACAAACTAATTAAAAACTTGCAGTAGAAACACAGTCACATTAATTCAACTTGTTTGTGATCTAGTGTGTTTCATTCAAACCTTTATTACGGCTGCAAATTTCTTTTTATCATGATTAGCTCGTTTTTCCGTCGTATAGCTACCGTGCCAAAAACCGTGCCGGTTCTTACGGTATACCACAATACTCTGTCCAAGACTTCCACACATCTCGTCAACAAGCTTCGTGCTTACGCCGACCTTCCTTCCACCGCTGAGCGGTACTCGGAAACCACACCAAAGTTGCTGGGTCAACTTCCCAAATTCGTTATCAACTTGAAGGAAAATCAACTTCCTTCGTTTGAAGACTATGCATTTGTCCATGAAAACTGTCTCGGGATCCATCCTGGAAACTTGACTTCGTTTCAAAGACTGTTTCCTCGCATTACCGGTTCATCGCGGTTTGCTGGCGACTTGGAATTTTTGCCCGAGTCCGAATATAACCAGTTGATGTCGTCCAACCGGTCCCGCTTCTTCAAGCCTCCCTTGATCATCGACCACGCCAACTCGTTAATCGCCCACGACGATGCTGGCTTGGACAGAATCATGGCTAACTATTTGTCTTGTGGCATCCAAGACTCCCACAAGAATTTGAATAAGGAGGACGACTCCAGTTTTCAACACATTCCTCACACTTCCACTAATACGTCCCAGGAAGTTCATCGCACCCACTACATTAATCCCCACGTTGCTGAGTTTGCTGACTTATATTAGGTTTTATAGAATAATAGACTTCCAAATTCAATACCCCATTCTTTTCACCACATACTCCTGTGCCAACACCCCGAAAGCCAACGCGAGCCCGTCGCCAATCCAGTCTTTGACCCACTCGCTGGGGTCGATTTCTTCGAGATCGGCAAACTCTTGAAATTCTCCACATACCCACCTGCTCCATCTAAGAGGGAAAGGTTGGGTTTTGGTGATGATTGTAATGTCGTTGGTGATGTCCTTTAAGATTAAAGTGAACAGAAACGAGTCGCTATTATTAGCCTCGATCAAAATAGGGCCCTCTTTCTTTTCATCGGATTCAGATGCCGATCCGCTGCTTATGGGCTGGATGGAGATGAAAATGTTGGAAGAATTAACTGTGGGCGCTTCGTTAGTAATTTCGTCATTTTCATTCGCATTTCCATCTTCCTTCTTCCGTGTAGATTCCTCCTCTTCCTTGACGTTCTTGCGTGCTTCTTCGTCCACCTTCATGACTTTGACATAATCTTTGATGCTCGACTCGAGATTAGCAAAACAGAGCTTTTCCCCATCGATAATCTTGCCGTAAAACATATTGAAGTCGGTTTTCGAAGCATCGTCGCGATGGTTAAAGTTGCTCACATTCACCTTAATACCACCTTCAACCTGCCCTGTCACATGCGAGAACTTGTCCTGGCACAACCGGTCCAAGTACTTTATATTATACAAGTCATGAATCAAAAGAACATTCAAAAGCTCGTCGCTCTCACCAGCAAGCCCCTGGGCTATTTGCTGAGACATAGACACAAGAGCCGAGTTTAGACGAGATGTGAGACCCACGATGTTGGTATTCGGGTCAATTCCCAGCTCGCTCAAAAGTCGTTGCCTCTGTTGGTTAATTTGGTTTGTAGTGGTTGATGCTAATTGGTAGGTTTGTTCACCAAGCTTTTCTGCGTTGGACGTGAGTGATCCCCAGAACAGTGAAACCTTCAGCGACCCTTCAGTAGACCACCAGTTGGTGATGGAACCAATGATTTCTGGCGTTTCCGAGTTGCCATCATCGACTTTGGTGTCAACTTTGGTGGAATCACTTGGGTTGTTTGAATCAGAAACTGATGGTTTTTCAGCAATTTTCTTTGGTTTTTCTTGCTTTTCCAATTTGTTGCTTGCTTCCCTACCCTTAGGCTCATCTTCCTTCTTTTTTGGCTCAAAAGACTTGGATTTGGTGGGGTTCTTGGGCTTATCCTGAGCCGCCAATTCGTCTAAAAACTCAAGAAGATCTTCCCCCTTTTCTTCTTGGCCATTTACGGGCCGTGGCGTGCCAGATTTGGAATCTGGAAGCGAATTTATGAAGTCAAGTACATCATCTGTATCGTTTTTTGGCATGTTTCCGGGGTATCAGTGGTGCGTGATTAATTTTATCGCGAAAACTTCGCGATTTCTCAACTTTAGTATACGCTTAATGGACGGGACAGGAGGTTAATTAGTTTGTCTAGTAGCAGAAATAGCGTTGTAGTGACACTAGACCGTTACATAAAGGGCACAAATTAACATAGAAGGGTTTTGGGACATCCTACACACCATTATACTGGAAGAAAACGAGTAAATCGTGTCAAAAAAGTCAGAAAAATCACCAAATACACCATGTCAACTTCAGCAAAGACGAGTATCCCCGTCTTGTCCCCTATAGGCACAAATATCCCCAATTACACTCCCAAAACACATTTTGACCGCAGCAATACTGATCACGTGACCAGCGGGTATATCCATAAAGTCGGCAGTGGGGTTTCGGCGGATGTTTATACGAAGCACAACAAGCGATGGGTGGTCAAGGTTTATCGGCGGGAAAAGATCGAAACGAAGAGCGACTACTGCAAACGAGCTCGGTACGAATATGACATTCTCAAGCTGATCCTGCACCCAAACATCATTGCAGTAGAGCGGTACAAAGTACTGGTATTCACCCGCAAAGCGTCACTTTGGTTCTCGGGAGGCGGCTCGGTAGATTTATGGAAGATTTACAAGAGAGAAAGGCGGTTCGAACCGCAGGAAGCAAAGTGTTTTTGGCGCCAAATGTGCGCCGGAGTAGAATATCTCCATCGTCAAGGATGGTGTCATCGGGATATAAAACCCGAGAATTGTGTTTTGGATGCTGAAGGAACTGTAAAGATTATTGATTTTGCCACGGCGACTTCTACGGAACGACCAGCATTGGGATTGGTGGGGTCGCAACGATATGCAGCACCGGAGACGATGCTGCAAATTTCGTATGCCGGAGCGGCGGCCGATGCATGGTCACTTGGCATAGTGTTACATTGGCTCTTGAATGGACTGTTTCCATGGAAAATCGCTTCTCGAGATGATCCTTCGTTCCAGAAATACTGCCAGAGCGACCTTTCCCAAATCGACTCGAGGCGCGACTCGGACTTGGTGCGCGGACTCTGGACGCTCCTTGTGCCGCAGCCGAGTCAGCGCCCTGCGGTGGTGGAGCTTCAGAGTCATCAGTGGTACAAAAGTGTGCCATTTTGCCTGAAACTGGACCAAGCGTCCAATTGTGGCATAGATCATCGAATATTGTCCGCTAGGCACCGAATATAGCACCATTGCTTGTGACGGTACATATTGGTCCGTTTGTGCGAAATTTTTCACCGTTCAAGAAAACTGGACTTCTTTTGGGAACCATGTTAAATCGTACACTTTTACAGGTTGCCAGGCCATTGGTGGCCCGCCGGTATGTTGGAAGTGCCCAGGCATTGATGAGCAAGCCTGTTTCTGAGGTGGACCCAGAAATGGCGCAAATTTTGGCAGAAGAGCGCAACAGACAAAAGACTTCGGTGACGTTAATTCCATCGGAAAACTTCACTTCGAAGGCCGTGATGGACCTCTTGGGTTCGGAGATGCAGAACAAGTACTCCGAGGGGTATCCTGGCGAGAGATATTACGGAGGAAATGAAATCATTGACAAGGCTGAGTCATTGTGCCAGAAGAGAGCACTTGAATCTTTTGGTTTAGATCCAGAAAAATGGGGTGTCAACGTCCAGTCGTTGTCGGGAGCCCCAGCGAACTTGTACGCCTACTCTGCTGTTTTGGAAGTGGGTGACAGAATCATGGGTTTGGATCTTCCTCATGGTGGACATCTTTCTCACGGTTACCAGACCCCCACCACCAAAATCTCGTACATTTCCAAATATTTCCAAACCATGCCTTATCGTTTGAACGAGGAGACTGGTTTGATCGACTATGATACACTTGAAGCTAATGCTCAATTGTTTCGTCCCAAGGTAATCGTTGCTGGTGCTTCGGCGTACCTGAGAGTAATTGACTATGCCAGAATGAGAAAAATTGCTGACAAGGTTGGAGCCTATTTGTTAAGTGATATGGCTCATATTTCCGGTTTGGTAGCCGCTGGGGTGACAGCCTCTCCTTTTGAGTACTCGGACATCGTTACCACCACTACCCACAAGTCCTTGCGTGGACCTCGTGGTGCGATGATTTTCTTCAGAAAAGGTGTCAGAAAGGTCACCAAGAAGGGAAAGGAAGTGTTGTACGATTTGGAGCGCAAGATCAACTTTTCCGTGTTCCCAGCTCATCAAGGTGGACCCCACAACCACACCATCTCTGCTTTGGCTGTTGCCTTGAAACAAACCCAGTACCCAGAATACAAGCAATATCAGCAAAATGTCATTGATAACGCTTCGTCTTTCGCCCAGGCGTTGCAATCTCGTGGTTTCAAGCTTGTTTCTGGCGGAACCGACACCCATTTGGTATTAATTGACTTGAGCTCGAAGAACATTGACGGTGCTCGTGTTGAAGGATTGTTGGAAAGGATCAACATTGCTGCCAACAAAAACACCGTTCCCGGCGACAAGTCTGCCCTCTTCCCATCTGGGTTGCGTGTGGGAACCCCAGCCATGACTACCCGTGGATTTGGCCAAGCTGAGTTCGAGAAGGTTGCAGAGTACATTAATCGTGCTGTTGAACTTTCGCTTAAACTTAAGGGCCAGGAGCAAGGTTCTGTACCAAAAGAGTTGTTGGCATCTTTCAAGCAGTTGGCAGACGAGAGCACCGAAGTCAAGGAGTTGGCCGAGGAGGTTGCAAAATGGGTTGGACAGTATCCAGTTCCAGGCGATTTGTAGAAAAACTGAAAAAGAAGAAAAAGAAGAAAAATAAATAGAAGTACTGTCTATTAATTCTCTAAATATAAATTAAATTACTTATAGTCAATAGGTCTAGGTCGTAGGTGGTGGTGGTCTTGGCCGTCGCTATGCCTGGTGCATTGATGCACAATTTCACCGCACCAACTTCCTCCACACACTAAGATACCAACCATCCATTCATCAGCATGAGCGACAGAGTGTCGTGGTCCAAAAACGGCTTCATAGCCTACTCTGGAGCCGGAAACAGTATCCACTTGACATATCTAGAGAACATAAATGGTCGAGAATGGCAACTTGCCGAGCCCCAGAAATTTAAGATTACAGGCCACGATGGTTCTGTGGCAGCAGGACCCCTCCTGGCGGTCTCTTGGAGCAACTTGAGCACGGATCTTGCGGTTTGTGACCACCAGGGAAGTTTTTATGTGCTTTTGGCTGGGGTGGGTGTGATTGATCACGATACAAATGGCACCCATAATGGAGTTGTGAATGGCCAACGTAATGGATCACAAAAACCGTCTACAGCATATGAATTGACATCCTACAACCAATTGGTGGTGACGTATAGGGATATGGTGGGAGAGCGAAACGAGGTGGTTGCTTTAAAGTGGCTCAATGTTGAAAAAAATCAAATTATTCCCAAGCCAGCCGTTCTCGTACAAACAGCCAACGAGTCCTCGGCAGCCTACCAGTATGGGGTCAGTCTGCACCAACCACTGGGTCTCTCGCATCCGATTTCCAGTAAGCAAGCGTGTGTAGTTCTTCGAAGAAACGGAGACCTCACTTTGTATTACCAAGGAGAACATAAGGTGGATTATTACAAGGTGAGTACAAAACTTGAGGGAACGTATATTACCCATGGCTCATTGGGACTTACCAAAGATAAATCGTTGGTGGTTGTTTCGCATAACGGTTTGACCGGCAAAATATCGATGCATACAATTCGAATAGACTGGGGGTTCTTGGCCGAATCTGCTTTAAAACAAAAAACAGATCCTCACTATAACACACCTGAAAGTTCCAAAACTCCCCCTAAACTTCTGGTTGAACATTCTTACGATATGCTTCCCCAGCCCTTCGTGGTGGATGCCACAAATGAACAGTCTCAAGATGGATACACCCTCCTGTCCATCGATCTGATATCTACCTCAGCAAACTCAGAATCCAATTTGGACATTTTCATCTCCTACAAATCCGGAAACTCCACTCATTTGTACCAGTACGAAGTTGGATACGCTGACGATGTCATTTCTCCGGAATTTGCAGAGCTTGGCCGCAAAAAGGGCATACAAGAAAATCAGAAAACTTGCCCCAAGCTCATACTAGTCAGCCGTGCGGTTCGGCCTGGGGTTTTATTGTCTGTTCAGGCAGCATTTTCTGATATCTTTGTTGTGTTCAACTACAATGATGGCAGGGTCGATATAATGGATCGAAGAAAAATGGACATCATAGACCCCACGAAATCAGAAATGCCTCCTCACACCGTCTCCAGTATATTTGACGTTGGTTTCTCGTTCCAGACTCCTGGTGACAAAAATATCATTCCAGGAATGGTTGCGTATTCACCCACCTTGACGGCAAGAGTGTACGCATTTCCTGGAGAAGACTCTCCAAGATTACACCTTCAAACAGTATCAAAAATCGATTCCGTGGTAAACCCCAAAGTGCTTTTTTTGACGTCGGTGGGCTTTGCATTTTGCCATTCATACGCCTGTTACTCCAACATCTGTGCAGACGATTTCATAGTGATGATTCAACAGGATATTCTACGGGTTACAAAGATATTGCGCAAGACGCACCAAGAAAAATCCCATCATATCGAAGTTGTGGTCACAAAATTCATCGAGTCTATCATATGTGAATCGCACAAGGCTATAAACTTTCAACTCGATGCCTTTGGTAAAGAATCAGTTGACAAATTACTATCGAATCCACCTTTGCAAAAGCTTCTTTCATTGCAAATGGCACTTGGTGAATTACAAGACCACGGAAAACTCATCAGTGACCTTGCGTGGATTGTACTCAATCTTCGTAGCACAAGTTTTGGGATAATGTTTCTGTTGTCTAGCATCTACCGCCAGGTCCTGAAAAAGAAACCTTCAGAAGATACCATGCAAGATTCAGTGGCCCGGGCTGAGTGTATTGTTTCTTTGATAGGAAGCGTGCGTTGGTTGATTGACCTCATAATCTACCTAAATCAAGAGTTTAACCAGCTTGCAAATAGCAAAGGTGACCCATCCATAAGCAAGCTTACCATGAAGAACTCAGTTGTGTTACCAATAGTCTTGAGTAAAGTACCTCGGTTGTTCTTGATGTATGCTCTATCATCCATTCAAAAGACCCATGAGACTCTCAAAAAATTGCATAAAGATTTGGCCGAATCTAACAAATTATTCCAGCCCATGAAGGAAGCTTTGAACCGCTACTTTACCACATGTGCTAATTCTCCACTACAGATATCCTTGTTTGAAAGTTTCTTGCGGGACACAGATGCTGTAATCGCTAAGGAAATCAGCCAGAATCCCAAGTTTGAAAAGAAAGGATACCAGCTTCGTGTCGAACAGAAATTAGTGTTTCAGGGTGAGATTAGCGAGGAGTATATCCCAATTGCTACTGCGGTAGTTGGAAAATATGCCAACAATATCAGCCTCGACATGAAAGTATCCGAACTATTTTTTTACGATGTTGACTGGATCGGTGTGGGCATCCAATGGTTCAATGATGAGTGTGTAGTGGTCGAAGGATCTCACGAAGTCCTTTTACAGTATCCTCAAGAACCAAAGCAAATGGTACCTCGTTTGGCATATGGGACAAGAGACTGTATTGATGCACTAAGAAAGGTGGTTATACCGAGAGGAAAAGGTGGAGCCAAAGTACGCAAGTGCACGAGATGCAGATCTGTGTCGTTAGTTAACGATCCGTTGGTTTTCAATGCCCCTACCACTCTTGGACTTTGGACGATGGTTTTCCAACGAAGCTGCATTTGCGGAAGCATCTGGATCAACACTGAATAAATATCTATGCCGCTTCGTCCATAATATCAACTGTAGGCTCAATATCTTTGACATTCTTGCCGTTCACCATTAACGTGTAAGTTGAGGTTATTTTATCCGCCCACATACCCAAATCAGAATGTCCTAGTAAATTGTGGAGTGCTTCTTTTTTCAAATTCCATATTTCCGGGTCGCTGATTGCTGAGGGCAGGCTGACTAGGTAATCTGAGACCATTGAGGGAAGCAGATTGAGCAAGTAGTCGGCAGAGTAGGGGAATCGAGTCGACTGTACGAGAAACTGGTACAAGAAGTCATATGATAGCCTTGACAACTTCTGCGACAGAAGCGTACTTTTCAAGATTTCGAACGTTTTGGAACTCAGAATCATGTTGAGCAATATCGGGAAGTATCTTTTGGTGAGAAGCAGAAGCAGACCCAAGATCTGGTATCCAGGGTCTTCTGGTATAGCGTCAGGATTGAATTTGGAAAGAAAGAGAATATGGTGGTCGATAGATGTGGGATCGAGAAAATCGGGTGAAAACCAACCATACTTGGTAGTTTGGTCTTGAGCATAAGCTGGCTGGGCATAAGATACGGCAGCGATCAAGTTTACCAACTCAGAAATGTATAAGTCTTGATCTTCGTCTGTGTTATCGCTAAATTTTTTCATCCATTTTTCTATAGCAGGTTTCACAGACTCCCACAGGTACTGGTTCGTATTGGAATCTGACCTCTGAACCCAACGAGTATAGAAGCTCAACACGGTTATGGGATAAAATGGGTCATCAATTGAGGAGTCAGGCTCAAAGCTGATAAGCTCGGATGGAAGTGGTGGTCCAGTAATTAAGTACAAGTCCAAGAGTCGAGAAAGTAGGATGGCGTTGGAACGGGAGGCGGATTTTGCGTGGCTAAAAAGATCCAAATAAGGCTTCTGAACAAATTGGGATGTCGGTGAGAGCCCTACAGCATACTCAAACTTGGATATTTCCTCAAGGGGCCATTTTGGGTCCGTAAGGTACTTGGTGGTGGCCTCAAACGACATATATGTAAGAAGAGAGAAACGTTGAGGGAGTCTGCATATAGACCAAGGTTGCAAAAAGTTACACAAAATCTCTGGGTCTGGCTAATAGCCAGAAGAGAATTACTTGACACAAAAGCACTCCTGAGGAGTGTTTTCCTCCATAGTATATATAGGACAACGTATTTAGCAATTTTGAGACCGTAACAGTTCGCGCAACGGCTTATTGAACCGAATTGAGGCTCAAATAGCGAAAACCCTGGGAGAGCGCCGTCATGCCCGATTTTTTTTACCATCGTTGTGTCTGTGTTTCTTGGGTTTGTGGTCGGTCAAGGCTGTTTGTACCGCTCATATAAAGCCACAGAGTTTGTGCGATCTTTTGTTTCTTTACAATCACTTCGGGATCGAATTGAACAAGCCCCAGACTCAAGTCTCAGAGAAAGTATACGTTAGTATAAGTTCTCAACAAGTTCAATAAACGAATTTCTGAAGTTAAGTGCACTTTTAAAACCCCAAATCTCTGGTTTAAAAACTGGCTGCAAATTTATATTTGGCCACTTTTTTGAACCGATTTTCTTCAAGGTTCCGCTTCGACTTTTAGTTGAAGCCCATTCTTGAAACCAACCTCGTTGCGATGAGTTCCGTTCAGGCTCATCCAACTAGCCGTAAAGGCTATGAGGACTTGGTCCTCACCCGTACCCAGGCCCGGATGATCCTTGTGTTTTCTTACTTGGTCAAACCTGAGGCCCGCCCCTCCAACTTTGAGGAGCAACTTCTTGGTCTCAGTCTTCCTGAGACTCCCATCATCGAGACCAAGACCAACACCAATGCCGAAACCGCTGCCACTGCCACTTCATCCACCACCAATGAGGCAGCTACCCCTGTGACCAACCAAGCATCCATTACCTCGTCGACTTCCGGAAGTGACTCCCCATCTGTTCCCGAATCGTCAATGGCTGCAAAACGTGCTTCAAACGCACAGTCTGTCAACGCATGTGGTGCGAAAATTATTAATGACACTAGCGCCAAATCCGCTGCAATTGACGTTTCCAAGAATCCAGTTGACCATTCTGTTTCCACCAGCACTCCTCAAGGTGCAAAAACCGGAAAAAAGAAGAAGCTGAGAGCTCTGAAGGTCCAAAAAAAGCTGTCGCTGCGCGAAGCTGTCAAAGCAAGTGTTGATAATGTACCTGCAGATGTGGCTGCAAATGTTCCTGCACCCACCGCAGATGCTGTTGCAACTATTTCCGAGAAATCTGGGGATATTCCATCCAAGGAGAACCCAGTTTCCGTCTGTGAGTCCCCTGTCGATGCCGCTGAAGCCCCCTTGAAGCCTGAACTCCCCCAACAGGTGTTTGTGGTCGTTGATGCGCACAAACAAATGGCTGCAAATCAGGTGTCTGGATGCAGTTCCAAGACCAATGTGACTTCTGAAGCTAGTAACTCATCTGCAGCTGACAAGCGGAAAGAACACAAGAGAAGACAAAGGGCTAAGGCTGTTGAGGCCAAACGTTTGGAACGGGAGGCTGCGTATCAGGCCGCCAAGGCTGAAGCTTGCAAGATGAGAGGTGCGAACAATGTTTCTAAGTCCACTTGGACTGTGGTTACTAAGCCCAAACGTGGTGATAAGAAACCAAAATCTCACAAGCGAAAGATGGTGGATGTTTCCCAGATGTACCGTCCTACGGAGGACGAGTCCGAGAAACCTCAAGTGGAAGTTTCACAAACGGAAGCATCTAAGGAAGATATGGACCTTAAAACTGCCATGGAAGTTTCGCAGACGGAAACATCCAGGGAAGATTTGGACCTTAAAGCTGCCCTTAAGGCTTCTGAAATTGAAGTTGAAAAGGTTAAAGCCGCTAATATTCAAGCCAAGAAGATTGAGGCTGGGAATACTAAAGCTGCAATGAAAGCTAGCATGGTTGAAGCCGAAAAGAAAGCTTCTGAGTTTTGGACTCTAGTTGGACCAAAGCGTGGGAAATCGAAATCCCACACTAAGACCAAGCCACTGAAAGTAGGCGACTCCAAGATGAACCGTCCTAAGAAGGACGAGTCCGAGAAACCTCAAGTGGAAGTCACAAATGTGGAAGACTCACAAATGGAAGCATCTAAGGAAGAAATGGAGTTCAATGCTGCCATTAAGGCTTCCCAGGAACTAGCCGACAGACTTGAAGCTGAAAAGGCTGAAAAGGCTGAAGCTGACAGAAACGAAGCAGCTGCTCCTAAGGCTTCTAAGATCGAGGCTGACAGACTTGAAGCCGAAAAGATTGAAGCCGAGAAAATTGAAGCCGAGAAGACCGATGCTGCTGAGACTGAAGCTGACAGATTCGACGCCATTATTAAAGCTGCCGTTGAGGCTAAGGTTGCAGCCGCTATGGAAGCTTTCAAGAACCAAGCTGCGGAGGTGTCTCAGGAAGCCTCGGAGAAAGTTCCTAAGAAGGTTACCTTTTCTCCTGTGGTTGCCCAGTACGAGATACCCAACAGAGAAGATATGCTTGAAGCATCTCAAGTTGAATCTCCGCTGGTCGAAGCAACTCAGAATGACACTGAGAACAAAGCTAAACGCCTAAAGACTCCAGAGCAAGCCGAAAGAGTGAAAGAGAAAAGAAGAGCATACCGCATCAGAAAATCCAACAAGAAGCAGTTGGCGCGGGAGGCTCAGGCTCTTGAGGCTCCTTGCGATGCTGAAGTTTGCGAGGAGCAAGCTGACGATTCCAACAATGCGGAGGTTTCCAACAATGATGTTGCAACTGAAGCTGCCGAAGCTGCTGAAGATACTGTCGAAGCTGACACTGAAGCTGCTTATGTTGATCCCTTTGGTTCCACCAAGACTCCGGCACAAGCTGACAAACGAAGGACTAAGAGAGCAAGACAGCGTGCCTTTATTTCCGAGTGCAAACGTTTGTACAGCGCTTCTGAAGTTTATCTTGACTTTCTCCAGAATGATGTGGAGACTGAGGTTGAGATGGAAGCTGATGTGGAGACTGGCATTGTGATGGAACCATTTATGATCGAAGCATCCAACCTTAATGCCGAGATTGAAGCGATCGTAAAGGAAGTTGAGGACGTAGCTTCCACTAATGAAGTTGCGATTGAAGCTTTGGAGAAAGCTGTCCTGGACCAGAAGAAGGATCTTGTGTTCCTCGAGTTTGAAGCTGAGGACGACGCCTTGGAGTTCGAGAATTTCGAGCTCGAACAAGCAAAGCAAGATGCTGCTTTCAAGGCCGAGATTGAAGAATTGGAAAAGGACTTTGGGCTTTGGATGGAGAAGAAGGTTGACAGTGTTGAAGGGGACGTTCAACCAGTTGCTGCTGTTCAAGAGATCATTGAGAAGAAACAAGTTGTGGAAGTTGACGAGAGGACGGAAGAAGATAAGGACACAAAGGTACGCGATGACATTGATGCAAGATGGGTTGCCTTGGGAATACCTCCCAGGTTCACGGATTGGCTGGCACTTCCTGTAGATTCTGATACACCAGATTTACGGGAAGAATCCGAACCTGAGACAACATCTCCCAAGGTACCGTCTACATCTTTGGCCGCTACCGATAGTCCTTTGAAGCCTGAAATCACGATAACTCCCACCGACTCGATTACTCCCAATGATCCATTGACACCAGAGGACTTGGAAGGAAATCCCATTGAGATTGTTGTTGAAACCGACTCCGATGTTTCTGAGTTTCACCAGACTGAGATGGTGAAATGTGAAGTCAACGAGGATGCCAAAGCAATTGAACAAGCTGCTGGTACTGGGGAACCAAATGCACTTGACATTGCTGACGAAGATGCATCCACAGAATTCCTTTCAGAAAAGGAAGATTTGTGGGAAGGATCCTGGCTCCAAGCCAAGGTCACTGCCCGGACCGAGACCATCTTGGAGGAGGACGAAGCTGAAGACGAAGTCGAAGCTGAGGATGAAGTCAAAGCTGAAGTCCACGCTGAAGTCCAAGCTGAAGTCCAAGCTGAGGTCGAAGTCGAAGCTGAAGCTGAAGTCAAAGCAGAGGGAGATGAAGTCAAAGTCGAAGCTGACGTTAAAGTCGAAGAAGTCGATGCTGAGGAAGAAGTCGAAATTGAAATCAAGGACGACCAGATTGTCTACGGATCCATATTCCGCCAATCTGAGGAGAGTCTTGATTGCGCCTTTGGATCCTACTGCTTCTTCGATGGACTTGCTGCTGACCAGCTTCAATATGATGCCGATGGTACTGACAATCTTGGAAATCTCTTGACTGGGTCGAGTCTGATCAACTCCACCCAGCCTCTTCTTGGGGAATCACAGAAGAAACATCTTCGTCAACGGATGTCTTTGAGATTCAAGAGAATTGCCAGGAAATGCAAATCGGCATCGCACAAGATCGGTTCCAAGGTTGAAGATGCTCTTGCCAAGGTTGCAGAGGCGAGACATCAAAGACCAACTCAGGTTGGTACCGGTCTGTTCCATTGGGACGGCGACCATGTGGAGGCTTGTATTTCAATTGGAGAGTATGAGAGTTGCTCCTCTCCAAGGCCTCGTAGGCACAGGTTGAGGAAATTCTTTGGCTTCTATCAGTCATAGAATGCTGGGCTGGGACAACGGGACTTTGGGAATTTCTAAAGTCCTGTTATGGTACAGTAGAGGCCCACGGGCCGTGGAATAAACAAAAGAAGAAGGTCGGTGCCCCAAGGAAGAATGGGGATGTTGGTCGCTGAGACACTTCTAGGCTGCACAGAAGTGTCTCCAAGCTGGGGACGGACATGGTTCAATTCAAAGAACCATTGTTGGGGGATTCAGACATGGAACTTTGGAAAGGGACCCAAAGTTCCTTATGGCTCAATTGGAGCCATGTCTGGGGGGTTTGGACAATGAAACTTTGGAAGGGGGAATAAAAGTTTCATTATGGGGTTTAAAGTAGGGCCTAAGGGCCACCAAAAAAAAAAAAAAAATAAGGTCGGTGCCCCAAGGAAGAATGGGGCTGTTGGTTGGTGAAGACATTGCTGGGTTGCACAGTTGTGTCTCATGCTGGGGATGGACATGGCTCAATTGAGTCATTGCTGGGGGATTTGGAAATGGAACTTTGGCAGGGTGCACCTAAAGTTTCATCATGGGGTTTAGAGTAGGGCCCAAGGGCCACCACAATAAAAAAAAAAAAAGAACAACCCAAAAAAGAATGAAAAGGTCGGTAAGGACATGCTAGGCTGCACAGCAATGTCCAGTTGAGGGATTGGTCTGGCTTATTCAAGCCAGAAATTGGTTGGTGGACAATGGAAGAGACACTTTCCATTATTGGTACAGTATAGGACAAGGGCCATGGAACAAAAAAAAAACAAAACAATGGGGGTGGCAACGATATCGCTACGTTGAAAGGCTATGGGTTGAGTGGCATGCTGCTTTGGCCACTTTTTCGCTACTTCGCTATTTCTTATTTCTTGCTGTTGGTTGGTTTCTTTTCTGCAATTGCTAGTGGGTTGCAAAAATATGGGTTGCAAAAAATAAGGGGGTGTCCTTTGGGCCGGATGACCCTTAATCTCTATAAATAAAAGGTAGAAATAAACAAACCAAGAACATTGTAGGTATTCAACTAACACTCTAACTCTCTAATCGCTATTTTCCAGATGCGATTCCTGCATGTAGGCTCTCGCTATATTTCTCCACTGAATACCGCACCTTACGACACCTACACTTTCCATGGCTAGGGACGAAGATCTTTCCCGTAGGCCCAATCCCAAGGGCTGGACGCCCCCTGCGGCCCCCTACAACCCATATGATCCTTCAGATGTACGGCCCCCAGAAGGATACCCCTCGGAATTCAAGGTCCCTGGTAGCCAACCCACCGGGTTCTCATCGGTTCCCAAAAGCCCCACACAATATAGGAAAGTCAATGAGACCATGAAGCGGTTGAGCTACACTCCCAGGCCGCTTTCGGAGCTATATCCTGGCCAGTACAAGGTTTTGAGACGAGTCGATGCCAATCGTAGATTGAATATTGGTACTAGATGGTTTGGGACTTTTCTCGCAACTTCCATAGTATTGTACGGAGCATTTTTTTACCGGTGGAACGATGGTAGGGAGAATGTTCTCTCTGATTTCTACAGAGCCAGGTTGCTGTTGAAGGAGCGGTTCACAACCTTGACAGACGAAGAATACGACGACTTGTACCACCCCAAGGGCAGTGGAATCGTGGTGAAAAATGTGCGTGATACGGATTACATTCCTGAGTCAGTGAGGAAAACCCAAGAGGGCAAATATGCTTTGAACCGACCCTCAGAGAGACACGTGTTGGAAGCGCAAAGAATTCAGCAACAGCAGGAGGAACAAATGCTTCGAGAAATGGAAACCCACAAGCAATACTTGGCGGACATCATGGCGGAAGAACAGCCGCAGAAGAAAAAGTGGTGGTTGTTTTGAATGTACATAGAAGATTAAGAATTGTAAGAAATACAATAAGAATTACAATAAATGTAGCCAACCCAGTAAGCTCAGATCATAGAGTGAAGGTTCTCTTTCGCGCTGGGTGTGTATGTAGTATGTTCTCTCTTTTTCTGTTCGCTTACCCGCCCACCACCTTATAAGCAGAATTTTTCCTCGCGAAGGTTAACGCAAATTCACAGCCATTCGCAACGCTAATGCATTCCTTTGAGGTTGAACCCTTATGGCGTTCTGACCCATGACCATAGGAGTATAGTTGTCGAAAGTGTCAGAATGGACTGGAGAACAATTGGTTGATCTTGGGTGCAGCACCTCATCGGTAAATACTTGTATTTCTAAGGGTTTACCTTCGTGTGCCCGTATGGGAGGTGGTGCAATGATCAGCTGTACATTTGTAGAGTAGAGTAAGCGGAAGTCTATAAAGCTCTTGTAATTGTTTCTCTTGTACTAGTTCTCTCTCTGGCATCGCTCGATGAGAATTCCTGCATAGCTCCACAGCCTGCGGTTGCTTTCGTTACACTCGATATGACACCTAGCCATATGAACAAGTTGTTTCGATGGGCATTGGTGGTCATGGTGGTGTTCTACCTCCCATACTCGGTGGGTGGAACTGACTTGGCAGGGCTGGAGGATCCAGAGGTAGGTGAGTGTGCCGATATTTGGAGGGTTCCAGTCGACTCGCGGTGCTCTTATCTTAAAGAAAACTGCCTAGAGGATGTGAATGCTGACGCTAAAGATAGGTTACGCTACCTTTCACTCTTGTATTGCAAGTTCCTGTTTTTGGGCTCCATGGCTATTCTTCCCATTATATTATTTCTCATACTTTGTTTCACATTGGTGGGAACCATCGCCTCAGACTTTTTGTGTCCCAACTTGTACACGATTTCCAAAATACTCAGGCTTTCCGATCGATTAGCGGGCTTGACTTTCTTGGCGCTTGGAAACGGAGCCCCAGATGTGTTGGGAACCTACAAGGCAATGAGCATGAACACTGAATCTCTCGCAGTTTCAGAACTTGTGGGCGCAGCATTTTTCGCTACTACCATCGTTGTGGGATTGATTGCAGTGATACACCCGTTCGAGGTTAAAAGAGACTCTTTTATTATAGATTTTGGGTTCTTTCTGCTAGCGGCGATGGTTGTTTTTGTTGCAATTGTTAGGTCCACTTTATCCATCTGGACCAGTCTTTCGTTGTGCCTCATTTATTTGTCATATGTTCTGGTTCTGATGGTCCTTCACTCCATGTGGAAATCAAGAGCAGAGCGCCAAATACGAGAACGCCGTGCTCGAAGTAATTTTGACTTTGGTAACGAGCTTCAAGACTTGGCTACAGATGAGGTTTTCCTCGATACATTCGCGACGCTTCCAACCATAGAAGAGCTCATTCTTCACGAACGCCACACCATGGAACACGCAGACGCAAATAATATGACCCTTGAGACGGGCTCTTACGGTTTAAAGGTTCTTCTCAAAGACCTCAGCAAACATTCAAGAACTAGAACCAGCCATGGAAGTATAAGCCTTGACGATACTTATGAACGTCCCTTATCTGCGCCTGAATTGGTTCGCAGTGATAATTCCTCAATTGGTGAGATCAATGCTCCACATACATATCCAATGGAGAGCCATTTAGCGCCGTTACATGAACATGAACTTGACCCTGTCACTTCTGGTGATGATGTCCTGTTGTCGGAGAATTCCTTTATTCACTATTATCCATCATTCTTGGAGTATCTCTGGAAAGTGCTTCCCGACGTGGATGATTACCAGGAAATGGGCGTCCTACAGCGGTGCCACTTGTACATGACATACCCACTCGCCATACTTTTGAACATCACAACCCCAACGGTGAACTATTCCAGCATCTTGCTGTACCGGCGTGGTGTCGAAGTTGACGATGAAAGCGCTTTCCTCACCTTGTTTCAGTGTTTCTCTGCATCCAATTTTGTAACATATATCCTTGCAAGATCGCTGGAACACTACTGGTTTACCACGTTGGGCATGCTAGCAACTAGCTCTGTCCTTGTTGTGTTGGTTGCATTATTTTCTCTCACCATACCATCTTGTAAACATTATATCATAATGACTGGTTCATTATTTGGTTTTGTTTCGTCAATTTGCTGGATTGCATTGTTTGCTACGGAAATTATATCGATATTCCAAGCAATTGCTACAAGCTATAATCTAAGTGATGATATCTTAGGATTGACGGTTTTTGCGTGGGGAAATTCTGTTGGAGACTTGATTTCCAACTTTACGATTGCACGAATGGGTCTCCCGTTAATGGCTTTTGGAGCCTGCTTTGGAGCCCCCTTATTGTCTCTCTGCCTGTTGGGAATAAGTACAATACTTATCAATATTCAAAGGGCAGATTCCTCCTTCAGTCTGAACTACGACATCGAGACAACTATTACCGTTAAAATTATGGCCATGTCTGTCATCTTGAACATGTTCATGTTGTTCGCCATTGTACGGTTCAACGGCTGGATGATAGACAAAAAGGTCGGTGCATCTTTAATCACGAGCTGGTTCTTGACCGTTACCATTTGTATAACTACAGAGTTCTACAATTAGCATATTTATAATCGATAAGTATATTCATTTCAACATAACGTAGCATCAATATCATTTAACAGACAACTTGCGTTGACTTCTTAGTCACCTTAGTCAACTTCTTCGACGGTTGGTCCTGAACTTGAGCTTCCTTCAGCACCTGGGAATCCTCCAGGTGCTCCTCCTGGTGCTCCGCCTGGGAACCCACCGGGAGCCCCACCAGCCAGATAAGCTCCAGAAATTATAGGATTAGCGAGAGATTCCAAGTCCTTGTGTCTGTCGTTGTATTCCTCGGTTGAGGCAGCTTGAGACTCATCCAACCATGAGATGGTTTCCTCCACTGCCTTTGACAATTTCTCCTTGTCGTCAGCACTGATCTTGTCCTTCATCTCACCGTCATTGAGGCTGTTCTTCAAAGAGTAAGCGTACGATTCAAGAGTATTCTTGGCTTGAATTCTAGCTGCCTCTTTCTCGTCTTCTTCCTTGTACTTCTCGGCCTCATTGACCATTCTTTCAATATCTTCTTTGGACAATCTACCCTTGTCGTTGGTGATGGTGATCTTTTGTGTCTTGCCTGTACCCTTCTCGAGCGCAGAAACATTCAAGATACCATTGGCGTCCATATCAAATGTGACTTCAATCTGTGGAACACCTCTTGGAGCTGGTGGAATGCCAGACAATTCAAACTTACCAAGCAAATTGTTGTCCTTTGTTCTTGCTCTTTCACCTTCGTAAACCTGGATCAACACACCTGGCTGGTTGTCAGCATAGGTAGAGAACACCTCAGTCTTCTTCGTAGGAATAGGTGGCATTACGAGGAATCAATTTTGTCATAACTCCTCCGGCGGTTTCAATACCAAGCGACAATGGAGCAACATCCAACAACAACAAGTCTTGGGTCTTGGACGATGTGTCTCCTGTCAAGATAGCAGCTTGCACTGCAGCACCATAAGCAACTGCCTCATCGGGGTTGATAGACTTGTTTGGTTCTTTACCGTTGAAGAAATCAGACACCATCTTTTGAATCTTGGGGATTCTCGTGGAGCCTCCCACAAGCACAATTTCGTTGATTTGGGACTTGTCCACCTTGGCATCTTTCAAAACTTTTTCCACAGGCTCCAAGGTGGTTCTGAACAAATCAGCACACAACTCTTCGAAACGAGCTCTTGTGATGGAAGTGTAGAAGTCAATACCTTCGAACAAAGAGTCGATTTCCAACGAGGTTTGAGCCGACGACGAAAGGGTTCTCTTTGCTCTTTCACAAGCGGTTCTCAATCTTCTCAATGCTCTCTGGTTGGTGGACATATCCTTCTTTGTCTTTCTCTTGAATTCCTGAATAAAGTGGTTGACCAATCTGTTATCAAAGTCCTCACCACCCAAGTGAGTGTCACCAGCGGTGGCTTTAACCTCGAAAATACCATCATCAATGGTCAAAAGAGAAACATCAAAAGTACCACCTCCCAAGTCAAAGATCAACACATTCTGTTCACCAGAAGTAGTGCCTTTCTTATCCAAAACCGTAAGCAATGGCAGCAGCTGTGGGTTCGTTGATGATTTCTCAACACATTCAACCCTGCAATTAAACCAGCATCTTTGGTAGCTTGTCTTTGGGAGTCGTTGAAGTATGCGGGAACAGTAACAACCGCATCCTTTACTGTAGTACCAAGGTATCCCTCAGCAGTCTCCTTTCATCTTGGTCAAAACCATTGACGAGATTTCTTCAGGAGTAAACACCTTTGTTTCGCCCTTTGAACTCCACTTGAATATTGGGCTTTCCTCCCTTATTCACCACCTTTGAATGGGAAATGCTTGATATCACCTTGAACTTCACTATCGTCAAATCTACGACCGATCAAACGCTTGGCATCAAATACCGTGTTTGAAGGGTTCATAGCAGCCTGGTTTTTGGCCGCATCACCAATCAATCTTTCTGTGTCTGTGAAGGCTACAAATGATGGGGTGGTTCTGTTACCCTGATCATTTGCAATGATCTCCACTCTGTCGTTGGTATAATGAGCAACGCATGAGTATGTTGTTCCTAAGTCAATTCCAATTGCTTTCGACATGATTTACTATTAGAATTCTTGTAGTGAATGAAGGGGAGGGGATACTGGTGGGGCTTATATACTACAGTTGCTGCAGGAGACCCATTACTAGAACCTTCTGTATGCATGATCTAGAATTTTCTAGAAACTTCTGTCACACCCCACGCTAGCAGAATGTAGAGTTGCGGGAGTATCACTACTATCGGATTATGATTCTACCCTCAGCAATTATTGGCACTTGCTCAAAAGTGATTTGACGTATTTTTTGATCTGGTTGCAAAGGCTGCAAATTATTGCTGCATTTGTGTCGTGCATATAGAAGTGTGGGGCCGATTGCATGATCTCGATTGTCCTCCTGCAGGTAAAGCCTCACTTACGACTGGCGAGAGGCTGAAATTATGCAGGATGGAATAGGGTGCGCAAAAGTTTGGCGACTGGATGCAGCCAAGACGAATTTCAAGACGGCTTTTCGGGCTACTTCGGGCTACTGTCGACTTATTTTGCCAAGAAATAGTTTTAGACCGACTATGGATAAAGTTTGTTTCTTACATTTTGTCAAGTCTTAAGAAATTAGACTATACGATAAGGTGAAGCTACTTTTGACTGCATACCTCCTGCAGTACCACATAAAATATTATACTGTCACGTGTGTAATTACGATAAGTCGAAACTTGAATTAGCATTAACTGGGAACAAACAATCTACTAAAGAAGAATTAGCCTTGCTGACTGGGACAGTACCTCATAAATATTTCATAAGCATAACTCGCTTATATTTGTCAATTAGCAGTGCGGTGAGATGCATGAGAAATATGCACAAGAAATTTCCACGCACAAAGGCTTGGAACACAGCGAAACCGATGCAGGTGCGTTCATCCTAAATTATGGTTCGATTCGCTTTGAACATCCGGAATTCGCCTAAGCCCAAATCAATAGCTAATTTCTCGTAAATGAGCACGGCGGCGTAAACGGAAGACACAAATTCATTGGTTTCGTCGCAAGAAAAATACACGCCTTACGCTGAATTTCGTCTTGCATATGCATGCACTCGCCCCGTAATTTTATGCGTTTGCCCGACAGAACTAGTTCAGAACTCATCTCTTCTATCGTTGTATTCCTAGGTATTGTTTGCACTGGCGATGAAAGATAAAAAACCCCTAAACACTTTTACCATCAAGCGGAACTTGCGCAAGGTATATAGCCCGAGGCTATTCATTTTGGTGGCTTGTCTTGTGGGACTTTACTTCTTTGTAGGAACGACCCATATTTCCTTTGGATCTTCCAAACCAATTGCGCCAATTGACACTGATGATGGCACAATCAAATATGCTGCCAATTTGTTGGAAGAAGTTCGCTCCAAAATCAATGCCAATGGTAACGAAGTGCCCCAAGATATGAAAATTCCTTTTTCCTGGAAGCAATTTTTGTCTCTCGATAAAGAAATCGAAGCTAAAAAAAAGTTTTATGCTGAGTTGAATTGTGTAAAGTTGGCTGGCCTTATCGGGAAACCTACTAATACTCCTTTCAATTGTGTTGAAGATCCCACAGACAGAGAAGTTCCTATTGTGGTGAAACAGAACATTCTTCTCTACTTGTACCCCGAGTTCAGAACGGTTATGAAGACAATACATATGTCCAAAACCTACACCAATCCCGATAGTGTTGTTTTGTTGACCAAGGACAGTTCCTATAAGTTTCCCGTTGACCCTAATCCGCAGAAAATTAAGCTGAAAGGTGCTTCCATCGAAAACGTCGTCAGTCTGCTTCAAGGTTTGGTTGCGAAAAATTCCAAAAAATCGGCTGAGGACCTGTTTCCTTCTGACGAAGCGTTTCAAGTTTTGGACCCCAAATACTCGCAGTTTGCTTCCAAGTACATTGACGAGAAGCAGTTTGACTTTGAAGAGACATTGCAACTTTTTCCTGCGAACTCAAAGATAGCCAAGATTCATGCTGCTACTGAAAAATTGGGCAATGACATTCCAAAATACTTTACAGAAGCATATACGATGGACGTTCCCATGGCTAGTCACATGGATTGGCGTTTTTTCGACTCGAAAAAGGCCCTTGATTTCAATGTCAAGTCGGAAATCTTGCACCGGTTGATGAGAGCATGGCTACATTTCACCACCAAAATCGCCCACATTGACACCTGGGTTTCACACGGTTCATTGATCGGGTGGTACTGGAACGGATTGCACTTACCATACGACAGTGATATCGACATGCAAATTTCTGTTGGTGGATTGTTGAAGTTGATTCAAGGCTACAACAACACCGTTATTTTGGATTACACTGATGCAGACAGTGGAGTATACAACAGTTTCTACTTGGACATTGGACCATACTTTGGTGCTCGTGGTAGAGGAAACAGCAAGAATTTAATCGATGCCAGATTTATTGATATTAATACTGGTATCTTGATTGACATAACTGCGGTTTCTTCGATGCTGGTAACTGAGGCTGAAAAATTAAAGGCCAAAGAAGGAGAATTGAGTCCTTTTGAAAAGCAAGAATTACTCAAGGCTCTGGCTGAAGGTGAACAGGTGATCTACGACAAAAATTACCACTTCTATAGATTGGGACAAATCAATCCATTGGTTCCTACCAAACTTGAAAACGAAGTGGCTTATGTCCCCAACAACTTTGAGGTGTTGTTGAAGAGCGAGTACCCTGAGATGGACAAATCCTACGTCAAGGGGTTCAAGTATAGAAAAAATCTTCGACTCTGGGTTGGAACCGACGAGTCCAGTGGGTGCAAAGTGGAAAATGTCATTATTGACACTGTGCTTGAAGACGACCAGAAATGTGTAGAAACAAACAAGTTGGTGTCCAAGAGGTTCCATGCCACCGAAGCAGCCACGAAACGTCATCAATTGCAATTAAAAGACTTGAGAGCTGCCACTGATTTTAAGGACTATATGTTGACCAGTAAGCCTAATGAGAGAAGAGTTTTGTTGTACTAATAAATTACGGTAAGCGTGGTAATTACAGTAAGTAGCGTGGTTTATTTAACTCAATTACCACGAAAGTATAATCCTTATTGACTTTGGTCCTACTTTAAATCGTACTGTCTATCTCTGGTCTGGCGCGAGTCATTCACGTGACAGACTCGGCCGTGCGACTCTCTCCACGCCAGTGAGCATCAACCTTTTTCTTTTCCTATATCAAATATCATGTTGAGATCGTTATTGAGACCTGCTGCTGCCAGAACCTTTCTCCCAAGGGCCCCCGCCTTTGGTTCGTTTGTCAGATACAACTCTAGCAACTTCAAGATCAACACTCAATCTCATGTGTTCAAGTACCTTCAGGAAGGACCCAAAGCCGTCAAGTATACCGCCGAGCACGAGTGGATAGCTGTCCATGAGGACGACACCGCGTTCATTGGTATCACCACCTACGCTGCTGAAGCTCTTGGAGATGCCACTTTTGTGGAATTGCCAGAAGTTGGCCAGGAAGTCGATGTTGGAGAATCGATTGGTTCCGTTGAATCGGTCAAATCTGCTTCTGAAATCTACTCCCCCGGTTGCTGGAGAGGTTATTGCTATCAACGAGGCGTTGGAGTCGAACCCTCTGTTGATCAATGAGCACCCAATGGGAGATGCATGGATTGCACAAATCAAGTTGAGTGAGCCTAGTGCTATTGAGTCTGATGATTTGTTGACAGAGGCTCAATACGAGAGCACATTGGAGGAGAACTAGGAAACTAGGAACTAGCAAATCAGAAATGTACTTTTAGCTTTCATAACGTAGAAAGGTCTCATATGTGAGTCGCAACTGAACAATGGTTGCGACGAAAGAACGAAACTAAAAATAGTAGCTAGCCAGCTCGACCTTATCACCAATTACCTACAACACTTCTTCGTTCTCTCTCTCCCTCGTTTTCACTCCCTTTATTCCACTCGCTTTTTTCCTTCTTTACTACACTTTGCACTTACGTATTCATTAAACATACATCAAGAAAAGTGCACAGCAATTGGCACAATAATAACAATTAACAAAATGATCACCACCAAAATAAGACACATTCTCATCTTCATATCCTTCCACCACATATCTTTTCTTACACGATTAGCTCCTCTTCTGAATCCTTGAGCACTTATGGCCAAGTTGTCGGTTTTATTCTCGATCGAGTCCAATCTTTCTCCACGTTCCGCAACTTTATTGATGTTATCTCTCATGATTCCAACGGTATCGTCAATTTGCTGAGTTAGTATATGTAAAAATCATCGAAAACCCTGAAAATTTCGTGTTCTTTCATCCATCTTGGATCAATTTTGCCCCCTTTAAAGTGCCACTGGTGCTCAAATATAGTACTTACGGCTTGGATAGCAGCAGTCCTGGAGTTGGACTGCTCGCCGGTGGTTTGGTTTGGGATGTATGGGTCGTAGGGAACTGAAGAAGACATTGTTGTAAACTCTTTTGTGCACGGAAATCAAACTGAAATGACTTGAGTTGTAATGAGAAAGTGACACAAAGACGACGAGGTCGGGCTATATAAAAAAAATTATAAAAAATTATCTTCAATATACGTTTTGTAACACCTTCATGTTGCGATCCACTACATCTACGTATTCCCGATCATCCGAATCCTAGCAAACTATCCAGTTGTTACTTTCATGTCCCATTGACAGTGAACTTGCGCTTATGTAAGATGACCCGCTCTTGACGGTTACCCAATGCGGTTATAAGCCAACAGTCTGTTGTGCGACTAGGCTCGCTTGGCACCTGCACAGATGCTGCGACAGCTCTCACGCACAGAAATGGTCACCTAGAGTCGATTTCCGCGCCTCGTTGCCGCCGGTCTCCGCGCGGTGAATCCTGTACATAGTCATCTCCGATTCACTTTCACTAGACGAATCCGGCACATGAGTGATCCGGCGTGCACACAATAGCAATCTCCCTGCACACACCGGGACGCGATTGCCGGGTAATCCCTGGTTGGGTCGTTTCTGCCTCGTTGTTTGATACCAGCGCTCACCCCTTTCGAAAAATTTACTTTTGACTAGGTATTAATATAGTATAGCAAAATGGACGGAGGTATGTAAATTCCGCTGATTATTGACGCAATTGCGTGACTTTTTGTATCCCGTTGATGGATTGTTCATGTTTGTTTGTTTGCCATTTTACGTCGTCGGCTATTCAACGTCGAACTGCGCTTGCCGTCTTGATCTTTCGAAGTTTTGCGAGAGATCTGATGCCAATTCGTGTATAAACGCGCTTTTCAGCTTGACATAAACTCCAGCGTCGGCTAATAAGTACATCAACGTTGATTTTTCACCCATACTAACATTCAGAAGAAGTAGCTGCTTTGGTCATTGACAACGGTTCCGGTATGTGTAAAGCCGGTTTCGCCGGTGATGACGCTCCTCGTGCCGTGTTCCCTTCGATCGTCGGTAGACCAAGACATCAAGGTATCATGGTCGGTATGGGTCAAAGAGACTCCTATGTTGGTGACGAAGCCCAGTCCAAGAGAGGTATCTTGACCTTGAGATACCCTATTGAACACGGTATCGTCAAGAACTGGGATGATATGGAAAAAATCTGGCACCACACTTTCTACAACGAGTTGAGAGTTGCCCCAGAAGAGCACCCTGTCTTGTTGACCGAGGCTCCAATGAACCCCAAGTTGAACAGAGAAAAGATGACTCAAATTATGTTTGAGACTTTCAACGTTCCTGCCTTCTACGTTAACATCCAGGCTGTGTTGTCTTTGTACTCCTCTGGTAGAACCACCGGTATTGTTTTGGATTCCGGTGATGGTGTTACTCACGTGGTTCCAATCTACGCCGGTTTCTCCTTGCCTCACGGTATCTTAAGACTTGACTTGGCTGGTCGTGACTTGACTGACTACTTGATGAAGATCTTGTCCGAGCGTGGTTACACTTTCACCACCACTGCTGAGAGAGAAATCGTTCGTGATATCAAGGAGAAGTTGTGTTACGTCGCCTTGGATTTCGAACAAGAAATGCAAACTTCGTCTCAATCTTCCGCCATCGAGAAGTCTTACGAGTTGCCCGATGGTCAAGTCATCACCATCGGTAACGAGAGATTCAGAGCTGTTGAAGCTTTGTTCCGTCCTTCCGACTTGGGATTGGAAGCCGCTGGTATTGACCAAACCACCTACAACTCGATCATCAAGTGTGACCTTGATGTTCGTAAGGAGTTGTACGGTAACATTGTCATGTCTGGTGGTACTACTATGTTCCCAGGTATTGCTGAACGTATGCAAAAGGAGATTACTGCCTTGGCTCCATCTTCGATGAAGGTTAAGATCATCGCTCCTCCTGAGAGAAAGTACTCTGTCTGGATTGGTGGTTCTATTTTGGCTTCCTTGTCCACTTTCCAACAAATGTGGATCTCGAAGCAAGAATACGACGAGTCCGGACCTTCTATTGTTCACCACAAGTGTTTCTAAATAGGTTAGACTTTCTTTTCTTGGATCAAAATTTGTATATGAAAAGAATATTGTATTCTCAAAGTTCTCTCTAGATTTATCTCAAGTTTCATGTATTCATAATCTAAAACTCCAATGCTGGTGTTTTTCCTTTAAGCCTACCTAAAACACACTCCTTAGCATACCTGACGACAACGTTGTCCTCATGAAGCATGTCAAAACTTTCAGTTGCGTCCTTTCCAGCAAAATTCAAAATCGATTCGGCGCCTCCTGGGTGGTTGTCCAAGAAGGACGTTAAGTCAAGAACAACATTTTTAACGATACACCAGCAGTTCTCTTTTTTGTTGTGCTTTGCAACTTCTTCCTCCGTGAACTCCTTGTCTGGGATTTTGAATTGGCTTATCAGTTCCTTGGGCTTAGACTGAGCTGGGGATGAGCCTGATTTGCTTTGAGAGTTCTGGCTCTGTTTCTTGCCCTGATCTTCATTCTCACTTTCTCCACTTCCATCCTTGTTTCCCCAATCAATAACAACTCGTTGGGGATGGTTTGGGTCAATATGAAAACTAATCTGTTGCAATCTGTTGACTGCGGCGTTCTGTGGAGATCTGGAAGTTAATTTTTGCATAAAAAAGTTGGTAGCTTGATCGGCAGCAACTCGACCATACACTACGCACGCCAACAACGAAGATCCTCCCAACCTATTGTGTCCATGAACTCCACCTGCAACCTCACCACAGGCGTAAAGACCATCAAATGGCTTAAATTCGTCTCCCTCTTGGTAAAGAACATGAGTCTTATCATCAATCTTGACACCACCCATTGTGAAGTGTAAAACTCTCGTAATGAACGACACATAGAATTCCTTGTCAGGTCCGAATTCGAAAGGCGTAGTTGGGAAAAACTTCTTTCCGAACTTGTCTTCTACCTCACCTTTCGCTGCCTTGTTGTATTCGTCAATTTGAGCTTGTAAGGTGTCTTGGGAACAGCCAATTTCTTCCGCTAATTGTTTGCCAGTGATCTTTTTCATAAGATTTCTTTGCGTGTAGTGCTTGATGTGGAACAGCAATTGCTTCTCACTCTTTGTGCTCAACACCAATCTTAATGGGCCATTGCCAGCCTTGATTTGCTTTTCCATTTCGCCAGAAACGTAATCTCTGGTTCCAAGCTCGTCCACAAATCTTTCACCTTGGTTGTTGAAGATGATCCCTCCTTCTCCTCTAAGGGCTTCAGCACCGAGAAAGAGAAACCTGGGAGACTTTTTACCACTTATGACATCTTTGTCATTCAAATCAATCAAGCCGGTAGGATGCACCTGGACCTTATCCATGTCAATTCCCACTCCTTTGTTCTTCATGACAATTTTTTGGCCATCTCCAGTAGCATGATTTCCGTTAGTTGATGGCAAGTCGATAATATCTGGTCTGTATTTGCGGAGCAACGAGTTTTTAGTGAAATCTGCAGCATAGCCACCAGTGGCTAAGATCACTGGGCCCAATAACTCGTGTTTCTCTTTGTTATCAAGGTTCTTGTATTTCACTCCACGAATTGAAAAGTCGGAGCCTTCTTCCTTAACCAAATCAACAACTTGACAACGCTTTAAGATCATGACCCTATTGGGCTCCGACTCGGCCAAGTTTTCAAGTTGCTCAAGTAATCTGTAGGTGATAGCCATGCCAGGGAATTTGGCATCTTTACCTCTGTGAGTACGAGGTTGTGAATGGCCACCTAACCTCGACACCACAGAGAGATCTAGGTCAAACACTTCTTGGAGCCAGTGTACTGCATCAGCAGAATTGTAAGTCAAAACCTTGATCAAATCTGGATTGGCTCTATCTTTAGCTGTCTTCAATGTATCCTCATAAAATTGTTGTACAGAGTCCTTGATTGAGAGGTCTATTTGGGTCCTTGTTAACGCTCCATTGATACCAGAAGTCGCCTTTCCACTGTTTCCACTAAGAAACGATTGCTTGTCAAGAAGTACCACATTGGCACCCCGTAAGTATGCTTGATGTGCAGCAGATAAGCCAGCAAGTCCACCGCCAACAACGATAATAGGATTCTCGGGCACTTCAGACATTGCAACAGTATATATTAAATTGAGCAACAATTGTCGTGGAAAATATGTTTCCGGGTATTCGGTTCAACAAAACCCTTGAATCCAAACTCCGCGCGTAAGTGTGGGGTTGCTTACTTGCCGGGCGCAATTATTGGATGGAGTTGCCCGATTAGTGTGGGTGTAAGGATGTGCCAAACAAGCCATTTGCTGCAAAAAGGTGGGGTGATGCAGAGGGGATTGTTTCCTCTTTTAGATGGATGTGTTGGTGGTACAGTGTTTTTCATCTCGATTGCGCGCGGAAAATATCGCTTTTTCACAGTTGACGAACAAATTCGCTGGCGCAGCTATTCAATTTCGCGCGTGAAACGTTGATGAATTCGTTAATACTTTTTAGCAAATTCGAAGTATTTCATAATCATTTCGTATATATATGGCTCAGATTTCGCAAAATGGAAAAGTGAATTTCGGCTAGGTCCTGATGCGATTTCGCAAATGTTCTATAACCATTCGCTCTTACCTATAATGAAATGCGCCCCGGGATTTGTTGAAATCCTACTTGTTCTGACATAATCGATTTCTAAGTTTGGTAACACAAAGCTGTGGTGGAATTAACTGCTAGATACTTCTAAGTCAATTGTTGAAGCCCAGGGATTTCATGAGCCCTTATTATAGCTTTCAGGTTGAGGCGGATGACGCATCGCCTGAAGCGACGTTTCCAATTTAGTCCATTAAAAGTCTCAATGAGGATAACTAATTAGAACTTGCTCAAGCTTTGCCAAAGCCTCTATAGGCTTAGACAGTCAGCTGCTCAAGACAGTAACATTCTGTCCTCAATATTATTTATACCTCTCGAAAGAGATATAGGTCCAGCACTTGTAGAAAATACGTTCGTCTGGGCTTATCTAAGCAGCTTGATTTCTCAGAAGGTCCATTATCTTCACTTGCAGCGGTGTGCATGAAATTATGTAATCTGACAGCTATTGTATTTCTATTAGGAAGAGCTGTTTGTATCCCTTACTAGGAAGCCTATAAAAGGACACAAAAAGAAGTGCGGAGTATCATATCACTTTATTGAATATCAGAATGAAACTAAGAATTCTCAGCGTTCTTGTGGCATGCGTATGTTATGTCATCGCTGCTTTACCAGAGTTAGTAACCAACTTGGATGACAACATGATTTGTTATCTCCATATGTACGGATTGAGAACTGGTACAAGAGAGATAGGAGATGGGTATATGTCTGGTTTCTTTGACGAGAAAACAAATACTGTTGTTCCTCTTGTAAAGACCATCAAGAATACAGAGCAAGTGATCGGTCAAAAACAAGATTTTCAAGCGTTGACGAGCAATAACACTCATGCACCTAAGTATGATCCAGAGGTAGATTATTGTGCACAAGTGGAAAAATTACTAGAAATTGAAAAGAGCAATGGGAGTATTGAACCTAATACTCCTTATATTTTGAAAAGAGATAGCAGTAGTTGTTACAATCAAAAGTGTGTGAATGAAAACCAGTGTGCACCGCACGGCAAACGTTGTTCGGAATGTTACAATGATGAACATGGGACGTTTTGTATTTGGGACGCAGCAAGATCGCAGAGAGGAGGAACTTGTTATTACTGCTTAGGTATATTTCGGTTGTTATTGAGTCATTGTCATATTGCTAAAGGATTAAGACAATGTGCATAAGTGTTTCTGTTATGCCTAACTTAGTTTGAATCGATACTATGGCGAATTTCGGATGCTTCCAGAACGTATTTGAGGCGAAATCTGCACACTATACGGAACGAAATCAAGTACTGTACGCGAAAAAATCGATGGGTCGAGGCGGAATCTTCTCAAGATAATACGAAATTGAAAATTAGTCTTGCGAAAAGTGGAAACCCTGGTGCGCATCTCAATATAGGCGAGAGCGAAATGGTTATAGAACATTTGCGAAATCGCATCAGGACCTAGCCGAAATTCACTTTTCCATTTTGCGAAATCTGAGCCACGAAGATACGAAATGATTATGAAATTCTACGAATTTGCAAAAAAGTATTGACGAATTCATGAACGTTTCACGCGCGAGATTTAACTGCTGCCCCAGCGAATTCTGTTCTTCATCTGTGCGAAAAGGCGATATCTCCCGCGCGAAATCGAGATGAAAAACACTGTATTCAATGAGAAATGTATTGGAATGCGTAGGTTACATCGTCGTGTAGAGATTCTCTCTGTAGAAGCGAGTCCTCGTTTTTTGCCAAATCGTCCTTTTGCAAGTGATTCCAGGTGGTACTGTCACCGTAGAGCATGGCAGGAGCCTTCATTCGTTGTCCTGAAGGATCACATCTAGGACACTTGAATGTGTCATGAGTATCGCATAGAGTGTCTGGCTGAAATTGGAAGAGCTGACGAAGTAGATCCGCGCTGAAAAGTCTGTCCACGTCTTCTTTTTCGTCCACGACGCAGCTCGACAATGAGAGCTTCATTGATTGTCTTTGGAATATCTTCTCTTCGATAGTTCCTGTCAGAATAAATCGATAAATGAAGCAGTCTTTCTTCTGTCCATCTCTCCACACTCTTGCCAATGCTTGTTGATCCGCAGCTGGATTCCAATCAGGGTCAAGGAGAATGAGCCTGTTAGCTCCAATGAGATTAATACCGCAACCACCTGCTTTCGACGAGAGTAAAAAGATGAATTCTTGACCTTCGGGATCGTTGAAACGATCAACGAGTTTTTGGCGCTTATTGATATTCATCGTACCGTCAAGCCGGCAGCACTGGTATCTCTTGTAACGACACATTCTTTCTATCAAATCGAGGGTTTGAGTGTAATTCGATATCAACACTATTTTGTCGTCAGTTTCAGTGCGTATCTGATGCAAAAACCTCTCGAGCATAGCAAACTTGCCACTGTACCACGTCCTGATTTCCTTGTCCCGTCCACTTGATTCATAGTCGTCTGGTAAGATATCTTCGGAACCCAGGACCTCTTCCGGCAATCTTAAAAGTTCAGGATGGGTGCATAACTTCTTGAGCATACCAATTGCTTTCAATGGTTGAGATCCAGCACCCTTTAATAGTTTACGCACCTCCGGAGACGTGAGAAAATGCTTGTATAAAGCCTTCTGAAGAGGAGACAACTTGACGAAAACAACATACTCATACTTGATAGGCAAGTATTTCGAGAGGATATCGTTCGTCCGACGGATGATGAATTTGGAGACAAGTTTTGACAAGTCACTCAATTTTTGATCTCCGATTTCCTTCTCTTTATCAGTGGCATCAGCATCACGTCCACGCAAAATTGCATTTTCAAAGTTTTTACGGAAATCGTTCCGTGTTCCAAGATAACCTGGGTTTGAAAAATTCAACAATGAAAAGTATTCCGAGAGATCATTTTGTATGGGTGTGCCTGACAAAATAACCCGCCTTTCACACCGCAAGGCATTGAGAGCAGTGAAGGTTAATGAATCGCCGTTCTTCAAACGGTGCCCTTCATCTGCAAGCATGAGACCCACCTCTGTACCGGCGAGTTTATCAACGTTTCTTCGCAACGTTTCGTAAGATATAATTAGCACTGGACGCACAATGTTACGGCCAGAAGCTACTGACCATTGTTGTAATGCAGGGCCTAAGTCTGCGGACTTTGTAGACTTTCCATCGACAGCAAGTGGCGTCAACACACCCTCACCTAACCACTTGACTATCTCATTTGCCCAGTTTCGGACCAAGGAAGAAGGACAGACAATGATGCATTTCGAGATGGTCTTTGTACCACGAGGACCCTGTCGAAGAAGCGTCCACATCAACGCAATACATTGAAGAGTTTTACCAAGTCCCATTTCATCGGCCATTATACAACCTTTGGCCCTTGGGTCCATCAACCCCGAAGTACACCTGTAGAGAAACTTTACTCCAGCCACCTGATGGGGTCTTAATACTTTCGCTAGCCGTGGGTCGATCACGACGGGGACATCGGCAAACTTGGTTTGCGGCTTGTAGATGCCCAATATCTCTGCTAATGATCTATGTTGTGACTTGCGTCGCGATGAATCCTTCTTCGAGTCATCGGTTTCGGATTCGGGCGTGGGTTCCTTTTTATCCCCGTCATCACCTTGGTCAAAAGACTCCATTGTCGGATCATAAAGAACAATTGCAAACTCAGACGTAGGATCATGTAGTGGTCGAGGAGGAAGTATTGCTTGTCTACGAGTTCCAAGTGCCGGAGGTGGCCCTCCATTAGTACCGTACGTAGCTTCTCCTTTGGATCCTTTAGCAAAAGGGACACTGAACGACTTTTTGAGCTTTCGATCTCCATGGTCTACATTAACCAGTCTGGGTAGTAATGCACCAAACCGCTTATTCCGCACAATATTACCCTCTCCATCAACGCCATCTGCTTGTTCTCCGTTCCCGTCCTCAAACACCTCGACATAGTTCGTCACTTTTCGTGCTTTACGAGCAGGCTGACGAGACTCAACGTGGTTTGTGGCAAAGGGAACTTTAAACGGTCGTTGTAATCTAACAGCACTATCTTTCACAGGTGGTGGTCTTCTTTCCGGTGGCATTCCCGCACCGCTTCCAAGGGGAGTGGTAAACTCTTTCAAAAGAGGCCGTTTCATTATCTTAGAGGAGAGTGAAAGTTACGATCTGATTACGCAGCCAGGTAAACAACGCGCTACTAAAGGTCTGCGGGAGTATATGCAGTATTTTGTGTGGTGAACACAGATCGTGAGATGAACCTAGGGTCACTTCATTGATTATAAAAGAGTAAACTTATTTACCTTATTGAACCGCTTTTCTGAACACATTCTTTTTACATCTATACCATGGATCAACTTCTAGCAAGAGCAGGTAGCCAGGCAGTTACGTTTGCTATACGACTGGGCATCACGTTTGCTTCTGGATATGCGGTTCGTACTGTGACCAAATTTCTAGACAAGATCCCTGAATCGGAAAAGAAGAAGATCTTGGACAAAAGAACCAAAATAAGAATAAAAACTGACATTTTAGGCCAGGCAATGGACCTTATACGATTGGCGGCAGTCAGAGGGAACACATCTCTTGAACCATCACTCGAGCTAATTGAAGCGGTTACAAGCGAGATTGAGCGTTTTGAAACTAAGATGAGCTCTATTACAGAAACTTTGAGCTCACTTAACGAAAAGGAATCCGTGATAGAGGTCAATAGATGCATGGATAATTTGTTAACTCAGCTTGATGAAGCTATTCCGCTCCTCCAGTTGTCAATTGCAACATCTGGCACCACCATGAAGACAAGTTTATCACCTTCTGTTTCTCCAGGGCGGTTACTCCAGGCTTCTAGCTTAGTTGCAAAAGCAAATGAGTCTAAACTGCCATGTAACGTTGGACCTGTCTTTGACCTCGTTTACTACTCTGTGTTTTATAACCCGAGCAGGCTCAAGTACATTGACCATGAAGACAACAAGAAAGTAGATGTTGCCAAAGATGACGACTTGCTAGCCATTTCGTGGAAAGAAGAATACTCTCGTGCTCTGGTTCGTATAATATCCAACAACAAATCGTCTTTCCAGTACTCCTTGGAAATACGCGAGGACCACAATGATGGTCGGTATCATGATGAGAAACCAAAAGTAGTGGTATACGATGTCAAGTCCATCATGCGCATGTTCTTTTCTGCTTCTGGCAAACTTTTAAAACTCGAATCGAGAAGTGCACCAGTATTAATGTTCAAGCTCGTTGACAAGGACGAAAACGAAGAGTGGATAGCACTAGGTCAAGTAGGTGTCGGCGAATTCGATGACAGTGATAGCGAAGAAGATGAATCAGAGGACGAGGCGCCGGCACCACAAGAGGACAAGCACTTGTCACTCTCGCTTTTAGAATACCTTCTACGTTTATGTGCATTGCAGCAGAGAGATCAGACTTCCATTTTTGAAACGTCAGACGAAAAACTTGCTCTATATTTGCAAGATGAAAATGCTAAGAATACGATATATGAAACAAGCCGACAAAAGCGAGATCGACTTCTCGATGAAGCAAACACAAACAACGCCATTGATCTTGATTCCAATATGAACAGGCTAAAAAACCTCGACTTGCAGCTGTAACCACTACAAATTGACGTCCTTTGTCTCAAACTTAATTGGGCTCACGAGATCGTTGAACATGTGACCACCGCCAAAGTCGATGTTGTACTGTTCTTGTGGGTCTGGTACATTTACGGCCAATGGGGCTGACCCAGCTCCAGGCTCGTTGATTGGGGAATAGTTATGCGGTTGTGGCATACTTGCGAGCTGGTTTTCCATATAGCCATTTCTCGGGCCAGGTTGTGAATTTATAGCTCCAATAAACTTTTGATATTCGTTAAGTCTCAACTCGTGAGTCTCATTGAAAGGATTTTGATCGAAGAACTCTGCCTCTTCAAACATTCGATCGGATGGTTCAGGTCCGTGTGGGCCCCCTTCAGAAGCACTTTCAGGTAATGAGGGAGGGTAAGCTGCTGAATTGCTCTGTATGGGTCCTGAATGACCATTGAAGTAACTCTCGAGCTGTACGTTCAGTCTGCTCTGGTTTGTTGCAGTAGAGGAGTTTGAGGCCACAGACAATACTGACTCTGGTCGCTTTGGCCTAGCAGCTGAATGCTGGTGGCCCGAGTTTGGGACAATTGGTTTAGGATGATGGGTTCCTGGTAGAGTCAGAAGGGGGCGCGATTCGCTATCATCAAAACTGCATGATCCAACCAAAGGAAAGAGAGGAAACATTAACTCTTCTCCGGCTACTCTTCTGCCTTCTTTTGCGGGTGTGGTGTTGGCTTTTATGGTGTGTTGCAGTTCTTGTGGTGTTGCAGAGGATAAAGCAGCGTTACTTGAACTTGATGGTACCGGAGACGACGACGCAGAATTGGGCACATCCAGAAACTGCAGCAGGTTTATTTGCTGAGCAGGTATGAACTGGTCGTTTTGGTTTGAGAACAAGTCAAAAAGACCAGAATTAGTGTCAAGGTTCTCTGCCATGTCTTCAAACACATAGTTGGAGTTGAGAGAATCGTCGTGATTTGGCAAGTTGACACCCAACCCGTCGTCGTTGGGCGTGGAGAACAGTGCCGCTTCGCTATCGGAATGGTTCCTCAAGGTTTTCTTCTTTGATTTTTCTAACTTTTTAGAAGAAACGCAAGCACACGTACAATGTGTGTTCTTGTTGCATGGACACAGGGCCAAGTGGGTTCCCGGTGACTTTCCCTTCTTGTTGCACGTACAAGAAATGTGGACATTTTTCATCTTTCTTTGCTCTCGACAATGCAGACATTGCGAAGCAGGTCGACCCTTGGGTTTGATCATCGTTAGGGGCTGATCAGTATGGATACAAGTGGTAACACGATGGCCACGAATACACCGTTCGCAAGCGTATTTAACACCGTTGATCAAGACCATCTTCGTTGAGCAATCTATAATTGGGAAATCGTACAAAGGAATAAGTAATCAGGATAAAGAACCAAGTCTTATAAGGATCGTAGAACTGTCTCAGGCTACCGTAGACATACAAACTTGGGGGAAAAACAATAAATTCGGTGGCCCTAGACCAAACCCAAAATTATCCAATCAATCGATATTTTCCGATCGTTGGACACTTCACCGGAGTGGTGAAAGTTAGCAGCACAAGATTCGTGGCCGAGCACAAAGTGGGTTCGAGCCAGATGTTCAAAGAAGCTCCAACAAGCCTTTCGACACAGACAAGGTGAGATAGTTCACGATTTGCACAGCAAATGTCGCCAGAGGGTTGATAATAGTTTTTGGCTGATCAGTAATTTGGTAAGAATCGTACTTTTGATGGGTCCGAGAAGGCTAAAAAATTGACCCGGTCGTGCCACAACCGGGCTGTGTCAGCCGGGCCAGGCTTGTCGGACCCACCTGCAGGGACAGAAAAGTTGGGAAGGAAAAAGAAAAGCGCAACGGGTACACGCATAAGTGGCAAATGAGTCACGCCAAGATGTGATCAGCTTATTCTTACAAAGTTAAAAAGGTCTTTGTTTGAGACGTCGCAGTATGATGCGGCTACTCGGATGTGTAAGACGCAGTCACAAAAGTCACCACCAAAGGGCACAGTTACGAGAATATTTGCTATACACGATTTTGTGACTCTGCCGTTTTGATTACCATTCCGTTCTGAATACCATTTTATATAAAGGGGCCTTCTCTAATTTGCAGCTATTGTGAAACAGCAAACGGGCAGTCCCTGCATACACATACATGACCTCATGCCAAAAATACCCGCCAATTATGTAAGTGGAACATAAGCTGTGGGGTTGGAGCATGAGCCGCAGACCCCACTGGCGATAAGTATTTTGACAGGTTTGGCCGAAAGCTTTTTTTTGCTTTTACAATCATTTTGAAGGGCGGAAGTGTTTTTGAATCATGGTGGAATACAGCGAGGTTGAACAACACAACAATAAAAAGGACTGCTGGGTGGTAATTCATGGCAAAGCTTATGACGTTTCGGACTTTCTTGATGAACATCCGGGGGGTTCAGGGATAATTTTGAAATATGCCGGCAAGGATGCCACCAAGGCGTTTGATCCAATTCACCCTGGTGACACATTGACCAAGTATTTGGCCCCAAAGTACCATAAAGGTGAGGTTACGGGAAAGCCACTGAAAAAAGCAAAGTCCAAGAAAGGGAAAATCGACGCCAGCGGGCTGTCAATGGCCAAAGCAAGCGGCGAAACGGGCGGTCAGGAAGCTTCAGCTCCTGGTGGTGGATCTCATGCTGGTTCCTCTCAGACTTCTCAGACCGGTTCGTCGGCTGGAAACGTTGTGGACGAGTTTGATGTTGAGTATGACGAACAAGACGATAAAGATCCATTTCCATTGACTGTGAGCGCTGAAGGAACTACAAGCGTGGAAGATGAAGATGAATACGATGATGACGAAGATGATCCACCATCCGAGCACGAACTTAAGCGTCGCCAATATCTTAAGAAGATGCCTGATTTGGGACAAATCTACAATTTGAATGATTTCGAGTTTGTGGCTCGCCATACCATGGAGAAGGTGGCGTGGGCATACTACTCCTCGGGCAGTGACGATGAGATCACTCTTCGTGAGAATCACTTGTCCTACCACCGAATCTACTTCAAGCCTCGTATCATGGTGGACGTTACCAACATTGATCTTTCAACAACTATGCTCGGATGTAAGACCTCAGTGCCCTTCTACATTACTGCAACCGCATTGGGAAAGTTGGGTCACCCGGAAGGTGAGGTTGTCTTGACCAAAGCTGCTGCTAAAGAAGGTGTTATACAAATGATCCCAACACTTGCGTCGTGCTCTTTTGACGAAATTGTGGATGCAGCGACCGACGAGCAAACACAGTTCCTTCAATTGTACGTCAATGCTGACCGTGAAATTTGCCAAAAAATCGTTCAGCATGCTGAGCACCGTGGTATCAAAGGGCTCTTCATCACAGTAGATGCGCCCCAGTTGGGCCGTCGTGAGAAAGACATGAGATCCAAAGACATCGCTGACTTGAGTCACGTTCAGGGAGAGGGAGATGATGCTGACAGATCACAAGGTGCAGCCAGAGCCATTTCCTCTTTCATTGACACTGGTCTTAACTGGAAAGATATCGCTTGGTTCCGTAGCATTACAAAAATGCCAATTATTTTGAAAGGAGTTCAGACAGTGGAAGACTCTTTGAAAGCGGTCGAGCACGAGGTCGACGGAATTGTTTTGTCTAACCACGGTGGTAGACAATTGGAGTTTTCTCCACCTCCAATTCAGGTTTTAGCTGAATTGATGCCAATTTTGCGGGAACGCAAACTTGATACGAAAATGGAGGTATACATAGATGGTGGTGTAAGAAGAGCTTCTGATGTGCTAAAGGCAATTGCCCTTGGTGCCAAAGGCGTGGGTATTGGTCGCCCATTCTTGTACGCCATGTCCACCTATGGTGTCGATGGTGTGGTTAGAGCCTTTCAAATTTTGAAGGATGAAATGATCATGAACATGCGTCTCTTAGGTGCTACCACGATGGACCAGTTGAAACGAAAACTTTGTTGACGTTAGAAGCTTGAACAGATATATTCCAGAGGACAAGCTTTTTGGAAAAGTCTACGAACCATTGGAATCGCCAGAATTCAAAGACTCCAAGCTTTAGTAGAGTGAATAGAAGTTTACAAGCTACTAATTACAACCTCTCATCATTGACCATCGTACATGAAGATGAACAACTTACTCCATCATCTGAAACCTATGGTTGATTCTGTACAGGAACTGGCCGTCTCGTCCTGCACTTGCGCGACAAGACCTGTAGGGCGTCACCCGGCTTTGACATGTGAAAAATTTTGTAGGTTATTCCTTTATTGCCTAAACGCGTTGATTAACCTTATTCCAAAACCCCGGATTCGCCCAACTACCTTTTTGTAGTTTCCGGTGTTAACTCATTCCCATTGAAATTTCCCCTCCATTCTCGGAATTGACGGCCTGCATATTGCTGTTATTGTGCTACTCACTCCCAAACGCGTTCGTGTTCTCAACGAGATCAAACTTCGCTCAAACAAACATCGTGCGAAGTTGAGGCGGTGGCTGAAAATCATTAATATCCAACCAAACAGCTTCGTAACTATTGGTGTACGATAGAAGTCTCGATAATATTAGTGACGAAGACCTTCAACTCAAAGTCAGTGAAAAAGCTCGCTTCGTAGTACACTTTTTAGATCACCACAATTACGACCGATTATCTTTTCTAAGTAATCGAGTGTACTTGAATCTTTTAAGCTAAGTACGCGTGTGCTCACGATGGTTTCCGCATACGATGTTGGCACTAGGTGCTGGTACCCTGACGAGAAACTTGGATGGATCGGTACGGTTGTGAAGTCAAACAAGAAAAGCGGAGACAAATATGTGCTCGAGCTTGTCTCCGAAAATGACGAATCTCAAACCTTTGAGGTTCAGTCGGATAACTTGAGCGAAGAGAACGACAAACTTCCTCCTTTGCGAAATCCTCCCATTTTGGAGGCTGCCGAGGATTTGACGAGTCTTTCCTATTTGAATGAGCCTGCTGTGCTTCATGCCATCAAACTCAGATACTCCCAGCTCAATATTTATACATACTCGGGTATTGTCTTGATTGCAACCAATCCGTTTCAAAGAGTGGATCAGTTGTATTCCCAGGATATCGTTCAAGCATACGCAGGGAAGCGTAGGGGCGAGTTAGATCCTCATTTATTCGCCATTGCTGAGGATGCCTATCGATGTATGAAGTCAGATAACGAGAATCAAACTATTGTTGTCAGTGGAGAGTCAGGTGCCGGTAAGACTGTTAGTGCCAAGTACATTATGCGTTACTTTGCGTCAGTCGAAGAAGAATCTGAATTGGAAAATAACATAGGAACGGAGCACAAGTCAGATATGTCTGAGGTCGAAAAACAGATTCTTGCCACCAATCCAATCATGGAGGCTTTTGGAAATGCGAAGACAACCAGAAATGACAACTCCTCACGTTTCGGTAAGTACTTGGAAATTTTGTTTGATGAGAGTACTTCCATTATCGGTGCACGTATCAGAACCTATCTTCTTGAGAGATCAAGATTGGTCTTCCAGCCTAAATCTGAACGAAACTACCATATCTTTTACCAGCTTTTAGCTGGTATGGAGAAGGACGACAAGGCAAAGTTGAGTTTATTAGAGGCTCATGACTATAGATACACGAATCAAGGAGGAACCCCCGTTATAGATGGCGTCGACGATGCTGAGGAGTTTAGAATCACTAAGGATGCATTGGCTTTGATTGGCATTGGCAATGACCAGCAGTTTGAGATCTATAAAATTCTCGCTGCTTTATTACACATCGGAAACATTGAGTTCGCTGCAACTAGAAATGATGCTCATTTATCCTCGGATGAGCCAAATTTGGTGAAGGCCTGTGATCTTTTAGGCATCGACCCAGTTGCCTTTTCCAAGTGGTGTGTGAAGAAACAAATCACTACAAGGTCCGAGAAGATTGTCAGTAACTTGAACCATAGTCAGGCGCTTGTGGCTAGAGATTCCTTTTCGAAGTACATCTACTCAGCATTGTTCGATTGGTTGGTAGACTATGTCAACACTGACTTATGCCCTCCCGAAGTGGAGGCGAAAATCAAGCTGTTCATCGGTGTTCTTGACATTTATGGGTTTGAGCATTTCGACAAAAACTCCTTCGAGCAGTTCTGTATTAATTACGCTAATGAGAAGCTTCAACAGGAGTTCAATCAGCATGTGTTTAAATTGGAGCAAGAGGAGTATGTGAAAGAAGAGATTGAATGGTCATTCATTGACTTCGCTGACAATCAACCCTGCATCAACTTGATTGAGAACAAGTTGGGAATTTTAGCCTTACTTGATGAAGAATCTAGGTTACCCTCCGGTAATGACAAGTCTTGGATCGAAAAAATGTACCAAACTCTTGACAAGGCACCCACTAATAAGGTTTTCAAGAAACCGAGATTTGGTCAAACAAAGTTTGTCGTCAGTCATTATGCGCTTGACGTTGAGTACGATATCGACGGATTCATAGAAAAGAACAGAGATACTGTTGGCGAAGGTCATCTCGATGTCATGAAGAATTCCTCGAATCCATTATTGCAATCGATTTTGGCGATCATTGACAAAACGGCTTCAGCGGTAGATGCCTCAGCATCGAAAACAAGATCTTTGGCAAGTAAAAAGCCCACCTTGGGTTCGATGTTCAAAAACTCATTGATTGAATTGATGAAAACTATTGATTCAACGAATGTGCATTATATCAGGTGTATCAAGCCCAATGAACTAAAGAAGGCCTGGGAATTTGATTCTCTTATGGTTTTGTCACAGTTGCGAGCTTGCGGTGTGCTTGAGACAATTAGGATATCGTGTGCTGGATTCCCTTCCCGATGGACATATGTTGAGTTCGCCGATAGGTATCGCATTTTGGCTCCATCGGAAGTTTGGATGAAGGTTATGAGTGAAGAGACAACCCAGGAGTCCGTTACTAGTTTGTGTGATACCATTTTGCAGCGCAACATTGACGACAAGTCAAAGTACCAACTTGGTAATACCAAGATCTTTTTCAAGGCTGGTATGTTGGCTCATTTCGAAAATTTGAGATCAGAGAAGTTGTACAGGTCGGCCGTGATGCTTCAAAAGAATATGAGACGGTATGTCTATCGTAAGAGATACTTGGATATTCGAGCATCGCACATTGCTCTTCAAGTTTTGGCTCGTGGTAGAGTCGTACGTGCTCAAGTGAAGAGAGAAATGGAAACCAATGCTGCCATTAAGATTCAAACTGCTATTCGAGGCTTCGTCGCCAGACAGCAATTGCAACGGACTTTGAAGTCAGTGATTGTATTACAAAAATCTATCAGGGGTAAACAAGTCAGACACGCTCTTCTTAAACAAAGGACGGAAAATTCTGCAGTGACTATTCAGAGCGCAGTTCGTGGGTATGCGGCAAGAAAGGCTTACAAGAAGTCAAGAAAGGATGTCGTATTGATTCAGTCATGCATAAGAAGACGCCTTGCAATTGCTGAATTGAAACAGCGTAAAGTCGATGCTAAATCTGTCAATCATTTGCAGGAAGTATCGTACAGGTTAGAGAATAAGGTCATTGAACTCACACAATCCTTGACTTCGAAGATCCAAGAAAATAAGCGTATGATAGAGGATATCACCAACTTGAAGAATTTGTTGCAACAGTCTAGTACTGCTCATGAGACCTTAAAATCAAGGGAAATTGAATTCAATGAAAAGTTTGATTCTCAAAACGCCAATCATCAAGAAGAGATTCAATCCTTGAATAAAGAACTCGAATCGATTAAGGCTGAATATTCAGCGGCGGAGGAAAAGATAGAGAAATTGTCGAAGGAACAAGCAGAGTTGCGACAAGAGGTCCTGCGTAAGATTGCAGAATTGAACGAGACGAAGGATGCTTTGGTGAAGCGTGATACTATTGAGATTGACTTAAAATCTCACATCGAGCAATTAAAGACGGAATTAGCTACACTTCAATCTCAACAACAGAGAGGTGGCATTGTGAATGCCAAAACCAGAAGTGCAAGCAGTAAGCGTCATAGTAGCGCATTGGCATGGAACTCTCCAGCCTCGCTTGATCAAAACAACCGCCCAGTCTCTGTCATAGCTGTGTCGCCAGATGACGTCGCTAATGTTGACGATATCAATGATGAGTTGTTCAGATTGTTACGTGATTCAAGACAATTACATAGGGAGATTGTCGATGGTTTGCTCAAGGGTTTGAAGATCCCACCTGCTGGCGTTGCAGCCGATTTGACCCGAAAGGAAGTATTATTCCCAGCTCGTATAATCATAATCATCATCTCGGATATGTGGCGATTGGGACTCACCAAGGAGAGTGAGGAGTTTTTGGGCGAAGTCCTAGCTGCCATTCAACAGCTCGTGTCTGTCTTAAAGGATGATGATGTGATTCTGAATGGTGCGTTCTGGTTGTCCAACACTCATGAGTTGTACTCATTTGTGTCTTATGCGCAACAAACGATTATTTCGAACGACACTTTATCTCATGAAATGAGTGAGGCGGAGTTCGATGAGTACTTGAAGTTAGTTGCGGTGGTCAAGGAAGACTTTGAATCTCTCTCTTACAATATCTATAATATGTGGATGAAAAAGATGGAAAAAGATTTGGAAAAGAAAGCGGTGTCTGCTGTTGTCCTTTCACAATCATTGCCAGGATTCATGGCTCCGGAAAACTCGCCCTTTTTGTCAAAGGTGTTTTCTCCTGGCATACAATACAAGATGGATGATATTTTGAGCTTCTTTAATGCTGTCTATTGGTCCATGAAATCATACTTTATTGAGCAAGAAGTAATGACTGAAGTGATAATCGAATTATTGCGTTTCGTGGATGCGTTGTGTTTCAACGACTTGATCATGAGACGTAACTTCTTATCCTGGAAACGTGGATTGCAGTTGAATTACAATGTCACCAGATTAGAGGAATGGTGCAAAGGTCATGAGATACACGAAGGTTCTGGCTATTTGAGTCACTTGCTTCAAGCCGCTAAGTTATTACAACTCCGAAAGAATACCCCTGATGACATTGAAATCATCTACGAAATTTGCTATGCCTTAAAGCCAATTCAAATCCAAAAGCTCATATCACAATACTTCGTGGCAGACTATGAGACTCCTATAGCCCCCAACGTGTTGCAGGCTGTGGCAGATAGGGTTAAGACAACGGACGGAACCAACAGCGACGAATTGTTCGAAGTTGTTTCTACCGACGGTCATTTCAATGATCCATTTAGATCAGTGAACTTGCGGCCATTCTCTAGAGTGGAAGCATATGTTCCCGCATGGTTGAGCTTGCCTGTTATCAGGCGCATTGTTGAGCTAGTCGCTAAGAATGCCTCCGTTCAAGAAGCAAACTCAATAAATGGAAGGGAAGAGATGGAATCGCCGTTGCAAAACGGTGTTACTACAGAGGCATGACGCATATTTCGTTCTTGTGTTCGATCACAGAAGACGACTGTTTATATCGGTTTATTGTTTCTATAATATGATTAATGCATCTGTGTTTGATTTATTACTGGTTTGTCTTACTGAATTCGGCTGGAGTCTTCGTTTTCATTTGCAAAGCATGAACACCTTTATTTTGCAATTCATCACTTAATAATTGGTAGACCATACGGTGTCTCGTTGGCATGTTCTTGCCTTCGAATTCATCGCTCACAATCTCGATCTGGAAATGAGATTCAGTCGTGTTTGTCGCTCCTCGAATCCCCGCATGATGTGCATGCTTGTGAGAATCATTTTTGATTTTTAACGAAGTAGGTTTAAATTGATCCTTGAGTTTTGCGGTCATACAAGCTTCAATAGGACCAGGCTGCGTACTTGTAGACATCAGTTTGCGTATAATGAAAGAGGATCTGTGTATTGTCGAGCGAAAATGCAAGAGGCTCATGGTTAGTTGAATCTCAGCTTGTACTCTAAATACCATTACCGGTATATACACGCAACACCATAAGGAGTATTTTGTTCATTACATACATATCTAATCTAGCGGATAATTGCCCTGGTGCGAGCCCCGTGTCCGTCTTGGAGCTGTTGGGAGTACAGTTTGTGGCTGGGAATGTCAGAAGGCTTTGGCTCAGCGCTGTAAAACATGTAAATTCTAGCAAATAAATATGCAGTTGGAATAAGGAAAAGCCAGCAAACGTTGACTGTTCCTAAAGTAGCCAAAACTGTCTCAATGAACCATGACAAATAAATAGTCAAGTAATAAGGTCCCAAAGCTGGGGTCTTGCTGATTCGAAGATCTTTTCCAGATCTGATCAATCTAGTGGTCCCCTGCGCGTCCGTCACAAAGCCTGGGTTTCCCATGTTATCGAGTGTACCATAGCAGAAGATTGCAGCTCCACTTGACCAGAGGAAGGGCTTTAGCTTATCGGGCTGGAATTTGAGTAAGCAGATAAATGTTGTTGCAATAACAGCGACATTAATCCTGAACATGTACCGCAAGATACGAAGGTTGGACTCAGCGCATTTTGGATCCACTAATGTGTGTACACTCATTATTTTTTTAAGTTGTTGTTCGGACTTTTCCAGCTATATAATAGTCGTGACAGAAGTTCATGTGAGATGTGTTCCCCTCCTTGTATGAGTGGGGAAGACTTCCACATGCTCGGTCCTGCACCGTAGATTAATTCGGAGATCGGTGCGCGTCAGGAGTTGTGAGGCTGTCAATTGTTAGCGCCGTGCATGCTTTGACACTTGATTCTAGAATTCAAGTGCATATGTCAGTTCACTTTGGCCTTAGCGTTGGTTAGTGGCGATAAGACAATCATGGCGAATTGTTTTGCCATGTACTTGAACCCGTATTCGTAAACTCGGAGCACCACCTGCGGTACCATGGGATGGCGGAGGTACTGAAGTATTGTTGCGTCAGTAGATTCAATGGTCATTTTCATGTGTTTGCTGGAATTGTACCTCATCACCAGGAAGAATATGATTGCAAACGATACGAACACCTTGGTGGTGCGAAACATGGGGTTGCCAAAAATATAAAGCACCGAGAATGGAAGCGAAATTAACTCGAGCACTAATAATCGCAATTCGGAGGTACAAGCAACCAACATCGCCCTATCGTTGTAGAGAGCTCCAGCTTGAGTCAATGTAGCATCAATTTGTTGCTTCCTATCAAATGAAATTGACATTAGGGGCAAAAGCTCATTTTGAAAATAACCAATTGCATGAAATATTCCATACACAGCGTATGGGTAAAGACCTCCACTTATGGGACCAATAATGCCGCGAGTGAAATAGAAAACTGTCGCAAGTAGGAAATAGTGCACGTTGTCATCCTTGAAAAATTTGATACGAGAATTTCTATCCTTGAATATGGCAAGAATTTGTGAGATTCGCTTTCCTTTGAAATGGACTTGACCAATCACTATAGCGTATGTTATGAGCACTGAGAAGAGGCAGATGTCATAGAATGTTCGTGACGAGCTAAATATCGAGACAACGGTGTGTATGGAAGTACACACTACTATCGAGCATTGTCCCACGAACCACCAAAAATGTTGCGATTGCAACAATGAAATTGATCTTGAGAGATTGGTTCTTCGTTGAACTTTCGTTTGAGGCGGCATTGGACCAGAATTAGGTGTTCCTTTGCTACACTAGATATTTTTTCGCCACTGGCAATGTCTGCTTTCAAGATTGAACAAGGAAGGTGAATCAATTTTCTGCATACGACGTTGGTGCTGTTGAAAATAGAGGTGTCCGAACCAGAACACCTCGTAAATCAAGCAGCTTAGATAATGTGGTTGTTTCACACTAAATGTGGATGTTTCAAGTATGAGGGATGTTTCAAGAAATCCCTCAAGTACCACATCTGAAGATCTATAAGTATGGGCTCATCTGTTGATAGAGCTCTAAGAATTGTCTATAAGTCTTTTAGCCTTCAATTCCCAAGAACCCCAACTTAAAACCTAAAGTACCTTTGAACTTGATTATGTCAGAACAAGTAGGATTTCAACAGGTGCGGAGTCCTGTACATGGCTTGCTATCGTCTCTAAAGCCTGACATCAAGACTTGGCAAACGCTAAGTAGTCAAGTAATAAGCGTGAACAAAAGGAAATTGAAAGATGTTTTTCTTTCTCATTGGAGGTATGTATGGGCTGCTCTGTTCTTATCAACTGGCTTCATGGCGTGTTCAATCACCTTTATTGTCCTGTACATAACGTTTAGCAACTGCGGTCACTTGATCACCAACCTGGAACGTTGAATTTAAAAGCAACGGCCAGTTGTTGATTTGAACGCACATACATCGAGAAGAATATGGATTTTTGTTTCTTTCTCATTGGATGTAAGCATGAGCCACTTTGGAACCAATTGGGCACAAGATTGATGAGTTTTTACTCTCATTAGTACCGAATTTTGCAACTACTAACATTCCAGTCAAAGAGTTCAACAAACCAATCGATGGAATTGGTAACATGGCATGCTATTGTGGAAACTGCCATAACCAATCAGCACATGCCGTTCGCACGATCAATGCAGTGACGCTTTTCTTTATTCCGGTGCTTCCCTTCTATTTCAGCAAGCGCTTGAAATGCTCAATCTGTGGTGCTACGGGTGATATCAACAAGGATGTCATTAACAGAATGAAGAACGGCCAACCTGCTGCTATAGGATGAGATTAACGAGTGAAAGTGCACTTCGTATTTGCCAATAGATTTTCTAAAAGTTGCAAGAGTAGTGAATATTATATTTATTGGATTCATGTTCATTATGAATGATAATGACTGATGTAGACTATCGCCTTACACATAGCCGCAGTCGGTAAATGCATAGATGGTTGTAGACAGTGTGGTAAAACCTAGAAGTTGATGATTTTCATTGTTGCATACCCCACTGTCACGATAACAACATAAGCAATGATCGAACTTGGAACACCGCGAGTTATAAAAGTTCCCACAGTCAAGTATGGTTTGCCAAATTCATCAGTCATACAGATAGCGGTTACATTTGGAAATCCGGACGTGGGAAGACCCATGGCAGCCGAGCACAATAATGCACTAGCCATAATCAAAAGTCGGGGATGTGGTTCAGGTAATTTGTTTCCGATTTCAGAAACAAGTGGAATAATAATCAACGCTGCCACAGTGTGAGATACAAACGTTGCCATCGTGAGTATGAGCAAACCAAATGTAAGTGTAACACCAAATAATGAAAGGTCCTCAACTTCAGCCTGAATGGTTTGTGCAATTGTCGATAAGAGCCCTGATGATGCTACCGCCTTACCCAAGGCAGTTCCACCCATAGCAAGTATGACAATGTTCCATGGGTAATTATTGAAGTCCTCAGTGGCTAAAAGGCCTGGACCGAAGAATAGGACTAGCGGTATCAAGGCTATGATTCCCATTTCGCCAAAAATACCTTCCAACCTGGAAGCAATGCACCACAAAAGTATAGTCATGATAGTAACTCCCAATATGTACCATTGTGTCAATGTGAATTTATCGTCAATGGTTCTTATGGACACTAAAGTGGTGTTTTTTGAATTGCATTTAAACGCAACGAGAAGAAATACCCAAATAAGGACAAGGGTAATTATGCATACAGGGAGCGCAACAACAAACCACTGACCCCATGAAGGCTGTGGGTCCATAGAGCCAATTGCTATCATGTTCTGGGGAGATGCGATAGGCGACGCCATACCCCCAACATTCGACGCCAATGCAATGCCCAAGATTAGCGCATCGATAAATTGGGAATCTTTAGGTAGGGTACGCAATAACGGTTGTATCAAAGAGAAACAAAGCACTGGCGCAGCGACATTTGAAATCCACATAGAAGCAAACAAAGCCACTCCCATTATAGTCAATAGAACCGTTGAAGGATTGGTTCCCGCTTTAGATAAAATCCAAGTGGACATGAGTTTTGCAATTTGATACTTCGATAACGCAGCGGCTAGTGTGAAACCCCCCAAGAGTAAAAGGATGACAGAGTTCCACATCGTTGACAATACGTACTTTGATCCATCCAATGCATCCATAACCGATCCATCATCATTCTTAAGGACTTTGAAGACAATGATTAAGAGCGGGATCAAGAGCGAAGTGACGAAAAGGGGAATTGCCTCGGTAGCCCACAACAATGATGCACAAATTAATAAGGCAAAACAATTTTTTTGTTCTTTGTCTTCAAAGGGTGAAAAGTTCAACAATATTATAGTTAGAATCGTAATCAGTACTATCTTGATCAATGTAGGATTCTTCAATGAAAAGTCAAAGTTTAATGCGTTTTTCGCTGACAGTTTCGTATCAGCTCCATCAGCACGAGGTGCTTGGGCTTTTCTTTCCAAGCCGATCATGTCCCTCCAAACAGTGTTTCGCTCCCAGATTACATGCTCACGCAAATGAATTGACAATTCTGAACGAGCAGCTTCATAGTCATCACCATGGTTACAGATTAGAGCGTAAAGCTTAACCAAAGAATCTAAATGCTCCGTTAGCTTCTCAGTGGTGGAAGCTTTGAAGATGAAAGACCTCGTAGGAAGAGTTTCCAAATACTCATCTTTTAAATGAGTGTTCAATGACTTGTCAAACTTTTTCAAAGCCTTCTTGAACCCAGTATGGTTGAGTTCTATGTATGACTTCAACTCAGAAAGTGTAGTATACAATCCGATTACCCTCTTTCTAAGAATCACCCTGCTTTCCGATAAAAGCATCAATTGAGGAGGTAATTGGTTGGTTATCTCCCCCCATATTGCACTTGTCTTGGGTGACTTCAAATAGTCCTCTATGTTTTTACTTTGCAGTCCGTTAGATTTGAGCATAGGTCTCTCCTCTGGATTATAATTTTGAATGTCATCATCTTCCTCGCGACCATCCTCCCCTTCCGTGAATTCAGTATCGGGGTCAGTAACGGCGTTGTAGTCTCCTGAAGCATCAGATTCCGTCCTTTCTCTACTAGCTTGCAGCTTTGACCGCGATCTGGTCAATCCAAAATCACTGAAGCTCGAGGGCCTTCTCTTCGATGCCCCTTCGAGTTCAGCTTCAAAAGTCTCAATGTCTCTCATTAACTCTTCAGTATTTTGAAAGGCAACAGCCTCTGTTGTTTTATAAAATTCATCAATTTTTTTCAACTCGGCGTCCAAAGCAGCAAGGAAGACCGTCGATCCATCCGGTCGATCTCCATGCTCATGAGGAGCTAAATAACTAGATTCAAGATCCCCGCCATGATTCCTCAACGAATCCCTTTGTAAAGAATAAATTAACTTCTTTAAGGTGGTATATGCAATGTACTTGGAAGACCACTCTGGAACAGCATTAAACTGTAAAGAGTGGGAAAACTTCATTGGCTCTCCCGAGATATCGAATGGGTGGTTCTCTTGCGTATTCTTTCGGTATGTACACGCCCAAATTAATTCCTTGGGAAAACCTAAAGGGGATGTGAAATTGGGAATTATTGAGGAGATGAGCCTGGAAATGACTTACAACGTGCACATTGGCAACAAGGTAGGTATTTAAAGAATTTACTTCGATGCTAATATAAATTCTAATTTTGCCAAATTCTACGATTTTACTGTGTACCAGCAAACTTGCAAAGATAGCAACAGAGGTCACATTCTTAGTACAATATTCAATACAATACTTTAGCATCATTATCTGAGCAAGTATGCGGTTGTATAACCGAGAATTGTCTCAGAATTTTGATTAAAACAAGATAGTGCTCGAACGATGCTATCGCGTTCCTGGTTTTTCCGAAATGACGTAGTCGTGCGCCTCGAGCCCGAAGATTTTTGCGGGGGTTTGGGCGGGGCAAGAAAACAAATTCTTATAAATCTCCAATACGCATGTCCTTGTGGCAACAGGTGCGGAGTTTAATATTGAATAGAAATTATAGAGATTCACAAGTCAACTTCCCCATTGTTGAAAGTCCGAAGTCACCTGTTTCTGGACTACTATATTTTGTTGCACGCCACTTCTACATTTTTGCAGCGACTGCCACTGCCTTCTATATCCTAATACCATCCTTTCCATACCTTAGGTCGAACAAGAAGATGTTTACCAAGCGACCCGATAAGCATACCACTGGGCTTATAAATTTGAGGAATGATTGTTTTGCTAACTCAACACTTCAGGCATACCTGTCACTTCCGGGACTTACGGAGTATTTGAACCAGTTCATATCCGAATTTGAAAAACTTGCTCAACTCATGATAAAACACAATATCGCGGAAGACTTGAAAGTTGATACCAGTGAAGGTACCAAATCAAGGGATAAGAACTCTAAGTTCGAAATTCCTTTGCATATTGCATTAGCGGAAATTGTCAAAAAGTTACAAGAAACTCAGATGACTACAAGAACAATTTCAGTGTGGACATTTTTACATTCATTAGAGAAGATTTTTGATGCTAGAATATCAAGGTCTCAGCACGATGCACACGAATTAACCCTATTGATTAACGAAACTTTGGAAAACGAAAATGTAAAAATTGTGAAAAACTACCGCCTTTGGTGCTCTAAATTTCAGGATAATGTTCATGCTATTGATGAGTTGGAGAGTATTGATATTCCAGAATTTCCATTCAGTGGCTTGATCTTATCGCAAATGAGATGCTTAACTTGTTCTCACGTTTCGAAACCGAGCTTTTCCCCCTTTTTGATGCTTACATTGCATACTCCTCAAAAAGTTTCGACCAACCTTGAGTCCATGTTAGAGGAAAACGACTCAGAGTCCATCGAAGGGTATCAGTGTATCAAATGTAGGGTTTCAAAAATTGTCGAAAATGAGATGCATCGGCAAGCACAGGGTAAAAGTGTATCACCTGATGAGGCTGATTTCATTAACAAACTCAAAGAACTTGATAGTGATCCTCAATTGAGTATCAATAGGGACCTTGAAAGCAGTTTGGAAGACTACGTAAAGTCTTACAAAAAGATGGAGTAGATATCTCCCAAGTATCTTCCACCGTACTCAGAAAAGCGCTGATTTTGAAGCCACCAAAAGTCTTCGGCATCCACCTTTCACGGTCTAGCTTTAATGGTGTTGAGGTAACAAGGAACCCATGCAGAGTTACATTCAATGATAGTCTTTCGCTTTCAATTGGGCAGGAATACTATCATGAACTCAAACAATTTCAATCAGCTGCGCAAGAGGAAGGATCTACCGGGGGCCAGCAGATCAAATCAAATGTTTTGACAACTGACGTAAACGATATGGAGGATGAGGACGTTCAAAGGGAAGATTTCGAAGAGAATGGAAATGACGAAGATGACGAGGAAGAGTCCGCGGGTATTAGCACAGCCAGTGAACTTGATACCTCTGATACGTCTTCGCTCACTTCCGCCGAATCTGTTAATTCACTTCAGCAAAGTACGACGACAGCGGCTACACTCCGTGAAAACACGAACATTAAATTTGCACCGTCCAAGACAAGCGGTGGTTCACCAGAATCCTCGGCATTCAAGTCCCCCGACACTTTGAACAACACGCCTATCACGGAGGATCAGACTGATAACTTAAAAAGGCACTTCCAGAATTTCAAGTTCAACGAGAATGATAACTACAAGTATAAGCTAAAAGCTATGATTCGACACCAAGGATCTCATACTCAAGGTCACTATGAATGTTATAAGCATAAGCCACTTTTGTCAAGGACAGAGAGGGTAACATCATCAAGCTTTCGCCTGAGATCAAGTACTCTCCAATGGAAAGTGCCGATGTTCAATCTTCTCTAAGCACTGGTGATATGAAGAGTAAGGAACTGAACACTTCAGCAGAGCCAGAGAAAAAAAGAAAGTTCACTTTAACTGGTAATAGGCGTCCATCGATTGCCCCTTCAGATGAAATTTCAAATAACAAGCCTCGCACGTACTCAGAGAGTTCCAATGCATCCTCAGCCACGTCAGGCTCTGACCAGGAATTCAGCAATGGTGGATTCCGGAGAAAGCTTTCAAATTTCATGGGAAAGCGACCATCAGTATATCAAGCTCATACGGAGGAAGCCAACATTCAGGAAATTATCACATCGGGTTTGACCACACCAGCAGAGATTCTTGTTAACGACATCGATTCTGGATATTTCAACGCTCCTGTCAATTCCCAAGCTTTGATGAAGACGCTAGAAGAGCAACAACAACTTGATGAGTCAACGAAAGAATCTCACAAGGTCAAGATGAAAAAGATTCCAACATTAATCAAGAGTCCGTACTGGCGTATAAGCGATGCTACGATCACTGAGGTATCAAGATCTGCTGTTCTATTGGAGACCACTACAGTATACATGTTATACTACGAGAGGGTTGATAGAAAACAAATCCGGCAACGCTCATGATGTTACGATGTATTTTAAGTCTTAGTAATACTTTTGTCAATAAATGTCAATCTTGCGTCTAAGTAATTGCGCGCGCTTCTGACGAAATGTGATGATGGCAAGCAATGACTCAAAGCGGAATACCCTAGGAACGTTGTTTCCTTCAGCTGGGTCTGCCCAGAGAGTCCAGTCGCTACCTGACGGCACTAAGAAAGCCAGAAGGAAAGTGGAACTCGCACCTGGCCACTCACCTCTAGACTGGGCCCACTTGAATCTGACTGCGCTGCGTGGTCAAATGAGAGGAGTCCCAGATCTGACCCCACCGCCGAACTACGTAAGGGTGACCTTGGATCAGCTCAAGGCGCACAAATATCGCAATGATTGTTGGACGAGCATAAACGGTAAAGTATTCAATATCACGCCATATATTGACTTTCATCCTGGTGGAGCTGACGAGATCTTGAAATGTGCAGGTAGAGATGGAACAAGCCTATTTAATAAATACCACAGTTGGGTCAATGCAGATCGAATGTTGGAAAAGTGCTGGATTGGAATTTTAGTGAAGTGAGTGGTTAATTTTACGGCAGAAAACCTGCCCTTCTTGACTAATGATACAATCAAGATCCCAGTCGTGCTCTTCATGTGGTATATCATCAACAATTTGTTCCAGTAACGCTAATCCTACTAGATAGGGTACTCTAGCGAAGTGAGATTGATATACAGTTAGAAATTCATCATAGAATCCCGCTCCATGACCTAAGCGTCTACCAGACTTTGTAAATGCCATACCTGGTAGTATAAGTAGATCAAGACCTGCAGTATTAAAGACCTCTGTACCCTCAGTCGGCTCCAATAGCCTGTATTTGCCTTGCGGCTCCAAATTGTGTACATCTCCAAGTGAAGGTACATGTATCATAGACATGTAATTTTTCTTCCGGCCCTCACATCTTGCGTTGCTGCTACACTTGGGTAAGAAAACAGCCTTTTGTTGATCGAAGCACGCCTTAATTATGGACTCAGTTTGAACCTCCATGGTAGGCATATTCATGTAAACACCTACAGACTTAGCTGATCGAAACTGTTCGCTCTCTAATAAGGTTCTGCAAACGACCGTCGACTGACCATGAAGTGAACCTGAGGTTACTCCGGAGAGCACTTTGCGAACTCTCGATCTCAAATCTCTCTTAGCAGAAGTAAGCATAGGTGTAAACTATTTCCTTTTAATAAATTCGCACAAAATATTATGAAAAATAAGTAGCTTCATTGATTGACAGATATTACATGCTCATCAAACCTAACAGATTTTCGTCTTTCGCCTCCCTGAACCGTAGGGATTTCCAATTCTATTTCCGAATTTCCTATTGCACTCTTTGTATCCTTGAGCATTTCCCTTATGTTGGAGGGGACTTCTTTTGCACCCATCCCATTACTCGATTTCCGTCTATGATGTTCTTTCGCTTCATCTTTGCATCTCTGGCAGCTACAGATAAATCCCCAATTAACACGCAACTCCCTTTGTCTCTGATGTAATGTGTGACTAGGGTTTACATATGAAGTGGTAAGCTCTTCACCAGCTTTGATGTCACGAGCCGCGAAAACCTTCAATGGACCAGTCCGCGACGCTGTGGAGGCTTGTACGTCTGTATTAGGATGGCAACTATGATTCAAATGGGACTGGGTTAGGAAGATGCACGAGTCCAAGTTATTTATGTTGTATGTTCCCATCATCATCATAAACTCCTCAAACGGGACTTGGTCATGAGCCGAAGGAAATACCTTCAAAAATTTTTGATAACCCTCATTCCATAATGCCTCCTGTTGCTCCATAACAAAAAGAGCGCCCCCTTGCATGGTATCAAATGAACCTGCAGAGGAATTTATGGCCTTGTAACGCACTTTTTGGGAGACTCGTGCCATTGAGCTAAAATATTCCGCTTTAGTCCTCGTCTTATCAGCTTGCATTTCGGCGTATATCAAAGTTATTGCATAAAGTGCATTCCATTGCTCTTGAAAACAATAATCCTCCAAAGCTATAAATCCACTAGCGTCGATAAGGTTCGAGCCTTTTCCATTTGAATGACTAGACATATTGTGTTTCAATTTCGCATGTAAGGTATCTAGAGTTTTGCAGTCCTTCGAGCACCATAATTCAGGGCAAACATTGCAATCCAAGCCGCGTAGGGCAGATAGTCCAGTGCTCGACCTTTGAGTCAAAAGCTTTGCACAGTATGCGCAGGCCCTTCCAGTTCTTACCAACTTAACATTGGCGAGAGCTGGTACGAAGAATAAAGGTCTCTCTTCCCAAATAAGATCTCCCTTTCTGATCTGCGTCTTTGCGTAAAGACCCTTTCCCCTCTTGGCTGTCATTGTGACCTTTACCTTCGGAGGTAGCTCGATGCTCGAGACAATTCTCGAATGTATCTCATTAGCGTAAGTGAACTGTTGATTCGTCGTGATAAGACCATAAGTTTTCAAGAGCGTACGTACTCTTTTTTCGGATACTGACCAGGTAGGATGCCTACTTTTCACCTTGGCATGTAGTTTTGGAACACCCAAAGACTCCAGAGATGGATCTTCTTTCCAAATTGCAATGATGTCATCAATAATCTGGCGCTCATGAGGAACTACAGGATCCGAAGACTCTTGAACATGATCATTGATGTCAAGGATTTCTACTTTCGGCTCTTGTTGCCCGTCCAATTTGTCAATCATACTCTTCTCCGACCACAGATTTAAAATTTGTACAATAGATTTACATGCAGGATAACTTAAATGTCGACCCAAGTCACCCACTCCTCCAACTGAATAATCGTGAGCCTTGTGCTAACGATGCCCGCCCCGTGTTTCTCAAAGAAGCTTCACTATTGACCAACAATTTACCGCTTTCAGAGATAATTTTACTTTCAAAACTGATGACACTCGAATCATCCTCTTCCTTAGGCGACTTTGTTGTCCTTAGAATTAAAAATTGATTCGCGAGAGTAGGCGACTTATAATTGATTGTTAAGTTCTCAACTTTATAATCACCTTTCAAGTTGGAGCTCGTTTCTTTAGAGAGCGACGCAGCCCTCTTATAGGACTCGTTGAGAAACGTAGCAATTATGCCTCCATGAACCATAAAAGGGTAACCACAAAGCTTGTATCCGGCGTGAATGATGGTCACACATTCGTCAGTGTCGAGGTTGTGAAAAATAACAGGCTGTATCATGATTCCTCCCGGTTGGGCCAAAATGTGAGACGGCACCGAGATCTTCTGGTATTCCACCTCAGTTTTTTTGGCATCTGAATACTCACGACTTTCAAGTAGATTTCGGTCCAAATTCTCCCACGAGTATAATTTTATCCATCTTTCTCCAGGCTTTGGATGTGAGAGCCTCTCGTATATGGGCAAATTTTTTAATTTGTATTCAAGCTGCAATGCAGATAGCGGCAGTGAGTCAGAAGTATCTGTCACGCGTGCATAATAGTCGAAAAGAGTCTCATTATAAGCCATGTAAGCTCCACCTAAAAAGGAAACGGCAGTCAAGGGCCATCGAACATAAGGCTTACTTCGCTTGTGATATTGGAAGGGAGAATCAAAAGCATTCCGAGTGGCCATCAATCGCCGGGACTTGAGTGCTCTCAGAAGTGTCTGCCGAAGAATCGACTTAGAGCGTGCAAACATCTTCTATCCACGTAGTGTTGAGCGTAGCCTGAGGAAGTCCCTATTTCTTGTTCTAATGAATCGCGCTGCTTGCGTTCCTGCACATATCGATGACTGCGATTCTCTGTTGAACGAGTAGGCCGTGCGTGCGGTAGATGCAAAACTGACAAAGTCAAAATTTGTTCTAATATAAACAACGATCGAGACATTAGAAAGATACGATCCCGATCTTGTTCAGTCTACCTCGATTCCTTTAATCGGCCGAATGATAATTTTGCGAATTAAAGAGCTGGGTCGCCAACACAAGGGTTAAACAGTTCACATCAAAAGAACCTACATAATACAGAAACAGCGTAAGATTAAGTTAAAAATAAGAGAAAAAATATCAAACAGAAAAAGAGTAAAGCTGGCTTCTGATAGAAACAAATCATGAATTAGGTACAGTTCAACATTGAGATGGCTTTCTCAGTTGTATTGAATATAGTTCTCAAACAAATATGAGCGGCGACCGTCGCTTGATTGGACTATAGTACTTACTCTGCTTCAAAACAAAGTGTAAATGTTACTATACATTCTGAACGTGGTTTAATGTAGCAAAGGTTAAAACCGCGTAGCAAATTAGCACCAAAAATAGGTTACTTTAACTTACAGTAATCAGGTTGGGAAAGCAGCTAACGCTTAAAATAGTTCTTGAGGGACCCAAATAGCCATTTCTACCACTAAAGAAATACCCGTACCTGGCTCCAAAGATCAGTTTAAATCACTCCCATGAAAGAAAGTATAGCCAGATCCAATTGTAGCTGACATCTAGGAAATGTTCAAATATGAATGTAAGGAAAGAATGTCAATACAAAAGACCTTTCCGATCCCTCAGTATACCAGAGACGAGAATTAAAATGAACTTCTTCAATTCTGACCGAACATTATGGTGTACAATCTTGAATGCAATGCACCGAGAGTTCAAATGAAGTTCCTTGTGGTGGCATCTAAAGCGAGCATTGCAGTGGAACCATAACTGGTATAAATACATTTTCCAACGCGCATATAATGTTTCGAAATGAAGTTGCGCTTCAATACGACATAGCATCATTTGGCCTAAGTCTCTATTGTAGAATACGTAGTTTTTTCTATGGATGGCCACCGAAGCTTAACAATTAGTTAGTAGCATTTTCATGATATCTCTCAATAGTTTACTATAGGCGAGGATAAGATTATACAACGATTGTGCAGACGAACGATTATGGACACAAACTGTGACCTTATTAAATCATACCTAAACCAATTCTTTATACGTTTCTGTTCATAAGCTATTAAAGATAAGAATTATTTGGAGGCAAACAAGTTTAAGGTTCTAGCAAATTATCGCAGTCCATCTCACCTTCAAATCTCGCTTTCATAAAGAGCGTAGGAATGGCTACTATCTTTTTCCAAGGTAAGACGAGAATCTTATAGGTATCTTAATGATCATCTTACTGAATCTTCTGAGATATTAAGGGTATCGATGCATACTGATGTTGTACCAGTGCTCTTTCATTTTCGAAAATGCAGGGGCCGGTCCCGTTACGAGTTTGGTTAAAGTGCCTACAAAGACTACTGATCATAGTTGTTAATGGAAAACAAAAAGAACAAACGTTGTGCGCTCCTTCTTTGTTGATATGTGTAGCCAGACCAAGCTAAGCATGTTTATTTGATGCGTAGAAAAGTATTATCTTTTGCGAGATGAGATAGTTTCAGCATTGCAGTACCGTAGCTACGTAAGTACCTCATTGACGTAACATTAATCGGAAATGTGGACCAAAACATTCTTCTCGAGTTACTGGATTACCTCTCTCACAAAGCATTAAATATGTTGGGAGAAGCATTCTTGTCAAACAGATAGTCAGAATTTTGACATTGTTTCCAACTTGAGTCGAAGCTTTGCATTCTCATCCACCTACCCAAGAATGGAAATGATGTAACTCGTCATTTTGCACGATAGTGGAGTAGGTGTGCGGGGTGTACCTTTCTCGATATGTCCTTAGCTCATTATGTCTATGGATCACTTCTCGTCCTGTCGATAGACTCGGAAATTGAAAGGAATTCAAAATAATGAGCAGCCTATATAATAAGAAACTTCTTTTCGTAGTGGCTTTCTAGATACCAACCAAGGGAGCTGGATTGCTAAGCCAGCCATTTGAGCATGCCGAAGTAGGCAGTAGTATCTCTCCTGATTTCTCAAAATTTTATGGAAGACTTGTTTCCACTGAATCACATTAGCATCTTTATGCGTTTTCACTGGCTACTTCTACGGTGGCGCGTTATGTGGCTTCCCAGGCGTACTAGTTTGCAGTATTACCGCGGTGACGCAGCTCTTCTATCCCAATCTACAATTTGATGGTTCTGAAAATCTAGTGACCATTCCCTATGTCATCTTTTCGCGTTAGGTTGTTACTTACCTACAGTCTTGATGTTCCTGATTCCCTTGTGACCGCAGTTCCCTACTATTGAAACTGTTTTGGATGACGAAACACTACTTCTAGCTTTCTTTATTAGATCTAAATAATTGTCGCCATCATTTTCATCGTCAGCTGGAATACCACTTTTCGCGTTAAGTTGTTACTACTTACCTACAATTTTGCTTTGCTTGAATTTGAATATAACTCACCTTTGTCATTTGCGTTAGGTTTTTAGTACTTGTGTTCTACGGGTTCACTCCGCTTCTAATATTCTCCCTATATTCATTTTCTCAAATCAATCTATTCATCGTACCACGATGGGTGTCGTATGTTTGTCGTATATTGTGGTTGCTGCATGAGCCGCATGAGCCGTGCTTATGACAGCAAGTAGGAGCTGGCCACTGGGGATTGCAGCAACTACTTTAGTCAGCTTGCTTGCTGCCATAGCAATTTAAGATAGCAGAGTATATAAGGATGGAATTCTCCCACTACTACTGTAAATCATGGTCTCCGAATATTACACACAGAAAGACGACGCCGTGTACGCGACCTCCAATGGTGTGCCATACTCGGCTCATCCACTAGGAGCCCAAACTGCAGGCCCTGGTGGCCCCTTGTTATTGCAAGACTTCAACTTGATTGACGATCTTAGTCATTTTGATCAGGAACGTATTCCAGAGAGGGTTGTTCATGCTAAAGGTGGAGGTGCCCATGGATATTTTGAGCTCACTGATTCGTTATCTGATCTCACCTACGCTCGTCCATTTCAGACAGTAGGTTATAAGTGTCCAGTCTCAATCAGATTTTCCACAGTTGGTGGAGAAAGAGGAACACCTGATACTCTTCGTGATCCAAGAGGGTATTCAATTAAGTTCAAAACTGACATAGGAAACATGGATTGGGTGTTCAACAATACACCAGTGTTTTTCATTCGTGATCCTAATAAGTTTGCCAAATTCATTCATACCCAAAAGAGGGATCCGTCAACTCACCTCAATCAAAACATGGATTCAACAATGACTTGGGATTATTACACTCTCAATCCTGAGTGTCTCCATCAAATCACCTACATGTTTGGTCCACGGGGAACACCCAAGACTTGGGCCGGAATGCATGGCTATTCGGGCCATACATTCAAATTTGTGAAGGAAGATGGACTGTTCAACTACATTCAACTTCACGTTTTAGCCGACGACGGATTTCCAACGCTTTCTATTGAAGAAGCAAATGAATTAGCAGGTGCTGCGCCTGAGTACCATATCAAAGATTTGTACGACAGGATCGCTGAGAAGAAGTTCCCCACTTACTCCGTTTATGTGCAAACTATGAGTCCTGAACAAGCTGAAAATTTTCGGTTTTCAATTAACGACTTGACGAAAGTTTGGCCACATAAGGAGTTTCCTTTGAGAAAGTTTGGAAAGATTGTTCTTGATAAAAATCCTGAGAACTATCATGCTGAAATAGAGCAATTGGCCTTTTCTCCAGCACACTTGGTACCAGGTCTTGAGCCATCAAATGATCCAGTCTTACAGTCTCGTTTGTATTCATACTCGGACACCCATCGTCACAGATTAGGAACAAATTACCAGCAGCTTCCAGTGAATAGGCCAAGAACTTTCGAAAAAGGATCAGGTTGTCCCTTCTTGGCTGGAAACTTGCAACGCGATGGACCCGCAGTTTTTGACAATCAAGGAAGCAGACCGAATTACTTGAGTAGTTTGCAACCAATTAACGCGGTTTCATCAAATCCTAAGGAGTATTCCAATGGCTTGGGAACCACTGAAAGAGCAAAATACATTGGAGTAGTAACCAAGAAGGAAACTGACAAGTACACGGTATTGCAAAGTGAAAGAGCCAAGAGAGCTCACGATGAAAAGATTTGGTTGAATTCGTACGATTACATCTCTGGCTTCTCCGAATTGGACGTCGAACAGCCTCGCGCGTTGTACCAAAAGGTGTTTAACGATGAGCAACGTAAATATTTTGTGGAAGCAGTCGTGGGACATGCATCAACCATTACGAAGAGCTACATTAAGGAAAGACTTGCTCTTCTTTTCGGTGTCATGGATGAAGATTTAGGTAAGACACTTGCCAACCGCTTAGAAGTGAAATTCGAGAAGTTGAATGCCGAAGAATATGCCAACAAAGTTGGAATCTCTCCCGCCAATTGAGTGTTCGCTCGATATCACCTTGAGTTCAATACAGTTAGGATTTTTGAAATGCAATGGAATCGTTCACAATGTAAATATGCAACAGAGCGCTGTAGGGATGTGTGCGTCCACATGTTCAGATTTTACTACCATCGATACGGGAATAAAATGCTATAGCGATGTATCAACGAAAGAACCTGCCATCTGCTTCACCCTGTCTTCGTCTTTGTCCACTGAATGCCCCTTCATTCTCAAGCCTATAAAGCCTCCAAGCTTCCCGAATGTGGCATGGTTGGAGGGGTCGTGTAGTATCACCATTGTACTCAAGCCTTGGAAGGCCAGCACTTTCAGTCTCGTCAGTTTCTTTGTTGTCCAACTTCGTAATTCGTTCCAGTTTCTTTTTCTTTTTGTCTTCTATTTCGTCCCTTAATTGTGCCCGGTATTCGCGGTCTTGGATTTCAAAAGCCCTTGTAATTATCTCCCCTAAAAATACTTTTGATATACCAGAAAGTGCAATCGCCATATTCTGGGATACTGACTGGCCAAGGAAGCCGTTACATAGTTTCTTTATTCCTGGTTTGTTTATACCTACACGTCGGTAAGCAACAAACCGATCCATATGATCCTCAGAAAATGCACTTACAATAAGTTTGTTTTTCTCCTCTTGTGTCAAATTTTGACCTATTGTACCGTTTTTTAGGTTGCGGTATTCATTCACTAGCTCTGGCTCATCAATGTCAGACAAATCGCTTATGCTTTCGACTTCGACTTGATCGTCCATCTCAAATTCATGGCTCTCGGCTCTCAAGTTACGCTCACGCGTGTTGTAAAACACTCTCCAAATTAGTTCCTCGTCCTCTTCATCTAAACTGACGTCGCTAAGTGCATCACTGCTATCTGTATCGCTCATGATATTTGATACTTTTCCACTTCACTTCGCAAATTAAACTTATTCCTGCGTATATAATATATTGGGTGTATGCTAATGATAGTGATCTCACTGAACCACAGAACACTCGGCTGAGACATGCTGGGCATTCGTTAGAACAGTCCATGATCTTTGGAATAAAATGTCCCAATTGGGCTGTGTCTTGTTGTTATTAAAGCTTGCAATGGTACCAACGATTTCTTCGACTTCTGATTGATATTTCTTGCGACTCATGCTGCTGGTATTGCAGCTGCGGTCAAATTGCTGTAAGGTTGTCACAGTTTCCAGAAGGAACTTGATTGTGTTGTGCTTCTTCATCGCCCAAAGTTTCATTCGTATGTTGTCTCTGGGAAAGGCAGGCAATTCCAAGTATGAGGCAATTGCATTGCGAACATGATACAAGAAGGGCCAAAGATCTTGTCTGGTGACTACTGGCTCTCTAAAATCAAAGTAAGAAATGTCATGGCTAGGCAAAAGGTTCAGTAATCGATATTTGTTGCTCACATGAGAATATATGAGGTTTAGTGTGTCTTTTGACTCAAACTGCCGTAAATCATCCGTAATCGAATTTTCAGTGGAATTCAATGTGTGGCATTGCACTTTTACCGAGCAGTAATATGAAACCTCTTTCAAAAAGTCGTGGAGAACTTCTCTTTTGTACTCTTCAGTGGGAATGTCAATATAATCATCTCCATTCAAGAAAACGCTTACCAAGTTTACATGTAATTGTGGCAGGTAAACTGTAGCGTTGGGTCTTTGTAAGAGACTTAGGTCAGTCCTTAGTAAATGGTATAGTATGCATTGAGCAACAAAATAGGGTATATCGTTCTCGTGTATAGCGGCTGAGCTATAAAAATTGAAAGCTTTTAACTTGTTTGAGTCAATAACCACGAAATTTTCGCTTGCGTGGACCATTTCAACTGCATAGTCGTTGGATGTAGAGTTATGATCAACCGCAGTTATTGAACTATTTCGTAGTGGGTCAACGTAAAGATTATCCAATAAAACAACTTCATATCTCTCCTGACCGATACTCTTCAAATGGGAGTCTACTTGAATCTGAGTTGCCTTTACTAAGTCTGGAAATGCGAAACCAGTGTCTCCAAACTCCAAGGTGACCGGCACTGTAATTGGAAGGACGTGGTCAATATACTCTTTCAATGATCTCAATTGATCAGTTCTGCCATCGTTCGTAGAAGTGAATTTTTTTGTGAGGAATATTGCAATAGAAAGGGATACAATAAGATGTAACCACAGTCTCATCAACTCTGGAAATTATTCAAGTTATGAGCCAGAATTGAGCCAATATATTGTCTGTTACGTAATGCATTATAATCCCGCTTCGCCTCAAGCGTTGCAACGTAGTTGAGCAAAGCTAATTACGTCTTCAACAAGCAGTCAATATAAAGTTGAAAGATGAACATGAGCGTGCTTTCGGATTTGAACCCTCCTAAACCCAATGCCATTTAAATTTATCTGGCTTGATCAGATTTAGTTCGTTGTGTTGCTCCTGTATATAGAGTGTCAATAGTTTTGATTCGAGATGCCTGATGAGCTCGATGTCCTCACCTTCTTTAGATGCCATAGCAGATCCAAGGGAACGAGAAGCGCATTTCGTCCATGATGTTTACAATGAGATAGCTCCGCACTTTTCGCAGACACGATACAAACCGTGGCCAATAGTTGAAGAATTTCTCTTATCCAGGGAAGATCACTCCATAGGTATCGATGTTGGATGTGGCAATGGAAAATATTTGGCAGTAAACCCTAAGCTATGTATAATTGGCTCGGACAGATCCATAGGCTTGATTGAGTGTGCGAAAAAAATTTCAAATAACAAGTACGAAGTTGCTTTAGCTGATGGACTTAATTTACCTCATCCAAACGGTGTCTTTGACTTTGCGATTTCGATCGCGGTTATTCACCATTTCTCTACTAGAGAAAGGAGGATCAAAGCTATAGAAGAAATCATGTCTAAAATCAAAACCAATGGAGAGTTATTAGTCTACTGTTGGGCACTTGAACAAGAGAAGTCGAGACGAGGTTACAAGTCGGGGGATGAACAGGACGTACTCGTTCCATGGGTAACACAAAAGAAGCTGAGTAAGGGCACTAACAAATCTTCTCTGAGAGATCAGTCGGACCAGGGTACAGGAGTTGAGGCGCCAGTGGTTGAGAAGAATGTCAATTACAGATATTACCATCTTTATAGACAGGGAGAGCTCGAGCAAGATATTGGAGAGGTCCCTGGTTGTGTTATAAGCAAGGCCGGTTATGAAAAAGATAACTGGTGGGCAATAGTTCGTAAAAATAGCGATTAGAAACTTTGATACTGCGCGCGAAAGAGCTGCAATTGATTTAAAACTACATGTTATCACCAAAAGAGAAAAAAGACAAAGTTGTCAGATCGACAGATATAGACGCATTGAGTTGCAGGCTCAGTGCGAATTCGAAAGGCTATTTTGATCCCCCTGATCCTTTTATAGATGTACTCGTTCAATCGTACAAGAAGTATCTCAGATTTACGTCAGGCTATTCAAATCTTTCCGCTGGTCGCGTCACCAGAACATCATTTAGTGAAAGCAAGCTACCTATCATAAACAACGGTACTTACTTGAGAACCCGACTGGTAGACCTCATCATCGAGAAGTTTATCCAGAAGTTTAACGACGTACAAATCGTTTCTCTCGGAGGAGGGTCCGATACAAGAGCCTTCAGATTATTGGAAAAGTATCCGGCCAAGCTTCGATATATCGAAATTGACTTCGAAGATTCGTGCCGCATAAAAAAACTATCAATAGTCAACGATTCAAATTTGAGCAGAATCACTAATTGTGCTTTGCCAAAGCTTGACCCTACCTCAAAAGAAGAATTTCAAAGCATCAACTCGAATTATGATAGCGAACGGTACTGTTTGCTTGGCATTGACCTTCGCCAGTTACCGCATGCTGGCTCACCAGAAGCTGAACTGTTGTATTCTATTCTTGATAAACTGAAGCCGACATTGATTCTCAGTGAGTGTGTGCTTTGTTATCTCTCCGAGGAAGAAAATGCCGCTGTAGTTCAATTCTGGGTAAAAACATTCAAGGAATCTACAACCTACCTCTCGTTTTTGATGTATGAACCCATGTCACTCAACGACTCGTTTGGGGAGACAATGGCTACAAATTTGGCCACAAGAGGTATTAATTTAATGACGTTTCAAAAATTCCCAACTTTAGCATCCAAGGTATCGTTCCTTGTTGACGAATGCGGTCTAAAAAGAGCTTTTGCTACTGATATTGCAACGCTAGGCGGTTATAATGAAACCCATCAGCATGGCGAATGGATTGATACCGTTGATCGAAACCGTATTCGACAACTTGAATTGATTGACGAAGTAGAAGAATTTGTGCTTCTATTTAAGCATTATTGTATATGCTTTGGAGAGTATTCACAATCTACTTCGTTATCTTTGGTGGAAGATATTTCTCAATATCAATGGGTGTGCAGCAAAAGTTTGTAAATTTCTATAATTTTGCAATATTATCAAATTCATCGTATATACACCTTCTTACATGAATTAGAAAGTAGAAAAGCCAATAGGCATCTGAGCACTATGTGGCACTAAGCATAGAATTTTGTATGCCCCTCCCATACTATTTTCATTTTTGTCGGTGAGACGACGATACGAAGCATACACTTTATCTTGCTCAGCCGGGTTTCCTTCATTGGACTTGAGTAATTGATCAATTCGATACCCAATTCCCATTTCATGTAACCAATCTCCTTGATCAACTGGTCCAAAGGACAGACATGCTTTCGCTGTGATCGCTGCGAGATTTTCAAAATCGACATCTGCTGATAAATCTACTTTTCCAGGTGAAAAGAATGGGGATACGAACTTGTGCTTGTATATCCCTCGAAGTGAATTACTAGGGATCCCCGACTTCAATCCATAATCTATGATAAGGGCCGCACCATTTCCTTGCTCATTATTTATGAGAGAGGCCATCTTCAATGCGTAGAGCTCAGCATCAGTGCAGATTTCTATTCGAGAACCTGTGGGTAATGCATTGAAGCGACTACTCAACTCAGGGATTAACGATGACGGTGTATCTTTTGGTGATACCGTGAGATGAAAATCAGTCTCCAAATCTGGACTAAATTCGGATGATGAACCACCGGACGGTAATGCCCCTTGTGTATTCAAGACGCTGGGAGAATGCTCCACAAGTAATTCCCTCCAGCCGGAGTCAGACTTCTGAAAAGATTTGATCGGTAATGCATCAAAAAATTCGTGAGCTAGAATGTAGTTAGCGTATTGAACATCATCCAGAATATCTTTTTCTGTTTCGAGCCACTTCACTGTGTTGCCCCAGATAGATGATTTCGTATAAAACGAGTCTTTGATATCAGCGGAGTTCAACTTGCTACCACATAACAATTCAGCTTGCTCGTCTCTCAAAATTGGGGACGCCTCAATCAAACAAATCTCGATCTGATCACTCCGGATTCTTGACTTGGCTAACTTGTTGAAGGTCCGCACAACATCAAACATCAACGTACCCTTTCCAGGACCAAACTCGATGATGCGGATGTTTTGCGGGTTGTCTTGGCTCGTCCAGGTACTAAAGAGCCAAATACCAATCATCTCACCGAACACAGACGATATTTCAGGAGAAGTTATAAAGTCACCAGTATACTTATCTAAAGGATTAGTGGTTGTGTAATAGCCATAGTCAGGATGAGTCAAACATTGACGCATATATGCCAGCAACGATAAAGGTCCATTAGTTTTTATAATCTCTGCAAGCAAATCACTTAATGATTCAACCTTGACTTTTCTACTACGATCCGCTGGCAGTGGAACGATCGGATACTCTTCGATGTTTTCTCTTATATTTTTCTCTCCTTTGATCTCATTTTCAAGCTTTTGTAGTTTAGTCTTAACATATTTTGCTGCGCTTTGATACTCTTCTTCTGTGAACTTTCCATAGTATAGTCCATTCTCATGAATCGCGGGATGCTTTTTTTCATTATTTTGATCTGAAATGGCTTTTCGCAAATACTGGTGACTGGTTCCAAAATTCCTATTACTAGCTCGGAGGGTTTGAACGAGCCAACGCCGTGAAATGGAAATCATACCCAACTGTTCTGCAAAGATCTCGAATAGTAAAGAACTTACATAATCAACAAATAGCTGCAAAAGTTATATAGGACTCATAATTTAAAGCTACGTTGTCGTTACAATTTAATGGTCCTTCTGACACTTACTAGCATAGTGTAACAGCATATACAATCTTGGGACAAATTACGTTAAACTAAAACATATAAACAAACAAGAGTAATTTGACATAAGGATGGTTGAAAGAAGAAGAACAGGAAATGAGGGCTTGAGCTTATTCATCTCCTTTTAAAAGCATTTTCAAATAGTTTTTTGGAAGTAGCATGCGCACTCCAACGATCAAGCACTAAGTAGCATACGTTGTATCGCTGTCTGGTGATTATCGTTGGAGTGACTCTTGATGATCTTTGGATATCTGAACATCGAGTCCATATAGATAGGTTTATGATCGGCTTCATCTTCGTCGTCGTCTTCGTTTACATCAAAGGTTTTTGCGACGGCAAAGCCAAGCTTCTCATAGAACTTTCTATTGACTGGGTTCGTGCTTTCCAAATAGCACCAAGAGTTTGGCGAGGCGTCGACAAAAGTATCGCAAAAATGGCTAACAAGCTTCTTTGCTAATCCTTTGCCACGCATGGCTGGAATTGTACCAATATCAGCCAAGTACCACATATTATCGCGCGATCCATTCAAATTCAACTTCGAGACTACGGAATCTCTCACATCGTTTAAGAGGGGACTGAAAACCTTCAGTCTGCACCGTGATAACGAGGCCAAGAAGTTGAACTTCAATGAGGTAGGATGCATGTTAGCTAAAAAGCTATGCGATTGTGGGTACTTATAGGTTAACTGATCGTGGTCGTATTCCATATGGTACCAGCATGATACTCCCAAAAAAGGTACACGGGATGCTTTATAGCCCTTCATGGCAATTTCGGCCTCTAAGGCACGGTCTTTCACTGCTATAACTATACCTCCCAACGAGAAACACTCATATATGGCAAACTCGAAGAACGAAGTCATCAACTTTGTCTTGTGTTTACGAGCCTTTAAGGAGCTCTTCGAGTCGTCCATTTCAGTTCCAAGTATGTAGTTAGTAAACGGGTCTTGCTCAAACGCCATCTGCAATGTTTTGGCAATTCGATGGTAATCTCTGACGGTACACAACTCGACAGATGTTAGAAGTTCGTCCCTAGGAACGTCTTTATGTAAATCTGCAAGAGCTTCAACCAGAGAATCTGAAGAATCCGACTCTGACGAGTCCGACTCGGTCTCCCCAGAAGAGGAGAAGGATGTTTTGATAATTTTTTCGGCAATTGTAACTTCTGGCGGTCTCAGGGCAAAAGCGTCAGCAGTACTGACACTCATTGCGTGTTTGCCCTGAGACCTAGGCAGTCGGGGTTTGCCTTTGGAACATGAATCATGGATATCTTCTGACATTGTTGCAAACATGGTTATTCATCAGTTGTGTTTTTTAAAGATGGCTAAACGAGGCCGATGATAACTATGTAAAGAAAAATGACAGGTGGATTTGCACCCATATTAATAGCCGGGAGTGCGAACTACAAAACCGGGGAGTTATCTATCGCGCTTGACAGATCAGGAAAGCAGTTGCGGTGGTGCAGGAGGGGGGAAGTGTGTTTGTTTTACGTCAAATGCGCACCAGCCATCAGAAAACATTTTTAGTTTAAATTAGTCGTTTTATTCTCCGAATGCAGAGCTATGAAATGAGGTGTCTATCACCCTTGATAAAGTTAATTTTCGTCTCGCTAACTTAATTCAAAACCTCTATCTTGCAACGCCGCGCGCGATATCCCTGGCACGACCAGTCAACAAGCTGTCATCAACCTGTATAAAAGCTTTCCCCGTAATCGATAGGGGAACCAGATTCTTGTGGTCCAGCACACGTAGATAAAGTAGCGAGTTAGAACTGTCTAGTAATCTACGTAGCTAATTTGAGTGTGCCACCGTTTCAACCATTTCTGCTCTACCAATCAAATAAACTATATCGGCTTTGAGTTGGTTGCATGGTTGTACATGAACACAAATATGATCGCGTTACAATCTATTTCACTCCTCCACGCACTCACCTCGTTTCACTGCTATCGTGCTATCGAACCCAGCTCTAGTCGGTTACCCGCCCCACGTTCGGCGTTCTAGATGCCTGCGTGTGCACACCGCAGTGATAAAGCAGACTGCACACAACAGGGAGCGTAACCCTTTGTTCGTTCTCCATCGCTTGACAAACTATCGTTACCTTTGTGTTCAGCGAGAACCACGCCACGTCAATACATCGCGCTTAAGTCATTCAGACCATTTCTGCACCCTTCTTGACTTACTTGCATACTTTATATACCCTTATACTCGTAACGACCCCGATTATAAAGCACCGCCCCGAGGCTTGCACGTATCCAGGCACAGCATCCACTCATATTAGGCTCAAACTACACTAGACTGAGCAGAATAGACGTAGGAGTATCGTTTAATGGGAAACAGCACATCGAAACCGCGGGATTCAAGGGGTCTTCAACTCACCCGAACTGATACCGGCAACTCCGCCAAGTCAGGTCGGTCTATTAGGTCTCGTGTATCACTTCTGCGAGATGACACCAACACAGACTCGCCCAAGCTTGGGCCGAAGTCACCCAAGGCACTCTCACGGAAAAATTCGTCATCAAGCACCGGCAACGGTGTAGGAATCCTGACGAATGACGCGAAGAGTGATTATATTAGGTCAGAAAATTACCACCTATCGAAGTCGTCATCAGGTCTCAATTTGAACAACAGTTCATCGGGCAACAACCTCAATCTACCACCTTCAATGATCCAGGTGGAGCCTAAGGATCCTATTCTCATTCGACGCAACACCAATGACACCGATTTTGACTACCCATCATCGCCAATGAGAAGCAACCTTCAAACTGGATCTCCCAAATTGTCATCTTCATTCCAATCTCTTGGAAACAGCGATGCGAATGGAAGCGACAGCACCCCTGTTACCAGGACTTCAACGAACCATTCATTTCAAAGCACCAGTGGAAATGTTTTATCCCCGCAACCGACAGGTTCTTCAGCAAATTATGACAAAGACAGTGATGTAGCAGATGCTATCTCAATGTCTTCAAGAAGAAGTGGAACGAGCAACTTTTCTGTTAATAACTCGTCATCCAATTTACAGAAACTCAGTAAGACGAGCTCCAACTATACAAATGGTGGGAATACCATAGATATTGAAGATCTCATTCAGAGATTGCTTGATGCTGGCTACAGCGGAAAGAAATCGAAGAATTTGTGCTTGAAGAACTCTGAGATACAATTGGTTTGCGCTAAAGCAAGAGAAATCTTCTTATCTCAACCGTCCTTACTTGAGCTCTCACCACCGGTGAAGGTTGTGGGAGATGTGCATGGTCAGTATGGGGATTTGATCCGTGTATTCACCAAGTGTGGATTTCCACCTCTGACGAATTACCTCTTTTTGGGTGATTACGTCGATCGAGGGAAACAATCTTTGGAAACTATTCTTCTTTTGTTGTGCTACAAAATTAAGTACCCAGAAAATTTTTTTCTTTTGCGGGGAAATCATGAAAGTGCTAATGTCACAAGGGTTTATGGATTTTATGACGAATGTAAAAGACGATGCAGCATCAAAATTTGGAAGTTATTTATTGACACGTTCAATACCTTGCCAATAGCTGCAATAGTTGCTGGCAAAATCTTTTGTGTTCATGGAGGTCTTTCGCCAGTCTTGAATTCAATGGATGAAATTCGAACGATTGCGCGTCCAACTGATGTACCTGATTACGGGTTATTAAACGATCTTCTTTGGTCAGATCCGGCCGACACACAAAACGAATGGGAAGACAATGAGAGGGGAGTCTCTTATGTGTTCTCCAGAACTGCTATCAACAAGTTTTTGCAGAAGTTCGGTTTTGACTTGGTCTGTCGAGCGCATATGGTTGTCGAAGACGGTTATGAATTTTTCAACGATCGAACGTTGGTGACAGTATTTTCTGCGCCAAACTATTGTGGAGAGTTTGACAATTGGGGAGCAGTTATGAGCGTCAGTGACGAATTGCTTTGCTCATTTGAATTATTGGATCCATTGGATAGTGTTGCATTAAAACAAGTGATGAAAAAAGGTCGCCAAGAGAGAAAATCTGCTCAGATCCAACAACAGCAACTAGGCTCACGATGATAGCATATTCTGCTCCCCTACCCACTCTTAATCATATAAATAATGTGAGATGAAAGTACATCTTTATGAATAGTCGATTGTAGGCAGGCATCCAGCAGAAATACGCACTATGCGCACCAAATAGTTGAGATACGAAATAATATGCTACAGTATCAAGGAGAAAGAATTGAACCGTTAGTCGATCAAGTATCAGAGTTGAGTAAAGTCCTAGAGGAGAATCGTAAAATAATCGATCGCATAACTTCACATGTTGATGCGGGCTTTTCTTTGCCAACTTCTGACCTTGTGAAAGAACGTGTAGATAATCGCCAAGAACGGCCTGACGTACTAGAACACTACTTGCGAGAAAAGTATCAAATCCACAGCATAGATGTTCCGCCAGATATCATAACTTCGCTCGAAACAAAAGACCCCATAGTTATCAAACTTGCCAAGGATGTCTACCGACTAAACATTATCAGAAATGCCAAAAAGAAGGCTAATGCCGAACTTTATGAAGTTATCAAGAGATATGAGGAATTCATAGCTCTGGTATTGTTACCAGAGCTTCGTCGTGATATGGAGCAGCTTCATATTCAGGACGGTATTCAAGTACTTAAAGATGAACATACACCTCGAGTTTTAAACGAGATTGATCGAGTCTGGGAACACTATCTTCAATATGTGGAGGGACTTGATAAAGTATGCATGACCAGCGAAAAGTTGATGCAAGCGTACCAAGATGCTGACGACTTGGAGTTTGCGAACAAGATACATCAAAAAATGGTCATTATACGTGAAATTCGCAATTACCTTCTACTGATTGCTACATAAGCTGATTCGAGTCACTTTCTCCTAGACCATATGAGGTGGATTATGGCTATTGGCACCAATCCTAGTATTCCCGTAATGGCGGCCAAGATACAGTATGTTCTCATTATTCCAAGATTTGGATTCTCAAACATTGGTGGAAAATAAAATGGCCCCACAAAGCCCAAAACCTGTCTTACGACCGTTATTGCCGAGGCAATATGTGATGCTTCTGATGGGTTGGAATCAATTGCATACGTGACGAGGACAGTGGTAACAATCTGAAGACCAAAGGAAGCAACACATAACCCCACGAGAGGTCCAAACCGCCATTTCCCATCGCTTATTCTCCCCAACAAGACTCCGTAGATAATGAGACCTGCAATTGCCGTGAGGAATCCGAGATATGAGATCCACAACCTGTCTTCAATGCAGTTTCTCTTGAGTTTGACTCGCATATTTCTCATCCAGAAATCGGATATCCAACCTCCCAATTGCTCGCCAAGAATGCAGCCTAGGATTAAGCTCAAGAACTGCAATCCAATTTGTTGAGGATTGAAAGCAAATTTCTCATGAAATAAACTTGTTAACTCTACTCCACAGGCGACGTTTGCGTAACTGAAGGTGATACCATAAGCGAAAGCGGTAACTGCAACTCGAGGTTGGAGCAAGGTCAGGAAAGGACGAAATATAGATACAACGGAGAATTGTTTTGAAGATCTCGGTGCAAATCGATATACCTTGTTCAAGGATTCGCTGAAAAAATTCTTGTCGTAGACAGTTTCACGACCAAGAAATAAATACCCTAGAGATTGAACAAAGTTCATGACTGTGAACACAATAAAAACGTTTCTAGTGTCGGATGTGTTATATTGTACAAAGCCCATAATGAGAGGCCCAACATGTGTTCCTAGTGTAACGCCGAGAACCCACCATCCCGTCCACCATCCCCGCTGGTGGCTGAAGGTTAGATCTTTTACAACGCTGCCCCCAACTGCTATAGCGGGAGAAATGGCAATTGCTTGAAATATACGGCATATCATCAAGTTTCTGTAAGTATGAGAAAACACGCAGCCAATGTTAAAAGCCGTAGATATCAAAGTGGACAACAAAAGTATTTGCCGTCTACCATATTTGTCCATTAATGGTATCCACAAGAGGGGAAAGAGTCCCATTACTATAATTTGTGCGGAGGTCAAGTAAGAGCATGCAGTTATTGTGGTCAGAAATTCCTCCAGAAGTGTGGCGAAGGACGGGATCAAGCCCGCAGCCATGAATGTCGTTGAAAATGCATGAAAAGCTATCATTCCTAGCTGTATTATCTTTACTCGAAGCGGCCAATTCAAAGGATCGTTATCATTTGCATGAGGCATTGGCTCTAGATTCAATGTCCCATGTCTGTTCAATAAGTACTGTCGTTCTTCCTCCGATAAGGATGAAGACTTTCTATGCAAATAAGAAGTATCCTCATTCTCTTTATCGCCAATGGACTTTACGTCCTTCATTAGTACGAAAGTGAAAATTCAATCTTAGTGCGGCTGAAATTTACCATGCCAATCTCATTGGTGCGCAGGGTTGAATTTATTGTACATTGTGAATGTCATTATTATGGAGATAGTAAGCTAGTTATGGTCGCCTTTTTCGTGTCCGAGGTCGAGTTATGTCTTTCAGGTGCTGGGGCATCTTTGGTGCTAGGTTGGTTAGTGTCATCATTAAGTACACCTTGAAGCCAGCTCTTACGGTTTTCGTCTTTATAGTCTTTTAAACTTTCCTTCGACGTGGCAGGGCTCACATTTGCAGGCGGGCCAGTCGTATCGTTCGAGCTGTTCATATTGCGATTGCTGAGACACAACTGCTTTACTGAGGGGAGGGTTGCAGGCAGCTTCAAGCTTGACTGAGTAAACCTGAATGTTGAAGATGCATATGGGGATGTGAGATGAGACACGTTATTCTGCGACGTAATGGGTGGTAGCGTCGATGTTCCCCTAGATCCCACCTGGCTGAATGATTGATGAAATAAGGGCGACAAAGGCGAAACCATGCTTGGGATCAAATTGGAGCTTGATGGATAGGTGACCACATTACGTTGTTTGTTAAAAGGAATAGGGGGAGCCGAGTGCAACGGCGGGCGCAGGAGGTTCATTGTATCGGGGGATGAATTACTCTGGTCGACGAATGAATGCAGAAGAGACAACGGCCTTGGTCTTCTCTTCGGCTTGAACTGATGTGAAGGAATTTTGAGACCTTGGTCGTATTGCACATATTGTTGGGGTCTACCGTCTTGATAGTGTGCATTTGGAGATGCGGAGTCAGCTGGAGAGATTAAAACAGGCTGCAAAGGAGTTCCGCCATAGGAACTTGTTGATGAATGGTAGGGAGTTTCGGGCTGATGTATGTCTTGGTAGTCATCCTTATGACCATGCATGGGCAGTGCTTCGTAAGCATGGACAGTCTGTTTGTGTTGGCGAAGATTGTCCAAGCGAGAGAAGCTTTTTGAGCAATGAGGACAGGTGAAGGGCCTCTCACCAGTGTGTTTACGCAAGTGTCTTGCCAAGTGCTCCGACCGCGTGAAAGACATATTGCAATCAGGATACCCGGTACACTGGAAAACCCGGCCCTTGGATGGTCTTTTGGGCCTAGCAGGTGGGGCATGGGTGGCCGTCACCTTTGGGTGAGAAGGGTTTGAATTCATATTTGGAGTGACTACAGAATTCTGGATTCTGTTGGGCATTAATGGTAGTTCAGAAGCTGAATATTATCGTATGGCAAACGGGAAAAAGGCCAGAATTTGGAGTGGGACAGCTTGAGTATGCAACTCCTTTTTTTAGGCTCGCGGTCAACTATGAAAGTGAATGGTTTTCGTCGGTGTCAAGGGATGCTCTTTCAACAACAAACAACGGAGACCCGCTTAATGGAGAATGTCTAAATTCGAAAAAAAAAAGCCTCTATGGCAACGCTCGAGACTTAAAGGGGTTTTATTTATTCAAACAGGTAATCACGACAATAGTAAAGAAAGAAAGGTCCAAGTGAAAAGGATGGGGCGCCTGCGAAGTCAACGCGAAAACCTGCACCGCGACCCCGTAGTCGTACCGTACCTAGCGCCCCTCAAAATAAGCAAATGCAGGTCGGCCTGTGTCTAAAGGTTAAATTTACTGGCGAAAATAGCAGTCAAAAAAAGACTTCAGTCAAAGATACCAAGAAGTAGCACAGATAATAGAGGACTGTGATACTACAAGTAACAGTAACAGTAGCAGTATTTATAGAAATGGTATGGCTTGACCTCTTAGTGCCCCGGTACCCCTACGCCTCAGGAACCCAGAGAACCTCCTTTTGGCACGGCGCCTGCATCACCACTGTGCGTGCGCGGCCGCTGGCCTATCAGGGGCAGGAAGGGAAAAAAAGAAACCTGGAAAAAAATAACTAATACGAGTTTTGCTCGTAATTATAAACCTTGGCATATCATTATGGCATGAGAATTGGAGGTATTTCGACCCTTGAAGATAATGGACAATAGACTTTTCTTCTTGATGGGTTAGGTTTGGCACGTTTAATTTTCGCGAAGGAGCCGGGGCGTTAGTAATGCCAAGCTGCTTAAAGTGCGTGCCGCACGAATCGTGCATACGGCTGGAAATACCGATACTACTATTTTACACGTTTCCTTGGGGCGTCTGCCGCGGGACATGCATCCTAGGGCAGATATGTGAGGGGTGGTCACAGTTTTAGAGCCTTGACAGAGTATTTCTAGACAACCATCGTCTAATGTGACAAGCTTTTCCTCCCTTCATCATACGAGAATCTGCAAGTATACGTATTACGGTGAAAATTTGTATTGTTAAGTTTACAAACAATAAGAAAATCATCCGAAAAAATGCGGGACACCCATAACTCGCGGTGTTCTTCTTGTTCTCATGCAGCTTCCCGCGACAGTTTTTTACGTGGTTCGCGGTAAAAAAATAATAATACTGGTTCCAACCAAATGAGGTTGTCTACTGCCGAGGGAGATATTTAGTGCGTCCATGCGTCAAAATTTCTGCAATTTATGCCCCCTATTGATGCGCCGTTGCTTTTCATACGGCCGCATTGGGGGATTAGCACTAGGCGCCACTCTACTTTGTTCCAAATGCGGAGCCCGAGCATCTTCTCTTGCACTGTATATACTGAATTTTCAATGTGTCAAAAGTAGTCTTCACCAAACAAGTGTGTGTGTGTGTGCAATGTGTCGTAGTTGATACAGATTTTGAAACCAGCTACGGCTGTTATGTTTTGTGAATAGTCTCTTCTGGTTTATTTTCTACGCTACTGACAAAAGGGGCATCTGGTGTCTTTTGGCAAATACAGCCGGTGTGATCGCGTGTTTTATTATTTTACGATAATGCAAAATAATTACATTTCATAGATGCGTTGGTTGCTGCACACAGTACGAAGTATATTTTGTCATTCTGTGTGTCATCGTCTGGTCAACAACATTTTGCAAGCACAGCCACTTTGAGTCATAAGCCGAGGCAGGCCAGCTCACAGAATCACCAAATAGTTTCAGACACCAATTGGCCCTCGATTCATGATTGTATTTGCAGTGTGGGATATATTGACCTACTTATTGGTCATGAAAGATGCGGGAGAATTCCTCGACGGACTGTATGGCGATCATGTTCGTTAGAAGCAAAGGCGTTCCAAAGAATTTTCTATGCTTGGGGGCCGCTCTGCGGCTTCCCGGTCAACAGCAACCACTCTTCTGTCCTTCGGGATTCTGGTTCACGGTGATATCTATGGTCTCAGTGTTACCAGCATTTTGGGAGTCGCCATTGCCTTCGCCGTCACTGGAGTCTGGGAGACATTGACCAATCTTCTTGAAGAGCAACTTGACGTTATGATTGGCTTTCGTGGACGTCTCGATGTAAAATTTACTTCCAACCTTTTTATGTAATTCTTCACACTCTTCGGCAGTCACTTGGCGCTTATTTTTAAGATCAAGTTTGTTTCCCACCAACACAATGATAGCGTCGTCGCCACGCTCGAGGCGCACGTCGTTGATCCACTTTTCCAAGTTCTGAAACGACTTTTTGTTGGTAATATCGTAACATACCACCGCCACATGCGAGTCTCGTATGTATGAGGGGATCAATGATCTGAACCTTTCTTGCCCCGCCGTGTCCCACAACTGCAACCGGATGGTTCTGTTATCTTCCAAGTACATGGTTTTCAGCAAAAAATCGATCCCGATGGTGGCGGCGTACTGATCGTCAAAAGTATCGTACATGAATCTCGTTATCAACGACGTCTTTCCCACTGAGTTAGTGATACGTTTTCGATAAATAGGGGGGCTATTTCTTCACACTTACCGCTCTGGTCTCCGAGGAACACAATCTTGTACTTGCGCATGATATTCAGCTTATCTCTGGCACTCATACTGAATACTCTTACAACACCGTCGCCGCGCCCGTTGCTGTATTCGCCAGTCGTGCCGCGCCCTGAAAAAATTGTCCCCACAGAAATAAACTATATTGATGGACGACTCGGAACTAAATGCAATCCGCTCCGCGCGGTTGGCGGAGTTGCAGAAGAACACAGGTCAGGCGCCAGCAGCAGATTCCAGAAAAGATGATGTCAAAACTTCCATGCTCGCACAGGTTCTTGAACCCAGTGCGCGAGAACGATTGAGTCGAGTCCGCATAGTTCGTCCCGATAGAGCCGATGCCGTGGAGCAGTATATAGTCAAGCTAGCGTCCACAGGGGCCATTTCTCGAAAATTGGCCGAGCTGGACGTGGTAGACATCCTTGATGGATTGTCACGCGACGAGAAGAAGAAGACGGCTACGAAGATTGTGTTTGACCGCAAGAACACCATTGACGCCGAAGACGACGAGGACGACTTTTTTGACTAGAGTCACCAAACTTTCCCAATTTTAGTGCTTCGTACTTGGTACTTGGTACTTGTGCTTGGTTCTTCGTGCCTTTCCGCACCCGTGCACCAGTCCCTCTACGTATTTTGTAAATAAACATCTCTACGTAATCTCACCATGTCCAACATCCAGGTCGTAGTACGATGTCGAGGTCGCAACGAAAGAGAAGTCAAAGCCAATTCGCCCGTGGTAGTAGAAATGCCCGTGGAAACCTACTCGGTGACAAATCCTACCGTTACTTTATGTGCAAATTCAGAGTCTCCGTCGCACTTGAGTTCCTCTTTCTCCCAAATTATCAACCTGAAAACATATTCCGTGGACCAGGTATACGGATCGCAGGCCGACCAGCTGATGCTCTTTCACCAAGTAGCATTACCGCTTTTTCATGACTTTGTTGCTGGATATAATACCACCGTTTTGGCCTACGGTCAAACGGGCACAGGAAAAACATACACAATGTGCGGGGATCTCACCCACGAGAAGCACGGTCTGTCAGTAAGACTCTCGGAAGAGGCAGGTATCGTTCCTCGGGTTTTGACCGAGCTTTTCACCGCGCTAGACGCCAATAATAGCGACTATTCTGTGCGGTGCTCTTTTATGGAGCTCTATAACGAAGAGATCAAGGACCTTTTAGGAGCCGACAGCGGCAACTCTAAATTGCGTATCTTTGACTCGACCCAAAAACGTGTGGTGGGACCTTCAAGTGGTATAGTTGTGCAAAATCTCATCGAGCAGGTGGTGACGTCTGCCCGTCAAGCGGTGGATCTTCTCGAAAAAGGTCACAAGAAAAGAACGACAGCATCGACAAGAATGAACGATGTATCGTCTCGTTCGCATTCTATATTCACAATCTACCTCTACAGGATGGATGTCGAAAAAAATGAGATGGTCCGAATCTCAAAGATGAATTTGGTTGATTTGGCAGGTTCCGAAAACATCCACAAGTCTGGTGCCGTTAATCAACGTGCAAAAGAGGCAGGTTCAATCAACCAGAGTCTACTTACTTTGGGCCGAGTGATCAATTGCTTAAGTGACAAGTCTGGTCCCTTGTCTCATATACCCTACCGTGAATCTAAATTAACTCGCTTGCTACAAGACTCGTTGGGCGGCAATACCAAGACTACCCTCATTACCACCATATCCCCCGCGAGAATAGATTTAGATGAAACGACCTCAACTCTTGAGTATGCTTCAAAAGCCAAGAGCATTCAGAACAAACCACAATCTGGGGATTCTATCGATTATCTTGCGAAAAAAATACTTATACGAGATATGTCGAATACGCTAAGGAAGTTGCAAGACGATTTGATAGCCACGCGCAAGAAGAACGGAATATGGATGGACGAAACCACATACAATGAGTTTGTCAATGAAACGGAATCACTCAAGACCCAGCTTCGAGAATCAAAAGCATTGATAACAGGACTCAACTTGAAACTTGAGAAAACCAAGCAGGAGAATACAGCATTGGAGACCAAAGCACTAGACAATGAACGCGAAAAGCACGAAATGGGCTCTTTGGTTCGAGAGTCTCAAAGCAAACAGCGTGATCTAGAGGCTGATGTCGCGAGCAGAAGTGCAACAATCATGTCAATGTCACAGAAAATGTCCGAGCTCGAGAACAACTACACCCGTGCGTCGAACTTTTTGAAAACCACCGTATCCGAGAAGATTAATGAAGCACTCACCACCATCGCAGGTATCTCATCTGAGCTTTCCAATAGTAATGATGTCAAATACTTGCAACAAGTTCAAAACAAGGTCGCAGCTTCATTGAATGGGTTCAAAATTTCACTATACCAAGTGTCAGAGAAGCTCAACTCCCAATTCGAACACGCTTTGAAGGTACTTCCAGGCGTCTTAGAGCCCTTGGGAGAGCAGGTCAGTCAGCAGCACACATTACGTGAAGCTTGTGAAAGAAAAGTGGAACATCAAATTGACGAAGTTCGTTCGTCCAACAGTAATTTTGAAAAGTACGTGACTGAGGAACACTTGAAAGCTATCGAGACTGCCTTACTGGATTCAATCAAAGAACGCATTACAAACAACCTAAGCGCAATGCAAAATACAATCACTACAGAAATTGCGACAATGCTCAACAAGACATTTACCCAGCAGCAAGGAGAGCTACCACGCCTTTTGACTGAAGACACTGTAAGCAAGGTTCAAGCGGAAAAGCAGGAATTGCAAAAGCAAGCGACATCATGGTTAGCACGGTCTCTGCACTTGCATATCTCCGTTGTGGACGAATTACAGTCTTATGGCAAGTCTAGCAAAGAACTGTTGGAATTGATGGAGCATAGCATTGATTCTGCATCAAAAACCATCGGAGAGACTATACATCAAAAGCTCAATCCTCAACTTGAATTATTGAAGGACAGTATCAATAAAGAGAATACTGCCAGTACCATCGAGGAGTTAGAGAGCGCTTTTGGACGTATCAACTCCAAGTCGAAACAAGTACAAAAGGGTCTTGTCGATACCACGACCACATTGCACTCCATACAAGAGTTTGAAATCAATCTACCTTCCACCTCTACAGCGGAAAGAGTCTTGCAAGAGGTTTCTCCTAATAGGGCACGCCATACCTTGAGTAGCGGGTCAGCAGTTAAACGCCCTGCTGAAACACTGCTTCAACCCCTTTCCAAGATTCCGTCATTGTCTCGTGCAAATAGCGACAACGAAAGCGTGTCAAAGAAGAGGCGAACGACTACAAAATTGAACATGCCATAATCTGTATTCTACATCAATAATCTGTACATTAGGGCCCACTACAAAGGTATTATAATAATTGACGAACCACAAAGTTAAAGCAATTTTCCTTCCTGTACGAGACATCTCTATACCTCTCCATCTTTGTCGATTCTTTTCAGCAATTTTCCATTCCGTACTACACCTCCATACCTCTCCATCTTTATCGTATTCTCGATCGGTCATGTGACCGCACTGCAACCTCAAAACGTTACAGCGAATACCGGCAATTCACACATGACGCTAACTAGTGGTGCCAAATACTTCATTGGCTACTCCGCCTTGTCGGTGGCGCTACTAGCTTGGTCCATTGCAAGCTCTCTCGAAGTATCACACAATTACTTTTCGTTTATCGTCAAAATCACCGATGGCTTCAAACTCGGAATCCTTATCAATTTCATATTTTTTTCATTCATCATTACTGCGAGGGCTCTCCAGCTCTTGTTATTTGGAGAGCTCCGAATAATAGAGATTGAGCACATAGTGGAGTCGGTTCCAATGTTCACCGTCAACTTGTTGTTTAATTTGGTTACCAATGATCATAATTTGCTCAACTGTGTGTTGCTCGGATTCATAGTGATGTCTAAGTTGCTCCATGTCATTTTGACCGATCGTCTCGACTTTGTACATATGAAGGTTGTCAATACCTTGGCGGAAGAACGCTATACTTCATCTGATGTGCTCAGAAGGTACATTTCAAGCCTATACACATGGCTCATTGCATTCTTCATAGTTGCGGATTTTGTGTTTGCGAAGTTTTTGGTGTACGATGCCTTCAAAGGTATCAATTCCGTGACGTGTTTACTTTTCGGGTTTCAATTTGCTTTGCTTGGAGTCGAGGCACTTACTTTCTTCTCGAAATTGTTGTTGAACATCTACGAACTCGCAGTGTATAATGACGCCAATGAAGACGACGATGAGTTCGACGTGGACGCAGATGACACGATCTCCGAGGTTGACCTGGGCCTGAGAGTCTGGGAAAAGAAGGGCTATTATAACAAAGCCATTGACATCTTTTCATCTTCTCTCAAGGCAGTCTCATACTTGGCGTTCATTTACCTTCTTACTTTCCATTCGGGTTTATCGTTACCCATATCAATGCTTCAGGGTACCTACTCCTCAATCAAAAAGACATATGTTGAGATCACCCTGTTGTTTGCATTCATCGAGTCAGCCAGGCGCTTGGATAGCCAGTTGGCGACCGCAACCACCGAAGACTTGAGTGCCACAGACAACCTTTGCATCATTTGTCGAGAAGATATGTACAGTGTTGAAGCGTATCGAGAGACTCGTGGTCGTCCGCTTCCAGCGAGAAAGTACCCCAAAAAGCTCGATTGCGGTCATATATTGCATATGGGATGCTTGAAAGATTGGCTCGAACGCTCAGAAAACTGTCCCTTGTGTCGCCGGAAAGTTTTCGCCGGCAACCCCACGTCTATTACAGACACAAATGCCACCAATGCACAACCAGAACAACCCATTCCTCAGCATCCCATTGCTCATCCTGAGGAGGTATTAGATAGACGACTCGAAGAGTATACTGAGTTGGCAAGACAACAGAACCTCGCTAGAGAGCAAGCTGCTTCTTCTTCTAACAGGCAAGAGGGCCAAGCTTCCGGAATACAAGAAGCAGGGGATAATTCAGACCAGCTACAGACGATCAAGTTGCCTGACAATGCTATTATACCTCCCAATTGGACCATCCTTCCAATCCATCGCATGTCTGAGATGCAATACGGGGTTGACTTCTCCACTCGGCATCGTGGAACCTTGTCCATTAGACCAAGCGTCGGAGGCCGAGAGTTGGACATTTTACGACCACGAAGATCTGAGAGCGAAAACGAGTAATGAATTAGGAAATTTTAGGAATATATGATACATACGAATAATAGTACATTACAAATCAAAGTCAAACTCCAAGTCTGCTTTGCTTGAGTTATCAAGGGTTTCTTTGGCATCTTGATAGTCGTCATCGTCACTGGAAAAGTCCACAAAAGTCTCCTCTTCAATGTCCTCATTATCATCCAATATAGGTAAGCTTTGGTCCTCGTCGAGGTCCGAGGTGATATTATGACCCAGAGTGGAAGGTGTAGGCGGAGCCTCCGAGTCGTAGATTGTTTTTATGAAGTTTATCTCATTTCGAAACTCGGATTCTGGAAAGCTGAAATTGCATTCTTTACTATTATCCAACAGCTTTTCGATCAAAGTTATGGTTTTTCTGATTTGTCCCTCAAGTTCATTTTTATGGTTCGCATCGTCAGTATTGGAATATTGGTCTTTCAAGTCGAATGCTTCCAATAGTTTACTGGAAGCAAGCAAAAAGTGGAACACTCCGTTAGTGCTATATGGAGGCTCAAGTAACATTTCGCTTAGTTTATCATTGAGCTTGGAAAAGTCACGCCGAACCAAGAGCGTCCACAATGATGATATGACATAGAGAGGGGCATGAGTTCTTGAACCAGAGCGCCAAACTGGCGCAGCGGATCGGCGAGATGGATATGACGTCGTTGATTTATGGTGCCAACGAGTACTGTAGAATGAGGTTAGCCAGTCAAAGAACTTCTCGTCCTTATATAGTTCTGGTTCTACTCCATTCTTGGCCGTTTCACGCTGCTTCTGGGACAAAATTTCGATTCCAAGCGGCCATATAGTTCTAATGTCAATATCAGGTACACGAATTAACAAACAAAACAACTTGTAGGCCAAGTTCCAGTTTCGTCTGAGGATATTCAAGTGTAGTAGGACTGTGACATGGGCAGCGTGGGTCTTTTTCAGTCCAAATTTCAGTCTCATATCTCCAGTCACACCGTACAATGAGCCGTTAGGAACGTCGTGATGAGGAAAAACTTCAAGACCTTTGGCTCTTATCAAGAAATTCGCTTTTTCCCATGTTGAAGATTGATCGAAAGTGCTAGTTATTGTTTCAAGATGCTTTTCAGCTTCATCCTCCGACCCAGAAGATGTTTCTTCTTCGTTCTCGTTCACGTTATTATTTAACTCACTTACCACCGCATCAGTTAGCGCAGCCTCAGAACTGACGGGCACCAGGTCTTGCGAGTTCCATTCTTCAAATGTTTCTTCAGGATTGTGGCGCTTGCTTAGTTCAGAATGTATTTTTTTAAGGATAGTTTTTCGAGCCTTTTGAGTTTGAAGCTTTGACTTTTGGTTTTTTGTGAGCTTTGAACTAGACTGAATACGATTATATTCACCAACTTCTACTGCTTTGCTCAAGAGTCGTTCAAGCCGTTTGTGCTTCTTCTTCGAGTCTGATTCTTGCACAACAACAAGTGCCAGTTCAAACATATCATTGTGCGATGAAGAGATGAGATCGCGCTACAACTGAATTCGGGAAATGAATTCGCAAACACTCTTAAACTGAATTCGCAGACTTCGCACACCAGATTATTGCAGTACTCATAACTATATACAAATGTAGAGCACCTAGAGCGAGCTTAGAAGCCCATTCCTGGCATACCGCCCATGCCACCCATGCCACCGGCAGGTGGAGCAGCGGGTCCCTTAGGTTGTGGAGCATCGACGACAGCACACTCAGTAGTAGCCAAAAGAGAGGCTACACCACTGGCATCTACCAAACCGTTCTTGACCACCTTGAAAGGATCAATGATACCAGCAGCAATCATATCGGTAAACTCACCCTTGGCTGAGTCGTAACCAATGTTGAACGAGTCGTTATCGAAGATCTTACCCACAATGACGGAGCCTTCTTCACCAGCATTCTCAATGATACGCTTGGCAGGCTTGGTAATAGCGGCCTTAATAATGTCCACACCCAACTTTTGGTCAAAGTTAGCAGCTTCGGCCTTGACGGCATCCAAAATCTTGGAAGCCTTGATCAAGGCAGTACCACCACCGGGCAAAATACCGTCTTGCACAGCAGCTCTGGTGGCATTCAAGGCATCGTCGTAACGGTCCTTCTTCTCACCAACTTCCACTTCGGAAGTACCACCCACCTTAACAACAGCAACACCTCCGGACAACTTGGCTAAACGTTCTTGCAACTTTTCCTTCTCGTACTCGGTGGTTTGTGGGTCGTCAATGGTGGTTCTAATTTGTTCACATCTGGACTGGATGTTGTCTTTCGAACCTTCACCGTTCAAAACAACCGTGTCGTCCTTGGTGATGGTGATGGAGCCACACGATCCCAACAAGTCCAAAGTGGCATTCTCTGGCTTGATGTCCAACTCCTCAGTGAAGACAGTACCACCAGACAAGATGGCAATATCACCCAAAATGTTCTTTCTGTTGTCACCGAACCCTGGGGCCTTAACGGCACACACTTGGACTTGACCTCTCAATTTGTTGAGGATACAAGCAGCCAAAGCCTCACCGTCGATGTCCTCAGCGAGAATCAAAAGAGGTCTACGAGACTGGTTCAGCAACTCCAAAGAGGGCAAGATGTCTTGGATAGAAGAGATCTTCTTCTCAGACAAAAGAATCAATGGGTTTTCAAATTCAACTTTGCCCAGCTTGGTGTTGGTGATGAAGTAAGGAGAGATGTAACCACGGTCAAATCTCATACCTTCAGTAACTTCCAATTCGTCTTCCAAAGTCTTACCCTCCTTAACGGTGATGACACCTTCCTTACCAACCTTTTCCATGGCAGACGCCAACAAGTCACCAATGTGCTTGTCTCCATTGGCAGAAATGGTAGCCACCTGAGCAATCTCCTCAGAAGTGGTAATTTCCTTCTTGTTTTGCTGCAAAAAGTTAACAACCGCTTCCACAGCAGCTTGCGATCCTCTTCTCAAGTCCATTGGGTTACATCCAGCAGCAACATTCTTCACCGATTCAGTAAAGATGGATCTTCCCAAAACAGTAGCAGAAGTAGTACCATCTCCAGCAGACTCATTGGTCTTTGACGCCACCTCCTGTAACAACTTGGCACCCATGTCCTCGAATTTGTCCTCCAAAGTGATGGACTTGGCCACAGTCACACCATCCTTGGTGATTTTGGGAGAACCGAATTGTTGCTCAATCAACACATTCCGGCCCTTTGGACCCAAGGTTACAGAAACTGCATCAGCCAAGGTGTTGACACCTTTTAAGAGTGCAGCACGGCCCTCCACACCGAACTTCAATTCCTTGTGCGAATAGTGGCGCACTAAAGAAATGGCATTTTTTCTTAAACTAGATCTTGCACTCAACATTTGTAGAGCAGCAGGATATTCCGGGGTTATTAATGGGTTCCGGGGACCTGAACAATTTTTCGGTTCGAGAAAGTTCGATCACGTGGGGTGTTTGGATGCAACACGAGTTCAAAGTAGACGAAGAGGCCTTGACCGGTCAAGCCCAACAGAGAGAAATTCAGATAAAGCAACTTCTACCGGTGCTTTTGGCTTTCTTTTACTTTTCTCTTGTTCTTTTCATTTTTCATTTTTTTTTTGTTTCTTCATTCTTCATACGTTTCGTCTCATTAGTGCGCCTGGGGTGGTGTTTGGCTCTCATAATCCGGCCGGTCGGTTCTCCACCTCAAAATGAATTCCGGCTTTGAGCCCATCACCGCGGTTTTCTATTCGGTTTTTCATCCCACAGAAGGAACAAAGATCGTTCACCAAGTTCCCGATGTAATTTCTCGCGATCAGCCGTCGCTTTTTGATTTCGATGCCGTGCGCAACTACGTGATTCCTAAACCTCAACTATGTAATAAACTTGTACTGTTTAAGATAGGAAGGTACCGGGTGATGGGGTACCCTGTGAACATTGAAAATACAGATTATGCTCGAAATTCTTTTACTTTCAATTTTTGTTTTGTGTTTCCTTATGACAGTGATACCACTCCGTACGAGCTGGCTGTGCGGAGAATGGGACGTATGTTTCGAGTTTTGGAGGAACAAAACTTTCTGTTGTCGAAACAAGACCCTGCATTTTTCAAAGACAACAGAGCCCATTTGGACCGTGCCGACACCACAGAAACTACTCCTGGGTACGCTCGAACTGCTAGAATCACCCTCTCATCAATTGAGTCATTGATCAATCAAATTTTTCTGGATCTCAATAACTACTCTGAATGTTGTATTCCACTCGATCTGGCAAATTCGGTGGATATCAAACTTTTCCCCATTCTCCCTGCTCCCGTCAATCTCAAAGGTCACCAGGTTCCTATTTCCACCGTCAAACTTGGACTAATGGTGGATGTCAATTGGGATCCAACAATGGTCAAGATCTTGCCGTTTATCAATGGCGTCAACTCGGTCAGAAAAATAAGCCGTCTTGCCGATGCGGACTATATCCTCACCAAACAATGTCTCCAGCACCTATTATACTACCGTTGCATTGAAATTCTCGACATTTTCCAGTTCTCCAACATATACGCACCCACTAACAACATCTCAAGGTTCTTGACCGTTCCTGATATTGCCGAAGACTGCCAGGCCTACATAGTCACTGATTCTGGCGAAAGACTCGCAGATTTGCCCACCGGTTCCATGGAAAATTCAGCATCCGGTGTCAGCTCTGTAGTTGGATCAGCTCCTCTACAACGATCCTCAGAAGCACTGCCCGTATCCACATTCAACTCGGTGCTGCCCTTGGCCAGAACTTCCTACTTTTCGTCATCTTCAGCCACAACAGCCAAACCTCGCACCATCCATGTACCGTCAAAGGCTACCCTATTCTATCTCTACCGCTCATTAAACCAAGGCCAAACCATACGGGAATGGTACGTCCAGCATCGCAAACAGCTCCAATTCATAGACGTTCGTCGATTTATTACTTTCGGTGTGTTGCGAGGACTAATCTACCGGGTTCATTCTTACCCCATTCTGGATCCGTTGGTCAAGGCCATCGAGTCTGATACCCTTCAAGAGCTAGATGAAGCCATGAAAGAAAAGATAGAGAAGCTCAAAGAGCGCACGAAATCAAACAGCCATGTCAATAATCCCCGAGTCGTCCGCACTCCTACCACCACTACCCTCGAGACAACCTTGAAGACAGAACCTTCCACACCTTCTGGAAATCCTCGTCGTCGCGTGAGCTTCAACTACAACGTACAGAGACACCCCAAGCACGAAGTGATACCCGAATCTGACATTAGCTCCAGTCATACTGAATCGGAAACTTCTAGTGATGAACCATGGTCGTCGCACCGAATTCGTCAAGATATTGACGACACCAAAAATGTGTTCAAACTCCTCAAGGGTTTCCAGAATTTTGATGCTATATGCACAGAGCTTCAGAAACCACGCAGCGAAGTGGAAATGCTCATAGAAACTTTGGGCAGCAGCCACTTGGTCAATGGGTGACGTGAAAAACCAGAACTATCAAAAGGAACCAAACGAAAAATTAAGCTTAATCCTCGCTGTTTCCTATTTATACACTATCATGCTATTCTGCCATTCCTATTCATTCTATCATCATTTTCAGTGTCGCTACCTATTTTCCGGAAGTGAGAAAAAAGATATATAAGTTTTCGCAAAAATATGCATTTCTGGCACGAAAGGGAACGAAAACTAAAGCATGGCTTGACTAGATCAGTTGACTCTCTAGCCCACTAAGTAGTTAAGACATCTCCCGAAAGTCACATGACCGTAAATTTCCTGCACAATTTCCACATCCAGCCACCCAGTCGCGATATCATTTGTTTTGATCAGACATCAACAAAACATGTCGGGCAAAGGAAAAGTTCACGGAGGAAAGGGAAAATCGAGCGACAGCGCCAAGGCGTCCACTTCACACTCGGCCAGAGCAGGATTGCAATTTCCTGTGGGAAGAATTAAGCGTTATTTGAAAAGAAGCGCTCAAAATAAAGTGCGGGTTGGTTCGAAATCCGCCATTTATCTCACGGCCGTGCTTGAATACTTGACAGCTGAGGTGTTGGAGTTGGCCGGAAACGCCGCCAAAGACTTGAAGGTGAAGAGAATCACACCCAGACATTTACAGTTGGCAATTAGAGGAGATGAAGAGTTGGACAACTTGATTAAAGCCACCATCGCGTACGGAGGAGTGTTGCCCCACATCAACAAGGCTTTGTTATTGAAGGTGGAGAAGAAGAAGCAGCAGAAATAGGTGTATATTATGTTTTGTATTCTAGATCTAAGATGTCGTATTTACATGTAGAAGGTGGGAGGGTGGAAGACTTGGAGAATACGGTGCAATTCAGAGGAAGATCAATTCGATTGAGGATCAATTCATGAGGGCCAATTCGGAGAGAGGTACGCAGTTGACGCAATTGACGAATGATGTGTGGTTCGGTAATGCAAGTGTTGGCAAGTGGAGATGGACGGACTGGATTCTCATAAATCGGTGGAGGTTTAATTGCCCATTAATTTTTCTGCTCATTGCGAGACTGCAGTACTTCCAGAATACCACTGTGCTGATCTTTGACCTGTTTTTGATTTTCATCGGTTTTGTCCGGTTGTTTCAATTGACTGGTGTCTACCAATGTCTTTGCCAGGTCTCCATCTCCGGTCTGAATTTTGACATACTTCGGCCTGTACCCTTCCGGAGGCTTATAATCGTCCATGCGAACGTTATAAGATGCTAAGCGTTTTTTGATATACTCTATCTCGTCCTGAAGAGTAGCAATGTCATCAGCCAATGCATCGCGTTCATCAGCTGCCTTTTTCCGGCTTCGAAATGACTCATAGAGAATCAATGAGCCAGCCACTGAGAAGATAAAGAACTCAGAAAGAAAATTGGCACCGTTTTCCACTGCTTTTTTATCATTAAGTGGACGAATTTTTATCTTTTTTTCACCCAATAATGACATGCGGAGGCGAATATCGGTGTGATGCACGGTTTGAGCTATGCGAATGCAACCCTGACGAAACTTCTCATGCTCCTTGGCCTGGGCTTTAATGGCGGTGGCGATTGGCTTCGCAACCGTGCGCACTAATAACGATGTGAGCTTGAGTGCTATGCCACTCATAGTGAAGTGGCGGCAGTCGGTGCGAACACAGCGAGGCTGGTGCACTGGATGGAAAACACTGGTAAGTTTGCAAGCTAAGAGAGGTGAGAAAGTGCGCGAATCGTTGTGGGGGAAAACTGCAGGAAATGTGGGGCATCTTGGCATTGTGGGGCGAGCGGAGCGGGTCAGAAAGACGATTGAAAAATAAAGGAGTGAGCAATTGATACGAATAGGCAGCGATGGGTAGAATAAGTAGCAATAGGTGTATGTGATGGTCATGGTGGATGGTAATTAGTAGTCAGATACCAATGGTAGTATATGATAGATAGTGGTAGTAGATGGAAGTAGATGGTAGTAGATGGTAGATTAACAGTAGTAATATTTGCGACCATCTATCATTTCGCCTGTCGTAAATGTTTAGCCTATTCTACCGCTGCTCGCTCAAATAGGATATTGCAAGCGTTGCAGCGGGGCGACAATGGTGCAAGAAGATGAAGAGAAAAGAAAAAGAAAAAGCAAAAGAAGAGAAAAAGAAGGATGTTGATGAAAGTAGATCTCGTTAACATCAATAAAATCAAGAACTCTCTCCTTTCTTTCTCTTGTCTTATCACCGCTGTACCCCATTCCAATTACGTTAATCACCTCGTATTACGCACCGGCGTTGCGCACAGTCCGTATCGCTACACAGTTGCCCCACAATTTTTCTGTGTCCCCGGCGCTTCGGTCACTTTTGCCAAGCATCTACACTGGCATCTAAACCCATTACCACCCCGGACACACCCAAACCCGACACCTGGAGTCGTCAGCGCATCTCCGAACCTTCTCGTGACCAAATCCGGGGGAGGGGAAACTCAACATTTCGCGCGAATGGTTTGTGGGGGTGCCTAACGCCGGCACTGTATTTAAGGAGAGGCCAATCATTGGACCACGATTCAATTAACAACAGCCACTTCCCAAGAACATGCCTGAAAGTACAGATCACTTGGACCACGAGAAAATGCTCGATCCGCCAAAAGGATTTTTCGAGAGGTCCACTTCCAAACCTAATCTTGCCTCGTTGGACGAGTATAAAAAGCTCTACAAACAGTCGATCGAAGACCCGGCCACGTTTTTTGGAAATGCTGCGAAACTGTTCTTGGACTGGGACAGACCGTTTGACTACACGAGATTTCCCGTTGATCCTAAAGACGACTTTAAAAATGGAGATATTCCATCTTGGTTCATCAATGGTCAATTGAACGCTTCGTACAATGCTGTGGACAGATGGGCGATGAAAAACCCAGAAAAACCCGCCATCATTTACGAGGCTGACGAGGTCAACGAAGGCAGAACCATCACCTATGGTGAATTGCTCAAGGATGTCAGCAAGTTGGCAGCTACTCTTACCAATCTCGGAGTCAAGAAAGGCGACTCCGTAGCGGTTTATTTGCCCATGATCCCAGAAGCAATTGTGACTCTCTTGGCTATCGTTAGAATTGGTGCGCTCCATTCCGTGGTGTTTGCTGGTTTCTCGTCCACGTCGTTGCGGGACAGAATCATCGATGCCGACTCCAGAATCGTCATCACCGCCGATGAGTCCAAGAGAGGCGGAAAGACCATCGAGACGAAAAAAATCGTGGACGACGCATTGAAGGAATGTCCCCATGTGCGCAACGTGCTTGTGTTCAAGAGAACCGGAAACTCTCATGTCCCATTCCTGGCTGGCCGTGATCTTTGGTGGCACGATGAGTTGCAGAAATACGGACCATATTTCCCTCCCGTACCAGTTAACTCTGAGGATCCATTGTTCTTGTTGTACACTTCTGGTTCCACCGGAAAACCAAAGGGTGTTCAGCACAACACCGCAGGTTACCTTTTGGGTGCATTAATGACGGCTAAGTACACCTTTGATCTCCACGAGGAAGACATCATCTTCACCGCTGGAGATGTGGGCTGGATTACTGGCCACACTTATGTGGTTTACGGTCCATTATTGTGTGGTGCGACTACAGTCGTCTTCGAGGGAACCCCAGCTTATCCCGACTATTCTAGATACTGGGACGTCGTCGACAAGTACAAGGTGAACCAGTTTTATGTTGCACCCACTGCTTTGCGTCTCCTCAAGAGAGCCGGCACAAAGTACGTTGAAAAGCACGATTTGAGCTCTCTTCGTGTTTTGGGCTCTGTTGGTGAACCCATTGCTGCTGAGGTATGGCACTGGTACAACGACAATATTGGCCGCGGAAAGGCTCATATTGTAGACACCTACTGGCAAACTGAATCGGGTTCACACTTGTTGACTCCTTTGGCTGGTGTGACCCCAACCAAACCTGGTTCTGCTTCGTTGCCATTTTTCGGTATTGACGCTAGAATCTTGGACCCAGTCTCAGGCAAGGATTTGGTGGATAACAACGTCGAGGGTGTGTTGTGTGTCAAGTCTGCCTGGCCGTCTATCACTAGAGGTATTTACCACGACTACGCCAGGTACATTGAAACATACTTGAAGCCATACCCTAACCATTATTTCCTGGGAGATGGTGCTGCCAGAGACAAGGATGGCTTTTTCTGGATTTTGGGTAGAGTCGACGATGTTGTCAATGTATCTGGTCATAGATTGTCAACTGCTGAAATCGAAGCTGCCTTGATCGAACATGAATTGGTGGGAGAAAGTGCTGTGGTTGGCTACGCTGACGAGTTGACTGGTCAGGCTGTGGCTGCGTACGTATCTTTGAAATCCAATGTCGAGGTCGACGACTTGGAAGCTATCAAGAAAGAGTTGATCTTGACGGTTCGGAAGGAAATCGGTCCTTTCGCTGCTCCAAAGTTGATCTTATTGGTGGATGATCTTCCCAAGACGAGATCTGGAAAGATCATGAGAAGAATCTTGAGAAAGGTGTTGGCAGGCGAAGAAGATCAATTGGGCGACATCTCTACATTGTCGAACCCCCAGGTGGTTTCCCAAGTGATCGAGGTCGTAAAAGCTTCACGTAAGTAATCATAACTTACTCAGTATTTATTCGACGAATGTATACATGTGTTTCTAGTTTTGGTGTTCGTACGCCGTAATTGCTGCCAACAACGACTTGGCTTCGGGCTTGGATGCAACTGCGTCAATGCCTATGCTATAACTCTGAAGGTACTCCTCGGTGGTGGGTCCAATCGAGGCCACAAAGGGACCCATGGCGCTGCTGCGTTCAGCACCTTGCAAATGCTCTACTATGGGAACGGTTCCTTGCGGACTGAAAAATACCACCCAACGAACATCCTTGCTGCTCGAGTGGAAGTTGCTAACTATGTCGTCTCGAGGTTCAGTTTTGTATATGACTTTCTCAATAAGGTCAATCTTGGCTTGCTTGAGTTTCCGTGGGATGATGTCTTTTCTAATTTCTCCAGTAAGAAATATCATCTTTGACGGTCCGCCTTCCTGGACATCTTTGATTATGATATCTGACAACACCGAACCGTTTCCAGCATCGGAACCACCTTTTATATTGGTAAATCCGGCTTCTCGAAGCACCTCGGTTGTAGCTGGACCCACAGTATAAACTGTCTTTTCGTGTATGACGGTCTTTATTTCCAGACTAACATGTTCTAAGCACTCATTCAAGCACTCTACCGCCCGCTGGCTCGTTATTATAAACACTGGAATCAGCAAGAATTCTTCACCTGTAAAGTACTCTATCGATTTTTCACGGTCAACATGTCCATGTTTGAGCAAAGGTATGAAGGTGGGCTCGAACCCAGCATCTGTAAACACATCATGGTACGGATCTCGAGGGGTGGTTTTGTTCTTGAGGAGCAATATTCTTCGGTTCACTTCAGATGACATTGGTTGATTGATGATAGGATGAAAATTACGTAAACGAACTACTATGGCAACCAAAATAACCTATATATATTAAATCTCATTAATCATTCTACGAGTAGCCTCGAGAACCAGGTCTCCGTTATTACTCTTGAACACGCGGCTGATTCTCTCCTTTCCAACCATGGCGTCTCCAATAACTGATCTTATGTTGGTCTTGATCGATTCGATGAACTCAAACTTGTAGCCCATCACCGAAACCGAGAAAAATAAAGCAAGAATTCCGATCAACATTGGAACCCAGAAAAATAGCAACATCTTGTCGTTTTCAACATTCTTTCTGGGGTGATTAATAAAAGCCACAATATCGTCGGACGAATCAGAAGATAAACCCCCATCCTCATTTGTCTCGTCAATAGTCACTGGTTCGTCTGCGGTCTTTGAGAGTTGGCTCGAACTGCCTTCAGATCCGTTATCAGCATTGAGTGCACGCTCAACTTCGGCCTTGGGCTTCGAAGACGAAGATGGTCCGAATGGGAACAAGTCGTCATACGATGGTAACTGGGTGTCCAGATCATCGTTGTTAAATACGTTCTTTACCTTTTGCCAAAGACCTGTTGGTGACAGCGGCACAGTACCGGAAATGGTGGAGTCTGAAGTCAAAGATTGAGCATCCTCTTCACTTATGGACGATCTATCGCCATAGTCAGATTCATTGTCGTTGATGTAATCGCTATCATCGTCATCGGACTCGAATTCTGAGTCGGCAAATTCAGAAGTGCTGTCTTCAACCCCAAAAGAGTCTTTTGCGGGTCCGTGCAGCTCATTGTGGTCGACCGAGTTATCCATAACCATCTTTGACACATGCCTACCGACACTCACAGAGTACATGGAGTTTAAGGAATCGATGCTCATCGACTTGGAGATGTTTGCTTCACGGTTAATTGCGTCGCAATCCACAACATCGCCATAGTCACTCGAGTTCTGTAATTCATCGAAAAGGTCCAAGATATTGATGTCACAATAATCCTTGATATGTTTGTCATTAGACAACTTCATGTTCCAGTTACACTTGCATTGAACAAACGTCTTGATCAACTCACGATGGCCGCCCAAAGAAGCAAAGAACAAAGGTGTTAACCCTTGGTTGTCTTGAATATCCACCTTGCAGCCATGTGCAATCAAAAACTTGATCAAGCTTGAATAGTTTTTCATGGAAGCCAAATGTAATAATGCTTGCCCTTGTTTATTGCATAATTGCCAGTTAGGAATTACAATTGGACAATTAGGAAGATCCACAAGCGAAAGCAATGTAACCAACATCTCCTCGAACGAGAGATCTGACTTTGTGAGTGCCTGCGCGGCTTTCTGGGCACTATCGAACCAATCCTTGCCCAGAATTTCAGTTACTGCTGCATGCGAAGGAGCAGCTGCATTGTTGTTCATTGGAGACTCGGATTTGGTCTTATTATCGGTACCAACAATCCGCTTGGCAATGTTCTTTGCATCCTCTAGCTTACCGTTCATCTTCAAACCAACAATCTGCAACGCCAATTCAATCAACTGGCGATCAGTATCATCGGTATATGTGAAGACCTGCAGCTGTGTATTGGCCATGAAGGGAGTACTGTCAACGCCTTCAAAGCTTACCAAAACTTGACCGGGAAGAGTAGCTGGTGGGAGGTAAGTCACTATGGTGGTTTCAGACCAGCAATGGGTAGCTAATGCCTGATTAGCACCAAACTTGACCTGCAAATTAGGACGAAAGTTGAAACCCAAAAGGGTCACTTCGATACCTCCTCGTATAGGACCTTGAGCGGGAATAATGCGCTGAATAGTCGGTATATCTTGATGCAACAGATTGCGCTGACTACCCAAATACGGAGCAGGCTTCGTCATGAAGTTGATCGCGGAACTGTTGGTGTTGGTGTCGCTATTGCTGACAGGCGAAAAGCCGTTCATAGAATCATTAAACATAGGATTTGTAGTAGTGTTGAGCGAGTCATCAATGGACAACTTCTTCCGCTTGAGTCCCCTGCCATCGGTATCAGTATTAGTTGGTTCGGAAGATTCATCGACAGAATTAGGGGAAAGAGGATGCAAAGTGTCGTTGATGAGGTCTAAACTGTGTTCCGAGTTCACGTTGTGGTGAGAAGCTTGTGCGTGAAGATTGGTTGACGAACCTGCCAATGAAGGTGCTACCGAGTTGTCAAGTGATCTTGGAGCAGATGCGGTGAGAGTATTCTTCTTTCTGTCCATGATCATGATCGACGTGGACAACTGCTTAGCAACCACTTCATCATTACTGTTCTTGAGCACAAACAAGAGCCTAAAGCCTTCAGTATCCTTATGGTGTCTGCAGTAACATATTATTCTCGCAGAGAGCTCGAGAGATTTGGTATCGTTGGACAAGCCGGTGGGACGTGGAAACGACACTATCTCTTTACAGTTGAAAATCAATGCTTTCTTCATCATACCAGGATCAGACCAGGATCTCGGGTTAGTTTTGACCACTCCAGGGGCATTCTTGTCTATATTCAGAGTGGAGGTTTCTGACTCGTTGCCGGACTTGCGTCTCGAAGCCCGTTTCTCCTCTCTCTTTATACAGCGGGGACAAATATTGCAGGACTTCCGAAGGTCGGAGGTCAAGACATAGGTGTCCAAGTAGAGCAAGTTTTCTTTGATTTTTGGGGAAAGGGTGGAAAGTGGTTCAATTAAACAAAACTTATTCTTCGAGATCAAATCTTGAGGTATGTGAAGAAGACCTTGAGGAGGTGGTGGGGATACCGCCAAGTTGATCTTGATTTGAGTTTCGACACGCGAACAGCTGGGTAATGGCGCAATGTCCAATTTAAAGGGAAGTGCTGCCATGGTAGCGGGGGAAAAGTCGAGATATGAGGGGTCAAGGACATTGACAGAAGGAGGACAAGGATTCATTTCGGGATTTCCAAATTTGAGTTTCGAAACTTCATCACGAAGACTATCGTAAGACGTAAGATAGGAGCCCGCTTGGCCATTTCGAGTAGGTTGTTCTTGTATTAATGAATTTGGATCATCTTGAGGAGAAAGCCTTTTGATTTGACCATCGAAAGAACTGGTGAAAGTGTTGTCTTCCTTGTTGCGGTACACGTCCGGGTCCACGTAGAGGTATTCGCTGTCTCTTGTGGGATCCACAGGGTCAGAAAGGGGCATGGAAGTGTCATCAGGACTGGTAAAGAAGTGAGCAACCGTGCCGTTTTTGGGAATGGCGCCTTGAGACAACGAATCGTCTTGCATGGGAAACAAATGAGACAAGTCTTCTGACTTGACCACGCCTTGGACCGGTGTGTTTGGAGCCATAGAATCATAGACTCGTTGGTCTAAAAATTCATCTAAAATATCCTGGTCGTCTTCGGCATTAGCGTTGTGGTCGAACATATATTCGGCGAGAGACATATTGGTGTCCTCTTACGCTATGAGTTGAATCGGGGCGAGGCAAAAGGACAGAGTGGTGGTGAGTAAAAAGAAAAATGTGATAACCGATTTGCGTTGCCAGAAAAGATTTTGAACCTTAAACTTCAGATGTACAGATGTCATGCGAAGCACCACCTATGGATGCGAAATATTGGGGCGGGGGAGATCGAGTATTTATTATGGCAAAGTCGCGACTAAATGTTAGGGTGCTACGTGTCTACGTGTCAGAATACCCCTATTCAAGCTGCACAAGGTCACAGGCTTTGTTGTGGGTTAGTTCCTGCTTTTCTGACCCTGCATACTGCACACAGCCCAAAGTTGTTGGCTCGTATGAGAATGTTGGGAAGTGAGGAGATGGTGCACGGGTGTGGTTTGGGAGATATGTGAGGTTTGAGAAAAGGGGCGAAAGTTGGGAGTGAGTGCGATATAGTTTTAGAGGTTTGGTTGTGTTTGGTGGTTATGCCGAGGATACGTTCGTCATGCACTAGACGTACCCCGCAAAATATTGGGTGTGATCCTGCAGGGTGACTTCTAGTTGCTAACCATTCATCCAGTGCGCACTCTTCGTTTTTCACACAGGGCTTACTTTTCTTCTTCACCCAGTGCACCAACCATATCTGACTCTTCGCGGTGTTCGGTTCTCATCATGAAGTCGGTACTTTCGATTCAGTCCCATGTCGCTCATGGCTACGTAGGCGGAAAAGCTGCCGTGTTTCCGCTTCAGACACAGGGCTGGGAGGTGGACAATGTGAACACTGTCAACTTTTCAAACCATACGGGTTATGGTACTTATAAAGGGTCGGCCATCTCGTCGGCTGATCTTTCCAGTATTTTTCACGGCTTGGATTCCATACAAATGCAATACGACGCCGTGCTTTCGGGCTACATTCCCAACGCTGAGCTCATCGATGAGGTGTCTCGGTACGTCAAAAGGGTCAAAACTCAAAAACCAAACACAATTTATCTCTTTGATCCGGTGATGGGAGACCAGGGTTTTTTGTATGTTAGTGAGTCATGCGTGGCTCGATACCGCCAGCTCTTAAACGAGAGAATCATAGACATCATCACACCCAACCAGTTTGAATTGGAGTTGTTGTGTGGCTTCAAAATCAACTCCAACGACGATCTACGCTCAGCCGTGCGAATGCTCCACGATGAATACCATATCAAATACGTGGTGATATCGTCACTTGAGGGAGACGCCGACCACATTCGATGCGCCGTATCTGCCTACAACGACGCTCACATCAACGAGTTTCAAATTCCCATCATAAAGTCATATTTTACTGGTGTTGGTGATCTCTTCAGCGCTCTCTTACTTGACAAATTCTACACTTATGTCGAGAATGAGGATACCAACATCCACACCCTCACTGCCGCCGTGAATACAGCGCTCACCATCACCCAGAAAGTATTGATTTTGACCCATGAACTTGGAGTAAAAGCATTTAAAAAGGCTGAAGGCTACAATATCGACCAGCCTGTGGGAATTATCAATGATGCTGCCACCATGAAATATTTCGAACTCAAAGTTATCCAAGCCAAGGACTACTACAGCATAAAAGATGGCACTTTCAAGTCATATTCTGTACACACCTAAGGTAGTGTGAGTCACCATAGATAAAGGGTGAAGAATGCGAAGATCTCAAATCTTTCAACAATTTGCATTCACTCAAAATGAGTCGTCCTAAAGTTCTTGTGGTAGGTTCCGGTGGTGTGGGAGTCATGCTGGCTCTAGGATTGACCACTGTTGACAAGTCTGATGTCACTTTGGTTGTTCGTTCAGATTATGATCGTGTGATGCAACATGGGTACTATATCAAGTCGAGAACTTATGGCGAGATCAAAGCATGGAAACCACCAAAAATAGCCAGGTCTGTCAAGGAGGCAGCCGAGAACAACGTCGAGTACGACTTTATTGTTCTTACCACAAAAAATATTCCAGATGGTGCGATGACTTGTGAGGATATCATTCGTCCAGCCGTCACCGCCAAGTCTGTGATTGTACTTGTCCAGAATGGTATTTTGATAGAGGAGCCTATGATCAAGGCATTTCCGCATAACGTGATCCTTAGTGGAGTTTCACTCATTGGTTCTTCCAACATCGATTGTGTCATTAACAACTCCCACAAAGATACACTTAAGCTCGGACTTTTTGACAATCCGAATATTCTGCCTGAAGTGGGCAAAGCAGCTCGCGAAGAGTACCGTAGAATATACCAGAATGACGACATCAACATTAATAACGTTATTCTTGATGACGATACAAAGAGGACTCGTTGGGAAAAACTCGTCTACAATTCAGTGTTCAATACTATCACTGCCATTGTCGGTTTGGACATTAATTCATTACAAATCAACGGTGCAAACGATACTCTTTTTCGTCCAGCCATGAAAGAAATTTCGGCCATCGCAGCATCTGAAGGTGTTGAGATTCCTACCAGTGTTCACGAATTCTTTCTCCATATCGGTGACGGTCTTTTCTACAAGCCGTCAATGCTTGTGGATGTAAGAAAGAAGCAACTTTGTGAAATTGAGGTGATTCTCGGCAACCCATTGAAGATCGCAGCTCGAAACGGAGTGCCAACTCCAGTCCTTTCCACAGTGTATCACTTGCTTTCAATGGTCCAATTCAGAACCAAAATAGACAATGGATCCATTAAGATTGACCAAGAATTATTCAGGGGCCAAGACTCGGACAAATTTCCAGAAATCTTTGCAGCATCGCCTGGCAGTAGAATTTAGACAAGATAGAGGATAGACAAAATAGACTTTTTTAACAGTATGTGAACAACGGAGGCTTTGTCTTGAGCGGTTCTATTCGCTCAATTATCACCATTCTTGTATTGGTTTCAGAACCATCTTCCATCAAATTAGTATTGTAATCGTACCCAGAAATTGCCAGTGATTCAGCATGTCTGTCGTCAATATTTGCCGGGTGCAAAAGTGCAGTCGTCTCGGTAATGTTTTGGCTCGAAGAAGTTTCCTCTTCAATAACACCTATTGTGGGTCGTTTCTTATTAGACAAAGACATGTCGTGGATACTTGATTCAATTGCATTCTCCATAATTGAATTGCTCACTTGAAGAGGGATCCTCATTACGTCGTCCCACACAAGTATTCTGTTTCTTCTCGTGAGCTCTAAGGGACCTTCATTGGGGCTGCGAAGCACATCGACCACGTTGAGTGCTTGTCCCTTCAAAACGGCAAGTTGCTTCGACCAATTTTTTTCTTTAAAATTTTTGTCTTTTTGAAATACAGCCTTGAGCTTACACACTGTGGATTCCCACCATTTTGTAGATGTCAATAAAGGTAGAAAATGCCTTCTTGTAGTATCAGAGAAGGGCTGTCCGATGAGAGAAATTGGTAAAAAGAGCCAACCAAACGGAAACAGGCGCCATTCATCGGGATGTTTCCAAGGAAATGCAAGACCAGAGTCGATTGCACCAATTTTCAAGATGGGACGAAGCGTTTTGGTTGATGTAGTTTCGGCAACTTTCAGCCATTTTATTGATATCATCCAGTTATCAGGTCCACGATCTGTGTTTCTCATAATGTAATCTAGCACCACTAATTTTTCCAACTCTTCTCGAAACTGAAGCAACACAGACTTGCTCCACTTAAAGCTGATGCCATGGAAATTATCATTTGTGCCAATAGTCATGTCAGAATCATCGGGTAATTGACTTAGCGCAGATGGAAGTGGGTGCAGTTTGAACCACGAGTCGGCATCGACATAGTCGTTTAGAAAATACTGAAATGATCCTATTTTGGGTGGAAGCAGTCTCTTGTTTGCATGACGATTCCAATAGGAATAGAAGAAGGCCGAGGACTTTAAATATATAACGTCGGTTCGAGGAACAAGGTCGGTGTGCAACTGACGGTCAAGCACACTAGCAGCGGCTTCACTGATGTATCCAATGTTAGAAAGTAAGCACGAGCGACCAAAAAACCACGGAAAGAAAGTTCTATGGAGCCACTTTGTCCATTTGGGAGACAAAGGCCCATACGGCTCTTCATCTTTAGGCTTGAAAACTCCCACTATCACCTTGGATGAAGTGTCGTTTATACCATAAATAAAATAGCTTCCTGATGAGCCTTTGGGGATTCTCATGGGTTTCAATTCCTCTGACTCAACCCATTGACTTAACGAAAAGAGGACTTTGTCCCAATAAAGCAGAAAAGGCATATCATTTGCCTGTCCATCGCAGTCTACCAGAGGGTAATTGTACGTCAGTTTGAAAACTGAATACTCAATGTGGTATTCTTCCAATGGCGAGTGTCGTGGTTTCTTCGATCCAATGGGTGAATAAGCCCATTTAGCAGCGGGAAGCAAATAATTTTTGGCAAACCGGTTGAAATGACCCGAAGAGTCCGAGTGTCGACGTCCTTGAGATCCAGTGTTGTACTGTAAAGGAAGCTCTAGGCTTGAGCTGAGTCTCGCATTCGGTGTCTGAGGAGTAGACCGGCTTCTCTCAGTAGCAATGGCATTGGAATTATCAAATGGATCATTAAAGTAGTCTTCGGTATGGTATCTCTGAGGCGCTGAAACACCATAATAATTTTGGGATGGAACACTTTTAGACAACCTATCGCCAGCAAGAGGATCGTCTTTGACTGTATCGTTGTCTCCCATTTATGGCAGATACGGATACATGGAAGTGCACAAACAAGAAGATAGATAGAGAAAGCAGGTGCGAATAAAGTGGTGCGAATAGCCAAATAAATTAGCTGCGAAAAAGCTACCAGTAAAATTAGCTGCGAAAAATGGGTGCGAATAAAATAGCTGCGAGAAAATCATCCTCGAATAAACTACCTGCAACTGATAGATTCCACAATCACTTGAATGTGAGAGACTTATACCTTCTGCTACTCCAATTAAACAATGTATTCTCTATATCTTTTCATTTCTTTTATTATGGCATTACAAATCTAGAATAATATCAATGCTCCTCCAAAGATAAATGACTGGATATAGAACAAGGCCCGCATGAGCGAGTTGTTATGGGTTGTTGTGGAACCTGCACCCTTGGCTGATGATGAAGCTTTGTCTTTTTTTACACCCGTGGTGGTTACACTCAATGTAGCCTGTGCTTCTTTCTTGTTGGAGGTGGTTTGTGGAGTTTGTGACGATGAAGATGGGAAAATGTAGTCATTCAACTCCTCAAAAAGACCCTTGCGTTCCAATCCTTGGATAATACCTTTGATGGCTGGGGAATATTTGCCAAAGATTCCTTTTAAATCAACTTTTCCACTCAAAGCTCCAGATGCCAACTTACCCAACGCTGAAGGGTCTGCAAGCACTCCTCCGATGATCTTGGTGATGTTGGGGGTGCCAGTGATGTTGATGGCTCCGGAATGAATAGCATCATTTGCTATTGTGGCAGTCATGTTGAGATAAGCATCGTCGCTCAAGAATTTCTTAACAACATAAACTGCCACTCCGGTGTCGTTCAAAGCATTGACGATGTCCCCAAATGTGTTCAAGAAGAGCTTGGAGTCCAATACAGAACCAAAGATGTTCTTGGCGAATTCTCCTAAACTTCCACTATAATCGTCGGCTCTCTTTTTCAAATCTCTCTTGGCCAATACTCCATCGACAATATAGAGAATGACATTTTTGTTTGCGTCAACGATTCTGTAGGTCAAATTGACCAACACTGGCCTGAAACTTTCATCCAAGAGAAGCCCATCGGCCAACGATTTTACCAAACCAGATTTGAGAAGAACATTGACCAAACTGTTGTTTGTCATAGAACCCATATTCTTTGGCAACAGGAGGTTAGAAAGGTCTATTGGAGGCAATCTGCCAAGCAAGCCAACGGTGAGGTTGCCAATGGCTTGCACACGCTCGGGATAGTCGGCAATTTGGTCTAAAAGGTCAAAGATGATGCCTGACTTATTGACATACTCCAAGAGAGTTTCGATGGTTTTTTCGTCTCTTTTGTAAAGATTGGCCATCAGATAGAACTGGTCCAACTCCGGAACGTTAGCCTGGTCGAAAAAATCCTCCATCATTTCTTGCAAGTCAAAGCTGGTATCAGGAACCGGCATGGCTCTAGGAAGGGCCATCGCAACGGCTGCGAAAACCCATAAGAAGAAGAAACTCAAAGTCTTCATTACCAAACGTCAAAATCCAAGTTTATTTTCTTTAGGGAGGGTCAAGGAATATAAATGACGAGAACAAAGCAAAAGAAAGCAAATAAGGTAAAACTTTCTTTAGCCAAGATGCAAACATTGGTTGTGCCAAAATGTTACCCGATTAGTTAAATGATCCTACAACTTTACCCAAATAGGACATTTCATTGACTGGGTCACGTGTACTACCCGATAAGGAAATTATAGTAGTTGATCGTCTAGGAGTTGCCAAAAGACCCTCCAAAGTTAAACCACCAACGGAAGAGTAGTTTTCTCAGGAAAAGTGTACCAGCTACTCATAACTCCCATCTATGTCGCATTTCAATGTCGCCGCTCAAAATCGGCTCGTCAGCCGGTCCTGCGCCTAGCGCCATGTTCCTTCCTATTTAGGCAAGTATCGGCATATGCAACTAAACTTTTGTTTCGGGTGCATGCAGTGTTTATTAGACCCCGCTCCAAAAGTTTATCTGCTTTAAAGGACAGTTTTTTTTAATCTTCCAGTTGATTATGTGGCGCCCGCTCAACTTTCTCATAGCGCTCATGGCGTTTGTGGTGGCAGCGTCTGCTGCTGGCGCGAATCTCTTTGACGAAGCCTATGAATCCTTGAGCCAAAATTTCCAAAATTTAAAACGGGATGATCTGACTGTTCAGCAAATAGAGGGCATTATTAGCCAAGTCAATGATTCAGGAATCATTACCACAGCTTTGGGTCTCCTTGCAGCCTCAGAAACCCAGCAAGACAACATTGTCAACACGGTGGCTGGATTCATCAGGAATGGCTCCAACCCACTTGCCGGCTTCAATGTGTCGCTCAACGTGCTGGCAGTGAAGGACCAGGCGCTCAAGTCGGGACTTATCAACTCCACGGCCGACGCTCTCCTTAAAAATGACCAAAACCGTAACCTTTTGGCCTCCAAAACCGGCCAGTTTCTTAGTTCTGAAATATGGGTTTCGGTGATTCTTCGAGATATTGGAAATGGTCACAAGTTGAGCACTAAATGGATCGCGGACACCGCCAGGAACTTTAAACCATACAGACGTGATGGCAACAACAATAACAACAAATTAGCAAACTTGCAAGGCGTTCTCAAAGCCGCTGTTTCTGCCGATGACAGCTCCGACCAGTACGCCGGTTCGGCGCAAAAATTCTTCAACAACTTTATTAACGCCGCCTTGGACTCGAACCTCGTAAACGAGTCGCTCGACGATATCCTCCAAGCGCTCAACAACACCGGCATCGTACCCACTGTTGTACTTCAGGTGATGAACGACACCAGTATATTGAAAATGTTCGGTAATATCATCCTGAAACTCTACGACACCGGAGTCCTCGATAATATCAACTTACAGTATTACTTTGATCAGGCCAAGAAGAAGGGATACTTGGCCGAAGGAGTAAATTTTGCGTTCACCGACCCCAATTATTCTCCTTACGTGGGTAAACTCTTCCAGACCATGGACAACAATGATGTGTTTAAAAATATCCAATACGGCATATATGGATCGGGAGATGGAGGAAGAAACGACGGCAGTGGGTCGTAGGCAATGTAATACCTAACTTTATTAATGTACAATTAAATGAGAGGATTTTCAGCTAATATCATGCCAATAAACTATCATACCATTTGATACTTGAGTTGATCCTCAAAACTATATTCAATAAGTTTACTTCTAATTTCTAAGATAGTTTCTTTTTGAGTTGAGCAGATATAGCTTGTCTCGTATACACAATACTACTAGTTATCCACTCGTTGTATTGATTTTTCAGTACTTCTCATTACAATAATTGGCCCTCCTAGTACAACCAACTTTCGAAGTCGTGGAATTTGAACCAGATTTAATCTAATTGGAGCTTTGTCTCTAGAGCATTGAGCTTGGTGCAATTCAATCCAATCATAATCAGTAAAACATTTTCACCTATACAATGAATCTCAACATATACCAAGTATTTTTTGCAGCAATTGGTATTTCATGTTAAGTGAAGTTTGGTGACTCAAGTATACTCGATTAGCAGCCAGGAACTCCTTTCATATAAGGTCGAGTCTGTACTAGTTATGAACAATTGGTATAGCTTGATTGGATCAGATCTACTATTCATAGTCTGTAGAATACGACTTGACTATTTCTTGACTTTTTCTGCTTGATTTTCTTGACTTTCAAGTCTGTTCTAATCTAAACATCTATTACGAAACTTTTCTTTCCATAACTTTACATAATTTCTAGTGTACATCCCATTAAAACTTGAGCGCATTCATGATTCCATAACCAATGGTGATCACACAGATGTACGCAATAATAGACGCAGGCACGCCTCGGGTAATAAACGTGTTCACCGTCAAGTACGGCTTGCCCACTTCGTCTGTCATACTGATAGCTGTAACGTTGGGGAAACCAGATGTTGGCAAGCCCATCGCACCAGATGCAATTAATGCGGTTCCCATAACCAAGATCAAAGGATGAGGTTGAGGCAATTGCTCGCCCACTTCTTTCACCAAAGGAATGATGATCAACGCTGCCACAGTATGGGAAACAAAAGTGGCCACCACCAAGATCAAAACGCCGAAAATGATCAAAATGACAAACACATTAAAGTTCATCACTTTCTTCTGAAGTGCTGTAGCAATGGTGTATAACAAGCCCAGCGAGCTGACACCCTTTCCAAGAGCGATACCGCCCATGGCTAACAAGATAATTGACCATGGGAAATTGTTAAGATCGTCTGTCTTTAACAAACCGGTTCCAAAAAAGAGAACGATGGGAATGACAGAAATGATACCTGATTCACCAAAAGTGGACTCGATCTTTGACAAAACACACCACAAAATGATGGTGGTGATTGTGACGGCACTGACAAAGTATTGCTTCATGGTGAAAGGATCTTTAATGGGCTTGTAGGCCTTGATTCGAGCATCGCTAATTTTGAAAGTGAGAATTAACAAGAACCAAATTCCAACCATACCAATGATACTCACTGGAAGTGCCACAGCAAACCACTTTCCCCATCCTGGACTGGGGTTCATCAGCTCTATGGCAATGACGTTCTGAGGAGAAGCAATTGGCGATGCCATACCGGCCATATTTGAAGCAAGTGCAATTCCTAAAACCAAAGCTTGGGCGAATGGAGAGTCCGTTGGTAAGGTTCTCAATACAGGCTGGATTAAAGAGTAACACAACACTGGAGCAGCCACATTGGAGATCCACATAGCCAAAAATAACGACACAGACATAATGGAGATCAACACATTTCTGGGTTTGGTTCCTGCGATGGCCAAGATGTATGAAGAAATCACCTTGGCAATATCATACTTTGGACAAAGCTGCCGCCAACGTAAATCCTCCCATAAGAATCATGATCACAGACGACCACATGGTACTCAAGATATACGCAGAAGCATCAGGACCGCTCATGGTGGAGCCGTCTTCATTCTTCAACACTTTACAAGTAACCACCAACAAAGGTACCAACATAGCAGTGATGTAGAGAGGAAGAGCCTCCGATGCCCACATCATAGCGGAAGCCGCTAAGACGGCTAAACAACGATGTTGAACTGGATCGTTGAAAGTTTTCACCGTTAAAAGAATGATGAAAGTGATGATAATCACTGCCAATTTGACCATTTGCCAAGTCAAAAGGAAGGCTGGAATTGTAAGTGTCAGTCTACCTTTAATTGTCAAACCAAAAGGAAGCTTGACAGTGGTCAATCTAAGGTTCAAAAGAGAACTTTCAGCACCTTCATCACCCATTTTGGCAGCTCCTGTCGAGCCATCTACGTGCAAATTGTATGACTTCTTCTCCAATGAAAGCATATCTTTCCACACAGTGTTGCGTTCCCATACGATATGCTCACGCAAATGAGACTTAAGGTCGGTACGAGCATCTTCCATTGTAGTGGTTCCTGTCAAGAAAGCGTACACTTTGATAATCTGGTCCAATCTGGCATCGATGGTTGCAATAGTGTTGGGTGCAAAAACATGAGAATGTGAAGGAAGATAGTTGTTGACAAAATCTTCCTTGATGGAATAACTGCAAGTTTTGTCAAACTTTTTTGTAATTTTGGCAAACCCAATCTTGTTCAATTCAATGAACGATTTCAACTCAGATAACGAAATAAAAACCGCAACCGATTTTTTGCGCAAGGCGATTTTCCGCTGCGTTCTGACATTGAAATCGGTGTGATTGAGCAAAGCAGAGTTTTGGCTAGGAGCATCGTCATCGTCGTCGTCATCGTCATCATCCTCGTCATCTTCATAATCATGTTTCTCGTTATCAGAAAACCCACGATGGGCATCAATGTCATTGTCAATATGGTTAATATGGTCAAAAACAGACCCATTACTGACAGTGCGTTCCAAAGTCGAAGTAATATGGTACTGGTGATGAGAATCACTATTGGACATGTCATTGTGGTACGCTTCTGTGAACCTGAAAACATCGTTAAAGTTCACTTTATTGTGTTCCAAATCCTTCATCAAATTATCATAATCCTTGAAAACCTCGATTTCTTTGGCATTATAAAATTCGGTAATCTTGTTAACTTCCCGACTCAACTGTGATGCAAACACAACAAGCGGATCGAACTCGGGACTTTCAGGATCGGCCACATTGGAATTTGCAGCCGCTGCCAAATCAAATGTCGAATCTGCGTCAAACTCAACGACAACAGCCGAATCATTATCGCGCTTCTCACTGGAAAAGGACTCGATCTGACGTTCCAAATCACTTTCACTAGAATTGGTTTCATTTACTTTTTGCAACTTTCCCTTGCGACCACCAAACCGGTGCAACAATCGGCGTGCACGTGCCGAGCCTCCGCCGCGAGATGAAGATCCTTCCTGCAGATGCCCCTGGGCCGAAGTATTTTGGAGCTGGTGCTTCAAGTCCGAAATGGTGGTTTTCGTAGTTCCATCGACCACTTCACTTCCATCATTTGGTTCGCGTTGTGAAAGTTGATCTTGTTGGAGCTTATATACTGTTTTTTTTAAAGTAGGATAATTTAAGTAATAATCCTGCCATTCGGGAATGGCATTAAACTTTAGCGAATGTGAAAACTTCATTATTGACGGTTATCTGCCAAGACGCAGGTGAAGGTGTCAAAATCAAAATTTAGTATAAGCTCGTGTGACAAGAATCCAAGTTAAAGCCAAGCCCATAAACGTGGGCATATTTTCACTTGGCATCGGCCCCACGTGGGGTATTATGTGCAGGGCTAATTTAATAAATTCGTGTATGCAGGGGAAAATGAGGTGCTGGGAGGTAAGAGGACAATATGCAGGTTATCGAAAGGTGTAGGGATGTTTAAAAATCCATATGCAGGTCATAAAAATTTGGTGTTAGGGTGCTAATCAATATACAGGATACGCGGTGTTTGGTCGGGACCTGCGGTGCATCGGATGTGTGTCACACTCACGATACCGATGCTGCAGATGCGTATTTAAACTTTCTATGGTTTCGTTTATGGGAGCCAATTTACATGCGGGAGAAAACCCTCCAGTTTTAGGACGTGTACAACTTCCTATAAACGTAAGATCAAATCCAGTACTGGTTAATGGGTCTAGAAGTTCAACTCCAGCCACAGTTGGAAACTATCAAGCTGAAACTTCCGAAACTGTGGAACCTAGATTAGTACACAAGTGGTCACATACACATTCTATTCTTTGTGTGCTTCCATATGCGAAACAAGAGCTCTTGTTTTGTGGAACTCAAGATGCCAAAATTCTTGTTTTCGATTTACAAACTTATACACTAAAAACTGTTATCAGTACCGAACGCCATGATGACGCGGCTTCGGTTCTATGCTTGGCGATGGCCGAAAATGAACAATTTTTGTTTGCTGCTGGTTCTGACTCGTTGGTAAGAGTTTATGACATTTCAAAAGCGGAATTTCCATGCACCCATGTCATTTACTCTTCTGTCGATATTGGCGATGTATTTTCTCTTGCGTATTCCAGCTCCTTGGGAACGTTGTTTCTCGGAGCACAAAACGCCAGCATTCTTTGGTGTGATTTGTCTCCCAATTCAGCCAGTTCCGGCTCGGAAATAAAGTATGAGAGACTTCCTCATGTTCGCTACGATCGGTTTTTTGACTCCAAGGGCCCAGGAGGCTCCTCAAATACCCCGGCACAAACCAAAAAAACTCATTCATGCTTGGACCTGGTTCGCCTTGTGGAAACGAAACCGGACGATATAGTGCGGTTTGCTCACAATGGCTTCATATACGTGATGGAAGTTTTCGACTGTCACCTGCCCACGGCCCCTCATTTTGTTAACAATTATGCATCTACCTATCAAAGCGTCCTTTTAAGTGGGGGAGGAGACGGTTCTATCAAGCTTTGGGGTATAAGTTGTTCTCCTCGTATCACCCTCACCGAGTTGCAAACTCTTGAAAACACTGCATCTATTCTTGCCATGACTATCCAAGAGTCCTACGTCTACGTTGGTCTTTCTAATTCTTGTGTTAATGTGTGGGATTTAGTAACGAATCAATTAGTTCGGTCTTTCCACTTTTGCCTGAACAATGAGCTCACTAGTGATTTTCAAGAACAATACCCGGGTCAATGTGACGAAATTCTTAGTCTTTTACTCCACAACGATTGCATCTTCAAGGCTTCAACTAAATCTGGTTTGGTTAAATTTACACTCCGCTCAAACCCTGTTCCAGCAAACTTACCTAAGGACGTTTCCAATGACTCTATTGTGATGTCCCATGAAGACGATTTGTACAACAGCGCTTTTAACACATCCAGCACCTCTGTACTAGCCATGGGCAAGTTTTCCAACTCTTCAGGCTCATCTTTCTTGGTATCCGCTGGACACCAGGGATTATGTTTGTGGGACATTACTAATGCTGGTTTGAATCCAAAAAACGAGAACAAGGTCAGACCCACAAAATATAACCATGGTTATACAAACAATGACCTATTGACATCTCTTGAAGGGTTCATATCCTTCAAAACAATTCTGAAAAACCCAACCTTGTATTTGGAAGAATCAAGAGCTTGTGCCCAATTCTTGAGCAAACTTTTGGTAAATTTGGGAGCACTGGAGAATAAATTAATCCCAGTCGCCAACGGAAATCCAATTGTATACTCTTGCTTCCGTGCTAATGCTCCTCTGGTTTCGACCAAAAAGGTCCCTCGAGTTCTTTGGTATGCTCATTATGATGTGGTTGAAGCTTCTTCAAGCGACGACTGGTCCACAAACCCATTCATTTTGACAGCAAAAGACGGCAATTTGTACGCTCGAGGTGTGTCAGATAACAAAGGGCCAGCTTTAGCTGCAATTTATGCCGTATCCGAGTTATTTCAAACGAAACAATTGACTTGCGATATAGTCTTTGTCCTTGAAGGAGAGGAAGAAACCGGTTCTGTGGGGTTCCAAAGGGCCATTACAGAAAATAAATCATTTATTGGCGATGTCGATTGGATTATGCTCTCCAACTCGTACTGGATGGACGACGAAATTCCTTGTTTGAACTATGGTTTGCGTGGACTTATCAATGCCTCGTTGTCAGTTTCGTCCAGTAAACCTGATCGTCATTCAGGTGTAGATGGAGGAGTTCTGAGAGAGCCAACTATGGACCTTGTTCAACTTTTGGGCCAACTTCGCGGACCTCGAAATAAGATCAATATCGACAATTTCTATGACGATTGCTTACCACTTATGGAACTGGAGATCAAAACTTACGAGAGAATTGAAAGAATTGCAGCCGAGAAGGATATCCCCAATCTGGACGTGCCGTCGTTAATTGCCAAATGGCGTGAACCTTCGTTGACTATACACAAAATTGAAGTGTCAGGTCCTAATAATAATACTGTTATTCCTCAGACGGCCAAAGCTTCGATTTCCTTACGTATTGTTCCAAACCAGAATCTCGAAACAATAAAGAAACAATTGGTTTCGTCTCTCGAAACTGCTTTTAAAGATCTTGAAACAGATAACAAATTGAAGATTGATATATTCCATGAAGCAGAGCCGTGGTTAGGTGATCCTACAAATGTGGCCTACAAACTTCTTTATAAAAAAATTAAAGAGAATTGGGGTCCAAACGTTCCTGACCCATTATTCATCAGAGAAGGTGGCTCGATTCCTTCGATACGATTTCTCGAAAAATCATTTTCCGCACCAGCTGTACAAGTGCCTTGTGGTCAAGCGAGCGATAATGCTCACTTGAAGAACGAGAAGCTTCGAATTCTCAACTTGTACAAGCTTCGGGCTATTCTCTTTGATACTTTCAAAGAACTTGGAGATAGTCATAGCATAAGCATATAATCATTATTGCCTATATGGTACATAGTAGTATACAGTCATTATTCATGATGAGAGTACAAACGCATTCAAATTGGCGGTTTTGGATGGTTTGTTAAAGTAGCAAATACGCTTTGGTTGAGCATCCGAGTCCATCATTAGCGAATTCACATCTTTGATATTATGAGTAGAAGTCCCAAAGTCTTCAAATTCGCAATCTCGGCAGAAATCAATGTCCTTATCATACCATAGCCAGGAAACATGAGAGCTTCGAATTTCTCTTTCGCTATTGATAATGGAATCTTCGTCCCGAAACCTAAGGAATTTGCCATTTTTAACCACTTCGTTATACTTTTGGAGCGAAAACGAAGTTGTGCTGCTTGAACCCAGATGTAGCGATTGATTTGAGAAAGTAGTTAGTGAGGTTTCGAGGCTGGAAACAGAAGGACGGGTGTCTGATGAGTCTTCCAGGTTGGAGGTGGTGGTCGATTGTCTTAGAATATTGAAACTGGAGAGCATGGAAAGTAGATCTTGGGCGTGAACAAAGTCCTTGTGTCCTACTCGAATATGATGGAAAGTCTTATCGGTCAGCATTTCGCTACGTTTTCGTAGTTTGGACGCCTCCAGAGGCGCATACTGGTCGAACCAGACAACATGGAATCTTGATTTTGACGAAGGAAGACCCACGGATGCAATGCAGTAGTCGGTGAAGTCGAGTGAAGTAGATGAAAAATTGAAGCATAGAACAAACTCAAATTTTTTGTGCAAGGATGATTTTTCTTTGGTTGAGAGCTGTTTGATGGTGGAAGGGTCCATTATCACGACCGATTTCCGGTCAATGTTGAGTTGTTGCAATACGATGAGAACGTCGTTCGTCTCGGTTTTGGAGTCGTTGAGTATGATCATTATTTTGTTGCCCGACTGGTCGTAGCCATACTTTATGAATAAAGTAGTCATAAAGATGTAGAAGGGAAGCATGATTTCCATCATGAAGCAGCAATCGTGCAAACTTACATTTATAGGAATCTCCAAAAGCGACTGAGACGGCAGTCGAATCTTGATGTAATCTTGCAATCCCCCATCGATGGTTATGCCATATTCGAGGTTGCGCAAGCATGGATAAAGGTAAAACATATCCATGGTGTCTCTGGTTAGCTCGACATTTGTCAATCGACGGCAATGATCACAAGGTTCAATGTGTTGAATATTGCAGTTGGAATATGGAAAAACCAAGTATTTCGACAGAAACTTGAAATTGGTGCAACTCATATGTTTCAGAAGTGCCAGGATCTTGCCGATAATCTTGTTGAAAGGTACCACAGTGGCATATTTGTTTTTGAAAACATGATGTCGAAGTGGATCAATGTCTTTCTTATAATTGACACCGATGAGTTTAACTTTAAGAAGTAGTTCGTCTGCATTGGGATTGATATTCATTTCATTGGGAAGCTTCACAACCTCTTTTAACCGTCCAGAATGGCCACCAAGGACCACTTTTGAAGGCAATAGCGAAACGGGCTCGGGCGACGGACAAAACCAAGAAGCGGGATGCTCTTTGGGAGCTTGCATATGAAGACTAATCTTGACGCATAGGCTATATGCCAACGGGAATGAATTTGTTGGTAATTTGCGGCGACAATTTTACACCAAGAAGGACAATAAATGAGTTTTTAAAATTACAATGAACAATTGTTTGTGAGCGATTGAAAAGAATTGATGCACGGAGACGCATCCTCATGCACAGGCACCAGAAGGGTGAGACGGGCCAATGCCTCAACATGCATGAAAACCTAGAATTCCTGCACTAGCCAGGAGTTACGCCGCACTGTCAGCGGCGCAGGCGGTTCACCCTTTCAAAAAGGGGTAACTATGCATGACACGCGGTAAGATTTACATCGTTTAAGACGCAGGTTCGTCGTCTACTTATCCGTTTTGGGATGGGAACAGACGCGCGCGACGGCGACGTAGACTCAATTACAGCTGGACTTTTAAGAAAGTTTCTGTCTGCCAGGGCAATTCCAGACCTTTTACTGCCCCAGAAGTGGCATTGCATTGCGCGGCTTTGCATAGACTCGCTTCGCTGGGCTGTTGGCATGTGCACCCAAGCACCTTGCGATTTTTTCCCATCGATTTTTCATCGATTTTTCGCGGGCCGCAGCCGTAAACGCAGGTCCATGTATGGTGCGATTTTTCAACATAATCCGTTATTCATTCTATATATCCTAGTCTTTCAGCAGATTTTCTCGCTCCTTTCTGCGCCGCTCTTCTTCGTCTAATAGCGATAACCGTAATGCTTCTTCGATCATTCTCTCTTCAATGGTGTTGTATGTTTGACCTCCCGAATTTCGCAGCCGTAACCGAGACTGTTGCGAGCTAGTTTGCGAGTCGTCGCCGTTTAAGATCAAGTTGGATGCGTGGATGGCACTGGCAGCGGCTGCCTTGCGCGCTAGTTTGTTTTTGGCCGAGATGAGTTTCTGTTCCCAATCGGGCCGAATATTGTCGACGGTGATGATGCCCGGATCTGTCGCTGCCATCGATTTACGCCTTGGCCGTTTTTTAACAGATTGAACATCTGATTTGGCATCGGAATGCTCTGGCATCCTATATTCTCCAGGGCTGCATTTTCCATTGATACCGGTCCGTAAATCGCTGAGAGGATCGTAGATTACTCCAAAGTCTGCCATGGCACAGTACGGGCAATGCGCCGGCTCCGAGATGAGAGTATGAGGAAGCGAGTCGCCATTGGGCTGGTTCAGTGCATCATCGTGGGGAGGATGGGGGTCTAGCCGCTTGATCTGGACAAAACATTCGGTGCAGATGGGTTGGAGACAACAGCGCGAGATGTTGAGATTCGAAGGGTAATAAAGAAAACAGATGGGGCATTCCAGAGCATCGGAATAAAGCCGGAGAAGAAGGTCCTTTGAGGGAAGCGACGACGACACCTGGCCGCCTTGCTTCAACAACATTTTTTGGTGGAGAAGTGCTGTCTCTTCTTCCTTTTGAGCCTGTTTCGCCGTTTCCATCAGGTGCTTGAGTTTGCGTTTTTGTTCCTGGCGCCGGTAATAGTTGTTGGACTTGTGGATCTTGTGGTTATCAACGTCATCTTCCTCCAGTTCCGCGTCGCTATATGCATCTTCTATGGAGTGAAGCGGGAGTTGCGAGAGAATGACGAGAAGTTCTTCTGTAGTCCACGTAGGATCAAAGTCATTAAGAGGAGTGTAGAATGGCGCTAGCTGCCGATTAATCACCAACCGACGTACCACCTCGGTATCAAAATCGAGATTGGATTTATAGGTTCCGTATGGCGCAAGATAACCGCCATCTACATTTTCATGAAGACGGACCACCAAATCACGCCAGTGTTTTTCCCGAAGCCGATCTTTCTCCTCCAGTTTCCTCAGCAGTTTCTTGACATCTGCTGAAGATGTGGTGTTTCTTCGAGCACTTCTGGTGACGATTTCAGCACCAGTTCCGGAAAATGTGCTGGATCGACTGCGACCCTCCTTAGCAGGAACGTTACCCATGAGGATGGTAGTGGGTATATAAGTGGATATAGATATGAATATGTGGGGCTGTACGCACAAAAATACTTGATGAAAAAAGCTTGGAAAAGAAGTGGCGGTTTGTTTCTATAAAGCCCCTATGTCCTAGTATAGTTGTATCGTGCGCCTATTACCCCAGGTTGCGAGGTTACCCGGGAGGATCGTGTGCAGGAACGGGACAACGCTCGGTTGCAAAGACAAAGGAAGACTAGTTGCAAAAGAGAGAGAAAAGAAAAAAGAGAATAGAAAAATTAATTCATGTAAAAAGTTTTTTTTTGGGTATCTATTATTAGCTAGCTCGTTCCAATCCCAAATCCAACTCCTATCATCGCCAATACAACCAATATCCATACTATTGCAATGACCAAACTGACAAGTTTCTGTCCACGCAGAAACCTTGGTTGTGGACCGTGGCGACTTCTTCTTCGGTCCATGACTCCCAAAGTGACCAAGTAGTATACTGGAGGAGCCACAAGGCCCACAATCATAATTAGGAGAAAATAGTACCAAGAATGGTATCTTTTAGAGATGGGAGGCAGATGAAAGATGTCTTTTTCATAAAACATGCGTTCGTGGGAAGTCCTTCTTTCTTCGCTATCACGAAGCTTTTCAGTCCGTGGGGGTTTTGTAATGAACTCGGGAGATTTTTCTAAGTTTGGATGATTTGGACCGGATTTGTTATCCATATATGGAGCAGGTTTCGATTGCGGACTGTGGTTTTTTTTGGATTCCTGAAGTCGTTCGAAATAGCTTTGGATCGATGACTTTTGGTGACTACTTCCCGAAACGGGTCCACTAGACGAACCCGAACCAGAACCACGACCAGAATTAGTACCGGAACCGGAACCGGAACCGGAACCAGACCCGTCTGGTCGGCCTTCTCCATGGCCGTCTCCTTGACCATCTCCCCCAATTTGATGTGGTTGAAAGCGTCCTTGCAAGTTGCTATACTGAGGACTCTTTGCTTGTGGATCTACACCGCTAGAGCTCGACTCGCTGTGGTCCGTTTGTATGGACATTTTTTGTCCTGGGTATAATCTGGTGGACTCATTCGACGCACTGGAGTCGTGAGACCCAATGTTGTCGCTTTTTCGTTCCCTTGCAGAATCTCTCTGGGATTCCACCAAAGACCACCGTTTCTCGTCAAAAGCTTTCGTTTTCCACTCGGTACAACATTACAGGAAGCTCAGTTCGTGAATCTAAACGAGCGGTAAAATTGTTGAGGCCGCTAACCGGCCGCATTTGTCTTCTTCCAGAAACGTCATAGGATGCTTCGAGCCGGCTCAAAAGCTCTCCGGAAGAAATAGAAGACCGGTGTGTATAGGCACTGTTTCTCTCTCTTTCGTTGTGGAGTTGCTGGGGTTGCTGGAGCTGAACAGGGTTGTCGTCGATTCGGTCCATGGAAGTATTTTCTTGGCTCTTGATTGGGGTATCGTTGACAGTTATTTCCGGGTCTGGGTACCGTATATCGCCGCTTCTTTCTGCGACGGTGGAAATGGTGGATATCATCAGAATGCTTTTATCTTCATCGATGTTTGAAGAGCTGCTGAGCACGGTGTGTCTTCTGGAATTATGTCGATTAGCGGGACCACTTGTGGGTAGAGTTTGGGTACAGTCATGGTAGACTGAAGCAGATGACATGGATGACATGGTAATAGGCCGAGTACCCAGTTCGGCGGATTCATCGAAATTCTCTTGGAAGACAAATTCCTTCTTTTCAGCAGGTTGCGGTTTAACTTCATATTCTTCAAGAATGGAGTTGACCGAGTCAGAGTCGTACTCGTGGCTGCCCTCAGAAGAGTCGGCAAAGTCCTCGACTCGAACAGGGTCTTTTTTTTGTATAATTTGCGGCAATGCTTCATTGGAACTTCGAAGCTCCAGCGACACCGAAGGACGAGAGTTTCGGTTTCTCATGAAGTTACTGAAGCCGCTGGTTATTGACCTTGCTGGAGACTTACTGGGGAACAATTCAGAAGCCGTGGCATGCTCAGGCTCGAACGGATGTTCTGGTGCTTCAGATATGCTTTCAATGGAAGGATTTGAATCGCGGTTGCGAAAAATCTGCTTGATGCGTTTTGACGGCGACACAAATTCTGCCAGTAGTTCTGGTTTGGTAGGGCTGTTGGACATAGCTAAGGGCCATCTGGCGATAGTGGTAAAGAAAGTTTGACTTCGCAATCGGGTATTTTAATTACAAACTTGGCTGTTATGACATTGCCTAATTAGGCAAATGGCTGCAACCTCTTAAACAATTACCGCGAAAAATACTTTTATTCATTCAATAATAATAACCGACAAGAAGAAAATAAACATATGGTATGGATCATTAGTAGTTGTATGATCTTCTTCTGACCCTTCTCTTGACTCTCTTAACACATGGGTCTACTGTAGCTGCTGGCGAAGTGGGGGCTGCAACTGGAGTTCCTGCGTAAGCTGTGCTCAGGGCCACTACTTTTGCAGTTGTGGTAGGGCTGGTGTCACTTCCACCAAGAAGTCCTCCCAAAAGACCACTAGCAAGTCCACCCAATCCCAAACCCAGCGAGGTGGAGTTTGAAGATGTAGATGGAGTGTAGCCTGAGGAAGAACATTTTCCAGAGTATGCAGCGAACAAATTTGTCACAATAGTCTTACCATTGTTAAGAGTCAAAAGTTGTTTCAACAAGTCTCCCACAAAATTGGACTGTTTGATGGCATTGATGATTTCACTTAATGGCAAAGCTCCACTTTGAACCACGGCTTTCACCAACGCAGCACCAAAACTGAGAAAGTTGGGGTCGTTGAGAACCGCCTTGACAACCGAGGTGGCCAACCCAGAGTCCGACAATGACCCGAGAATATTAACCACAACGTCGGAGAGATCTCTCTTGTCCACGGCTTCAAACTCAAAGTCATAAGTTTCACTGTCCATGAGCGCTCTAACCTCATTAAGGTCTATTTCACGTTTGGCACCGCTAGTAACCTTGCCGAGCAAATCGCCAATGACGGTTTCTGCAACCTTGAAGAGCGATTCGTAGAAAGTACAGTCGGAAATAAGACCCTCGATAACGTCGTAAACGAGATTTGACTTGTCCAACACATCAAACACCGCCTGTAAGTTGATAATACCAGATTTCAAAACTCCAACCACGGCATTGATGAGAATTGGCTGTAAGGTCTGGTTCGATACAGCGTAGGAAAGAACCTTGGGCACAATTCCAGTGTCATTAAGAGCACTCAAGATATTGGTTACTATCTGGTACTCACGCTTGGCAATATCACCTTCAAGCTGATCTCTCTTTTCGCGATAATTTTGGAGCTCAGCAATTGCACTATGGAGCTCATCCACTTGCTCTCTTTTGACAACTTCATTTGAGGCCACTGTAGGAGCAGCATTGACCACCGTGGTAGAAGCCAAGGCAATGGCTAAAGAAGCGGACAGTAATTTCATGGTTCAACGGAATTAGATAATAGATTTAACGAGGGACAGTTGCACGCAAGCCTGCTTGAGATACGTGCATGGAAGGGGGTCCACCTTTTTATAAAATAATGAAACCCTCGAGTTGGATCCAGCCGTCGTTGGAATTACCTGTTCTGGTCACATTATGGATGTTTATGCCCTTGACTTGTAGTATGTTTCCGTATCGGGAAGGTTAATGAAGTGCGACATCGTAAGATAATTTCCTCATTGGGAAAGGTTATGAAACTTTAGCGATTGATTTTTGCAACTTCACTTGGCTGGTGTTTACACTTGAATGGAGCCAGAAACGAGTTATGAGGGGTATGGCAGGTGCTACAGGAATCTCGTGGGTCGGATTACTTTCCGCCAAAAAAGTTCATGAGTGACAGTTGAGTCTTTTGCTTTTTTCCCGACGGTTTTTGCGTCACGGTTCGTTTGGCTGGAGTTGCCACAGGTGTCTTTTTCGATTTGGGTTCGTTTTGTGGTTTTCTCGCAACAATGTAGCCATCTTCATCGATCTCGTCAAAGTTGGTGGTTGCAACCGAGGCCTCGTTGTCTGCAGGACTGGGCTGCTTGGCACCATGATCAACATTGTTCGTTGGCGGATCAACGATTTCTGGATCCGAAATAACCGCCTTGTTCTCCTCAATGTCTTCTTCCATTGTTGGTTCTTTTGCTGGTTCTTCATCGCTGAAATCATCCATGAACAATTGATTGAGATCGGTCTGTGGCTTTTTACGAGGAGCCGTTTCCAAATCTTCAACATCCTCTACGTCGTCATCAGGAACACTAGCGATCACCCGTTCGGCAGGCTCTCGCTTAGCAGCCTTGCGTGACTGGTACTGGTAGGTTGAAGTTGGTTTCGCTGGTTTCGAAGCTGATTTCGAAGTGGTGGTTTTGGAAGTGTTTGCCGCTTTGCGAGAAACATAGCCTGATGTAAGCCCAGCAGACTTTTCAGTTTTAGCTGGAGTCAGCTTTTTTGTTGTAGGAGCCGGTGGTTGAGTAATTGAGCTCGAAACTTGGTTTTGTTCAATTTTCGCAGCAGTAACCACCAATTTGGGGCCTCGAATTAACCCCCATTTCTCATAATCTTCAATGTTTTGATGGTCAATTCTGTGCTTGGTGTCTTCCAATGATATGTCTGTTGTCGTGAGACGTAAATCCTTGGAACTGACCAGATAAATGTGGATTGTGTGCACAGCATCAAACAGTTTGGTGGTCTCAGCCAACGAATTTTCGGTTTTTGCGTACCGAATCAACGTGCTGCCATCCTTTGCAACGCCAGTAACAATAAAAGTGCCCTGTAGACGCTCCGAGTTTGCTTTGTAAAATTCGTATAGAATCACCTTGGCACGGTTGACATGGAGATGACGAGATCTTGAAAATCCCACATAGGTGATGGGCTTCTTGGCTTCAAATAACACACTAGAGAGGTACTCGACGCTTTTGGGATCAGCATCCATGGTCATGTTTTTTAGTTGTGGTGGTGAAGGAAAGTGATATGAAATGTACGCGGTTTGATTGAATTTCGCGAAAAGAAAAAGTGAGAAGAAAAGTGAGAAGAGAGAGCAGTGAAAAATGAGAAAGCAGTGAGATTAATGAAAAGAGAAAAGAGTGAAAAAATCAGAAACAACTACGAATGAAACCAATAATTCAACTTTTCAATTCTAAATCAACTCCTATATACCCTGGTAAAGCCACTTTACTATAGCCAACTTAACTTATGCTCGCTAGCTCGCTCTGCTAGCTGCTAGTCGCTAGCCGCTAACGCGGCTAGCTAGAGCTCATCTTTTGCATTTCTCTGAAGATACGCTTGTCTGGTCTTTTCTCTCTTCTCCAAATTACCGTCCAACTCTCCCTCGATCATTTCCTTCGTCACACCTTCGGAAATCAACGAGTTCCATGTCTTGACGTTTTCAAATCCATTTCTACCATACTGAAAATCAGCAAATGCCTTCTCTATTCTTGGAGTATTGGAAGCCACGAAAGGCCCATAATGCACCGTGTGCTGGTCCAAGATCTCTCCTCCAATCAAAATGAATTCAACATCATTTTGGCCGGTGTTTTCTCCACTTATATGATTGCCGTCTCTGTTCAAGAACGCATTGTCAAATTGGCCCACCGGAGAATTTTCGTTTAAAACAAGCCCATCTCCTTCCATAACGTACAAAAAAAAGTTGTAGTCCTCGGGTAAGTCCTGCTCAAACTTGGCACCTGGTTTCATGGTCACATGGTAGTATTGAACTGGAGTATAAGCCAAGTCCTTGACAGACTCAACCCCATAACTTTTTCCGGAAATAACCTTCACCTTGAGTTTTCCGTCCTGTTCCACCACTTGTGGTACTTCCCACTCTCGCAAATCACGGTATCGAGGCTCGGTCTCTTTTAATTGCTGGGGTAAATCAACCCAAAGCTGGAGCCCAACGGTGGGACTTCCGTCTTCTTGTTGCACAGGCATCTCCGAGTGAACAATGCCTCTTCCTGCCGTCATAAACTGGAGATCTCCAGCATACAAAATGCCTTTTGAGCCTGTAAAGTCCTCGTGAGCCATGGCACCTTTGGTTATCAAGGTGATGGTCTCTTGACCAAGATGAGGATGATGAGGAAATCCGTTAGTTCCCGCGCTGGAAAAGTGATCAAACATCAAAAACGGGTTGAATTTTCTCATCTGACCAACACCAATTGACCTACGTACTGTTGCTCCAGCACCTTCAGGTCTTTCAATTGCCTTGACGATGGTCTTGATCGTTCTTAATTTCATGTTTTCTGTTGCTTGTGCTACCATTAAAATAATAGATATGAATGCTGCTAGCGCCACGCGGGTCATATATATACCCAGAAAACAGGTCACTCAAATATAAAGTTGTTATTACAAAGTATGTTACACGATTTGTAAATTCTTGTAAACTTAGTCAATCTTACTAAGGCTGCTTATGTCATTGGCTGCGCGTTGCGGCGTAATTTGTCACTGCGCGCCGCATTCGCGCCGCACCTTGCAACCTTTCCTCGCAAACGTATAAACTGTTGGAAACACAAGACGCAATTCCGTGTCGTTTTCCCACCCACATTCGGCCTTGAGCTCGTCAATAAACGCATCGGCAATGTCGTATTTTGTTCCGTGATCTTTCATCCATGCATGGTATGCACTCCATGATTTGACATAATTGCGAAACATGTCAAGGGTCCAAATTTTTTCTATTTTTAACGACGTCAATCCGGTGTTTTCTCCGTCTCTGTCGGGCCTGTACTCGTTGCGCACAACACTATGGAACTTGTCGGAAGGAACTTGAACGTTATTCAACAAAATTCTGAAATATTCGTGTCCTGGCTGCTCATAGTAAGGTCCCATATACCGCTCAAATGGTTCGCCAGGGTACATTTCTTGCGAGGAGTTGTAGCAGTAGTTCATATAAATCTCGTTTGCTCGCTCACTGTCCATAAAGACTGGGTCTCCGTAAAACCAGTAAGCCAAGGTTCCATTGGGTTTGAGAATTCGAGCAGTTTCGTTGAAAAATTTTTCATGATTAACCCAATGACAGCATTCGGCACCCGTAACCAAATCAACCGAGTCCTCTTCTACCACAGAAGGAAACTTTTCAGCTGGAGCACGGAAAAAGTTGATCGGTTTATTTGCAGCCAATGGGTTGTTGCAACACGAGTCGATCATAGTTTGCGAAATATCTGTTCCAATGACTTTGTCAAAGTATTGCGTCAACTTGAAGGCGACAAACCCTGACCCACACCCAATATCAATTGCCAATTGGGTTCCAGTTCCTCCTTCTGAGTGGTACTGCATCAAGGTAGAGTAGAACAGGTCAGGGTAATTGGGCCTGGATTCGTCGTAATGTTTGGTGTTGAAATTTGTTTCTGAGTATGTTGCCATAATTGAGTGCATTTGTGGTCATTTTATTGCCCTATATACCCACGATTAGTATTTCAAAACGAACGCCGGTACCGCCCCGGTACCGGCGCGCCCCACAGCGGGTCCCCCGCTGCCAAAAGTCCCCGCTGCCAAAAAATTACATAAGCTACTTTGACTCCGACGAAACAGTATCATCAGCCGAGTTCTTTGCTTTGAGGTCCTGTTGTTCCTCGCGGTCGTACACGGCACCTCTCTTTATGCGGTAGCTTTCAATGTAGTAATTTGAAATCAAAATGGCGGCAGCAACAAATTCCATTGTCGCAGTCAAGGTATATTCGTAAACGACAAATTTCGGTGATAGTCCTTCAGAAGTGTAGTTTCTCATGTCGTAGTAGTTCATTTGCTTGATGTAGATGGCCAATACTCCAGCTACACCTCTGACAATGAGAAATGGTGAAGCCAATGCAATCAAGTATGTGGTATGGTCTCTGACGTCTTCCTTAATCATGCAGTACAAAAGTAACCATACGGTGACAAAAGTTTCCGCCAAGAAAATCGCCTGTCCTGCGGTACGAAGACCCTTGGATGCTGAGATCTTGTTGTGCTCTTTATCGATTTGGTTAACGTCAATACCTGCCAACATGGAACCACCAGCAACGAGAAACGCATTTGCTGGGATCAAAACGGAATGAAAGTTCTTTGAAAGACTGCAAGTCTTGTACCGACCCCAAAGCGAAGTGACTCCAGCCCTTCTTTTGGCCATTTCTTCATCGGTGGGCCGAATCCACGAAGTTCCATGCCGTCTTTTCTGGGCAATAGTGAGAAACCTAAACGTTGTAAGCACCAAAACAAAGTAGCCTTCCGCGCTGAAAACCAAGTACACAATGAGCCATTGCCAATGTTTAGCCCCAAGCTTGGCGAAAATAACCGCACTCATTTGTCCAACCACTCTGAAAACTCCAAAAAGTAAGAGCATCGAATAGACACTTTTAATACCCTTTTTAATTACTATAGCAAGTGTAAATGCAAAGTATATTGTGTATAACGCCAAAAATATTGAAGCGGCAATTCCTGAAGGAACTGAATCAAAACCCATGTTGCTTGATGTTGCTGTTTGAATCAGGGAAACCCATCGTTCTTTTATATTTGCAGAATCACCCCTCTGCGCCACTTACCTAATCGCGCCCACACGGCATATCTGACGTATGCGTTGCGAGCCCGGGTCGCTTGTTGCAGACAGCTGTGGAGTCATTCGACTTTGCACTGCCAGCAACGGTCACAACGGTCCGAAATTGGGATGAAGCCTTATTCGTGGTCAGAGGTAGCTGTGTTCGAGATTTGGTGGGAAGTTCATGGTTTTTGACGGAAAAGAGTTGAGTTGATTATATGCAGAACTTTAGCCAAATCTTGAAACAATTCGCAGCCAAAGACAAATCATTGATAACATAGTCTTATGATAAACTTGTTTCGTGTTCTTGTTTAAATCTCCGTGTACTTGCGCCTCGTGGACACTTCGCCTGTACTGGCGAAGCTGCAATTTCAAATTACATTCAGCCGTCTATCATTCATTATGCACGAGGTGCATGAAAGTGCGATTAGGTAAGCGGCGAGCCGTGCGTAAGATTATTGGGGAGTCATCGTAAATGACGTAAGCCACAAATCGTAATGACGAAAATGACATAATTACACTGATAAACATTGATGTTAATTACACTGATAAACACTGATTAAGTTGATTACACTGATAAGCACTGATTAAGTTGATTACACTGATAAACATTGATTAAGTTGATTAAGTTATCTAATTGATTAAAATAAAGTTCGTTGAATTGATTGCAATGATGCAATTGCTTCAATTGATGCAACTATTTGGCTTTAAATTTTTTGATTCATTATTGAATGTACTATCTTCAGTGTCATTAGTTCTCCTTCTTTTGTCTTGCCGCTCTCTTCTTGGCTTCTTTGGCTTGCAAGAATTCACGGTATTTGGTCAATGTAATATGGTCTTGCATGGTTTTATACTCGTTAACAAATTCGTAGCGAGTGCCAAATAACCGGTCCCAAAACGTAAAAAAAGGTTGCGAGAAATTAGATTTGATACCCCAAATTTGGTGGTGAATATCATGGTAGATTGAATTGTTAGGAAATGCCCACTGGAAAAAGTCAAATGGAAGCCTGTAACCACAATGATCATCTACGGTTTTCATGGTTGCAAATGTGTACAAGCAAATGTTTTCGCGTGGGGTCAAGTTGAACACGATTGATGCCAATCCTGCGCCGGCCGTGTCCAACAAGAAACCTTCAACAGGATCATTATAAAGTGCTCCATAAGCATAGGGAACGTAAAGTCTGTGATGGCGAGAATGGAACCGGCGGTAAAGCCATTTGTTCACATGCATGATACGGTGCAAAGTATACTGCCAAGTATCAATAAAGCAGAATGCAAGCACTATGCGAATGAGCGAAAATCCATAAGTGTAAGCCCACCAAAGCACAGTATCGGACACAAACGCAGGAACATACTTTTGTCTCAATGACCACATCTCGTAGATTTCAAATCCAGTGGTAGGAACAGGGTCGAATTTGTACACCGTCCACCCAACAATGGTTTGAACTATATGCTGCAAAATCACATCCCGCAACACCTCCGGAAGCGTCACCTTATTTCGCGACTCCTCCTCAGCACTGGGGTGTATTCTGTATTTTTCTGCGAGCTGGTAAACGTCGATGATATGGAAAAACGTCGCATAAGTCCAGTATGCTATTATTGGAGATACCAAAGCAAGCACTCCGTCGGGAATTCCTGCTATTAAATCTGGTCTCTTAACAACAACATACTCGGGAGGAGGTGTGGATCGTGAAAGCACGCTGGAGAGGTTTTGTGGAGGCACAAATCCTATGGTTGCCATCGGCGAAATTATGAGTTTTTTGGTTGAAACTTGGATGCGGAAAAAACCGGAAAATGATTATTCAGTGCCTAGAATGTGCAGCAGGCGGGATATATGGGGTAGGCACTTAAAACTTGTCCGTGGAAAAGAATGGATTGAAGTTGAAAAATTGAAATTTGAAAGTCAAAAGTTGAAAGTTGAATGGTTTGGATACGTTAGTCTTTTATACTAGTAGCAAGTATGGGTGAACCCTATAGTAATTTGTTGATAATAAAAAGTGGGACAGTATAGGCTTTTTTATAGTATTGGCAATCAAAATGAAGCTGTTATAAACAAGTGATATGCGCAGCGAAAAAGAAACGCGCAAGTCACCTGAGCGTGTCACGGAACATTGACTGCAAATAGTGTGGGGGTTTGGATGCGGAGACGGGGATAGCAATGGGTGGCGAGATGCGAATAGGAGATCTGAGAAAGGGGACCTGGAGAGTGGGAAGGTGAGAGTGAGAGTAGTTTGTTAGAATCAAAAGTAGTCAAAATAATTCATCTAATTCATTTCTTTAATCAATTCGATTCATAATTTCTTTGGCGGCAATTCTTCATTGCTTCAATTTACTGTGTTTTGCATTTTCTTGCGCTAACCTCCTTCTACTTCATTTTGCTTCATTCTGCCTCTGCCTGCTTGATTCTCTTCTTGGTGTGTGGGTGCGCACTTCCTCAAATCGAAAGTCTCAACCACGCAACACAGCGATGTCAAGGGCCAAATATGCCAGTGACGACATATGGAAAAACAACGTTGAGAAGATAGTAAGTTTCAGATTGTATTTGAAATGAATATTGGATATACTAAGTTACAGCTTTCACTGAGAGCGCTACTTCAGTTAGCTGATAAAGCTATTCAGTGATTAATTCAAACCAAATCAAGCTCAGTGTATTCTATTATCCAGTGTATTCTATTAAGCAGTGTATCTTACTAAACCTCTATTTGGTCCTCCTTTATTTCTACTAACGCAGAACTCTGAGCTTTTTGCATTGACTTATGGTTCTACCGTGGCTCAACTTTGCCGTGATTTCAACAATGATTACCAAGAAGTAAATCAGCAACTAGACAAAATGGGCTATAATATTGGTCTCCGACTCATAGAGGAGTTTTTGGCCAAGACCGGTGCCAGGCGATGTCAGACGTTCAAAGAAACGTCGGAAGTGATTGCCAAAATCGGGTTCAAAATCTTTTTGAATATTCAACCCATTGTTGGAAACTGGAGCCAGGATGGAAAAAGTTTCTCGCTAATTTTGACAGAAAACCCATTGGCTGAGTTTGTAGAGCTTCCAGTAGCTCAGGATCCCAATGTTGCCAAGGAATTGTGGTACTCTCAGATTCTATGTGGAGTATTGCGTGGAGCACTTCATATGGTTCAGCTTGACGTTGATGTGTGGTTCACCAAGGATGTGCTTCGAGGAGACGACCAGACGGAAATCAAGCTCAAATTGTTGAAGATTTTGAAGGACGAGGTTCCAGCGGGCGAGGACTGATGTAGAATACGAGGAAATACAATAACGAAACTCAACTGATTCATCTCTCGATCCTGCACACAGCCCGCCTCGAGTTCTCGAATCTGGGGAACCATCATTTAGCAATGACTCCCACTTCACCAAATGCATCCAATTCTGCCCACGCCTCGACGGCTGCAGAAAACAAGATTGCGACCCGCCACAGAAGTACTTTGAAAGTGGTTCTAGAAGTCGTCAAGGTGATTATCTACGATATATGTTTGTGGTTTTTTGACCTGATCGTACACACGTTTTTTCGAGAAGTCAAGTCCAGGGGTACATTCCACATTCCTCGAACGGGACCCATTATCTTTGTGATTGCCCCGCATGCGAACCAGTTTATCGATCCTCTTCTTGTGATGTTGAAAGTGCGGCATTATTCTGGACGACGAATTGCATTTTTGACCGCTGCCAAGTCGTATCGGCGTAAATTTATAGGTATGTTTGCCCGGTTAACGGGGGCGATTCCTGTGGAGAGAGCGCAGGATCTCTTGAAAGCGGCGCCAGGAACCATAAAAATTGACCTTGATGGAGACGCTACTGTGGTCAAAGGTACAGGAACGAGGTTCACTCGTGATTGCCAAAAGAAGGGACTTTTGGGGTTACCGGATTCGTTAGGTAATGCTGTGGTGGAAGAGGTGGTCTCGGACACGGAATTGAGGTTGCGAAAACCGTTCCAATTGGGTAAAAAAGAGCAGCAAATAACTGACCGGTTGACCAATGGAACCACCTACAAAGTGGCTCCCCATGTGGATAATAATGTGGTTTTCCAAAACGTTTTCAACCACCTTAACGGTGGCGAAGTGTTGGGGATTTTTCCTGAAGGAGGCTCTCACGATCGTCCTGATCTCTTACCATTGAAGCCTGGTGTTGCAATTATGGCTCTTGGAGCTGCGTCGACATCGCCGGACCTGCATGCGGTTATCAATGTGATTCCCGTTGGAATGAACTACTTTCATCCACACCGGTTCCGGTCTCGGGCAGTTATTGAGTTCGGCAAGCCGATTCGGGTGGACAAAAAGAGAAGCAAAATGTACGAAGACAACTCCAAAGCGGCCGTGGATGCGTTATTGGAGACAATTACTTTGGGACTTCGAGAGGTTACGGTGACATGTACAGACTACGACACACTTATGGCACTCCAGGCTGCTCGTCGGTTGTATACCTCGGCGAGAAGAGAGCAAATACCTTTGCCTATGATTGTGGAAATGAATAGGCGGTTGGTTCGTGGGTACGAGAAGTACGCCGACAATCCAGAAGTCAAGGAAATGAAAACCATGGTCAGCGAGTACAACAAGAAACTCATGAGAATGGGGCTCCATGATCACCAGGTGGAACTGTTGTCGTCTAGTGACCGGTTCAAGACATTGGTGACGTTTTCCGACCGGTTATTCAAAGTTTTTTTGTTTTTCGGGCTCAGTTTACCAGGAATTTTCTTGTTTTCGCCGGTATTCATTACCGCAAGAAGAATCTCTCGTCAGAAAGCCAAAGAAGCTCTCGCTGGTTCGGTGGTAAAAATTCGGGCTCGCGATGTGTTGAGCACTTGGAAAATCTTGGTGGCTTTGGGTCTCGCTCCAGCATTGTACATTTTCTATTCCGTCATAGGAACGGTGTTTCTTGTTCAGCTGGGCTTGGTGCCCCAAGTTCCAGTTTTTGTCGTGTTTTTGGTGTGCTACGGGTGGTCGGTGTTGACCACCTACGCTTCGTTGCGTATAGGTGAAATTGGAGTCGATTACTACAAGTCGCTCAAACCTTTGTTTTACTCGCTAATGAGTGCCCATAAAGATGTGGGACAAATTGAGGAGCTTAAAAAGAACCGAGCTTATCTCGCTGAGCGAGTGACAGAATTCTGTGACAAGTTTGGTCCAGGCTTGTTCAGCGACTATGACCGGTTCTACAAGAGGTATAATGGAGTCACCGACTTTGACGAGTTCTACGACCACGAGGAACCGTCACTGGCATACTCTGGTTTTAATATCCATAATCTTGCCGATGTACCAATTTTTTCGGGTGAAGCCAGTGATAGTGATAATGGGGAAGAAGCCGTGGGCCACGAGGAGGTGATTCCTACCAGTGAAAAGACCAAGTTGCGGCTTCGAAAGGCGATGCAAGAGCGGAGGGAAGAAGAGGAAGGTAATGGAGAGAATTAATGGAAAAAGTAATGGCGAGAGTATTGAAAAGTGCAGTGATAATGAATAAATGAAAGAGAACAAGTTGGGAAATAAAAGTGGTGAATGGTAATGAAATATTGAATTGAAAAGTGGGAAATGGTAAAGAAATAGTGCAGGAGCTCTTTCTCTTCAACTTTTAAATTTTGTAGTTTTACACTTTTTCACTTGTATTTTTCAGCAAGTAATGAATATCAGTGTGAAAGCTTGGTTGAAAATTGTTTAATTTAAACTATATACTGAAGAGTATGAATGAATAAGATACGAAAGAAGACTTGGAGAAAGTTGATTGAGTTAGTAAAATCAATTGCAATAAATATGAATTCAAGAAGTTGCAAAAATGAAAATGAAAATGAAAATGAACAAACGAAAATACATAAAATTGCAAAATTGCAAAAATGTCACAATTTCATAATGTCGTGTTTTGTCCAAATGTTAGCAACTCTCCACTATACAAACTCTACTTCTATTTCTCTACCCTTTTTTCACCACCTCTATTTCACTACACTCGTTTCTCGTTTCTCGTTTCTCTTTTTTTCGCATTCTCGTTTCTTTTCCTGCCCCGGATCGCGCAGGACGGATTTCCCGATCCGGTGGCAATCCCCGGCTCGCGCTCCTGCACCCGCGCTTATCGCAGCGTCACACTTGCCCTCGGCTGCGGACCGAAGGCGTCTTCATATTGTTTTTACCATGAAAGTCACCTTTAGATTATCCACAGAAGTTTCGTACTCTGTGACCATTCCTGACAACCTGACGGTGGAGGATCTTCATAACTCTGCAAAAGTAGCATGTCCAAGTGATTTTAAGCTTCCAAATGACTTTAAAGTGATTTATAACGGAGAGAAACTTGCACCTTATTCTCGGCTTTTAAGTGAGTTTAGCATGAGTGATGGAAGTGTGGTGATCTTGATGAGTAGCGGAGAAGCCAATAACCACGGGGGAGCATCCTCGGGTCAGAAAATGGCGGAACCAGCCAGTGGGGCACCAAGGAAAAAGTCGAGAAAGAACCGGTGTTCATTTGCTTCTTGTGGGTCTGCGCCACTCCGGATGGTGGGAGACTGCTCGCATTGCCAGGGAAAGTTCTGTGCCAAGCATCGGTTGCTAGAGAACCATTTGTGCCAAGGGTTACAGACATGTAAAGATAACGCCCACGAGCAGAATGCCATGAAGTTGCATAGCGAAAGTACACTTGCAAGTAGGGTATAGACGAGAAATGATAATGTTGATAAGTTAAGGATAAGTAAGCTCTAATCTCTCGCTAATTAGTCCGACTATCTTGCGCACACGCTCACCAAGTCGCACACACTAATCTCGCTAAGTAGTCGCTCATACTGATCTCTCGCTAATTAGTCGCACTATTTTGTCGCACACACCAATCTCACTCGCTAATTTGAGTCGCACATTCTCGCTAATTAGTCGCAATCTCACTAATCTTGTCGCAATTTTCGCACTTCTTCATCTTTTATTGGTCTACTTCTACTCTCTATTCATCTCCCTCGTCCTCTCCCCGAAGATTCTCAAGAATCTCCCTATACTTACCCTGAGTAGCCTTGTTGGCTCGAACGAGAATTTTCTCTGCTTCATCATACCATTTTTCCTGATCTGGAGAATCCATCTCGTACATGTTTCCTAACGAAATCATGGCTTCTGCCACATTAACCCACGTATCTGGGTCATCATCATCTTGGGCTTTCTTCAAGTACTTCAATGCTTCCTTAAAACTTTCTTGTGCCAACTTTTGACCTTCTTCCATTTGGAGTCCTTGCAACTCACCCAAACCAGCGTAATCATCATCGTACTTTAAAGTGGTATAAACGTTGGCTGGAACCTCTGCTTCTTGAAGATACGACTGACCCAATCTCGTACAAAGCTCACGTTGAAGCTGGGTAGTGTTTTCGGTTCTTTTCGTGACATTAGTTAGGAATTTAAGGGTATGGTTTCTCCACCAAAAGTTGTATTTGTCGGTGGCTTGAATATGGTAAAGGGGGTGATTTTCGGCCAATTGGATGACTTCTTCTTCTTCGTCTTCTTCCTCATCATCATCATCTTCTTTTTCTTCGTCTTCCTCTTCTTCCTTCTTGCAGAAATTGTCCATCATATCGAGCACATCGTCCAACGCTTGAAGAATGTCAAGATTGTCTTCGTTAAACTTTGAGTACTCCTTTCTGGCTTCTGCTTCGGTTTCGGCAACCTCATACACTGAAAGTGCTTCGTCCAACATCTCAGACACATTGGGATAGTCTCCAACCTGGGAGCTCACCTCGAGTGTGGAGATATACTGAAGTGGTATACGGGCTAGTAAAACTCGACTTTTTGCAAAATTGACATCGATGGACTTTGGATACGCAGCCAAACCAGCGTCCAAACGCTCCAAAGCCATCTGGAAACATTGGCTTGTTTCTTCGGGTTTATATTTGGCAAGCTCCGAGAGCGCAAGAGCATAGATAGCATGGAAATAATCGGGCAACGCCTCGTTCTTTTCGTCCCAGTTTCGAAGAAGACGATCGCACTCGTGTATAATTCCATTCACCATGAGCTCGTTCTCTTTATCCAGCTTACTGTAGGTGTTCCAGAGCGCTTGCAACTGAGCGAGCTCATCGTCGGCGTCAGCTTCCTCGTTCAATTCGACCCTTAGGGTTTCATTTGGCTTTTGTGAGGTTGCTGCTGTGCTTTGCAGGGTTTCAGTTTTCTGCTTTTTGGCTTTGGCCGCCTTGCCAAGTCCCAATTGTCGTTTAGCCATTTAGAAGTGAAGTTGCACCATAAATTGAAAAATCGGGCTGCCTGCAGGACCCCATCGCATTGCACGTGACGTTGTGTCATAGCGTTTGTTAATGCCAATGATGAATTAGTCAATTTCTCCAACTTTTTCTATGACAGCCCTCCTAACTGCTTCCACTTGTGTGGGCGAACGCCACTTGGTGATCGGGTGGTCACATGTAGCAGCACTTAGGGTGCAAACATTATTGGAATCCGGGGCCATTCCGGTTCTCGTTTCCCCACAAAATGACGATTCTTACAAATTTCCAGACACTATATTGGAGGATATTGCCAAGGGGAGGATTATACGAGTCGACCAAGCGTTCGAGTTGTCACATTTGACACTGTTGGGCCGAGAAGAAGTGGACAAAGTGGTGGATCGGGTGTATACTGTTTTACCCATTTCCAGTATTGAACTTAAAAACCTGATTTATACTCAATGTTGCAAATTACGAATACCTGTGAACACGTCGGACTCTCCTGAACTTTCTTCGTTCACGTTGTTGTCCACGTACAAATCTGGCGACTTTCAAATGGGAGTAACCACCAATGGAAAAGGCTGCAAATTGGCGGCACGATTGAAACGAGAACTTGCTGCTTCTCTTCCGTCGAATATTGGAGCGATTTGTAACAATGTCGGTGAGTTGCGCAAGGCGATCCAGGAGGAAGATCGGTTGGAATTTGAGACAAAAAACATCGGAGAGCACGACGACGATGCGGTCAATTCAAGTGCTCTCAACGCATTGGTCCATGAATTCAACATGTCTAAAGAAGAGAGAAAGATCCAAAGAACTCGGTGGCTCTCCCAGGTGGTGGAGTACTATCCGCTTGCAAAACTAGCGGAAGTTTCCATCGACGACTTGACATCAGCATATAAAAGACTGAAAGTCGAGAAAGAAGAAAAAGAAGAAAAAGCTGAAAATCTAAATAAAAAAGGAAGGATATCGTTGGTGGGCGCCGGTCCCGGTTCTGTTTCGCTTCTCACGCTCGGAGCACTCAACGAGATCAACTCGGCAGACTTAATTTTGGCAGATAAATTGGTGCCTCAGCAGGTTCTAGACCTCATTCCAACCCACCGGTGCAAATTATTTATCGCTCGAAAGTTCCCAGGAAACGCCGAGGCTGCTCAGCAGGAGCTCTTGGGTATGGGATTGGGTGCCCTTTATGAGGGAAAAAAAGTTGTGAGACTCAAACAGGGCGATCCATATATCTTTGGCCGTGGAGGTGAAGAGTACAATTTTTTTGCAAAACATGGATATACGCCGGTTGTGCTTCCAGGAATCACCTCGGCTCTCGCTGCTCCTGTAGCGGCTCAAATCACTCCCACACATAGAGAAGTGGCGGATCAGGTACTTATTTGTACGGGAACAGGAAGAAAAGGTGCCATGCCAAATATTCCCGAATTTGTGGGTTCACGAACCACCGTCTTTTTGATGGCATTGCATCGGGTCGTGGACCTTATTCCAACCCTTATCAGCAAAGGATGGGACGAAAATCTTCCTTGTGCTGTCGTTGAACGAGCTTCATGCCCTGATCAGCGAGTGGTTCGAGTCAAACTCAAAGACGTTGCGGCAGCTGTTGAGGCATGTGGGTCTCGTCCACCGGGTCTTCTCGTCACGGGATATGCGTGTGAAGTCATAGAAAAGCCAAGTGAGCTGAAAAAATGGATTATAGAAGAGGGATATGAGGATGTGGGGAGGATTAATTTGGAGAAGGAGTAGGGAGTAGGAGTAGAATGGAGAAGGTTCATAAACTATCAATGGTAGAGATATTGCTGATTATTGGCTGATTAGCTGCTTGGTTGCTGCTGTTGCAGTGCCTCGTCGACCTACTTGGCTAATCTTATAATTGAAGGTTTTCACGTGACCGCACACGCAGTTTGACGTTATCTTTTAGATCAGCAAAATAGACTTTCATCTGTGAATTCGTGGATTTGCACGAACGGAGTTTTTTTCTCTAAATACTTAGTTTGTGGTTTGACTTGATAAAAAGGGTAACTAATAGAAATGATGATTTTCTGGTATTCCACCCTCTAATTAGTTCCGGTTCAAATTGAGTTTCGCACACCGGAACCACATTTGGACCAAATATGATTTTGCGTGAGAATTATAATTCTTCACACTCCATTTCATTGGCCATAGGCCCTTCACTTTCTTTACACTTTTACATAACACAAAATTAGCTGTAAAGGACTTTCTGGTTTCCATTTTTGTTAACTTACCCTGCTTTCGTTTTCCGCAAAAGCCAACTTCGACCAAATGTGGATAAAACGATAAAATTGAATTGTTCTAAATTCTTCCTTCTTTTCTTGGAAAGCGCATCATTTGCAGCCATTTTTGACCACACAAAGTTCGGAAAAGTTGTGTGATGTACTAAACCTCTTGAGATTTGTAGTCAAGTACCACCTATCAATCATCTTTGATTTCACTATAATTTAGCTCATGATCTTCCACTCAAACCAGCTAGACGATATTGATTATGGATCATGAGGAGCTTATGCCAATAGAGGGCAACAACTATACAAGGCAACCAGCTAAAGAATCATCGAGTCAAATGGATGTCCAATTAAATTTTGCAACCATTTTATCGCACTCAAAGTGCATACAAATCAGTACTCTTATACTATACAATGAGAATGTACGAGTTCCGGACGAGAAACTGAAAAGTTGCAAGTTTGACTAAGAATTCAGTGAAAGAAACCTAATAGCCATATCTTGAACCACTGACCATTTTCCTGCACACGCTTCGCTCCTTCGCTGCGCTCATTCGCGGCGCGGTCTCTTCATGTTCCGCAGCACCAAATACCTCTCCCAGCTCATTTATCGCCAATCTTCTCGGCAATTGCTGAACACTGCCGACTTTGCGTTCGTGTTCGATATCGATGGAGTGCTTGTGCGCGGCTCAAAACCACTTCCCGGCGCAAAACCAGCACTTGAACTTCTTCGCCAAAATCAAGTTCCTTTTTTGCTTTTAACGAATGGCGGCGGAGTTACCGAAACTGAACGGGCGCTGTTCTTATCGGAACGAATTGGCGTGCCGCTTTCGCCTCGGCAACTTGTCCAGTCCCATACACCAATGAAGTCGTATATTGGACAATGGGACCGGGTGATGGTGGTTGGTGGTCCATACGATCTGGCCCGGAAATGTGCAATTGAGTATGGATTTAAGGACGTTCTCATGCCTCACGACTTGGTCAATGCCACTCCAGGCATTTCTCCACACCATCGGTACTCAAAGGAGTTTTTAGATCGATATGCATTGAGTCCATCGGAAGTAGACCTCGATAAACCGGTGGATGCAGTTCTTGTATTTAACGATTGCCGTGACATGGGAACCGATATTCAGGTGATTTTGGACCTTTTGAACTCGGAAAATGGAAAAATAGGCACAAAGAGACCGGTAAGTGGGGGCGGAACCGAACCGGCAATTCCTATAATTTTCAGCAATAATGATTTTTTGTGGGCAGCCGATTATCCTCTCCCCCGCTTTGGTCAGGGAGCTATCCGTATGATGGTGGAACGACTCTACAAAGAGCAAAACAACGGAGCTGAACTTCGGTCAAAAATTCTCGGAAAACCATTTGTGAGTCAATATGAATTTGCTGCAAAAACTCTTGTGGAGTGGAGTGGGGGACAACGGTTTCCGCCACTTTTACATGGTGGGGGACAATCCTGCGTCGGATATCCAAGGCGCTAACCGCAGCGCGTGGAGGTCGCTTCTCTTGCGTACGGGAGTGTATACAGATGGCGACGACATTCCTCTTGATCTGCGGCCGTCCGAGGGGGTTTTCGACGATGTGCTCGATGCGGTGAAGCACGTGCTCAAACTGCAATAACAGACTCGGCCGTTGTTTACCCTGGAGGTTTTGACCGCTGTCCGTCGGCTGATCTGAGCCGATGCAACAGTCGGCTGCGACGGACCGAGACGAGCCGCACATGGAACCTGTAAAATAAGTGCAGGTTGGACATGCGCATTAATTGTTTTTTTTTTTTGTGGGTTTTTGATGCACCATGCATGGAAATCGCTGCGGCTAGGTTTGCGAATAGAAAATAAAAATAAGGTTTACAAAAAAAAAAAATTGAAATTGCACTGGGAAACTGCGTGACATTGCATTGCAAGGAGGGGCTGGAATGCTCAAACCTTAATTTAGATTCAACTTACGGTGTTGCTCTACTATGATATTGCTCTATCGTCATTCTCATTTATTCATTCTAGGCTCATCTATGCGATGCGGCTGTGGTGTAACTGTGATCGTAGCCAACTGTGAGTGGAGGCGGCGGCGGGAATGAGGAAGATGTGGGTGATCCTAATGCAGATTCCGATTTCATGTCCGGTTGTTGCTTCTTGATCGCGATTCTCCTGCCGTTTTTGCCCTTGCAAACCTTATTATTCAACACCTCGGCCGCAGCTAATGCTGCCCCCTTTCTCTTAACCAACTTGGCATGAAACAACCCACATGCATTGCATAGCGTGCGTACCCCATTAGGTCCGCGTCTCCATTCCGGAGTTTCAGTGGTGCCCCATCGGTGGCATTTATTGCTCGGTTTATTAATCACTTCCGGGACACTATATTGTGAGTGTGGAGGAGTCGGAGGTGGCCGCTGGATGGTGTAGTATATCGGCTGGTAGTAATTTTGGCCATAGTTCACCGGTACAGGTGCCTGCGACCCACTTTGCTTCTGCTGAAATGGAACGTACAGGTATTGAGGAACATGGTGCATGACAGTTGCAGGCATCTGTCCATTATGGTGTACGTCATAAAACGGGGCTGATGGCGACGCCCTTATCAACGGAGTGGTGGCGCCGGAACTCGATGCAACACTGGGTGCCGACACGGAACTTGAAGCAGAACTAGAACTGGAACTGGAAACACTTGACTTGTTAAGTACATAATTAACTGGAGTAGACGGTTTTGGAAGCTCGAAAGGTTGTCTGGAAGTATAGTGTCTTAAACTAGAAGCAGATGTCAATTCACTTATGGAAGGTAATTTGATCCTTGTAGATGTAGGTAGCTGTGGCGGTTTACTTTCGAATGTACTGGAGCACATTTTTCAAAATAGGCTTGGTGGTTAAAAATTAGATTAGAAGTTTGGCGTAACCAGGGGATGAGGCTACTTATATATGCAGTTAAAATTGGACTCCGGACGGTTTATTCCGGAACTGTAATTACAGAAATAGCGCTCGCCAAAATCTGCACCTCAGGCACAACTACTGCGACCGAGGCAACTGCAGGCTGCATAGAACCGCAGGGATGCATGCAAGAATATACGCTCGGGGCACGTGACTCCCCCCACCCCATGTTTCATTGGACCCTCACAAACCACAAGAACAAATACAACTTAAAGCGCGTTTAAAAACAGCTGTAGATTAACCACCAACTATAGATTCTTGTGAATGAAGACCGTTTTATCAAGTTGAAGTATTGCCCATTTTAGCTTGGTGAGACCAGTCAAACTACCGGCCAGGCGCAAAGATGGTGCAATGTATCTCCGCGCGATTACTTCCGGCCATCAATGAAGGCTATGCATTTACGGGCATATCCCCGAGGTAGATCGTCGAGATCATCCGCTTTTTTTGTGCTGTAATTCAGGTAAAAAAAGGTGCATGGCGCGACCTTACCCATTGGGTTGCCAACCGAGGTAAGCCGCAGATTTTCCTCAACTACCGCATGCATAGCGCGCGCGTAGATGCATGAGCCAGAAATAGAAGTCGATAAGCAAGTGACATAGAATGATAATTGCATATGCCATATATGTGCAGCTAAATCATGCAGAAAACCATCAAAAGGTTGTTTCCTACAATCATCAACAATTTTCCGATTCTTCCTTTTCTTCCCGTCTAACTGTGCTCACGGAGATGCCAGCAACATTATTTTTTGACTTCCAAAAATTGGCCTTGTTTGGCCCAGCTGCGCTGTTTCAGTCGTTTGACAACGGTGCTTAAAATGCAGCTCGGTAATCGAAACCGCGGTAAAGCAAGTGGTACCGAAAAGGAACCGGCCCGATTGACCGGTGAGATCTGACGGCCAAGCCAAATCGTACCACTCCAATGTGGCCCAACTTATCGTAGGAATTCCGATGCACATTTTAGCGATGTTACATTGCGCGCAAATTTGCTAGCCGATGGTGCATTGATATTGCATTTATGGTGCATTCGCGAAAAGTGTGTGGACGGCATGTGCGCTCCGCCAGCAAAGCGCTTAAAAGAATAGTCCCGGAAGATGGCCGGGAAGGTGGCCCGAGTCCGAGCCACATAAAATACTGTAACGGTAAAGGTTTCACTCAACACGTTTTTACAACACCGTATCGATACCTCGCGTAACCTTACTGAGGTTTCGAATCTTCACCTGCACGAACGACGGGTGTTCCATGCACCTTCCTGCCTCTAATGCCTGTTTTGGCGGCGGGGTAGATGCGGCATACAGTTTCCAGCCGCGCAGTTTAGTGCGACTAGATGCCGGGACCTGCCTAGTGGCCAACTCAATCTTAACGCGCATTTCAGCAAGATCGATTCCTTAATTAAACCACAACGAGGCAAAATTAGGTGAATGTGGCGCTTAAACCGCTTAAATTTTCGCTGCAAAAAGCCATGATATACGTGCCATCTGCCACAACATTATATATCGTATTCAAGCATTTTGCTATTGTATGATCCCATTGAATGTCGGCGAACAATCTCGGCTTCAAACTTGTGTTCCATTACGTCGATGTACGTACATGCCAAGACGGATGGTGAAATGCAAAAAAAAAAAATGCGCCTTTGGGAATTGCATGGGGCAATTAATGCCGGGTTGACTCCGATCTTGACATCGCCATACGGGACAAAAGCATCTGAAATAACCCGTTTCAGATGGTGCGTAAACCCGCCATCAAACTCAATTTTGGTAGGTAGGTGCATGCGTCTCATATGCCCAGACCATCTGCACGCGGTAAGATCATGCCGGCCAAGTTCCACACGGGCACGGGCTACAACCACCGCACGCGACGCACATCACGCGACTGCCGGAACTCGTCGCTGGTGTCCGCTGATTTTAATGGATCTTGGTGTTTGGGTGGGAAAGCGTTTAGCTGGGTTTGTGGGTGTTTGGGCTTGTGGTGTTGGGCCTCCTACACTTCTCACCAATCGCGAACGTCAAGTCTCCATCATGACAGACACTGCCGCCTATGAATATCCTGCCATTCGTAAGTCTTTTCAACGTTTCCAAATTATGTTTGCATGCAGAATACTAATCCAGCATCGCAGAGCGATTTAGATGCGCATGACGTGCCATTTCTTCACAGAGACCAATGTGCAGCCCATTTGATCACCTACTATAAATGTCTTGACAAGGGTACTTCTTTCTGTTCCAAGGCCAAAGACGAGTTCTACAAGTGCCAGTATACGTTGTTGAAGCAGAGGCTTGAAAAGTAGGAGAGAAGAACAAGAAATAAAGAAGAATAAGAAGAAGAATGAAGAACAAGAAATAAAGAAGAATAAGGAAGAAGAAGAAGAAGAAGAAGAAGAAGAAGAAGAAGAAGAAGAAGAAGAAGAAGAAGAAGAAGAAGAAGAAGCATGGAGGCTGAGTCGTAGAGACAGTGCTACCGCTCATTCTATGGTTCCATAGTCATAAGATGAATAAATATCACATAGAAGTGGCTACAATGAACTGAAGAAAAGGTCAAGAAAAAGTCAATTGACCTCAACTTGACTTTTAACACAATATGTTTCAATGTCCATTAAGATGCCTTCGATATTTCCTCAAATCTCCATTATCTCTTATATATCTCTTATTCTATCTTCATCTCTGTCTTCGTCTTTTCATCCGTCTCTCGTCCTGCACACACCCCCATGATTTTCGCCAATCTCAATTGGTTCTTCATCATGTCTGTCACCGAGTTCCCCCCTCTTCTTTCCGAGGACGATTTACAAAAGTACAAGGTTCCCTTGCGCTGGAGAGACCGCTGCGCAGCATACTTTGCTCTTCACCAGATTTGTTTGATTCGTCAATCGGCTAATTCCTCGGTTCTGTGCAAACATGATAAACACTCGTGGGAAGAATGTGAAAATTTGGACTTTATAAGAAGACAAAAGGAGTTGAAGGAGGCCAAGGAGCAGAAGAGGGCTCAGATGTAGTTAGCATAATACATGAATAGGCGAGCGAAGCGAGCATGACAAATGAATGAAACTGAAAGAAGACAATCAAAAGAGACTAATTTTTGAAGGAACTTACGCTTTGTGTACTAAGTGATCAGTCTCTTCAGTCTCTTCAGTCATTTCAGTCATTTCAGTCTTGTTCTTTTTGTCAATTCTCACAAATATCACAACTATTTCATTCTTCAATTGGACTGAGCTATTAGCCACCAGCCACTTTTCCATTACTTGGTTGCATTTCTGTCTTTTCCTCTGCATTTTCTTTCTTTGTGTCTTCTTTTGTCGCTACCTCCCTTTTTCCTGTTCTACTTTCCACTCTTCTACGTTCTACATTAAGCTACATTCTACCATCCTCATCTCTCTTCACTTTTACTTTCTCTTTTTGTTCGACAACTTGTCGGCCCGGACCTAGATCCACGCAGTGACAAGCCGTCGGTCGCTCTGTCTCCGCTGTCCACACTCCATACCGATTTACGCGGTACCAAGCTCTATCAATATTTCGGAGTTATCTATCTGAAGAAACAGCGAGAAAAAACGAATATATAGTGGCGGTCTGAAAAGTACGCCGCGACGTAAGCGACATACCGCTTACCCCAAAAGAAAACAGAAGACCAATTGAACAAGGTCTACTAGATGCATAGCTTAGACACTACTTGGACATTAGCCAGGCACCACTTTCACAGAATTAAATCAACATCCAATCTCATTTTTTTGGTCTCTTCTCAGTATGGCTCCTAGCGTGACCGCAGCCCATTTTCCTCCTTATTTTCGCAGTACCATTGTCGCAGCCCATTCGCGGCAATAATTCGCACTTCTAATCACCATGGCAAAGAAGGAGAACCAACAATTAAAGGTCGTTTCCGGCGAACCAGTAGAGTTAGACGACGAAATCGACTCTACCAAGCCCGCTGAATCCAAAGAATCCACTACGAAAACCCCAAATGAAACAGAAACAAAAACAAATTCAGATTCAAAAATCCCGGCCCCCGCTGGCGATATTGCTGTGACTGAAAAGGATTCAAAAGAAACCGATAAGGAGACCAAGACGTCTACTACAGAAGAGAACGCCACCAAGACCACTTCAGACACAAAACCAGACACGAAAGACGTTGGTGGGGACAAATTGGACAACAAACTAAACAAATCCGGTGACGAAAATGCGCCTCCACCGCCTCCAAGACCAATTTCGCCTGTAACCCAAATCACCAAGGACCTCAAGGACGCGTTCCCCAACATCGAGGACAAGTACATTACCGCTGTGCTTGTTGCCTCGGAAGGAAAACTCGATCCCGCTTTCAATGCGTTGTTGTACATTTCTGACCCCACGTTCAAACCGGACATTCCCGTGCCTTCCGCCTCCGCTGGGCCTCCGCCGCCCCCCAAGGGGTTGACAGACGACGAGAAGTTGGCGAGGAAGCTCCAGAAGGAATTTGAGCGGGAAGATCGTCGCCAGAGAGCCGCCAGGGACGCTCGTAGAAAGGGCCGGCCGGTGCCTCCACGGCCTCAAGATTCCGACGAAAGTCCTGATGAATTCGGCCAGATTAAGGAGACATTCACACAGGGATTCGAAGAGGCTCGTTCAACATTAAATGGCTGGGTGAGTGGACTTACTCGGAAATTTCAGGAACCCAACGATCAGAGCGGAACCAACCAGAGCCCCAAACTTTTCGGAGCGTTGGGCGGCTCGTCCTTCAACAGCAGCGAACGTAAGTCTGGCTTCGACAAAGACCCCGAGATCCTCTCCAACGATTTCCACACCAAAATCAGCATGAAAGACGAACAAGAAACGGCGCCTCAACTTCCTAAACGCCAGGAAAATAAATGGCAGCCATTGAACCCGGATGTGCCCGTCAATCTGGATGCATTTTTGGTGACGGACAGCGAGGACGAAGAGGAGGGAAGAAAGAAGTGAGAGAAGAGAGGAGGTGAAGGTGAAGGTGAGATCGAGAGTGAACGTGAGAATGAGAGTTTCAAGAGAAGTGCGAAATGAGAGTGAAAAGTCAGTAAGTGATAATGAACATGATAAATAACAGAAGTATACTACAGCTCCACAACAATCTTATTTCTTCTTGTCGTTTAATGTTTATTGGCGATACAACTCCTCCTATATACACGCCATTTCGTCATGTCGTCATAAATACATCATGTTCGGAACAAATTGAGCGTCCGAAACATGGGTTTTTCGCCCCGCCCGTTCAAGCACTGCTGAACGTCGCCAAGGCTATGATGATATCGACTCCAGTCCACCACCGGCGCCGTCAACACCCGCGCTGGCCGCGGCAACTTGAGGTCGCCCTTGACCAACTTTAGGAAAAAATCGCGGGTTTGTTCGTCGTTTTGTAGCCGGAGCGTCTCCAACTCGCGGATATCATTCTCGATACGTTCCTTGTGTGCTTGAAGTACCCGGAGTGACGATGTAAGTGCCACGTAATCGGCGTTGTTCTGAAGATTATGAGGATCATGGCGGCTGCGTTCCAAGCTCGCCTGCTGTTCTTCAAAGTCGTCCTCCTCGTCCTTGGGAGTCAACAACGGCGAGTTCTCATAGTGGCGATTATTAGAAAGTTCAAACGTAACCGATTTCTGCCGCGGTCTTGGAGGCGACAGTGTTTGTGTGTCAGATGGGGGTGGAGATCTCTCCTGCTGATGCTTCTTGTAGTTGGGGCGAATCTTTTTCAAGTTACTGTTGGTAATATCTTCCAACTCTGCCTTTCTCTTTGTTTTTTGCGGTGGTTTTGCCGCCACCTTAATTGCCATTTTTCACCGTGGCTGGACTCGAACCCGTGTATATGTGGAAAGTAAGGAAATGCGGTAAGGCAACGTAAGGGCGTTGCAATCCGATATATGTAGACACCTGGCTCCCTAGGGTGACAAAAAGCCTGGGATGAGAAGGAAGGTATTTTAGTTTTGGAGGAGGGGATACGTCGATGGCGCTTGTCGCGACAATAAGGGGCGGGTTACCCGGCCGATGTCTGGGTGTTCTGCAGCAATCGGAGTACGATTCGCCGTATGTGGCACCGGTGGCCGCACGCGCCCGTTGTGGGCTGATGCGTGGAACCTGCACCACGGAATATATGCACAGAATCCGATTCTCATTATTTTCTCTTTTTCTCTTCTTCGATTCCTTTTGCTTCGTCTTTCTTCTCAATCTTCTGCAAGTTCTTGATATAGCCCACTGCGCGATTGGCATCGGACTTCATATCCTGAGCCTGGATCTTCCACTTGTAGAAAAATCCGTGTTTCTGTCGCAATTCCTTGCGTTTTTTCTCCACTTCTCGATTTACAATTCCGACTTGCTCGTCGTATGGGATTCCCGCTTCGGCTTCGGCAATGGTTTCCTTGCCAAAGAGAAAATCAAAAACTCGACCATCACTCCAAAAAAATCCTTTTCTATCAACTATCCAATTTTTTCCAGAAGGCGCTTCTTTCAACACAAAAAAGAAAAGCGAGCTGTCTGCGGTGCCATAGAACCCACGTCCGGTCCACACTCTGCTCTTATGTTTGCGCAGGATATTGGCAAGTGGAATCGTATATACTGGAGTAGCGGTTCCAGGAACCAAAGGATAGGCGGTGAACCGTACATGTTCCACTGGTCCAGGAAGGTACCACATACGACGGATGAGCCGAGTGGGAAACTTGGCCACGGCAAAAGCTGCCACAAACATGGTAGCTCCAAAACCCAGATATTTGACCAAAGAAATGAACCATTCTCTTTTGCGAACTGGACCCGTCAACTCTCGCTCATTTTTTTCGTAGTCTTCGTTAGCTTGAAACCAGGCATATTCTGCCAAAACTATTCCATATACCGTAAACATAACTCCACAGCAAAAACATGCAAGAAAATAGAGCCGGTGGGGTTCCGCTTCGTAGATCAATTCCGGTTCTTTCTTCCTCTTAAGAATTTGAAGAACCTGACGAAACGTCATATTGGGTCCCACTTGAGGTACTCCCGGCCTGGGCAAAAGTGTGGGCACGTTTTCCTTGCCCAAGGGAAATTTTGGCATTCTTTGTTTCCAGCCATCAGATTGGGTGGATTCTCCAGGAATATGCTGTTTCAATTGTTTCCACTCGCCGGGTCCTGGAGCGTTTTTCCGAGTATCTGGGACTTGTGGCTTGTAGCGGACACCCAAAAGTGCCCGAAAAACCGTTCTGGGTGCTCTGAGAGCCTGGTGGGGGCCGATTAAGCGGAGCATAAAATGAGAGAAAAAACGAGATTTGTGAAACTGAAAATTTGATTGGGTGGATGGGTGGATTCTGAGAACGAGAATGGGTGGTTGCAACGAGGGAGTAGAAAACGAGAAATGGATCATTTAGATGAAGAAATGATTCATTTGTAGTTTAGATCTTGAGAGGTCCTCAATTGAATACTTCTCTCTCACACAATTTTCAATTGAAAATCTCTATTTTTCTCAGTGAATATCTTCTCGATCATATCTTCTTGATAATATCCTCGTGATAATATATTCACGATAACATCTTCTCGATAATTTCTGCTCGTTAATTTCTTCTCGATGATATCGTTGTGATAATATATTCACGATAATATCTTCTCGATAACCATATTATCTTCTCGATAACATCCTCGCGATAATTTATGCTCAATGATCTCTTCTCGATATCTTCTAGAATATCTTCTTCATCTCACTTTCAACATAGTTTTCACTCAAATCGAAATAATAATCCTTTCATGATTTCAATTGTAGAATTGTGGCATCTTCCTGTTCAAATCTCTCTTCTCTCAGTACAATTTTTCACTCAAATTCAAACCTCATTTTCTGGATATTCTGGAAGATCAAGTTCTCCATTCCTGGTCAAGATTCCCCGAAGAGTTTCAAGGAGACTTACTTGAAATTAACTCATTCTTTCATGGCAAGTACCAGAAATACTAATAACTTTTCAAGCTCTCGTTTTCCCTATCTTTGGAGCTTCTACCCAATTGCACTCAGTATTTTTCAATAATTACCATTTCCATCCTTCACCTCTTCGAGGCTTGCCTCTACCTTTTTCTTGGCTTCACCTGCGTTTCAGCTCGTTTCAACTGAACCGGATGAAGTCCCACATACTTTCCGTTCATCTCTTTAAAGGCACGAAGATAGTCTTCAGCACTGGAAAAAGCCACAAATCCGTACCCCTTGTTCTTGTCTGTGCGCTTGTCTCGCGGAACCCTTGCCTTAACAAAAGAAGGGTACTTTTCAAACGCTTCTACCAAAAGTTGGTCGTTTGCATCGGGGCCCAAATTGCCCACAAAGAGCCGAAAATGGTTGGGATCCCATTCCACCAACGTGTCATCTTTCCAAGATTTGCCATTGGCACTGCGGCGAACTGTCTTGCTTGGTTTGGAAACCTTTGAATAAGGCGAGTTTTCAGAACCTTTATGTGGAAGTTTATCAGAAACTTTAGAAACTTTACCGGAAGTATTATATTGACCACGTTGGTGAACAGTATCCGGTCGAGCTTGGTTTTGAACAATTTCCGGTCGAGTTTTGTTCTGAAAATGACCTTCATATTGACCACTCTTTTGTGCCCCATGGAGGTAGCTGGCTGCCCTAGAACCTCCCGCGAGTCTTCTGTCCGATGATTTAGACATAAGAACTTTCACTACTCCAGAATCTTTCAAAGTTTCTCCAGAACTAACTCAATTTATCTCTTTAGAATTACTTTCAATTACTCCAATTCTCAAGTAAAATCTCCAGAGCTCACCTCTGAGTTCCTTCAGAATTCTGAATTTCGCGCGCACCGATCTCATCTCATCACCTCCACTCCATCGCATCATGTTCATCCTCTCCGAGGTGTCGGACATCGTCAAAATCCCGCCCCACACATTCCACATCCCCATAAACGAAGCCGTGACCAACGAGCTCCACAAAAAATACGCAAACAAAGTAATTGCAAATTTGGGCTTGGTGGTTGCCGTATGGGACTTGCTGGAAATTCACGATGGACAGCTCAAACCGGGCGACGGAGCTTCTTTTGTCAAGGTCCGGTTCCGGTGCGTGGTATGGAAGCCTTTTGTGGGCGAAATTTTGTCGGGATGGGTGACACAATGTACGGCCGAAGGCATCAAAATCGGGATGCGATTTTTTGATGAAATATTTGTCCCTAAAAACTACTTTTTCGAAAACTGTGAGTTTAAACCAGTCGAAAAAGCTTGGGTGTGGAAGCCGGACGATGAAACTGAGTTGTATATTGATGTAAATGAAAGGGTGCGATTTCGAGTCGAAGAAGAGGTTTTCCTGAGCATTAAACCTCGGCCTACAAATCAGGATAATCAAGAGGAAGACAACAAGGTCCCACCGTATGCATTGATTGCATCGTGTCAGACCGACGGCATGGGCTGTGTCTCGTGGTGGGATTAAGAAAGACAGTACTAATTATATTGCATATACTGGCTGGTGGAGCTGAACTTGAGGTTGCCTTTGATCACCTTTTCCACCGCCTTCAAAAAGTCCTTTTCTGTAGCAACTTTTCTTCGAGCACGTATAGCAAACATCCCTGCCTCCGTACACACCAGTCGCAACTCGGCTCCGGTAGCGTTGGGACACAACCGGGAAATCAATTCCCATCGAATGTCCTTTTCACAGCTCATGGTCTTGGAATGAATACGGAAAATGTTGGCGCGGCCCTCAAGGTCTGGCAACGAAAATTCTACCTTTCTATCGATTCTTCCAGGACGCAACAACGCCGGGTCAAGAGTGTTGGGTCTATTGGTTGCAAACATCACCTTGATGTTACCACGGGGGTCGAATCCGTCTAATTGTGTGATCAACTCCAACATGGTTCTTTGCACCTCGTTGTCACCACCAGCGCCGTCGTCGAAACGAGCGCCTCCAATGGCATCGACCTCGTCAAAGAAAATAATGCATGCTTTTTTCGTCCTGGCCATTTCGAAGAGTTCGCGCACCATTCTGGCACCCTCACCAACGTACTTTTGCACCAATTCGGAGCCAATGACACGAATGAACGTGGCGTCGGTTCTGTTGGCTACCGCACGCGCACAGAGCGTTTTCCCGGTGCCCGGAGGACCATAGAGTAATATACCTTTCGGAGGATCAATGCCCAATTTGACAAACCGTTCCGGCAGCAACAACGGCAATTCCACCACCTCACGTAACTTTTCGATCTGTTCTTTACATCCGCCCACATCGCTGTACGTCACGTCCGGCTTTTCTTCGACTGTCATCATGGTAACACTGGGATCGATCCGAGGAGGAAGCGGAAGCTGAATCTCGTACTTTTGCCTATCGACCCCAACTCTCATTCCCTCCTCGATATCCGTGGGTGACACTCTTTCGCCCAACCCCACCACAAACTTGGCTATCTGCTTGATGTTGATCACATACTTGGCCTTATTATCAGCATTTTGAATGACTAAATCCAGTGACGGAGGCGCCACCGCCTCGATGATTTTTGTGCACCGAGCAACTTGTAACGGCTGTTCTTCCGACATTCTCTGTTTGTCTCCCCGTACATCCCATAAGTGAGGTGGCGCGAGACCAGTATCCAGCTCCTTAATACCTATATTTTCCTTAATTCGTTCTTCGATCGTCTTCAAATCTTGCTCGATTTGCTTGAGAGCCGCGGCATAAGGAGCAGCTCCGTAAGTCTTAAGAACCTTGATATCGCCTTCACTCAATGGTGTGATCTTTTCGGGCGCGTCATCTTCGTCGGGAGCTACGTATTTGTCCCAATCGGCTTTGGGAGGCATGGCAGTGAAGTGGCGACAATCGAGTGCGGAAGGTTACAATAGAATACAGGAAAATCAAAAATCACCAGAGTATATGCAGGAAGAAAAAGAGTAGAAGAACTGTATGAATCGTTAATCATTAGTATGTATGTTATAGCAACTGCTTCACTTCCCCCACCATCTCCCGCTGAGCCAGACCCAATTCCGTGGTGTCGCCGTTGGCATCGGATCTTATCAGGAGCATTGCAAAGTCCGCAAGTCTTTGCTGGAACCGGTCCACTTTGGAAGCATAAGGGCCATTTTGTCGGCTTAAAAATTTCACAATATTCACAATTAGTTGAAGATTATTGTTAAAATCGGCAAACTCGGACGCCGGGTCGGTACTTTCCAAAATCCGCTGGAGTGAATCTAAAGTACATTTGATAACTCGGAAGAGCAGCTGGTACCAGAATAAGTTGTGCAAACTTAAACCACAATTCTTGTTATTTTCGCTGATGAGTAAGGTAAACGAGTTCAGCAAAAACTGAAGTGTGAACTGCGACAGGTGGCTCTCGGAAACTTGGTCCATTTCCACAAAAAGATAATAGTATTTCATGTTGACTTGAGAGACGTAATGTTGAAGCATTGGGCTGTCGCAGTAGCGGGTATGGATGATTTTGCTGGTGGAAATACGCCATTTTTCCAAGTCTCTGGCAAGGTCCTTGAGGCTCTCTTTCAGCGAAATCGCCAACTTGTGGCATACAAGTCGGTCCACTAGTTTGTAGTAGGATATTTCCTGGTTTATGACGTCGAGATTATTGTCTGGTTGACCATGGAGGGAGGCGGTTAGCGGGAAAGACAGGGAAATAAACTCGTCTGAAGGTATTTGGCTTGGTTTGTTGCGCAAAATACTCAATTCTTTATCGAAATTGTAAATAGACCAAAAAAGCCGCTGTGAAAGAACATCCTGGGTTTTGTACAAATCGAGTTGAACGGCTATTCTGTCTAATGCTCCCACGATACTCCAGCAGAGGTCCGAGTGGTACATGTGCAACGAGTAGATACCCAAAAGAAGAAGCAAGCGGACGTTTTCCAAATCCAGACTCTGGCTCATGTCAAAGTCGATAATGTCTACAATTGACTCGATGATTTTTTCGCTGAAAAATGTGGAAAAGGTGTTCGACTTGGTGTTGGAATCGTGTATAAGCAGGCCTATGGCCATCACAAGGTAGCCGTCGAGATTGACAATGGCTTCTTGGTCGAAATTTATGCGGCTAAACCACGAGAAAAACCGGGTTTGCGAAATGAACGGATACTTGGTTCCATAATTGACAAAAAAGCTGTTGGCAAAAGTATGAGCTTTCTCCTCGGGAACAGAGTCCATGGTGATATACTCCTCACGTAAATTCATGGGAGTTGAAGGAATCAACGCTCGAAGAGCAGAACGCTTCGCAATCAGTGCCCGATGGCTCAACCGACGAGCACCCAACTTTGGAGACTCTGTGCCGTTCGAGAGCAACGACGGAACAGAAGTATGGCTTCTGGAGCCGTTCACAGGCCCATCTATAACATGGAACCGTTCTGGTGTTGGTTCGGATGAATTTGTCGTTTCTGTTTTTCTTCGCTTGGCCTTCTTGTCTTCATATTCACATTCGCTACCCAACCTGGTGCAGTGGGAGCATCGAGGAAACTCCCTGGAACACTTCTTTTTGAGCCGGTAGCATCTATTACAGCTGTTTGCAAAATGCGACGGTGGTTCATAATCAGAATTTGTGTCTTTATTTTCTTGAATAGTTGGTCCAGATGCCTGCAAAGGCTCCGCCGTGCGCACAGCCGACTCTGTTTGAGTCACAGAGCCCAAACGGAACTTTGTGGCCATGGCGCCGTTGCCCATGGGCCGCTTGTAGTAAAAGCTCATAAAGAGAAGTTTGCGGCGGAGAAAATATCGCGGCGGCGCCGACGGTGGGCGGGTGCGAAATTGCCCGAATGGGAAAGTGGGCCGGAAACGGAGCATGTTACGAATAGAAAGGTTAGAACAATGTAACTCAAAACCATTATTATTTCATTAATCATTCGGTCAAAGCCAATTCGGACTCAACGTCTCAAAAATTATTTAATATCTTTTTTTCAACTTTTTTACTTTTTACTTTTTCACTTTTTTCATTCCAATCTTCACTTTATTCCTTCTCTATTTACAATGCATATGCCGCCTCTCCTTTTTCAGTTTCCGCCTCTCCTTCCTCCATCTCCCTCTGCTTGGCAAACTCCTGTCTGGCCCTCAGGCGCAAATCGTCCAACAAAAATGTCTGGTCTCGAGGATTAATTGGTGGTAAGGCTTCGTGAGAAACGAGCCCCAACGGCCAGTGTTCGTCGTCTCCTTTGCGCCACAAACTCTCCCACATGAGCCTGGTGTTCTCCAACTCAAATTCCTCAATCACATGTGCAAGATCGGCTATGGCTTCTTGCAGATATATTGGTCTGTACTGGCCAGAGTACCATAAGTTTCCCTCGTCGTTCAATTTACGCATTTGTTTCAATTCTTTCTTTTGGTGGATGTCCCGCGCTCTCCGGAGATCCACCAAGCCCTTGTAGGCGGCCACAGCGTATTCATAATTGTCGAAATTTGCAACACACATAATTCTCCAAAGATCATTTCGACGACTGGGTCTTCTGTTTTCCCAGTTGGGACGTGGAAATTGCTGGTCTATTTGACTTTGGTGGTACGCGGGCACCTGTGAGTACAAAACCTGGCCCGAAAACAAGTTTTTAAACATGAATACTTGAGGAGCCATTTCGAGCCGTTGCAAATCCGCCTCTGATTTCTCGCCCTCGGCTATCCGTGCGCCCAAAACTTTCCTGGACTTCATCTGCTCGATGAGGAACTTCCTCATGCGCTTTTCAGCTCTCATTCGCATTGGCATGGTGGCGGGTGTGGGTAGCTAAAAGACGGTTTGCAAGCTGACGAAATTCAATTTTTCAACAGAGTCGTGCGCGCACAAAAATATAGAACCAAAAAAATTCCAATTAAAAGGAATAACCAGAAAGGCCATTGGCACAAGAAGAAGACGACGCAATCACTCTGGACCCACTAACCTATAGTTTTTCAAATTTGAACTTTTCTGAGGAATTTCCTTACCCCACAACCAAGTCACGTGACACCACCCACCAGTTTCATCGCTGCTCAGCTACACGTCAATGGCCACTTTTTCGACGGTAATCCAGGTTGTGCCGTTTTTCTGTTTTCAGGCGGCTGTCTTCGGGTGGACATTCAAGTATGCGTTGTCGTCCAGTATACTTGAGTCTTATGGGCTGGGAGTAACTGCTCGAAAAAAAGATATCAACAATTATATCTATGATAATTTCAACAAGCGATACGGTCTCAAGTTGATCCTGGTGGACGTATCGACGCTACAAAACGATGTGGACGAGAAAGAAAACTTCAAACGACACGGATATAAAGTTATGTCACTGGTGTCAAACTTGCAGGATGCAGTGGTTCGTGCAGCGTTCGCTGCATGCACATGCAGCAGTGTATCGATGATTGTACTAATGATGTGTGAATTGGGAGGTTTCATGGCTGAGCTGGCTCGGGCCATACTTTTTGTCATCACGGTGGATACGTTGATCATTCTACTTACTATGGTGTTGCCATATTTGACAATGTCGATTTTAATTGACGAATCGGTGTTTCCCACCAAACCGAGAACAAGAATAATTGCAGCCATTTGCTATATATTGTGGTTCTATGTCCTCCACAAGTTCAGCGATTTGTCCCAGACATTCACTCCGGCCTCGACATACGATACCCGGTCAATTATAGAACGCAAAGTGAATCAAGTAGCAATTGCTGGTATTACTACCATGGCTATATTTTCAGGCATTGGGTCTGCTTCTACGGTTTCGGACCATGCAAAGTTGCTCAGGCGAGCGGTAGGCAGAGTTGGGTCGAGAAAGAAGATAATTACCGAAGCAGAACTCAATTCTCTCATCCAGTCGTATAATCATACTGCAGCCTTGGCGACTAAAAGAAGAGAAGAACTCGATAGAATGCTAGTTGCGCACGGAGGAACCATTTACAACAAGTCCAATGCCTCTACCGACTCGTTTGGCTCACCCAAAAAGAACAGATTGGGCGGAATTATTCATAAAGTACAGTCGTTTGCTAGCATGTCCAGCTTGGGACTCGGTAAGGAACAGCGAGATGAGCAGGAGCTCAGCAATGAAATTGACTCGTTGTGTACACTCCAGAACCACATTTACGACGAATTGACCAAAAAATTGGCATCTTTTGCAAGTCAAGAAGACGGTATGAAGCTGACTTTAGCCGGAATAATTGTTAAATTTTTCACATTTGGCTTTGCAGTTTACTGCGTTAATAGAATCGCAATTGTGGTTTTGGTGCGACTTCCTTCGAGGATGATTTATGGAGATGGAAGTAAAAAATCCGCTTCAAACTCACTGGATGCTCTTGCATTCACTTTAGCCCATCTAGTGCAACTTTTCATCGGAGAAGACACAATTTCCGAGATTCAACTCATCAACCAGATTGCACTTGCATTATCTGGAGGATTGTTCATTTGCACATTTACGTCGGTACTCAACACATTCAAGTCGTTTGCCAAATTTCTTCCCTCATTTACCAAAGTTTCTGACAAATCCAAAAACCACTTGAAGCATCTCGTCATTGCCGAGCTTTTGGGAGTGTATGTGATTTCTACCGGACTCCTCATTCGCACCAATCTACCCCAAAACCTCTCGGACCAAATCACAAGAATTCTTTCCTTGTCGGGATCTACCGTGTCTGCGGAAACCGGAATAACGGCCCGAGAAATACGGTTTATAGATAGTTGGTTCGACAAGATGTACGGGATTTCGTGTCTCGCGACCATTATTCTGCTCTGGCTTCGACATTTGATCGACGCCGAAGACACCACATACGACGAGGAGTCGTTGGTTGAGGACTTTAGCTACAAAACTTTATAGAATCAATAAGTCATTGAAAGTCCCCACTGGTGTTCCCCACAGGTGCGGCGGCGGATTGGCGCCGTAACTCCGCATCGTGCATATGCATATTTCAAAGCACATGCATGCTTGCGACCGGTATAACTTCAGCACCCTTGCTGCCTCAATCCAAATGGCTACTTTACAATTAACCAAGGAGTCTCACAAGGACCCCGCCAAGTTTCGGATCACGTATGAAGACGCAAATAGGGTGCTTGGAGAGAAAAAGACATGGGCGCGAGCTGATGGACCTGCGTTGAAAACCCTGTCCAAGGTTGCCATAATTGGCGGTGGATTTGGAGGTATTGCTGCTGCCATGAGATTCAAGAAACAAATGAAGGAAGAAGATTTTGTGATCTTTGAAAAACACGATCAATTTGGCGGAACTTGGTGGGCAAATACATACCCAGGATGTGCCTCGGATATACCTGCTTTATGGTACTCTTTTTATGATGAGCTTAACAAGAACTGGAGTGAGCTCCAGCCTCCACAGTACGAGATGGAGGAGTATATCTTGCAAGTGGTGAAAAAGTACAAGCTTGAAGAGAAGGCAAGGTGCAAAAGTGCCATCGAAAAATTTGTGTGGGATGACGAGAATAGCGAATGGGTACTTCATGGTGTTAATCTTGAAAACGGTCAAGCAATTGAGCACAGGTCCAAGATAGTGGCTCTGGCTCGCGGAGGCTTGGTTATGCCCAACCAATTCCGGGCCAAAGGGTTGGAAAATTTCAAAGGTGTATATATGCATTCTGCACTTTTCAACCACGATGTTTCCTTCAAGGGAAAAAAAGTTGTGGTTATTGGAAATGGATGTTCAGGCAACCAATTGGTTCCAGCATTGGTCAAGGACTATGAACCTGAAAGTGTGGTGCAAATTGTTCGTTCCAAGCACTATATCATGCCTCCACTTCCCTCGGCTCTCCACAAGCTTTACCAGCTACTTCTGTTTTCCAGAATTGGTTTGGTGATTGTTCGACTTCTTATTGTGTTTGGAGCGGAATTGAGGTACCCCATGTATGCTGGCGACGGTTTTTTTGCAAGGTTGATCCGCCGAGCTTGCACCAGAGCATCATTGAGGTACATGAACAAGTATTGTCCTGACGAGTACAAGCAGTACATCATTCCCGACTATAAGATCGGGTGCAAAAGAATCATTTTCGACAAGTATTATATGCCAATTCTTCGTGATTCTCGACTTCGAATCCAAGGTGGAGATATTAGCCATATCGAAGAACATGGTGTGGTCATGAAGGATGGAACCAAAGTGCCTGCGGACATCATAGTGGCCTGTACCGGCTACGATATCAAGGAAAATGCACTTTCCGCTAAAATTATTGGCAGAAATGGAAAAGATGTGGGAGAATTATGGGACGAAGAAGGTGGAATTTCAGCTTATGAAACCACCATGATCAAAGGGTGTCCCAATATGTTCCTTGTTGCCGGACCCAATTCTGCTACCGGACATGCATCCGTGGTGATGGCTATAGAGAATTGCTGTAGTTACATTATGAAGGTAACTCAACCTATTCTTGCTGGAAAATATGCTTCAGTGGAGGTTCTGCCCAAGGCATATGACAATTGGTTTGTAACCGTACAAAAGAAATTGTCCACAGCGGTATTTGGAACCAAGTTTGGTGGCTGTGTATCGTGGTATACTGAGGAAGGAGTGAATCTGACTGCTTATCCATGGTCGCAGATTGTCTATTGGTGGAGAATGAACCATCCAAAGTGGAATGAGCTTGTGTATGAAAAGCCGAAGCAAAAATAGGCCATTGCAATGAAATTGAGTGTTGTGTCAAGAGTCTGAGACATACTGTGGGGTAATTTTTGGAGTCGATATTGGGTGCAAAAAGCAAGCTGAAAGCTAAGAAAAATGGACTAATGGGAAAAAACATTTGACCAGTTCAGTCAAATGATATGGCACCACAACCCTCTAGTCTTTAGTTAGTCTTAGTCTTAGGTTAGTCTTAGACACATGCTTATACGTTCAACAATACCCTTCAATGTCACCGTGCGGCTCCCCGCATGTGAAAAATGTTGTAAAGTGCCGAGATATAAAAGTTTCCTCTTAGTCAACTCTTCCCCCCACCAATGTCTGTGATCAGAAACCCCAGAGAGTCCCATAAGAGGCCACAGGACTTCCGTATCAAGTACGAGGATGCTGCAGCAGTGTTGGGACCGCATGCAAGTATTGCAGCAAACGACGCAGAGAAGCCGCAATATCTGCAATCCAAGATCGCCATGATTGGAGCCGGAGTTTCAGGAATAACGGCAGCTATGACGTGCTTGAAGAAAGGCGAGGACGACTTTGCCATATTTGAGAAACATGACGAGTTTGGAGGCACCTGGTACGCAAATACCTATCCTGGTTGTGCATGTGACATTCCTGCTGTTTGGTACAGTTTCCACGATGAGGTCAATTCGACCTGGAGCGAGGTCCAGCCGCCTCAGTACGAGTTGGAAGAGTACATTTTGAAAGTTGTGGAGAAGCACGGCATCAGAAAAAAGGCTTTTTTGGGCACCGCGGTGACTTCGTTGAAGTTTAACGACAAAGCAAGCAATTGGACAATTGAGGCTTGTGATGTGAAAACTGGAAAGAAACGAATCCATACAGCTCAGATAGTGCTCAGTGGACAGGGTTTTTTGGTGCAGCCGAAACAATTGAGTGTACCAGGTTTGGAAGACAAATTTCAAGGTGAGTACATGCATTCTGCGGTTTGGAACCACAATGTCGATTTCCAAGGAAAAAACGTGGTTGTGGTTGGAAACGGGTGTTCGGCCAACCAGTGTGTTCCTGTGCTTTTGAGAGATTACGGAGTGCAAAGCTTGACCCAAATTGCTCGCCTGAAACATTATATCATGCCTCCAATTCCTGGGATTTTGCACCAAGCTTACCAGACACTTGCAGCCACCAGACTAGGGATTCTTCTTGTACGGTACGTTGCGGCAATGGTGGCTGAGTTGCGGTTTCCCTTGTTCAAAAACTACTTTTTTTTGACGAGTATAATCACCTGGATCAACCACACCGCATCCACTCGATATGTCAAAAAAACTTGTCCGAAACAGTACCAAGACTTGGTGATTCCAGACTTCCATATTGGCTGTAAGCGGTTGATATTCGACCACGGCTACATGCCTGCTTTGCACGACAAAAGAATGGAGCTCACCGACTCCACCATCGAGCGAGTCGAAGCCAACTCAGTAATTCTCAAAAACGGCAAGCGTATTCCAGCAGATATCATTGTAGCCTGTACGGGCTACGACGTGGTGAAGAGCTACCACAGCTTTGACATCGTGGGAAGAAACAATATCGATATTCAGGCTCTCTGGAACAAGGAAGGAATCACCGCCTACGAAACGGTTTTGGTGAGAGACTGTCCGAATCTTTTTTTGATAGGAGGACCCAATGCCACCACAGGTCACTCGTCCATGATCCTAGCCATTGAAAATGCCTGTAACTATTTTGCCAAAATTGCAACTCCAGTCTTGAACGGTCTGGCGGTACTGGTTTGTGTCAAAACTGAAAAATATTACAAATGGTTTGAAACCGCGCAAGAGGAACTCAAGCACTCTGTGTTTGGAACACCTCTTGGTGGCTGTGTATCGTGGTATACTCAGGGAGGAGTCAATTCCACCACTTACCCGTGGTCGCAGATCACATATTGGTGGCGGATGCTGCATCCCAAATGGGGAGAATTGGAGTATGAGAAAAAGGAAAAGAAGGAGAAAGTAGCATGAGAGAGGAGAGGATGAATAAAAAAAGAACGTAGCATAATGAAATCAAGACAACGATATTAATACACTGGTAATTCTCAATTCAATATTCGTTTTTCGCATTGGTTTCGCATTGGTTTTCGCACATTCTGCATATAACATTCAGTCATTTCGAGCGTTGAAAATTTAAACTGAAAGTGTCTACAATACTCCGTACTGCCTTTAAAAGGATGGCATCGACTTCCACTTTTTCCCGCGAGGCCTTGGACCAGGTCTTGAAGCGTAGATTCTTCTTCGCTCCAGCTTTTGAGATTTACGGTGGTGTTTCCGGTCTTTATGATTATGGTCCTCCTGGCTGCGCTTTGCAAGCCAACATTATCGACACTTGGAGAAAGCATTTTATCTTAGAAGAAGACATGTTGGAGGTGGATACCACCATGTTGACGCCCCACGAGGTGCTCAAGACCTCGGGCCACGTAGACAAGTTTGCTGACTGGATGTGTCGTGACTTGAAAACAGGTGAAATTTTCAGAGCCGACCACTTGGTCGAAGAAGTTTTGGAGGCGAGATTGAAGGGTGACCGTGCTGCCCGGGGTGTGGTTGAGAAGGCAGGCGACGACGAAGCTGACAAAAAGCGCAAAAAGAAGGTCAAGGAGATCAAAAACGTCAAGTTGGACGACCAGGAGGTGAAGGAATACGAGAACATTTTGGCTCAAATCGACGGGTTTTCTGGTCCCCAGCTCGGGGAGTTGATGACCAAGTACAACATCACCAACCCAGCCACTGGTGGTCCGTTGGAGCAGCCAATGGAGTTCAACTTGATGTTTGAAACTGCCATTGGTCCTTCCGGCCAGCTCAAGGGCTACATGCGTCCCGAGACGGCTCAAGGTCAGTTTCTCAATTTTTCCAAGTTGTTGGACTTTAACAACGAAAAGATGCCGTTTGCGTCGGCCTCCATCGGCAAGTCGTTCAGAAACGAGATTTCTCCCCGAGCAGGTTTGTTGAGAGTTCGTGAGTTCTTGATGGCTGAAATCGAACACTACGTTGATCCCGAAGACAAATCGCACCCCAGATTCGACGAGGTGAAACATGTCAAGTTGCGGTTTCTTCCCAAAGACGTCCAGGAGAGTGGCTCCAACAAGTTGCGGGAGTGCACCATTGGCGAAGCGGTTGAATCTGGCATGGTAGACAACCAAACCTTGGGATATTTCGTCGCTAGAATTTACCTTTTCCTCGTGAAAATTGGTGTGAATCCCGACAGATTGCGGTTCAGACAACACTTGCTGAACGAGATGGCCCACTATGCCGCCGACTGCTGGGACGCCGAGTTGGAGACGTCTTTCGGTTGGATCGAGTGTGTGGGTTGTGCCGACAGATCTGCCTACGATTTGAGTGTGCATTCTGCTCGTACCAACGAAAAGTTGGTGGTCAGAAAAGCGCTCCCAAGTCCAGTCACAGTCGAGAAGTTTGAGGTTTCCATTAACAGAAAGAAGTTTGGACCCAGTTTCCGCAAAGATGCCAAGGCGGTGGAAAATGCACTTTTGAACCGCACTCAGTGCGAGTTGGAAGATTTGGCTGCGGAATTGAAAAAAGAAGGCAAGGTCTCTTTGAACGTGGAGGGGTTGTCGGAGCCAGCAGTGATCACTTCTGAACTCGCTACCATCGAAAAAGTCACCAGAACAGAACACATTCGTGAATTCACTCCAAACGTCATCGAGCCCTCGTTCGGTATCGGCCGTATCATTTACTCCATTTTCGAACATGTGTTCTGGAGCCGCCCAGAAGACAAAGACAGATGTGTGTTGTCGCTTCCACCCGCCGTGGCTCCTACTAAAGTGTTGTTGGTGCCTCTTTCCTCGCATGCTGATCTCAGCCCCATCGTCAAGAAAGTGTCAGCATACTTGCGTAAAGAGCAAATTCCCTTCAAGGTGGACGACTCCTCTGCCTCTATCGGAAAGCGTTATGCTCGTAATGACGAATTGGGTACACCATTTGGAATCACCATCGATTTCGATTCCGTCAAAGATGCTTCCATCACCTTGAGAGAGCGCGATTCCACAAAACAGGTCAGAGGTTCATTGGAAGACGTTGTTGCGGCGATCAAGGCTGTTACCTATAACGACGAGTCGTGGGCCGAAGCCACCAAGAAATTGACTCCCTTTGAGGGCCAGTCCGGAGACGCCTGAGTATGAATATACATTTGATATTTAAAGCTACTTCATCCAGATTTTGACACAAATCTCAATTCGCGGCGACCCACACATCCGATAACACGTCACAACCGTGGGAATTACATGGCCTACAATTATCGGCCCAATTCCGTGGTTCTTCTCTACAATCTGAAGACCTATCGTATTCCAGGTTATATGCATGACTACGATCCACCACGAAAAATTGCGTATATATTCGACATGGGGCACGAGCACAGCAAAGAGTAGTGGCGCCGTGAGAAAAAATAGATACAAAAATAGGAAATAAAGTTCCATTTGTTTAAAGGAAAGTGCTGCGTGAGTTGATCTGGGGAAAAGACCTGCTTACGTAACCAGCATGGTTCCCCAGCGCAGAACTTTTTGTACTTTTTTGCAGCCAACCATACCAAGTCTCCGCCGAACACTTCTTGCTAAAATGGCTACCAATGGCTGTGGTATGCTAGCAGGTATGTGTAGAAGAACAATATGCTGTAATGAAGGCTCCTCCGCAAAATATAAAGAGAAACTCTGCCAAATCATTTCATGGTATACTTGCAGAGAGACAATTTGATTGCTAACTTAGGACCTTCTCTGATGCTCGCTGAGTCTGCTATGTTGCTAGACAGTGCTCGTATGAGCGTTGATACGGGAATTGTGCTTTTGGGGTCTGCGGATCCTATTGTTGAACATGAAAATATGGACACAGACGAAACTCGTTCTTGGGGAATTGACACTTCTGTAGTTGATACCTGGCTCAGTTTACAGCTAGATGTTGACGACGAGATTTTCGACGAGGTTATTTTGAGTGAAAATTATCCGAAACGAGAGCCGGAGCAGGAAGAGCCAAGAAAGGAGGATCGGAATCTCAGAGAATTTGTAGACAACGATCAATTCGTTGAAAATGGAAACGTCCATAAACTTGTTCAAAATGAAAACGTTCAGGAATTCGTTCAAAATGGAGAAAACCAGGAGTTCGTTCAAAATGGAAACGTGCAGTTTTTCTTAGAGACAGAAGCGGTTTCCACCTTTTTTTCAGAAACAGAAGCCGTTTCCACTTTTTTCTCAGAAGAAGCTGAAGCAATTTCTCCGCTATTAACCCAGAGAGCAGCCGAAATTTCAATAAACCAGCTTCTTAATGAGCCGCTGTATGTGTATGGGGAAGGCATTGATACGAAAAATTTGTCGGACGGAAACCAAATTGAAGAAAAGACAAATGCTTTTCAAATTGAAGAACAAAAAACGAATGATTTTCAATGTTGCTCACACGAGAACAATGTTCAGAATTATAGTGTATTGCCCACTGGAACAGAACTCGCAATCGAGTCCATCAACCTTCCGTTCGCAGGAATGTATGATTACGCCGACTGTGCCCTCGAATTCAAAGCTTTTCCTGCTCCAGCGTGTATCAAGAAACGAGCCAAGGGAAGCAAGAACACTGCTCCGCCAGAGTTTGAGATTGAGTACCAGTCGGAGTTGATTCCCACGGTTGTGGTTCCGTGTCCAGAGTTGATCAATACTGCTCGAAATGATATCACTGCTCAACAGATGGACGAGAACAGAAACAAAACCGTCAAGATATACAATGAGGAGCTCCAGTCGATTTGTAAAATCAACCGAAATTGTTATCTTCGGTTGTCGCTCACGTCTTTGCAACCGTACCACAATATCAAGTACGAGAAGAACCCCAATTTTCACATTAGTCGTCCGTACGAGCCTCAGTTTGTGCGCTATGAAATGGATGAATCGAATGGTCTTCCATACAATCCCACCCGATGCGGGCTCTGTCCGTACTGTGAAAAAATCACTTTTCTCAATCTCAAGACTTCGTCGTATGCTCAGCATCTAGCCTTGACCCACGGGATCTATACCGACAACTTTCTTACGCCGAACCCTTACGATTTCGGAGAATACAGGCTTGTCAAGTCTGGCTCAGATCGTATAACCACGGCTCACGAAAACAACAGGTTGGGAGTCGTATGTCCATGCTGTAACCAAGTTATTGGTACTCACTGTTCACAGACAACAGCCAAGGACCGACCATTGAACAACTTCTTGAGGCACTTTCGAGACTTCCACAGAAAGAGAGGGAAGTCTATTCTGAAAGCTGAACAGTATGAGTTCTTCAATAGGATGGAGCGACCCAACAACTATGTCTATGGCTGAACTGAGTTGAAGGGAATGTGTATAGCTGTAGTGAATAGTGTATAGCTTGTAATTGATGAGATGAAATGGCTGTAGTGGTGGTTCTAGTACCCAAAGATAATCCTGGTTCTCAATGGTTAGTGCTTTAATGATTTTTTATAATCTCTTTTCGTTATGTCACAAACACTTGTACAAGCTTTCCAAAGTCCAAGCCGTCGCCGGTGTTTGTATCAAACACTTTTATGCCTTCCAAATTGTGGATTCCACGGGCTATGCCCATGAGTTGAATAGACGTTTCCATCACATTATTGGTTTCCAAGGGTCCCAATCTAATGTCATTTTCAAGAAAAACCACCCCGCCAGAACGAGGTTTCATAGTTGCGATTTCGTTGAGAAGATGAATTTTATTCACCACCAAGACATCATTTCCAGACTTTTGTCCTAGAACATTTGACGAAGAAGTATTCGAAACAGGTCCTCTTTGAGCAGCATTGGCGGCCCAGTGGAGCGGATCCTGAACCACAATAGATAAGTTGAGAGCACTGCTGGAGTTATTAATTGCTTGGATTTTCCACGAACTCACTTCTCCGAGTTTCAAAGTAAAGCTTCCAATAAAAGTGAGTTTAAGACCGGAAAGCGCCGAAGCTGGATTATTGGCCAAATTAACCGTAACATTTGACGAACAAAGCGGTGATTGCTTGAGTCCTGGCTGGACGGCTGGTGGATTGATGTTTGTTCCATTGACTAGTTGCGACGAATTGCTGTTGCTTTTGATGCTGTAGACACTGTGAAGAGCCGATTTGCGCTGGAGACCTCTTCCACCCACCGACTGCACTTGTGAGTAGCCCACCGAGGTTCGCAACGAGCTATTTATGGGAGGAGCCATGATGGTGAAGTCGAGTATTGGAGCCCAAAAAGTGGTAATTTCGTTGCTCACGTTGACGAAGGAATTGGCAGAGCAGTCGTAGCGCTGGACCTGAAGTACTAGTTTGATATTGAGTGCTTTGGAACTGGCATTGACTTGAGGGTCCAGTGGTTCTCGCTCAAAGTCGGCATTGACTAACTTGTATGTCAAGTTCAAAGCATCCGCAAGACGTATCCGCATGGGCATCTTGTAGTCGGAGGCCGTGAGCTCGACCATGGAGCCGTACTTGAAAGAAACATCCAAGCTCAAAATGGAAAAGTAGTATGACTGGGTATCTTCGCTGGACAAAAGCACGCCCAATTCTTCTGAGCTCTCCACATTCAAGGTTGCAAGCAACACATTGTTGCGGCCTGCTGGTTTGGTGGACTTTAGTCGAATCACAAGAGAAACCGAAACCGGCACCGATATGGAGGTTTGGAAAAGTGTGTCGCTGTGGAACGACTTTTCAGGAACTGGTAAAGGAGACCGACGAGACTCTGAGGGTTCTATGAGAGACGAAGGAAGGTTGTAGGTTTCCGTCAGTTTGTTTTTCAGAACTGGGTTGTTGAGTTCTGCCAATAAATTTGTGCTATTTTTAGGCTCCAAATCAGGAAGAATTTCCACCTCTTTGGGTTTCTGTGCGGTTTCCACCGATGGCATTATAAAATCACGACAGGAGCACGATATGAGGATTTGTGGGTTGTCAACCTTCTTTTTAGGATACACAATTGGAACTTGGTAGGTCCAAATCGAGTAAAATGCATCTTCAATCTCACTCTTTCCTTCAAGAATGACACTAGTATTTGCCAAAGAAAAGCTAGCGATAACAGCAGCCTCCTTAGATAGTATGGGCAAATCCACCTCTGGTTTATGGTCTGTAGGGGGCTGTCCAGGCATCACAGACACATCCATAAACACAGTTTTGGGTGAGTTATCATGCTTTAAAATAACGAAAACCGACACAGATTCGTCAAAAAAGACGATACTACGTTGTTTAACATTTTTCGCTCGGAGAAGAAACTTGTCGACGTCTTTGAGCCGTAGCAAGTCGCTCGGCTGTGCCGGGAGCAAGATCGATATGCTCATGGTAGGAAGAAGTGAAAAGATCGGGTGTGTGGGTGCGAAATTGCAACGAAGTTGCAAAATGAGAATTGAAAGAAGTTGCAAAAAGTGAAATACGATAGTCTAGTATGCAATTTATTCGTGATTATTCGTGACCTCATTACTCCACGACGTGCCGCTGAGTTCCAAATCTAACTCGGAATCTTCCTGTTTCTCAACTTTTACCTCGGCTCGGACGTCCTGAATCGCACAGTAAAATGTGCCCAAAATGCACCCCACATCAATGACAATGAGGGCCGCTCCGTACATGGCGCCAACCACACGCAACGCATGCAAACCCTTGTGCAAGGTCGCAATCTCCGAATTGGCCAAAGACATGGTTCCGATCGGAAATGTCATAGCCCAGAATGTCCTGGAAAACCGGATAAGTCCGCGGATTCGGCGACGGAAAAATGAGGTGTGGTTTTCGGTCATATAGGTCCATTGAGGATTGTGGTTCTTGGTGAACGGGTATATCTTGGACAAGCACGACATCACCGCGATTATAGTGGAAAACATGCCGAAAGCATTGAGAAACAACGACATCAAGGCGGTAAAGTAGATGAAACAGGTGCCCACTATGAAGCTAGCAGTGACGGAATCCACCGACTGGCCAACGTCAATGGCTGTAGAATTGACATAAGACATGTATGGCGACAGCAAAACCAGCTCGTGGTTCTCCATAACCAAGGTGTAGATATCTCTGCCAATTAGGAGAATGCCAAAAGCTCCCTGTCCCATCACACCCACAGGAAGGAAACTGGAAAATACCAACCCAGTAGCCGGAATTTTGTGAATGAATAGCCTCCCATAGTAGATGCTGATAATGATGAAAGCCAAAGCCACGGCCCAGGCCCATAGTAAGTAGCAGATAACTAGGGTTAAAACCTGAAGATTTATGGATGGAAGATCGGGACAGATCAAGGCACCAGCCGAGGCGGTGACCGTGAGCGTAACCACTGGAAAAAGGAGAGTTGCACTCACAGTTTCCGAAGTCAACAAGTTGTACTTTTTTCTGTACTTGGCAATAATACCAAAGTAAAAAATCACAATGGCACAGTAAAGCGACAGTACTAGCGAGATCCACCAGAGCACATAGATGCCTATTATGAAACTTTTGGAGGTGATGCCAAATAAAAAATTGACAAAAGTAGTGGTATACCCCATTGATAAGCCCCCCAAATATACAGACGTATTGGCGTCACGATGGAATTTGAGAAAGTTTCCCGGCACCGTCACCATTGATATGATAAAGCTCGGGAATGTCAAAATGAAAAAAAATACGGCAAACCCCCACATTATGCATCCACATACTTCGAGCCAATATGCGGGATACGGGAAATTATGCAAGATGACGCTCAGAATCCCGCACCCCATAATCGACACAAAGTACGCAGGATGAAACTCGAGGATGAGTCGCCGGTGCGCGACATTTACCGTCGCACACGCGTATTGTGCAACAGTTGTTTTGGACTTAAGAGTCTTATCGTCATCGCTCAACTGTGGCGTTTCCAAACTGTGGCTGTCCGACATAGAAAATTAAATGGATTTGAAATGAATAAAATGACAGTTAAATGACGATTTACTAACGATTATATGACGATAAATTTGTAGTAATGAAAGGAGTCGTATTAGTGATTAGTTGAATGTTGCAAGGGCATCATTTATAAAGAAGAAGGAATTGCTTACCTGCAGTCCGCACGAGTCATGGGTTCCCACGCTCTCGGAAGCACCATCGGAAGGCCCTTCGGAAGAGCTGTTTTGCCGTTTTAGGAAGGTGGCAGCGGGGCGGCAAATTGCGGTAATTTCGCAGCGGGGCCGCGGCGGTTGTTGGTGCAGGGTGACACCGCGGCGTGCGCCGGCTCACACCAATGCAGGCCGCCGTATTGCCGCATCGGGAAGGTAGCGGACACGGTGGCCGTTTGTGGTGTATAAATCGGGGCCGCCCCCCTCACGCAGTTTTTTTTTCTCACAAGCGCTATCTGTGTTTTTTGACTTTTTGCTTTTAAATTTTATTTTGCCTATCTTGCCTTCTCGATATGGCCGTCCAGACACAGACGTCACACTCACCGGCCCTCGGGTCTTCTTCGCTAGCAACTAATAGCCCTCGGTTGAAACCAGCTCTGACCCCCGGAACTAACTCATTACCCGAGGGTTCAGAATTCGAAGTCCCCGATAACAACTTTGGCAAGTTGATACGCCAGCTCCGGCAGATTTTGGGTCCCAATAAAGGGATCCTGTCGGCCGACGTGGATGTGGACAAAATCCGGGAGGTGATGGAACAATATAATTCTGATGAATCGGAGTGGGGCAAATATGCACTCCACGATGGAACTCGAGCATATTCAAGAAATGGAGTGGTGGATATTAATGGCAATGCCAATTTATTGGTGCTTGTGTGGAGTCCTGGTCGCTCAAGTGCCATCCATGACCACGCCAATGCCCATTGCTGCATGAAAATAATCAAGGGACAACTAAAAGAGTCACTTTATGATGTTCCAGACCACGAGGGAGAATTGCATCCACGCCAAGAAACCATCTTGTCACGAAACGAAGTGGGTTACATTTCTGACGAGATTGGGTTGCACAAGATTTCGAATCCGCTTGAGGACCAAGTTTCTGTTTCGTTGCATTTGTATACTCCTCCTTATGCTTCTTTATATGGTTGTTCCATGTACGAGGCTGCATCGGGAAAGAAGCATCATGTTGATATGAGTAAGTATTATAGCTGGCAGGGGGTTCTCGTGAATCCCAAGAACTCACTGAACTGCTGATGAATGAGAAATGAGAAAAATAAGAAGAATGAAAAAAAAATGAAGAAATTGAAGTATAAATGCGCATTGTAGTAGACGGTGATTGGTGAACTGTAGACGCAATTGGGAACCAATGGCCAATTAGGATTTGGTTCCCTAGTCATTCTTTTGTTGTTCTCACTCCTATTACCTTTTCTTCTCAATTCTTCTCATTTTTCATTTCTTTCTCACATATACTTTTGTCGTTCTTTCTCATTTCTTCTCACTCTCTATTTCTCATTTTCTCACTTTCTCATTTTCGCATTTCTCACTTTTCTCTTCGCACTCACCTTATCGTACACCAATCTTCAACAACATGTCGCAAGTGTTCGGGCCCGCTCCTTTGCAGCCCTTGAACGAGAAGATGCGGCATGGTTTCGAGGAAGACTACAACTCAGAAAACTTTCTCAATCTCCTAGCCAACTCGTTCTACATTTATTTTGATGATAAACGTCATAATGCTACGGGCAATCCGATTCCCGACGAATTGAAAATGGACCCAGCTCACTATAAAACCTACCAGCCCATCCACGACTGGAAAGTGATGAAGGAGCGCCAGAAAACCATCAGTGCTGTTCTTGTTCTTTGTTTGAACTTGGGTGTGGATCCTCCAGATATCATGAAGACTTATCCATGTGCCAAGTACGAGGCTTGGTGTGACCCGTCACTCTTTCCCGATACGAAAAAAGCCATCGAGTCCATTGGGAAAAACCTCCAGGCGCAATATGAGACGCTATCTCTTCGTACTCGTTATAAGCAATCTCTCGATCCATGTGTCGAAGACGTCAAAAGATTCTGCAATACTCTTCGAAGAAATGCCAAAGACGAACGAATATTGTTCCATTACAACGGTCATGGTGTTCCCCAACCGACGGCTTCAGGAGAAATCTGGGTCTTCAACAGAGGCTATACTCAGTACATTCCCATCTCTTTATACGATCTTCAAACCTGGATAGGTGCTCCAGTTATATTCGTCTACGATTGTAACAGTGCTGGAAACATTGTCCACAACTTCAAAAAGTTTGTCCAGAAGAGAATCGACGACGATAACGAGGGAAACCACGATATGAGTGCTCCGTCTCCAACGTCTGCATTTCTCGATAGCATCCAACTTGCAGCATGTAAAAGCAATGAACTTCTTCCCATGAGTCCTGAGCTTCCCGCAGACTTGTTTTCGTGCTGCTTGACCTGTCCCATCGACATTAGCATCAAATGGTTCATTTTGCAATCACCATTGAAGAAAAACTACTACTCGCTTCTCCCCAAAAATTCAGTGGGAAACGCCATAATTCCCGGAAAATTGACCGATAGACGTACACCATTGGGAGAACTCAACTGGATCTTCACAGCTATAACCGACACAATTGCTTGGACCACACTTTCTCGTCCCATATTCAAAAGATTGTTTCGACAAGATTTGATGGTGGCTGCACTCTTCAGAAATTTCTTGCTAGCCAAGAGAATTATGCCCCACCTCAACTGCAACCCCATCAGTGATCCCCCGTTGCCAGATAGCGTTAGGCACCACCCTATGTGGGACTCGTGGGACTTGGCGATCGACCAAGTGTGTGCCCAGTTGATCAGAGACGATCCAGAACATAAGCACAAACCGGTAATTTCCGACCCAATTGCACCCATAAGTGCCAATGACAATGCCAGCGGCCAAGCCAATCAGATTCCTGGCCAACCAGGCTACGTCAATTTACCCAATTATCAGCATTCCACGTTCTTTGAGCAGCAACTTACAGCCTTTGAAATATGGCTAAAGTTTGCCGGTCCTTCAACCAAAGAGCCTCCAGAACAATTGCCCATCGTGCTCCAAGTGCTACTTTCTCAAGTGCATCGTTTGAGAGCTTTGATATTGTTGTCGAAATTTCTCGACTTGGGCCCTTGGGCCGTATATCTTTCTCTCTCGATTGGAATTTTTCCATATGTTCTCAAGTTGCTTCAAAGTCCCGCCCAGGAATTGAAGCCTGTTCTCATCTTTATTTGGGCCCGAATAATGGCAATTGACCACAAGAGCACCCAGCAGGAACTCTGCAAGGACAAAGGATACAACTATTTTTACCTCATTTTAAACTCCAGTCCGGGGAATCTGAACGGTCCAGTGGGCGCACCAGGAGGCTATTCGAACACCAATATCTTGATAAATGACGACCATAAAGCCATGAGTGCTTTCATCTTAACGCTATTCATCAAAGACTTCAAAAATGGTCAGCGGTTATCGTTCTCCGTTGAGCTTATTCACAATTGTCTAAAGTTCATTTCCACGAGCGAGAACCCTTTGTTAAGACAATGGTGCTGTTTGCTTTTATCTCAGCTCTGGAACAACTATCCCGATGGAAAATGGATCAACTATAAAGATGGCTACCTTAACAAATTGCTTTTGATGGTTAATGATCCTATTCCTGAGGTTCGTACGTCTGTCATTCTCGCCTTGACCACGTTCTTGAGCGACGTAGACGGCGAGTCTCTGCCACAAGGAAGCATGAATGCTGCTTTGCGGAAAGACGAATTGAAGCAGCAAGATCTTAAGCTCGCCAACACCATTTTAGGACTACTTGGAGACGGCTCTCCAATGGTACGCAAGGAGATCATTTTCTTCATTCGCAAGTTTATCAACATCTACTCAAAGTTCTTTTTGGTTGTGTCTTTCAATCAGCTTGAAGAAGAAATTGTGTTGATCGACAACCCCAATGAACTTAATGAGTTCCGGAAAAAGTCTCCAGCATACGGTCTGATTTTCTCGTCGATCTGGAAAGCGTTGCTCATTCTTACTGAGGACCCCCATCCTGAAATCAAGCAGCTAGCAGAGATTCTCGTGGATCAAATCATGCTCCAGTTGAACAAAAGTGAGCTTGGCCAATTGGTCCGTGAAATGGAAGAGTATTTGTTGAGCAAATCCACCCTTAATATGAGCCAAACTTTTGGACAAGGTGCACCTTCGAAACCCATAATTAATCGCCAATTGAATGGTGACGGAAGACGTCAAGTTTCCAGCGGATCAACCCTCCAGCGCAACAGCAGCATGCAAAGAAACAATAATGTTCTCAAGATCACTTCCAGACCTCGATCTGTGTCCACCAACAACATGGAAGACTCCAACCATTCCGACTCCGACTCTGTATCTTCTAAGCTCAAAAACTTTTCAATAGCCAAATTGTTCAAGTCGCTTCATATTTCTGAGGAAACTGACCTCAAGAACTTTTCCAGGATGTTGAGTTCAGGACCCATCACCAGCAATTATGGAGCAGAGTACAAGCCCAAGAGCGCTCGTTTCAAGCCCAGAGACTTGACGAAGGAGCCCAAGCTTCCTGACGAGTCCGGATTCTTCCAGTACAGCTGTGAGTATTTCCAGGAGCCGCAAATGTCCAAAAATGAAATCGACGAGCCTGGGTCTGAAGAGTACGTGAAGCGCATTTGGCGCAGAAACAGAAACGAGTCTATCATCCAGGAAACCCAACCGCAAAAGACAATGGCATTGCGTGGAGATTGGAACAAAAATATCCGAGTGATGAACAACAAGAGCCAGCCTCGGTTAATCAAATTCACCCAGTTCGAAAAGCTCTTGGTTGCCTGTGATGACAAGGACAATATGTCGGTGTGGGACTGGGAAGACTGTAAGCTGGTGAAGAAGTTTTCCAATGAAAATCCTTTTGGAACCAAAATCACCGATATCAAGTTTCTCAACGAGGACGATCTTCCGCTCGTTCTCACCGGTTCTTCTGATGGAGTGGTGAAGATATACAAAAATTTCCACCTCGAGGATGAACAGATCGAGTTGGTGGCTTCATGGCGAGCATTGACAGACCTTCTTTTGACGTCGAAAAGCACAGGACTTGTTTCGGACTGGCAGCAATCTCGAGGGTCGTTGCTCGTTAGTGGAGATGTGAAAATCATTCGGGTTTGGGATGCGCCCCGTGAGCTTTGCCTAGCGGATATTCCTGCTCGTTCGTCGTCTTCCATCACCTCGTTGACCTCGGACCAAGTCACAGGAAACTTATTTGTTGCTGGGTTCGACGACGGTTCGGTGAGAGTTTACGACCGAAGATTGGATTCGCGAGAGTCGATGGTGAGGGTGTGGAACGGAGCCAAGGCACAACCCGGTGTTTCTTCTCGCCGCAGGTATGGCCATGGAAGTATCAGGAACACCAGAATGCAAAGAGGTGGACTTCGTGAATTGGTAACGGGTTCTTCCGATGGATACGTGAATCTATGGGACATCAGAGAAAGTGAACCAGTGCTTACTTTTACCAACGAACCCGAAAAGTCTATGCGGTGCATCGACGTTCATGAACATGCTCCAGTGATAACTACCGGGTCCAAATCTGTGAGCCTTTGGAGCACTTCTGGCGATATGGTTTCTGTGTTGAAAAATCCACACGAATCGCTTTTGACCAATCGAACCGCCAGCTATTTGACCGGCACCACGTTCCATCCTCACCGGATGATGTTGGCGACGAACTATAACCAGGATGGACATATAAATGTGTACTCGTGCTCGGACATCATACAGGAGTATTAACGAAAAAGAGTTGATTGAAAGTAGATTGAAAAGTAGATCGAAGAGTAAATCGAGAAATTAGCTAGGATTATGGTTAGACGAAAAGAATAGAACACACGGAAGTAATTCTCTCAAATACTCCTTACCTCTTCTTTGTCTTCTGGTCTCTTGTCTCTTCTCTCTCATCACCGAGATCGGGCACGTGACCGCACCTCAAGAACTCACTTTCCACTTTGCGGTATTCATGACTCTGACTGGTTTTGCCACGGGCCAGAATCTCGGTTCCAAACGCAGCCCAGGTGTTGCCCGAGCTCCCAGCGACATCACGGTAGCTCAGCGCATGCTCAGCGCTTGTCTGGGCTCGGTGGTGACGTCACTCATCTTGACTCCATTTGACGTTGTCAGAATACGAATTCAACAGCAGGAAATTTTGCCTAGCAACCCCTGCTGTTCTAAGCATTTTCCACAAGATTTAGGCCGTAAAACCACCGTACAACTGCCGGTAGAACCTTTTTGGATCCAGAAACATTATTGCGAGGCACCTGAAAGTTGTAGCAGAGTGACGTCTACATTCCAAGGTTTCCAAGTAATTAGCAAGAACGAAGGCATTGCCACCCTCTGGCGTGGATTATCGTTGACGCTCTTCATAGCTGTGCCGGCAAATATCATATATTTTACCGGATATGAGTATATCCGAGACCATTCTCCCATTGCATCAAACACATTAAACCCATTGGTTTGCGGCTCATTGGCACGATTAATGGCAGCCACCAGCGTTGCGCCGGTGGAATTGCTCAAAACAAGGCTCCAGGCGATTCCCACAGATGCAAATAACACCAAAATGTTGACCAATTTGGTGCGAGATCTGTTGCTGGAGGTGAAGCAACGGGGCCTTGGAACGCTTTTCACCGGTCTTCAAATAACCCTTTGGAGAGACGTTCCGTTCTCGGGCATATACTGGCTGTGTTACGAGTCATTCAAGACCAGATACAAGAAATTGCTTCAAAATATTGCTCCGGAACTGCTGCAATTTGCCGACTGGAAAGTGTTCACTTCGAGCTTTCTTTCGGGCTCCACCGCGGGACTTATTGCTGCCCTTCTCACCCATCCCTTTGATGTAGGAAAGACTAGAATGCAAATCACCGGCGACCATATTCAAAAGCCTGGTGAACCATACAAAAAGAAGCCTTCGATGTTCTCCTACTTGTACAAAATTGGCAAGAACGAAGGAATGGGCGCTTTGTACAGCGGATTGGGCCCCAGAGCACTCAAGATAGCTCCGTCATGTGCCATAATGATATCGTCCTACGAAATTACGAAGCATTTTTTCCTGAATTTGTGATTCAAATCTGTATATAAAACGGATCTCATTGCCATGGATCATGTTCAAGGAAGTCATAAGCAGCGTCATTAGACATTTGGATGGGCAGCGGTGCAAACTGCTGGGGATTATGGTTCAAATTGCTCTGGGAGTCGCCAGGGTACATGTTTCTTGAACTATCGTGGGCACAGCCAGTGGTGATTCCTAGCTCTCGAAAGCACTGTGAGCACGCTGGTGACGATCTGGCTTTGGAGCTTTCGTCAGCCAAAATTCTAGTAACATCCGAATTGTTGGCAGATTGGTCGATGAGCCTATCATCTTTTTGAAACGAAATAAGGCACGCATAGTAAGCTTCCGAGGCATCGGACAACCTAGCATGGTAATTCTGAATGGCTATAAGATACTCAGCAAAGGTATCCTTGAGTTCATGAGACAAGGAACGAATGCATTGTATTTCAACCACCTCCAAATTGCACTGCACTTCTTCAAGCTTTTCCTTCAACAAAGTTGTGCACGAAGCATTGACCCCGTACTTGGTTTCGGAGTCCTTTACGTTTTTTAAAAGCTTGGTGCGAGCAGCCGCCAAATCGTTGAGCTTTCTTTCCCGATCGTTCACAAGAGAAAAGCTATCCTTGAGCCTCTCCAACTTTTCGCTTAGAGTGATACTACCGGCTCGCTGGGTCAATAAGATACTAGCGAACTCCTGGATCATCTGACGACTGTTCAAGTGAGGAAGATCCGCAGCCCAGTTGTTCAAGGATTGTGCTGTATCGGCTTGTTGAGCTTCGAGACGGCGATGAAACTTGACCATCTTGTTCATCTTAGCTTGGATTTCCGATGCCAGAACTCGGGTTTTGGCTTCGGGATCTTTTTTGAAATGGCTGCTGGTGACAATGCCCGACATGGACGAGAACCGTTCCAACACCCTGATGAGAGTACTAGCAGGCTTGCCTTCTAGAGTGAGCTCTTCCACCTTTGGAGGCACTTTCCTGTCGCGAAAGAGTTCGTGGAATGTCATAGTATAAAGAAAAAGCGAGTTTGTGGCTTGACACAAATGGCATGTATATAGATAGAGGAGAAAGACAGAAAGAAGAATGAAGAAAATATAGAAAGAACTGAACTGAACTGAAGTTAATAGAACAGAGTAAAGAACAGAGAACAAATAGACAGAAGCATACAACACAATTACTGCTATTCCTATATTTTCAGTAACCTCTCTATTTTCTTGCATCGGCGTCAATATCCACACCTGTCACATCCGCAATCGACTTCTTGAGTGACTCAACACTGTTTCCAATATATGTCTGTCCGTCTTTGGTCTTTCTTTCTACAGAGTTAACCATTCCTACGGCCGAATCCACTGCCGCCAGCTGTTGTTTGGCAATCTGTGGAAGGTTTTCCTGCTCGAGTTTCCATGCAAAGAACGCCGTGTTGGAAAAGGTTTGTGGAAGAAAGTAACGGAAGGCAGCAAGACCGAAAACGACTGGAAATGTCATTTTGGCCAAAATTCCACGCTGACGAGCAGCAATATTTCCACTCAAAGTCGCCACAACAATGTAAATCGAGTTCGGCAACAAGTCCTCGGACCGGTCGTGGAGCTTGCTGGCTGTGGAGGTTATTGATTTCTCGGCACTGTGATATTTGGCGTAGGCTTCATCAACATAGGAGCTAATATTTTCGGCCGATTGAGCGGCGAAAAGTCTTGTCGACTTAATGGCAGATTCCAAGGTCGAAGACGTGCGCACGGAAGCCCCATCAACAAGTTTACTTGGCCCCATGGCTTCCAATTCGGTCCCGGCCGATTTGGTGACGGTGCCAGGAACGGGATTTACGGCATTTTCGTCATCGTAGAACCTTCTTTTCGTCTCACAAAGTAATGGTGGTGTGGAAAAATGCATCAACGACGCCCCGAGCGTCACCGAAAGCCCAATTCGTAAAAATGACATCTCAGTGGTGTGCTTGTGTAATTGGCTGCTGTGGATTTGTTTCGCGAACTTCAACAAATCTGGCACGTGACTCAACTGGGGTGCGATGAGGCTGTCTGAAAATGGAGCTGAGATCATGCTACTAAGACTCCGATCTAGGGCTCCACGTGGATTTTCGAGGCCGGGAAACCGGCGTTTCGTGGTCTTTGCACCGTGTAGAAACGCTCAGAGTAACGATTTGCCGTTTAACCAACGTCGTCACAGCGAAACTTTTGGTCAGATTGTTCGCAGCGACCGACTAAAGAAAGATGATCAATTAGAATCGGATTCCGGCCGAGTTTTCGACAGAGATACTCCATATATTACACTGTCTCCGTTCCGAGATGCTGAGGGTGTTCTCCTAAAGGGAAAAAATGCTAAAGAAGCCCGTTTACATGACTTGACTTTGCTAGGAAGAGTCGATCAAAATGTCACCAAACTTCCGTATGAAATTGCCAAGACTATAAATAACGAGATACTAGCACTCACGGCGCCCGATAGACTTCGAGAAAAAGCTGCTTTGCTATACCAGGCTTTGGGAAAAGACCAAATACAAAAGGCTCCAGAAACAGGACTTGAAGCAGATGCTCATATTGCTGCTCTCTTTCTTCAAGATTACGCTCATGCTCGACAGGTTCTTCTTGAGATCCAAAAAAGATCCGAAAACTTTCACCCTCTCAAAGTTCTAGATGTGGGTTATGGTCCTGCTGTGGGGATGGTTGCGCTCAATGAAATCATGGGTGACGACTATTCTCCAGTGGAAACAGAAAGTTATATAATAGGGCGCCGGAACTCTGAAATGAAGAAACGAGCAAAGATCATTTTGTCCAGACAGGTCAGCGAGCAAAAAGATACAGAAGAGACAGAGACAGAAATGACAGAAAAGATAGAAGAATCTGAGATTGAAACTGAAGCTGAAAGAGTAACCAAAGCTGAAACTGAAGTAGGAAGTGAAATGGAAACAGAAACAGAAACAGAATCTGAAACCGAATCCGAATTCGAAACCGAACTCGGTTCCATCGACACTTCGGCCATTCGTATTCGCACAAAACTACGGGATACCTTGCCCTTGGCTAAACAATACGATCTTATCATCGTGAACCGTGCTTTGCTCACAAGAGAGTACAGTTTTCCCCGAGACATCGACATCAACATCCACTCCATCTTACGACTTCTCAGCCCAGGAGGACATTTGGCGTTGATCGAAAGAGGTAATGCGCTTGGATTTGAGACCATTGCTCGTGCTCGGCAGGTGATGTTGAGACCAGAGTCGTATCAGGCGGAGCACGGAAAGATCCCTCGTCCTTACATCAAAGGTTCGAGTGTCAAGCCGCAAAAATTGAGAAACGAAGACCAAATGATATCCGACGAGGACATTGAATTTGAGAAAAGGATGTTGAGGGAACTTGAGAAGGAGAATGAAGAAGAAGAGCATGAAGAGAATGAAGAGAGTGAAGGGCTTGAAGACGAGCTTGTATCTGATTTTGAAAAACAGATCATTGCTGAACATGGACAAGCCACAAATGAAGAGTTGAAATTTGAATTCGAAGACAACGATGATTTTGAACTTATTGAAGAAACTTTCCAGGATCCAAAGGCAGCTATGGACTACCATATCAGTATTATAGCACCATGTTCCCACCACAGAAAGTGTCCCTTACAACTTGGTGACCCCAAGTATTACAAAATACCTTCACACAAGCACAGGTTCAATTTTTGCTCATTTTCAAAGACAATTGAAAGACCTAAATTCACAATGGAACTCAAGCGTGGTAAGCGCTTAGCGACCGCGTGGGACAAGACTGCTGAAGATGGGTTTGGATTGGGCAATATTTCCAAAAAAACGCTTCGAGATCTTGAGGGTTCCGGCAGACCAGGAGGTAATAATACTGAAGTTGGAAACTATTCCTATCTCGTTGCACAAAGATCCCGTAATGATGAAGAGACAATTAAGCGAATTGACCAAGAACGTCGTTCAAAAGAAGCTAATTTGTCAAAATTGACTGATATTGGTAGTTGGCCCCGGATTATTGAGAATCCAAAGAAAGTGAAAAATAATGTCAAAATCAACGTTTGTGCACCTTCTGGAAACATAGAGACATGGCAGGTGCCAAAGAGTTTGGGCAAGCAAGAGTTTCATGATGCCAGAAAGGCAGAAAGAGGAGATTCATGGGGACTTGGAAAGAAAAGTGTCATTGTAAAAAGCAGTATAAGTGAAGATGCCAAGAAGAAATTGGATGTTTTAGCACGCACCCAAAGAAAGTCAGCATTGAAGGAGGAGCGCAAGAAGCAATGGAAGAAGTTGGTAAGTTCTTCAGAAGACGATTTTGAGACAAAAGTGGACCATTTGGCCGACGAGTTGGCTACGGCCGTAGAGTCGTCTAAGAAGTACAAATTGCAGGGAAAACGGGCTAAATTTGATGTTGATCCTAGGAAATACGATGGAAAGTAATGTAAATAGAAATAAGAGACATAGTAATGGTATAATTTTTTTGAAAATACGTCCTATATAACCACAAAGGTCAATGAAGGTAAAAATGAGAAAATGAAAAATGGAAGAAAAGTAAAAGAAAAATGGAAGAATGCAAATTTAACCAAACTAGCTGGCTCATAACAGCTAGAAGACGTTATTTTAAAGCAATTGACTAAAGTGTTATCACCAGCAATCGTATACTTGATAGTCGCGAACTGATTCGCACTCCAACGTAAGTCAACATAAGAAGTTAACTCACAATTCTTCTTTCTCTTCTCCTTTCTCTTTCCCTTTCCCTTCTTGCCTTCCTTCTCCTCACTACATTCTTCTCTTTCCTTACTTTTATTATGTTCTATGAACTATGGTCCAGTCTCGAACTGTCATGCTGTCATTACTCACCACCCCCTACTTTCTTCTGTACGAAGAGCCCTCAGTCAACTTAGCCTTACCTCCGGTTGGCGTACACAAAACAGTGGAACAGTTGTCACAAGTAACGGCAGTTTGGGCGTGGGAAAATACGGTGGTGATGTTCAAACATCCCTGGCATTTAACATCCATAAAGTAGGATCTTGGCTGGGGAACCAAGGTTTTCAACTTGTGCTTTTTGGCCTCAGAGGCAGGGTTGGGGTTCAATAAATCTTGTACTAAAACCATGGTGCAAGTATCACTAGTCTTGAGGGGCGAAAAATTTTTCTCATTTTCCCCATTGGGCCCTTTGTGTAACATTGATGTGGCACACGACGGATCCACACCGGGCTGTGTGCAGGCCGCCGCATTTGGTTGCAAAAATCTCCACCACCACTCAAAGTTAACAACCCTTAAAATTAATGCGGTTCTTTTTCTTTATTTTACTGTTTGTTTTGCTTGCGCCCACTCTGATAATGCTCTATTTTGACGAGGGCTTGGTGAATCTGATTTTTATGTACAATATGACCGTTCTTTTTTCGGCGGGGCTGTTCGTGTTATTTGTCAATGAAGCGATTTGGAATCTTTTGGAGCAACTTTTCAAACAAAAATTGACTTTGAGTGGCTACGGAACTATTTGCGGAATGATCTTTGTTTGGCATGTTCTACAGTACTTTTTTTTGGTGTGGATCCGCAAAGGAATATGTATCAGTTCGTCACTGGTTCCTTTTGTTTTCAGCAATATCAACCTTGCAATTTTCAGTTTGTGGAGCATTCCTCGCTTGTTTCTCCTTGTTTTTGGGAACTCGGAGTTGGAATCAAAACAACCTCAAAAGGACGGTGAAAATTCCGAAGAAAAAGTTATGGCGAATGTGCGAGTTTTACAGTCAATCGTTGCATTTGAGCGGCAAAAAAACTACTACTTCAAAAGAATTATTCGTGACAGATTCCAGTACTATGACGGTCAGCTCCATCGTGTCGAACAGCAGCTCATTAACTCCCCGAATTACTCCAAACGAATCACAATTCGACCATATCCAATGAGCGCAAAATGGAGCCTGGCTCATCTACAGTCTTCTTCGGCTGACTTCAGAACAGAAGTTCAAGGAAAAAGTACGCTTTCTCACTTCCACGGCAAATCGTTGCATGGTCCCTCTCCTCGTTCTATTTTACGTCAAGCCGACTCCAAAAAGGCCGTGGAAAGCGCTCTGTCACAAGCTTCAAGTGCACATACGTTGATAGGCCAAGAGAGTCCAATGGCAAATCCATCAAGTTCCAAGCCTAGAAACTCATTTTATACCAACAGCGGGATCAACTATCTCGTAAGGGTTGCTGCATCTCCGTACAAAATGGCTCGCAAGTTCTTGTACATTTTTCAGCGCGTGCACTTCAATTGCTTGGTTATTTGTGGCTATCTATGGACTCAAGCAAGCACCTACATTCTTAACAGGGAAAGGGATGAACTCCGGCCGCTTCAGCTTGTGGGTTCGTAAAGGTTCCACTTATCTTAGCTGCTCCGACTGCAGGTAGGTGCGCCATCGCTTATGTCAGGAACATGAATAAGCAGTTCGGAGCAGCAGACCTAGCTAACTATTCAAAATTGCTAACAAACGACGGCCAAAGAAGATACGGCCTCCGTATAGGAGGTATGTATACAAGTCTGACTTTACAGGTCACCGAAGTGACGCTGACTCGGAAAACGAAGAAGAAAACGGTGCTCCAGTAGATGATCAGTATGGAAATCACCGAGATTTTGATAAGAAAACGAACATCAATATCCAATCCGTGTACGTCTTGACCAACTCCAAGGCTCCTAATGGCCAGATGTGGCCAAGATCTCAATTCCAGAAGGTCGATGTACTCCACCATTGTCTCCATCGCCCTCATAATGTAATGCAGGTGGATCTTGAAATGTCTCTGTCGCCACTCATGAACATGCCCATCGAGATTATCGAGCGTATACTTGAAATCTTGAACGCTTGGGGCAAGTTGAAAGCTCGACATTTGCGTGTTTGCAAGTTGTTCTATCAACTAGTGCTACCCATGATATATCGGAGCCCATATCTAAGAGCCACCAATTTCTTTGCATTTGTCGAAACCATATCTTCTAAGAAGCGTCTAGGAAGCTACATTAAGGAGCTTGATCTTTCTTACATCATACAAACAGGAAAAAATGCCTTTGTTGCCAAGCTCCTCAAGCATTCAAGAGGAAGTCTAGAGCTATTTGTTGCACCTCAAACCAGCTTTGGCTTCGGTCCTTTATTGGCACTCAAGCACTGTCACAGGCTACGTGTGCTAGACTTAAGACTTGTTTCCGAAACGCTCAATCTCGAGGAACTTTTCGACTCCATACGACATCTCGATGAACTTGTACATCTCTCATTTCCGCGGTCATCTGTGGAAATAACCAACTTTGAGAACATCGTTTGGCCTCCTCGGTTGAGCTTTCTTCGCATATCAGGTGGCATAAGCGATGAATTTTTCCACCGTGCTCGCATCCCGCTGACTATCACTCAACTTGAGTTTTCGCATTGTCCTTCCATCACGGAAGCAGGCTTCCAATTCATACTTTCACAGGTGGGCGAGAACCTACGGCTGCTCAAAGTTCAGTATCCTATGCCCAAATTCAACGAGGGTACGTTAGATCGTGTCTTCATTTTTTGCCCAAATCTCTTGGTCCTCGAAATTTCTGTGGATTATGTATCCAGCACATTTTTCGACGACGATACGCTAGTGCATGTGCCCTACAAGCGCCCTCTTCGTACCCTCTACATTGATTGCAGTGGAATGTTGGGCACCTCTACGAGACTCGAGCCGATCGATTTGGCGATCGCATTGAACGAAGATCGATTGCCTATGTTGAAAAATATTCGTTGTACTGCCAAGCTAGGATGGGACCCACAGTCTGAATACGTCTCCTACATTGTGGATGAGCTAGACGACCGGGGAGGTGGGTTGTATATTGGATACTAATTGGTAACGATTTTGCAACATCGAATGGCCTGCATACACACTGAATAAATTCAGATTGAGGCTGAAGCTCGTTATGGGCGATTCTGGGGCAAGAAGTAAACTACCTGCGGGTTACAAGCAGGGAGTTTCAAGACCTTTCTACTCCACGTTTGTCGATCTGCAATTGCTAAAGAATGGCAAGGTTTCACGAAAGGACAAACTTTTTATGCTAATCCTAGTGGCTGTTGGAATCATAGTCCGAGCATACAAGTTACCCACTCCTCCACGAGCGGTATTCGATGAAGTCCATTACCTAGGCTACGCACTGGACTACCTTCATGGTGACTTTTTCGTTGATGTCCATCCTCCTTTGGCCAAATTGATATTTTATTGGATTACGTTATTCCTCTCTCCAGGAGCGAATGCTGATACTCTTAAGGTTGGAGACAAATTTGATCCAAGTTTACCTTATGTGGCCCTTCGTTTGTTTCCCGTGGTATGTGGAATACTCGCAATTGTGTTATCATATCGTCTACTTCGTGTTTCAGGATGCAGAAGTTGGATCTCGTTTACGGGAGCCTTCTTGGTAGCCATTGAAAACTCGTTAGTGACGCAATCGCGGTTGATTTTGATCGACGCTCCATTGATATTCGCTATCAGTCTTACAGTGTTTGCAATTCAAAAGGCTGATTTGGTAACTCCATTCACGAGGAAGTGGTACCAGTTTATAATAGTAGCTGGTTTGGGGCTTGGAGCTGCCATGTCTATCAAATGGGTGGGCTTTTTCACAGCAGCTTGGGTTGCCTGTATAAGTGTTCTGCAATTGTGGAATTTGCTTGGTGATCTCGATGTATCAGACCGTAAATGGTTTGCACATCTAGGTGTAAGACTTGGTGCCTTCGTAGCATTGCCACTTACAATCTACTGCAGTTTGTTTGCGGTTCATTTCCACCTTCTTCCTTACGGTGGTCTGGCCTCTGGAATGCTTTCTCCAAGTTTTCAAGCTACTTTCAAAGACGCTACCCAAGCGATGCCTGTTCAAGTTCTCTATGGAAGCACTGTGACTATCAAGCATAACAGTTTAGACTTCTATCTCCATTCGCACAATTTTACATACAAGGGTGGATCTGGAGAGCAGCAGGTAACTTTGTATGGGCAGTCTTTTGACGGGAATAATGAATGGATAATTGAGACACAAAACAAAACACCTGAGGGAGCTTTACAAAAGGATTATAAAGAAGTTAAGGATGGTGATGTGGTACGATTATACCATAAATTTACAGGCAAGTATCTCCATGTCAATGATGTGAGACCTCCAATTTCGGAGCATGACTACTCCAACGAAGTTTCGTGTGCTGGTGATCGCGATTTGTTGGGAGATTCCAACTATGAGTTCACCATAAGAATTCTTGCTAAAAAGTCCCACTCGAAAAACGATTTACCCATGATAAAGCTTCGTGCTACAGAGACCATATTTCAGTTGATACACCGAGGTACTCTGTGTGTTGTTATGAGCCACAAGGATAAGCTACCAGAATGGGGCCACTTTCAGAACGAGGTTCTTTGTGTTGACGAGCCCACGATTCCTAATACCATGTGGTATGTGGCGTCCAACTCGCACCCACTCACAGATAACGATGACAAGTACGAACGGGTACACTATAAAAATCTCACATTTTTTGACAAATTGTGGGAGTATCATGTTGTCATGTGGAGAGTAAACGCAGGGCTCTCTGGAAAGAAACATCCATATGCGTCGACCCCCGAGTCATGGCCCTTTTTGACCAGAGGAATCAACTATTTTACACATAGATCGGCTCGTGGTGGAAATAACTCTGACGAGCTGGGGCTGCATATCTATCTTATTGGAAACCCTGTCATCTACATTGCTGCTTTCATCACCATCATCATTGTGGTATTTTCCAAAGGTCTATACTTGATCATTGCCTTGAATCCATTCAAGATCCCAGATCAAAATGCAACCCAAGAAATTTACCATCGAAGCAGTTTCCGATTCTTGATGGGATGGGTACTACACTATTTTCCATATTTCTGGATGACCCGTGAGTTGTACATGCACCATTATTTGGTACCTTTGTACTTTTCGGTTCTTCTACTTGTTCAATTTGCAGAGTACCAAGTGAGCCAAAGAAGATGGGTGGGATATGCTGTTTTGGCCTCGATTGTGGCAGGCAGTATTTACTACTTTATCAGGTTGCTCCCTATTATCTACGGCACTGCGTGGACTCGGGAAGGATGTCTTGGTGCCAGAGGTATTTGGGATTTCGATTGCAGTGTTTTTGAGTAGGAAAATTACTAGTCATACAGTATGCTCATTCTACTGATAGGTTCAATAGTATCTTTTCATACCGAAACTTCAACATAGCTCAAATTGTCACACCGCCTCTTATCATTAACTAAGTGTATTATCCATACCTATCTCTGTATCTCATTTCCAGAAGTATTCGTAAAGTTCATTTTGCTATCTTCTTAAATTACAATGGTAACTCATTTTCCACCAACGCTCACGTCATAATTTACATTCTATTTGTCCGATGCTTCCATCAATTCCACACCGCACTTCCATTATACTACAGCTCCCTCTTCCTTTTTCAGTTTCTTGTGGTCAGAATCCCGTTGGACAACTGCACTATCAAGTGCTCACACTTTTTCAACAACTGGTCCTTCTCTTTGATTTTTTCCTTGCGCTCTTTTTCCACGTCCTGGAGCTCTTTGGACAACTTCTGGAGCATCTCAAATTGGGTCTCAGGTGCTACACCTATACCAGGAAGTGAATCTATTAACATGGTGATCTGACGAGACTTTAAGATGAGATCCGTGGAAAGTTCACTAATTGTATTCTCAAAATTGGTCTCTGCTTCTGCGTGTGCAGTCGGCTGGTTCGATACTGAGTTGGCAGCGTTGGTTTGGCGATTACTACCGGCTGGAGTGGCTTGTTGCTGTTGGCCAGGAAGAGGAGCAGCTGCTGCCAAGTTGGAAACGGACATTGGATCGTCGTCTAAAAGGGCATTTTCACAGTTTGTGTTCACATAGTTGACGGTGGCGTTAAACTGCTCGACGAGCTGGTCCAAACAAACCTGGAGCTGGGTCAATCGGTCCGACATACCAAATTTAAAAGAACAGAAAGACTGAAGAACCAACCTGCAGATACACAAACTGAACTGTTCTTAGATTTGGTTGCGGTGTTAGGATGTCGATGTGTGTTCCTGCAGATATTCAAGTGTGATCCTGCAGAAATGTGGCTCGTCAGATCATGATAAGCTATATCACCCCGGGCATAACATTACAAATACTCGTTTTTTCATAACCAAACTTGCCACAGCGTCTGAGAGCCACTGGGAGCACCCAGGACATTCTTGACTACCCGAAAGTAACTGGAAGTTGCGCAAAAAGAAAAACACAGTGGCGCTGGCTAGACCCTTAAATACCTGACCAAACCAAAGACATATATTGCCACATTTCCAAGTTTTTCCAGTTTCTTCCACGTCTTCCAAGGTTCTTCCGTTCTTCCACATTTCCAAGTTTCTTGTTTCTACATTATTGTCACATCTTTTCAGCCTTCTTATGAGCTCCGATTCTCTAGTGTGGCAGGACGACGATGCCGTCACCCAGTGCTTTCTCTGTGAATCCACCTACAACTTTTTCAACCGGAGACACCATTGCCGCAAGTGTGGTCGGGTTGTATGTGGAAACTGCAGTGACCAGTCGATCCAGTATTTTCCCAATACTTTGGTGGTGAATCCAAATGGTGTTTGTTCACGTCTGAAAAGCTGGGAACGGTATCGCACTTGTGATGAGTGTGTCGAAACAACATTGATGATTAGACGAGCCTTGGCTGAAGAAGTCGATCCATATACTGCTCCGGATGCTGCCAGTAGCGACGACAACAATAGCACAACTAAGACGGCGGGAAATACTTTTACCCGGATGGTTTCGTCGTCTACCAATTCATCTCGACTGCAACTTCCTCGAGTTACAAACGACGATAATGATTCAGATCATAATCTTTGTCCCGTGTGCGCCACCAATCTTGCCAAGGAATTCCGCCGAGCTACTCAACTGAGCGGTGGTGAGTCCAGTTCTCACGACTTTGACTTGTTTAAAGAGCGCCATATAGACGATTGTCTTGTGGCCTTCGACTTCAATACAGAACATCAGCGGCTATCTTCACCACGAAAGGGCTCGCAAAGACACCGTAACAAGATGCTTGTCTACAACATGCCGCCCATTCCAAAACCACAATACGAAACCATTCCGAACAGTAATTTAGAAGGTACGTCGGCAGACACCGTCAAAATACTTCCCTCTACAAGTGAGGTGTTTGGTTCTGTCAATACTATTCTGTCAATAGAGCCGTCTGAAAAGAATCAACTAGACCAGGAATGTGTCATTTGCTTAGAGGACTTGAAGGCAGGAGACAAGGTGGGCCGACTCGAATGTCTATGTGTATTTCATTACAAATGCATCAAAGACTGGTTCAACAAGAAGGGCTACGGAGAGTGTCCGGTGCACTATGCACCTGCGGTATGATTGTATGTATTATGAGAAATGATTATTTTTGTTGTCATCTCTCTTCTCGGTCTCTGTCGTCTCTCTTCTTCTTTGTACGTTTCTCGTGAAAGTCTTTGGTTTGTTTGATGGCCTCGGCACTGGCTCGATCGACATGAACGTGCAACGCATTCAAGACGTCTCTTGGTGGAGATGGATCTTTTGGTAGCTTGAAGCCAAGAACACTTTCGATTCGGAGATACATTTCCAAATCGTATTGAGTCACCAACGAAATGGACTTGCCTGATTTTCCTGCTCTGGCGGTTCTTCCCACACGGTGAATGTATGCCTTGGAATCTGTAGGAATATCGTAGTTGATAACCACATCTACCGAGGGTATATCTAAACCTCTGGCTGCGACATCTGTAGCGATCAAAATGTTTGCTTTGCCAGATTTGAACTTGTTGAGTGAGCCGAGTCGCTGAGACTGGGTCAATTGACCATGAAGAGGTACCGCAGAAAATCCCAAAATTCGTGCCAAAAGTGTGGATCTTTGAGTGTGTGCACAAGTTCTTGTGAACACGATAATAGACTTGCCCATAAATTCGTTCAATAAATGAATGAGAAACGTATTCTTGTACCCGTCACTTACAAGCATCATAGATTGTACCAAATTATCGGCTGTCTGGTACTTGTTGGAAACTGCAACTTTTACCGGTTCGTGCAAAGAAGCTCTTTGAAGTTTTGCAATTTTGTTGGTCATTGTAGCCGAGAACAAGTATGTAGTTCTCTTTGTTGGAATCACTTTGAGAATCTTATCCAACGCAGGACCAAAATCCATATCCAACAACCGATCTGCTTCATCCATCACCAAGTACTGTAAGGACTTCAAACTAAACCCTTTTGTGTTTTCCAAGTGGTCCATGATTCTTCCTGGAGTAGCCACAAGAATGTGTGGTTTCCTCATGAGATCTCGTGCTTGGTCCATCATGTCCATTCCTCCTACAATACACACGGATCTCACTCCCATTCCTGATCCCAAAGCGTCAAAAGTTTCCTTGATTTGGTACGCCAACTCTCTTGTGGGGGCCAAAACTAGGGCGTAGTATGGCCTCTGTGCCTCCCAGAGTGACTGCAATATAGGAATGGCAAATGCGGCGGTTTTACCAGAACCTGTCTGCGCAAGACCAATGATATCTTTTCCTTCAAGAGCGTGCGGAATAGCCCCGGACTGGATAGGGGTGGGTTTAGTATACTTGAGCTTCTCTATCGCCTCCATGAGCTCAGGAACTAGATTAAGTTCCAGAAAAGTGTGGAATTGTTGCTCAGAATTGACATCTTGAGAAGCTTCCGAAGTGGTCTCAACAATCTCTTCAGGTTTTTCTGTGACGGGGGCCTGTTTTTTCTGCTTTAACGCATTCTTCTTGATCTTCTCCGCAAGCAGCTTCGCGTCTACTGTGCTCGCCAGCTTGGAACTCTTGACTTTCTCGGGTTTCAATGCCATGGTAGATGGAGATGAGTTAATTTTCGCGATTATGAGATACAGACTGCATCCAGGAAAAGGAAGAAGAGTCAAAGTGATAAAGCTCGATTATTTGAGAAAGGGGTTGTTCCCAAAGATTGGTGGTGTTAATATGGTGAGCTAAGCGGCTATTTTCCCAGTCTTGACTTTCTTCACCACAATCGCTTCTTTTGCTGATTCTGGTGGTTCTGGTGATCCTGCATATACTGGAAAATTCGATGCTCATCGCATCATTTCTTGTTCCATTCATTAATTATGGCCAAGAGAAGAACAAAGAAAAGAACACATAGAAAGGTTTCCGAAGAGGAATTAGCCAAGATTCCCCGTTCTATGGTGTTGAGGATTGGCTCGTCTTTGCGAAACCACTCCTTGACCCAATTAGTGAAGGATTTCAGAAATGTAATGCAACCCCATACCGCCATCAATCTTCGGGAACGGAAGTCTAATAAGCTCAAAGATTTCGTGGTTATGGCAGGTCCACTTGGAGTTAGTGATTTGTTCATTTTCAACCAGTCTGAAGAATCGGGAAACATTTCATTGAGACTCGGAAAGATGCCTCGAGGTCCAACATTGCAATTCAAAATAAACTCGTACTCATTGATGAAGGACGTTTCTAGGATCCTCAAGAGACCTAAATCGGCAGGAAAAGACTCCAAGATATTCCACAACCCTCCACTTTTGGTGATGAATGGGTTTCAAAGCAAAGTGAAAGAGGCTTCTCAGCATGAACAATTGCTCATCACCATGTTCCAGAACCTCTTTCCTCCCATTCAGCCCCAACTGACCAACGTTGCATCTATTCAGCGGGTTCTTATGATCAACAAAGACCCAGAAACCCAGGAGATTTCTCTTCGTCATTATGCCATCAACACCAAGCTCGTAGACGGAAACAGAAACGTCAAGAAATTGATCAATTCTCACCACAACTTGAAAAAGAGCTTGCCCAACCTTTCCAAGGCCACCGACGTTGCTGACATGTTACTTGACCCCTATTCGGTTGGCGGAGTGACGTCTGACTCCGAGGTGGAAGACGACGCAATTGTTGAGATCAAGAACAATGAAGCTATTACCAAGAAAAAAGAGTCAGAAAAGACCGAAACCGCTCCCACAAGAAAGCGGGCCATCAAGTTGACCGAGCTTGGTCCTCGGATCAATATGACGCTTATGAAGATTGAAGAAGGCTTGATAGGTTCGTCCAAGACGATATACCATTCTCAAGTTTCGAAGGACGAAAAAGATATCCAGAAGCTCAACGAGAAGCACGCATTGAAGCAGAAGTTGAAGGCGGAGCGCCGGGCTAAGCAGCAGGCCAACGTTGCTTCGAAACTCAAGGTCAAAGAGGAAAAGAAAAAGAGAAAGTTGGCGAGGAAAAATGGCGAAGATATGAATGCTGATGGCTCAGGTTCAGACTCGGATTCAGACGATGAAAAACCAGAAATCAGAGCTGAGGACTACGAAAACGATCTGGATCTTTATAGCGATGTAGAAATGAGTGATTAGCATAATCGATAATTGACTACTTGGACTCATACAGACTCAAGTTCCGCAACTAGCTTTTCTATGCGAACCGCCAAGTTGTAACGTTCCACTGCCAGCTCAATGGCAGCAGTAAAGTGTAGTTGGCTCTGGCGGAGCTGATAAGGCACCAAGCCACCAAACTGAAGTAGTGGATTAAAAGATGGTTTTTCTGGTTGTTTTGTTTCTTTGGTGGATGGGACTGTATTTGAAGTGGATTTTTCGGAGCGTTTTCGATTTCGAAGCGTAGTTTTGTTACTATTTTCGTCATTTTCCAGTTCACGTAATTCATTATCGTCGTTCATTATTCCATCATTTTGTGCCTTTTTTGCATTTTTGTCTTCTTTTTCTACTTTTTTCACGCTCATCTGATCCCCCACCTCCACTATTATCCCCGGTTCGTGTGGTCTCATATCTAGCGAATCTACGCCGTATTTTTTCACGGAACCAGAATTGTAGTTGGCTCTTCCAAGGGTAAAAAATCCATCAATAAAGTCAGTTCGAAGCTTGTCGTTGCACAATTGCTCATACTGAGACACTAGCTCGAGCAACTCGACAGTCTTTTCGTCTCCCATAGTTACACTGAAAATGAATTGAGAAATAAATATATGAATTATCTAATAAATTATCCTACATCTTGACGTCTCCTCCACGATACAATTTCTTCAACCGAAGGAACTCCTGCCGTGGAAGAATGTCCAGGAACCCGTAATTGTCGGATATAGTGGCATTGATGAGTTTGGCTTCTTCTGGAGATCGTTCCTTTTGGCGCATCTGATTGCCATGATGCCACACACTGTAGATGAGTTCCTCTTCGCCCTGGATTCCTCCGGCGTGTCCGTAGGTTATTTTGGCCAAATCATGGAGAATATTGGCTGTGAGTCCCCATACGTCGTAGATGCGTTCTTGAGTTTCGGAGTCTCGGCGAGATCCGAGCCGACCCCACAGTGAGAGTTTTTGCTTCTTCGAAGCTTTCTCTGAAGAATCTGAAGTTGGGGGTGTCTGCTCGCGCTTGGCGATCTCGTCTTCGTCGGAATAGTCCTCTTCCAGAAGATCCTGGATGTCGTGGAGCCAGGTGGGCTCGTTTAGCTTTTTCTGTGGGAAAATATACGACCGCAAATTCCACGGAATTGAGCCCCAATGGACAGAATGTGACTGCCTCTCGATGCTCTCGCTGGGCTCCTCGTCCACTGTAGGGTGTAGAAAGTCACGCAATGGGCAGGAAAAGATGCCAGAGCTCTCGCCAGGATTGAGAGTCAATGTCAAGTTGTGGATCAATTCCGACTCCAGGACATCATTGCCAAACTTCATAAACCCCACACACGGCCGGACCGCCAGAAACGTCCTTGAAAGATAACAAGGAAGCACTTTTAGATGGTCAATGCTGAACCCAAAGTTCTTCTTGAGCTTTTCGTTGTCGGCACTGATCCCGATTTCTTCTTCCATTTCTCGCCGAGCAACCTGCCATTCTGTTTCCGAGTCCGAGTCAGCCTTGCCTCCTGGTAACGATATATGGCCAGGAAAGTTGCGAAGCTGAGAAGATCGTTTTGTCAAAATGACTCTTAATTCACCCATTTTTCCAAGGAACAAAAGTATGAAAACTGCCGACCTTCGGGTACTGGGAAGACGGCTCCACACTGACGTGGGCAGATTCTGGTAGTATTTGGGTACGTAGCTTACTATGTTTTCTATTTCGGCCATGATATATTGAATAGTTGTGGGGAAGGCGAAACGAGCGCGCGCGAACGAGCAGAGCGAGCGAGCGAGACAGTAGAGAGTGCGACAGAAGAAAGAGACGAAAGAATAGAAAACAAGATCAACTTATTAGATGTCACTGAATTAGTTTCATTCGTTCGAATGTATAACCTTTTCGTGTTTGTTACTTACTCTACTTTTTATTTTGCTTCTTTTTTGCTTCTTCTATTCTATGCTCTATAACTAATGTACATTAATCGTCGGCTTCCAACACCGTTGGAAAGTCGTTGACATCGGTGTTCTCGTAGATCACCTTGTATGTGGCCTCGAACAAAGGAAACTCTTGTTTCAAGTCGTAGTTTTCCAACAATTCGTGCACCTCTTTTGCGGTCAAAATACCTTGCGATGATTGACCATTGAGCAAAGTCTTTTCGGCTTCCCAAGCATCCACCTTGTGCTCGATCATGTAACGGGCAACCTTGACGTTTCTACCACCGGAACAGGTGGTGATCAAGTCGGCAACACCGGCACTTTCTTCGGTAAATGTGGTGGATTGAGGGTCCACAAGAGCTTTGATTCCAAACTTCTTGTAGTAAGAAGCAAAGTGAATAATCTCCTTGAGTCCTATTCTCATCACCGCAGCCTTGGCATTGTCTCCCCAGCCGGCACCCTCGACGAAACCAGCAGCAATAGCAACAACATTTTTCAATGCTCCGGCTATGGAAGCACCAGCAACATCCTGAATCACTCTAACATGGAAATATGTTCTGTGGAACAATTGCTTCAAAACGTATTCGTCTACGTCGTGACCGGCTCCACGGAAGTCAGGAGGAACACAGTATGCAATGGTGGTTTCCGACCAACGTTCCTTGGCAACTTCAGTAGCAATGTTGGCTCCACTCAATACACCACAGTATATTCCCAAAGTGTCAGTGATGGATTGGGATAACAATTTGCATCCCTCAGAGTTAACCTCGAGACCCTTAAGACAACTGATGGCACGGGCATTTGGAGAAACCTTACCCACCAATTGCTTGCAAACACGAGGAAGAAATTGATGAGGAATGTTGAACACCAAAAGGTCAGCGCCTTCCACAGTGGATACCACATCAGGATTAGCAATCAAGTTTTCAGGAAGCTTGATTCCGGGCAAGTATTTGACATTTTCATGTTGTTCATTGATAATGGAAGTAAGATTTTTACCCTCGATTTGTTCTTCAAAAACCCACATTTGAACATCTTTTTCAAAGATTTGTGGTTTTTCTGCAGTGTTCTCTGCCACCAACTTGGCCACAGCAGTTCCCCAATTACCGGAACCGATAATGCAAACTTTAAATGGCTTTGGAATAGAGTAAGGAGTGGTAGTCATTGCTGATAACGAAATGGCGAAAGTGGCTGCTTATATAGCGGGAAAAAAGAAAAGTCCGATAACCACCCTCGGAAATCAAAAAGAAAAGAATGGGTAAATTCCGAGGGCAGCTGCCGCCCAAAAATTTAAAAAATTTAAAAAATCGGCGGCCGGAACTGCGCCATTTCCGAGGGTGGGGCCACAACTCCGGCGGAAAAACCATTTAGTTGGCGCAACAAGTTGTTAGTGATTTCTGTTCTGGTGGTTACCGTTCATCGACCATCGGGATTAGGGCCAGACCGTATGTCAAAATCCGGTTCTTAAGCGCCTTTCGGCGATATGACGTAACACCGACTTGCAACGGTCGGGTGACATAACACCTACGTAATGGCGCCGCACACTATGCGGCGATGCCTTTTTTCCTAATGGTGATAAGATAGAAAGACGCAACGACGACGTAATCGCCACGTAATCTCCACGTAAACATGACGTCACGCTACATCAATAAGATAGATGAAAATGTTGATCAGACCGGAAATAAAGTCAATACGATTGACACCAAACTAAACCTAAATTTCTTTTGATAATTTTTCCGAGATTTTTCCGAACCCATCGTCAAACTTTATTTTTAAAACCGATTCTTCTCCACTCTCTTCGGCTTAGTGAGCGTCGTCGTCGTGTCTGTAATCATCATACATCTCTTGCCATTCTTGGCTAACGATACTATTTTGCTTTGTAGTCATATCCAACCAGTCGTCGTCGGTCGGCATCCAGTCACCAGTTTTGACTTGATTTCCACTGACGATTTTGGCTGCTTGTAGAGGATCGAGAAACTCAGGCAAAGCTCCATCTTTTATGTGCGCAAGAGGGTCGGGAAGTCTGTTCTGGGGCTGGACAGATTCCTGTGAAATTGGGTTCGATTGTAATTGTGAATTTGGTTGCAATTCTGAATTTGATTGTGAATTTAGTTGCGAATTTAGTTGCGAATTCAATTGTGAATGTTGGAGAGAAAACGAATCTTGTGTATCGTGCATCGCAGCATGATAATCTGGGCCTTGCAAATTGGTTTCTCTTGTAGAATCTGTAGTTTCTGTAGTTCCTGTGGATTCAGTCTCTGGTTTTTCACGGATATCTTGACCACTTCTATCAACTAATTTGTCTCCTTCGTCCGATATCTCAACGCTGCGATCATGAATTGAAGTCATGAGTTTGAGAAAATTTGATTGTTGAAACTTTTGTGTGGTTTCTTCACTCCTCTCTGGGTTATCTACAAGCATGGTTTCCTTGACCCTTCCGGCTGTACGCGCAAATTCTTCTTTGTCCATTTCATTATGAGTTTCAGCTTGAGCCAATTCTTGCTCCAAACGGTCAAACTGCTCGTCAAATGCCAACTGCCGATGATCGTCTCTGTGTATTTCCTGGTGTTCCGTGATGGGTCCTTGCAAGGGAGTGGACAAATCTGTGCGCATGTTGAGTCTGAAAGGTTGGTTCAAGTATTGGTTCTGAGGGTGATTCTGAGACTGGTTCAAGTATTGGTTTTGAAACTGAAACTGATTCTGGAATTGGAATTGGTTCTGAAACTGGTTCTGGTTCTGATTTTGGATCTGATTTTGAATCGGCTGCTGAATTTGGTTCTGGTTCTGATACTGGTTTTGATTCTGATTCTGGCTCGGTCTGAACTGACTCGCCCATTCTTTTCTCTCCAACGACATATTTGAAAAATCCAGAACCCAGCTTGGTGTCTGACGAGCCGGGGCCTGAAATCGATGCTTTGGACCCTCGAAAGCTGCCCCGGAACTAGGATCGGAAAATTGGTGAAATTCACGATTCAAATTAGCATCATATTGAGTCCCTCGGAAAGCTTGGTTGCCTCCAGGGCCACCTGGGTGTCTCATGTGTTCATGCTGAAGACTGTTGTCCCGCTGGGAGTGCTTGGAAAGCTGCTGGAGCGCATTTGATGGACCACAACTGGCATCCATGATGATGAATAATGCCGAGGATTTCGCACAGATGTGGGGAGATGGTGCAGGGGTGCAAAAGCCAAGTAAAAGAGATAAGGTGAGATAGTGCGGTGCACTGGGTGTACTAAGTGAACGGTGCACAATCAAATATATTCCTATATGTACTCTTATGTCTTATTTCACATCTTTCCGTGCTCCGATCCGATCAATGTTTCGTAGGCTTCTCCAAGGTGGTTGTGCACGTCGCTGGTCTGCATGGCGCGGCGTTTGGAAGCAAATGCTAACCGGGACGCTTCTCGCACTACATTGGCGGCTGCAAAACAGGCAATAATTCTCAGTTCCTGTTTTGAAAGGTTTGTTGAAACGTCCCATAATCCGCGATGGTAGTTCTGTGCCCATGCTACAAACGTGGCTATGGCTCCTGTGAGTGTATCTCCTTGACCTCCGACTCGGCGGGGCAGTCCTGGGGCATCACTAACGACATGCAAATCTTCCTGAGCAATGATTTCCTGAGCTCCTTTTCGAACCACGGTCACGCCGCCAAGCGCCTTCGAAAGCTGCATGGCTCCGTCGGCCGAATCCGCTTTTGGATCGACTCCAACCGCTTCGGCGAGACGACCAAATTCCACCACATTTGGAGTCAATATTGCATTCTTATAGTTTTTCACCACCAGCGGCGCCTTGGCAACCAAGAAGAGTGCATCGGCATCCAATATAACAGGTTTATTCATCACTTTTATCTGCTCGAGTATCTTCACCAAAGTGCGAAGCATAAGATGGTCGCGACCAAAACCCGGTCCCAACACCACCACATCGATTCGTTCAAGCAATGCAAGCACTTTGGGCATGACATTTTCGTCCACATACGAATCCACTTCAGCATTGGCTTCAGGAAGTTTTTCCAACGGAATTTTTCGCACTTTGTCGCCTATGGCTTTGGGAGCATGGGCAGCTTCCTGCAAATAAGGATGGACCATAAGGTCTGGTGAGTAGCTCTTTATGACCGTAGCGGCCCCAATCTCACATACAACGTGGCTCAAGTCTGCACCTACGGTGGCGGCCGAATGAGCCGCAAAAAATGGCGCTCCAGTATAGTCCTCCGAACCTCCAATTACAGCAATTTTTCCAGCTTGGCCCTTGTGGAAACGACTCGATAATGGCTGGACCAACGTCCTCGCAAGCGTCAAAAGCTCTGTGCGACTTTTATGGGCAATTGACATAATTAAGAAAGATTCCAAAAAACTGTGGGGAGTAGTGGAGTTTGTAGTGGTGCGTTGGGTGTAGCAACCTTCCTGCACCTGGCCCCACGTCCGCAACCTATAAAACGGCCCGTTCCCACCGGCACACACTCGAACCACACCTTTTTGATGTCTTTAGCTAGATTCACCCAGCCTCGTGTATTATTGCCTGTGGTGGCAGCAGCCACTTCAATTGGTCTTGTTTACCATTATTCCTCCCTTTCCATCCAAAATGACACCGCCAAAACTTTCAAGGGTGGTGACGAATGGATCGACTTAAAATTGAAAAAACTGTGGGATGTTAGTAGTAACACTCGCCATTTCGTTTTTGAACTCAAGTCCCCGGAAGATGTATCCGGCTTGGTCACGGCTTCTTGTTTGATGACAAAATTCGTCACCGCCAAGGGTAACAATGTCATTAGACCTTACACACCCGTTTCCGACGTTGACCAAAAGGGCACCATTGACTTTGTTATCAAAAAGTATGATGGCGGTAAGATGTCCACACACTTCCATGGATTGAAAGAGGGCGATACCGTGTCTTTCAAGGGACCCATTGTCAAGTGGAAATGGGAACCCAACCAATTCCAATCGATTGCTCTCATTGGAGGAGGCACTGGTATCACTCCATTGTACCAATTGTTGCACGAGATCACCAAGAACCCTGAAGACAAGACCAAGGTCAAGTTGTTCTATGGTAACCTCACCGAGGAAGATATCTTGATTAAGAAAGAATTGGATGATATTGCCGAAAAGCACAAGGACCAGGTGAGTATCACCTACTTTGTCGACAAGGCTCTGGCCAACTGGAAGGGTGAAACTGGTCACATTGACAAGGAATTTTTGCAATCGAATTTGCCCGGTCCATCGAAGGACTCGAAGGTTTTCGTTTGTGGACCTCCTGGCTTGTACAAGGCGCTTTCTGGTGTCAAGGTTTCGCCTACGGATCAGGGAGAAGTGACGGGTGTGTTGGCTGAGTTGGGATACACCAAGGAGAACGTGTACAAGTTTTGATAGAGCATGAAGAGTAGACTAGATGTATGAAGCCAGAAAAGCAAGAAACAGATTGTAAGAACTCGGATTTTTGAAAATAGATAATTCGAATTTTGAAAACAAGAACTCACAGTCTGAAAATCAAAGCTCAAGAATCTTAAGTATAGTAATACTCGAAATTATTCAAACCCTCAGATTGTTTGAAATTGCAAAAACCCAAAATTCTGTAAAATCAAACCAAATTCAAGAAAATCAAAAAAATTTCAATTCTTGTCACATTTCGTAAAGCTAACTAATTTCACCATTCAATTAAATCTACATTAATTTAACTCTCCTCCATATTTCTCCATTCTCCATTTCTCCACATTTCACATTTTCATTTCGCATTTTCGCATTATTCAACCTCTCATTACATGAAGATAGCGGTTGTAGGGTGCTGCCACGGCCTGCTAGATGCCATCTACAGAGCAGTTCCGGCGCAGACCAAGCTCCTCATCATATGTGGAGACTTTCAGGCTCTCCGAAACCTTTCAGACCTCGAAACCATCAGTGTTCCTCGCAAGTACCGACATCTTGGTGATTTTCACAAATATTACACCGGGGAAAAAACTGCTCCAGTGCTAACCGTGTTTGTCGGGGGCAACCACGAGTGCTCGTCGTACTTGGACGAGTTGAAATATGGCGGCTGGGTCGCCAAAAATATCTTTTATTTGGGCCAATTTGGTGCTGTTGTGTATCGCGGAATCCGAATAGCAGGCATTAGTGGTATTTATAACGAGTCCAGTTTCCGCAAAAACGAACCAGATCCTCGTCTTCCATATACAGACTCGACGCTACGCTCAGCATACCATATTAGACCGAAAACGTTTGTCAAAGCGTCTTTTCTCGAAGATATCGACGTTTTTATTTCCCACGATTGGCCCCTGGAAATCACGAAATGGGGCGATGTCAATAGCCTTCTTCGCTCCAAGCCGTTTTTCCGTCTGGACATAGAAAAGGGTCAATTGGGCAGTCCGGTAAACCAGCTACTTTTGGAAAAACTCATGCCTCGACATTGGTTCTCGGCTCATTTGCATGTCAAGTTCGAGGCATTGGTCCGTCTGGGCCACAGGAACGAGGAGGAGATCGAAATCTCTATGGAAGACGAATCTGAGTCGTCGACGGTCGCCAAAGAAACTCGGTTTTTGGCGCTAGACAAGTGCATGCCGAAACGAAAATTCTTCGCAGTGGTCAATATTAAATCAGCAAGCGCTGACCACGCTCTCTACTTGGACAAAAGAGCAATTGCAATCAACAAAGTCATTGGAAATTACCAACCTTCGTTATCAAAATTCGCATCAACTGAAATACTCGATCTCGAAAAACGACAGCCGCAATTGCACCAAGAAATGGCTCATGCCATAGAAAAGGAATACCACCGGCTTAACCAGGAACCGGAAAGACATTTTCTTGCTTCAAACTTGAAATTCAGGCAATTGGCCCCGGGAGGTCCTGTTGCACCAGGTCTTAAATCGTATCCAAATAATCAGACAACAGAGTATGTTGAACGCTACGGTATCAGGAGTCAGAGAGCTACTCAGGAGTTGAGCTAATTAATTGGATAGATTGTAGAAAAGAATAGATTCACTTCATTATGAAAAATTTAGAGGTTGCAAAAATTGGAAATATTGCAAAATTTGAATGAAAATTTTGCGAGATATTTGATGTAATTTCACAAACACATTTTATGCGAACAACGAAAATAGTTTAAAGAGCTAAAATAAAAAGCAGTATAGTGAAATACCATTTATGAAATTGTATCCTTCGACTTTTCTTCGGGTCGTTCAGCTATCAGTGGCAGCTACATCACTAATGGCAAGAAACGGTTGCATAGTGTAGTGGTTATCACTTTTGGTTCTGATCCAAACAACCCCGGTTCGAATCCGGGTGCGACCTTTCTTTTTTCTTTTTAATCATGTCGACCCATAGTTTTGTTGCCCACTTTTTGAAGCAAAATAATTACTTAGAAACGCTCAAAGCGTTTGAAAAAGAACATGGATCACCCATATCGACCGAAACCGGCCACGACGAGTCGTTGGATCAAATTATACAGGATAGAGTCTCATTTTCCAAAGACTTTGAGATTCTGGATTTGCTGTTAAACGACGCAAATCAAGCCATTGTGGATCAAGAGCTTCCCAATTGGTCGACGCCGTACCCAAGTACGAAATACAAGCTCAAAGAAGTGACAGGATTGACTATTTCTGCCGCAATTGTGACAGACAAGGTTATCGCCAGCAGCAACGATGGAAGTATTTCAATTTATGATTATGAAGGAAATCGGTTGAGTCGAAAAGAACGATTCTTGGGCGGTGTAGTTGCCAAATCTGTTGTTAGCGTGGGAAAAAATGACGTTTTAATTGTTGGAATGAATGGAAATATTTACCTTTGTCGTCTTGAAGGTGATGAATTGGTCAAATTATTTGATTTGGCGCTACACAAAGGACTTGTAGTGGACTGTGGATATGCCGAGGTGAATCAGAACCGCTACTTTGTTACCATTGGGTGGGATAAAATGGTCAAATTGGTGAAAATTTCCAAAGACAAAATTGAAGAAATTGCGACCTACAAACTGACGTTGGCAGGTACATGTATTGGCGTTTGTGGTTACAATGGAAGTGTCATAGTTGTTCTAGGACGAACGGAAAGTACGCTTTTGGACGTTTTGGCATTGGAAAACCTGGAAAATAATGTACCAGAAATGGTTCCAGTGTACAAAATCTCACTCAACGATGCCGAGTTTATGGCCAATGGTTTCACACCACGATGTATCAGTATAGCCCAGGGCAAGACAAAACCACTCATAGCAGTGGCAACGTCTCAGGAACCATTTATGAGGGTGATAATAGTATCTTTATCAAAGGAAGCCATCGAGTCAAAAGATAACAAAGTTCGCCGGGGCCAAATTTTGACGAATACCAACTCAATGGCACCCCAAGATAAGTTTTCGCAGCCGCTTATTTGCTGGCGCCAACCGCACGCGTCTGGAGTGTGGGCATTTGGCGAAGATGGCATCATCAGGTGCTTAGATGTGAAAAAACAGCAGGTAGTTGCAGCCATTGATGGGCACAAGGGCCGAGTCAAATGTGTAGCAATGGGTACCAAGATGGTGACATTTGGAGCAGATAAGAAAGCCTACAGGTGGACAGAAAATTGAGGAGGAAAAAAAAAAGAAAAACTGAAAAAAGAACGAATTAACGAAGAACGAAGTGAAGAAGTAATTGAAGAAGTGATTGAGAAGAAAGGAATCGTTTTGTTGGTCGGACCTGCACACAATACCGATGATCCGGTCGCAGGCCGGCGCTGAGCCGATGAGCCGACAAACACATATCGATGTATCTTGCCGAGCAGCTGTTCAAAATCGACAATTACGAGATATACCACTCAAGTGGACTCCACCAACCGATTCCGAAGCTCTCCACTCTCTTATCGTGATTTTCCACAGCAAAAAATCCATACCCAAGCGGCCTGCATACCGTCTGTGGGGAAACGCATGTGTCTCGCGCCGCTCACTTACCCTCGGTAACGCAACGGCGGCAGAGTTGCTTGTTTATAAGCGGGGCCGATCCTTTCACATTCATCATTTTAAGAAAATTACGTAGAAAACTACAGACTACAGAACAGAGTACAGAGTAAAGAGTACAGACAACAGGGTACACAGTACAGAGTACAGAATATAACAGATTTATATTACCCTAAACTACCACAAATTATTCCACAGATTAATGTCACTTACTCCTTTCGAAAAAGCAGCCAGTGGAGCGTTGGCGTCTGCCATTGCAAATACCCTCGTTTATCCCTTAGATCTCAGCAAGACGTTGATCCAGACTCAGGTTAAACCGAGGGCTATTGGGATGAACCCTTCGGACTCCACAGCGTCAATAGCTTCGGATACCTCGGATCCCGAAGAAAGTGTTTGGCACCAGAAGCAGGGAAAGGATGGTCAGTTGCGGTACAAGAGCACCGTGGACGCGTTGGCTCAGATATACAAGAAGAAAGGCATTTTGGGGTGGTATCATGGACTCATCTCATCAATTTTGGGTTCGGCGGCGCAAAATTTCAGTTATTTTTACTGGTATACAATCGTCAAACGAGTTTACGCTCGTATAAACAAACACATTCCCAATCATCGACCAGGAACAGCCACAGAGTTGTTTTTGGGAGCATTGGCTGCGGCCATTTCTCAACTTTTCACCATGCCAATTGGTGTCATCACCACCCACCAACAAACAGATAAACACCACAAGGGCTTAGTGCAGTTGACAAGAGAAATCTTGGAACACGACGGTATCTCCGGCTTGTGGAAGGGATTGAGGGTGTCACTTGTGTTGTGTATCAACCCTTCCATCACCTATGGATCGTATGAGAGATTGAAGCAAATTATTTATGCAAACAAGGAATATTTGGGTCCTTTGGAAAGTTTCAGTATTGGAGTCATTGCCAAGTCTATGGCAACACTCGCTACACAGCCATTGATTGTTTCTAAGGCCATGTTGCAAAAAAAGTCACATGTCAAGCCCGGTGAAATTGATGATGGAGATGTCAAATTCGACAATTTCCAAGATGCATTGGCCCATTTGTGGCACACAGAGAAACTTGCTGGCTTATACAAGGGCATAGCTCCCCAATTGGTCAAGGGAGTGTTTGTTCAAGGTTTATTATTCATGTTCAAAGACCAGATCGACTTGGTATTTTTGTCGTTGTTGAAGATTGCAAAGAAAAAGTAGGATAGAGATAGATAATAGACTGTAATGAAAGGGACAGCTATAGAAACTACTTGCTACTATAAGAGTGGAAGATACGATTCTGGCAAGAGGTCGATCTTATCTCCTGCATGTAAGACAAGTCTCATCGCAGTTGTCAGTCAATCAATTCAAGTCAAGATAAAGATCAATGTCAATGTAAAGTTTTCTTAACATGAAGTATGGCTCCCAAATCGAATGCAACTAAGTTTATCAGATGAATCGGGATGTTCTCTCAATTAGACCTTGTGGTCTCACCTGCATATAACATTGTGAGGGCTGCGCCCTAGTCACGTTTCACCCGGTCGTGTGGTCCCCCCGAAAATTTACATGAAAAACCTCACTATTCTTTTTCCGCAGACAATCTTTAAACATGGGAAAGGGTAAACCAAGAGGGCTTAACTCTGCTAGAAAGTTGAGAGTTCACCGTCGTAACAACAGATGGGCTGATCAAGCTTACAAGTCCAGATTGTTAGGAACTGCTTACAAGTCTTCTCCATTTGGAGGTTCTTCTCACGCCAAGGGAATCGTTTTGGAAAAAATTGGTGTTGAATCCAAGCAACCAAACTCTGCTATTAGAAAGTGTGTCAGAGTCCAATTGATCAAGAACGGTAGAAAGGTCACTGCCTTCGTGCCAAACGATGGTTGTTTGAACTTTGTCGATGAAAATGACGAAGTCTTGTTGGCAGGTTTCGGTAGAAGAGGTAAGGCTAAGGGTGATATTCCCGGTGTCAGATTCAAGGTCGTGAAGGTTTCGGGAGTTTCCTTGTTGGCCTTGTGGAAGGAGAAGAAGGAAAAGCCAAGATCGTAAGCTAAACACATCGTGTATATTGGGCGTAATGCATACATTAGTAGAGGATGTAGCACGTTTACATGGTTAATCTACATATAATAACGAGATGTAGATGTGTGGTAACAGCAATGAGTATACTGGAAAGTCTCCTTGATTTCTCCACTATCATACCTAAGCTGAAGACTGCACTTAAGATCATCAATACCTGCTCAATGATTGCAATCACTTCATTCGGTACTTTCTAAGGAAGTATATTTCTAATGGTTCGTTCTGTCTTTTCTGATGTTTCATTCTGTTACGTCAGTTTCCTGTGATAATTCTTCTTTTCCTTATTCTTTTTCTGTTTCTTCATCTCATCTCTATTACTATATTACATTGCCAAATTCTTACCCTCAATGGATGGCCCTCCCTTTTTACTGCTCTTTCTCTTCAAGTTCATCAGCGTCAATTTTTGGTTGATTCTTCTGAACCGCTCGTCAGTTCCTCCCTTTTGACGCCTTATCGAGTTAGGGTCAACCCGAGGTGCAATCTTGTATGCCGATGTTCTAGCCGAAGGAATAGCCGCTCTCTTTCTCCTTTCTGCACTTTGCTCGTACAAAGTCTTGGGTTCCTTGGCACGTACTCTCGAAGATGGCAATTTGTTGGCAAATTTGGTGCTGTTGTATTCGTGGAACTGAATAGTTCTGTCCTTATAAGAGTCAGATTTGTTGAGAATTGGTCTTGTCCAGTCTCCAATTAAACGGTCAACGAGCTGCTTCAATAGTGGCTCGGTACGTTTGGATCTCTGGTAAAATACGAGCACCTTGCCTATACCCGAGGCAACTAGGTGGTCTGTTTTTATAGGAAGTGTCGTCAACGCATGTATGAGTTCCTTTTGAATCTGATACGCAGGCATGGAGGCGTCAGGCAAAGGCTCAAGCCACAATCTTACTGCCTCAAGCAAATTGTTGTCCAAAATGGAAATTGCCAAATCCGCTTTCAGCAATACGCTGGACACTTCGGGAAGAAGCTTGAGTTTTTCGGTGGCAATTTGGCCCTGCGAGTTTTTTTCCACGTCCATGTTGGCCGCCTTGATCATCTGGTCCTTGAGCTCGTCAATACGGTCATCTTGCATACGTTCCAAATCATCTTCGTCAGCTCGTTTTCTTCTTGTCGATTTGGACTTCATGGCTAAGTCCATTTTTTCCTCCAAAAGACGACGGCGGCGAACCTGGGGGTCTTCAAACGACATCTGCTCACCCTCTGGCTCGTCATTTTTGAGCAAACTGGGTTCTATGGTGGCTGGACTATGATTTTTTCTTGGTTTGCGAATGTGATTTTTGGTAGTTTTGACGGTATTGTTGTCCAATTTTTGCGCCGAAAGCGAAAACACGTTTTCGTCATCGGAGCCGTGGTCAGATGCTTCGTGAGACCCGCTATTTAACTCGGGGTCTATGTCTGGCTGATGTTGGTGTTCAGAGTCCATGTTGGCGATAAAAAGTTGTGAGAAATAAATTGGGGTGTGCGATGGTGTGCAGGAAGAGAGAAAGTCAGTGGAATGATATTATAGTTAGGTGTATGAGATTTTAATCTTGACTGAAGCCTACTCTGACCATTCCAAAGAGAATTCTTAGCTATTATTCATTCTATATAGAGATCGTCGTCACATAATTATATGCTAATTATTCATAATCATGATATCATAAATATAATTAAGTATGTAAATTCTTTTCATGAAATATCTTAAAATAGGGTACAGTCATTGTAAATTCTAGCTTACAACTACTACCCTCAAAAATCCAGTTGAAGACTCAAAACACCTAGAAAATACGAAACAAGGAGATAGCAGAAAATGCCTACCAGTACAAAGAAAGTACACAATTGAGAGCACAGTCGTATATCATTGTCCCTCGAGATTGCAACAGTTACGGAACATACTCTGCAAATGGAAAGAACAAGGCAACTGTGATCAGTAGAGGTTGATGGAACTGTTGCACGGTTGCAAATTCATATGCAGGTATTGAATTGGAAGTATCGAAAACTTTCACCTAGTCAGTTTCTAAGAAGGGACGAAATAGGGGGACGGGTAGGTAAGGAGCCTCACGATTGAAGCATAGAAAGAAGTTGAAACCTCAATAGGGTTGAAATCAAGAAAACAGAAAAAAAGAAAAATTATACTTTCATCATTATAGTTCAAATACAGTTTTATTGCTGAATGTTAAGTCCTCCAGGACCAATTGACTGGCGTCAATTGACCTGCGTCTATAATTGGGCCAACTTCAACGGCTATCACCGTTGAAGTCCGCTGTCCCGGGTTGCACCCAGACACCAACACCACCTATACCGGTTCGCGACGTTCAACCTTCTTCATGTCTCAATATATCGGTAAAACCATCTCGTTGATCTCCAACAAAGGAGTCAAGTATGTAGGACTACTCGACAACATCAATGCTGATGATGCTACCGTTGCCTTAAAGTCGGTAAGGTCTTTTGGTACCGAAGGACGAATGGCTGCTGCTGGAAATCCGTCCCAAGAAATCATGCCAAGACCGGAAATTTATGAATATGTTGTGTTTCGAGGATCCGATGTGAAGGACTTGTCTGTGCTTGATGTTCCTATTGATCAGGTTCGCCCAGAGCCTCAACAACAATATTTTGCACCTTCGTCGACGGCTGGATCAAGTGCTCCTCCTCCACCAAAAACCACTTCTGGTGCCCCAATGACAGCTGCTCCACCTACGACTACTTCTGTACCTTCAGGTGCTCCAAGGGTTGCTGAAAACTCGAGATCGGGTCCACAACCCGGAGCAATTGGTCGTCCACCAGTCCAGACAGCTGCTCCAACTGCCACTTCTACAGCTCCAACTCCAAGTGCTTCATCCACACAGCCAACTAGAACCACCCAGACTTCTGTACCGGGCTCGCGACCAGAACCTTCAAAGCCTTCTGGTACTACAGAAGTTCCACAACCCCAACCTGGTTCTCGTCCTCAACCTCCCCAGCCATCCAGTGGTCCTCAGATGGACGGAGATTTTGACTTTGCGAGTGCCAGCGCTGCTTTCGAGCGGGAGCGCACCAAGGAGGGCGCACCTTCGTACCAAAAGTCGTCTTTCTTCGACTCGTTGACTAGCAATGATCACCAAAGCTTGCGGTGGGCCGAGGAAAAATCTTTGAATATGGACACTTTTGGAGAAGCTTCTGTGAACAATAGCCGTGGCAGGGGGCGTGGACGCGGTAGAGGAAGGGGAGGCTGGAGAGGACGTGGAAGAGGACGAGGAAGAGGTAAACCTGAACCCAAGCCAGAGTGGGCATAAAAACACTAAAAAGATCTCGCAGTACTGGTTTATATAACAATCTATGACCGGTAACTCAGATTCTAACTACTCCTCCAACGAACAACTTGCGCTGTGTTTCTTCGGCTTCATCCTCTATTTTCAAGTACTGCCCGTGAAAGTTGAAGATCGAAGTGATAGGACTGAAGATATGCTCTATGGCAAAAATACGCACCCGTCTTCCGGCTTTTCTAAGGATATTTCGAGTGGGATTGCTCAAGTAGGTGTGAGACTTGACAACACTCTTGTCGAAAACATGAAGTACTGGAACCGGAATCTGGTCTCGATGAGGACTATCGTTCAACTCAACATATCCAGGCACAGACTTGAGAATATGTTGCATCAAATCTTTATCGATAACCATCTCTTCGGTGAACCCATATCGCAAGACACACCGAAAATGGCCCTGGATTTTGGTAGGTCCAAGAAGCACTCGTTCGTCTTGTGGAACCACAGGAACAGATAACGCTCTTTTGGAGCAAAAAATCACAATTCTCGGCAACGAAGCAAACGACGAAACCACCCTTTGGTACAATTCAGGAACGGTATTTGGAGACATGAGATTCTGGTACGATGATTCACAATGGATTATAGCCACTCCGTCGTATGTCTTCAATGCCAATTCACCAAACTTTGAATTCACAATCAAGTTCTCGTTCCATTCTGCCACAGATTCTTCACGGCTTTCGTCTTCGTCTTTTCTTGTAGGGCTTCTTCCGCGGCCCAAATCGACGGTTTGAGCAGTCCGTCTCAAAGATGGAAAAACATTATCTATACGAGCCCTCGAACTGAATTCGTGGTCGACTTTTCTGGCTCTTGCCCACCGCCAAAAGCAAAGAAAAGAGAAACAGATTCCAGCCATCATGATGGGGAACCATGCTCCATGTTCGATTTTCTTCAAGTTGGAAATCACCATAACTATCTCCAACGGAAGAAACACCAAAAGGAAGAAAGCCAGCACAAAAATGTTGACTTGATATACGAAAATGAAGCATAAAGTCAACAAAATTGTCGTCAAACAAAGATCGAGCGTGATACCCAATCCATAAGCAGCGGTGACATTGTTACTATTTTTGAACCCAGCAGTGGTACAGAGCACACCCACCATGAGCATCCAGTTAACCATTGGAAGATACACCTTACCGGCATGCGATTTGGACACATGAATTATAGTAAAGTTGGGGAAACAGTCCAAATTGATCAATTGCGAAAGAATACTGAAAACTCCCAAGATGAGTGCCTGACTGGCAATGATGGTACTGAGTGTAGCCAACACGAACATAATCCAGTATGGCGCACTATTGGTGCCTCCAGGAATCGAGTAGAAAAATGGATTTGAAAGTGCTTTTGGATGATGAATGATGTACGCAGCCTGTCCAAAATAGCACAACATCAATGCTGGATACACGAAACAAGTCAAAGCGAGCTGAACCGGTGCTCGACCAAAATGTCCCACGTCGGCAAACATAGCTTCTGTTCCAGTTATAGCCAACATGCAACCACTAAAGACGTCGATTCCACCCGCCTTTAAAATTTCAATGGCATAATGCGGAGAAATAGCCTTGAAGATGGCAGGATAATATTTGATGATATTGTACAATCCACAGATAATCAAGCCGAAAAGCCAAAGGGTGATTATGGGTGCAAAAGTGAACGATATCTTGTGGGATCCAAACTGCTGGATACAAAAAAGCACCAAAAGAACCACCTCAGAAACCGCAAGAACATTGTCAAAGTCTGGCTTTGCAATTTGGATACCAGCTATAGCGCTCAACACCGAAGTTGTGGGAGTCAAAAGACCATCGGAAATGATCAACGAGCACCCAAGAAAGCATGCTGTTAGAACCACAAACGAGACCACTTTCACCACTGTCGGATTTTGTTTCCACGCTTTATTGGTACTTGAAACAAAGCTCAGCACGGTTTCTTGTCGAGAAAGAAGCTCGAGATCGGTTTTTTCCGGTGCTCCAGGAATGGTTACACCTTTAGGACCGATTTTAAGGTGTCGGGCGATTTTGGCGTAGATGGCTACCTGACCACCTTCACCATTATTGGGACCAAAGAAAAGCACAATCGCCACATATTTGACGATAACAATGAGCGTGAATACCCAAAAGATCACCGAAACCGCACAGATGATATCTCGTTCAGTGGGTTCTTTATGAGGGTATTTGACCGAGTTTAGCACATATAATGGAGATGTTCCAAGGTCTCCATAAATGGCACCGAGAGATGAAAATGCAGCGGGAAAAGTGTACCTCCAAAAACTTTTGTTTTTCTTGGGCTCTGGCACCTCCATGGGTCCCGTAGACTCCTCATCGATGTCACTAACGTTCCCTACTCTCATGCTGACATCCGAGGACTCGACACCGTTTCTCATGCTAAATCTTTGGTCGATTTCCGGGCCTGTTTTACTCATGAAATCCAAAATTACACACAAGTTTACAGTCTACAATCCTGGCTTTATACCATTTACCGAGGTCGAGCATCATTGGAAGCTGAAGCGTATGTTGTGCGGGAATTTTGGCTTGGAACGAGGCTTCATTAGGCTGCGAAAAATCATGGAGGTGCGGCTTGAAACAAATTCCCGCAACAAATCTGGCAAATCGCGCATGCAAAATGCACCGAATACGTTCTTTTTGCCCGTAACAATGCGATTCAAATGCCCAATTCAGGAAGCGAGTAAATCCCGCACTTGTTTGCCGCTGACATGTTGCACTGACTGTTGCGGCTGTGCCTGAATATCATTGGACAAATATCGCGCACTACTAATTATTGAAGATGAACATGAAATACGGCTGTTCGGAACTACGTCACCGATGCAGATACGTGTACGAGATACGTAGTAGCGATCATTTGCACTGATATTATTGATTCATTCACTTTTCGTTCGCACTTTGCACTTACAATTATTTCGCACTTCAATAATTTCGCATCCATATCGCATTTCATTCGCACTTTTCACTCTGCACTCTTCGTCCTCACACTTTTCGCACAGTTCTCCTCTCCCACCTTTACCACTCACTCGCACCCGTGCACCAGCCACACTTGATCAACCGCGTCTCGTTTCTTCTCCACCATGAGTGAAAAGAAGATCTCGGCGTTTCCCGACGGCAACTCGTACGTCACATACAACGCTGATGTCGAGAAGCTCATTATAGGAAACAGCGGAGGTGTAGCGAAAGTTTTCGATGTGTCGGATCCGGAATTGGAGCCGGAATCGATGGATATCATCGAAAATTTGACGTGTTTGGCGCATTATGGAGAAGATATATTGATTGCAAGCACTTCAGGAACACTTGAAAAGGCCAATATATTCGGAAAATCCACCCAAGCAGTGGTCTATAGATCGGAATTGCCAATTAGAGATTCGGTGTTCATCAATGAAGGTAAGAGAATTCTCTGTGGAGGCGACGATAATAAAGTAATAGTGATAGATACGGTTACTAGTGCCACTACCACAATCACTACCGAGGACCAGGTGTTGAATATTGCATACAATCCTACAGGGGAGTTGGTTTCGATCAGTTTGGCAGACCGTAGTGTGGCTATATATTCGGTGGTCAATGAGTCTCCATCTATTGTGGAGGTTATAAAGGATGTACTCCCGCAAAAGATTCATAAATCGTTGGATGTGGTCGACTTTTTGGGCGAAAATGAAGATGAACTTTTTGCTACTACCACTGCATGGTCAGCAGATGGTCAGCATTTGTTAGTTCCAACAGACACCAGATCTTTGAAAATTTTTACAAGAGAGGACTTTTCTCTGCCAATTACTGAAATACGTCCTGGTGCCGATATAGTCGATTATGCTGTTCATGGAAATTTCGTGGCTACATTGCACAAAAATGGCACCGTTAAAATCATCGACTTTGATTCTGGCGATGAAATACAGCTGCAAAATCTTAAAAAGCTCACTTCCGGCCATGTCCCTATAAACATAGCATGGAACAAAGATACTCTCTACATCGGCACTACCAATGGAGAAGTCCTCGTGATCGGCGGGCTCGAGTTACCGGAGGTAGCATCCAAGAAAAGTTCCGGAAAACTGAACTCACTATTCCTAGATGAAGCAGAAGAGTCTGATGGTGACGATATAGATATGTCGGAACATGACAGACCACCATATTCGAACGGAAATGGCAAACACATGCTTGATGATTCGATCATTGACGAAGATGATGATTTCGATGTTCTTCGAGATAGAGGTAAGCGCCACAAGATTGGTAGCGTTGTTGTTGCTGAACCTCAATTGGAACCATACTGCCCAGGAAGCACGCCTTGGACGGCTCAAGGATCAAGCAAAGCAAAAAGGAGATACATTTGTATGAATGCGTCAGGTTACGTTTGGGCTGTCAAAACAGATCAAACTGAACAACAGAGTATCACAGTGTCCTTCTTTGATAGGTCAGTCAATAAGGATTATCATTTCATTGATTATCAGGATTTTGACTTGTGTTCCATGAATAACTCAGGCATTGTTTTTGGATGTTCTGGATATGGTAAAAAGACTGGTAGCATTTCATTCAAGCAGCACGAGTCTAATCAAGATGCATGGGAAAGAAGTATTCCTCTTGCTAAAGGAGAATTCATTACCTCACTCAGTCTTGCCGACAGTCATGATAACAATGGAATCATAGTAATTGGCACAAACTTTGGATTTGTGCGCTTCTTCAATGCCCATGGGTTATGCATCAATGCTATAAAGGCTCCACCGGTTGTTGCCCTTATTTCTTCGTCAAACTCTTTCCTCTTTATGATCAATCAACTTGGAGGAAAGATATTCACATACTCGATAATCGACATCCACCTGGACTACAAGTTTGTGCAACAGGATGTCATATTACCATTGGAAAGAAGCCTCAAAGCACCCTTGATCAAGGGCTTGTTCTTCAACGAATTCAACGACCCTTGTATGGTTGCTGGTAACGATGACACACTAATGATATTATCTTCATGGCGTGAGTCGAGAAACGCACGTTGGATTCCTATACTCGACTGCTACCTGGCTGTGACCGATGGTGGCCACGAACTGAAGAAAAAATGGTCTTGCTGGCCGTTGGGATTGTACAAAGACTCTTTGAGTTGTCTCATACTCAAAGGTGGCAGTGTATATCCGGGGTTCCCATTGGCGCTTCCAATTGAAATTCAGATCAAGCTTCCTGTTAGTGCTCATAAAAGTTCCGAAGAAGCTTCAGAGGACGATCCTGAAGAATGCTTTGTTAGAGCATCAACTATGGGGCGCATAGTGAGTGACACTTTAGGCGACGAAGGGTTCGAAGAAAACAACGAAGAAATCATGGAACGTTTGCAAGAGTACAGCATGCTATTTGACAAGTCCTTATTGAAGCTTTTTGCCAATGCTTGTCAAGAAGCTAGACTTAATAAGGCATTCAGTATTGCAAAACTTATCCGAACCGACAAGGCAATGACAGCCGCGGCCCGAATTGCTGAGAGACTAGAATTTTTGAACTTGGCGACCAAGATCGGGAAGTTGCGAGAGGAAATGGTCGAAGATTGAGACCAATGGGGAAGATTGAGTCAAGGAGACAAGAATATTGGATTGATATAGTATGTACAAAGGTCCTAAAATTGCTTCTTGATATAGTGGTACACGATAGGGGTAATCCACAACAATCCGGCGATGGCACCTGCGGTCTTCAAAGTGTCATAAGCATACTGTTCCTGAGCTTTTCTTTGCTCCTCGGTTGGTTGTCCAGCTCCAGCTCCAAACATGATGGTTTTGCCGATTTCGATTCACCGCAATTTTTCGCGAAGGCCGACGGGGGCACGTGACGAAACGGTGGAAATTTAGTATTGGAACCAACTGAGCATTGTGGTACAATGACATCAATTAAGCCGTTTCAGATTGAGGATCTTCTCGATGTCAACCCTGTTAACTTGGACCCGCTCACAGAGAGCTACAATGTGCAGTTTTACCTCGAATACTTGATTCAGTGGCCGACGCTCTTTTTCAAATCGACAGAGATCTCCGATTTTGCAAATGTTGAAAAACGGGAAATTAGCGGTTATATGATGGGAAAGGCCGAGGGACAACTAGCCAAGAAGGAATGGCACACGCACATCACAGCTGTGTCGGTGAACAGTTATTATCGTCGACTTGGTCTCGCATCGCATCTTTGTTCTGAACTTGAAAGATTGACCAAGGGACCCCCCTACGAGACACTCTTTGTGGACCTTTTCGTCAAGGTTACAAACACATTGGCCCAACAACTTTACGAAAAACTTGGCTACAGCGTCTACAGAAGGGTGGTTGGATATTATGGAAGAACACTACCCACAGATTCCAGCAAAATTGACGATAAAATAGATGCCTTTGACATGCGCAAACTGTTGCCCAGGGACGTAAACCGCGAAACAGTACGGGCTGACGGAAAAAACCACAATGTCTTGCCGCAAGATGTGACATTTTAACCTTTGGAGCAAACCACGGTATGGAACTGCACACAAACACCTGCACACAATACACCTGCGCACTGCTGGGTTTCTTTTAGTCACTGCCGTGACTAATTTCATTACACACGATGGCGTTGCGTAACAACATGAGACACATCTTGAACGAGGAGTCGTTACTGAACGCTTCGTCTCGGTCGGCTTCGAGAGCTCGTACGCCAAAAGTGGATGGTGAAGAAAATGGTCAATTAGACATCAATTTTCTGAGCATTGAAGAACTTTTAACCACAAAATTGGAATCCTTGCAAGCATTATTGGAGCTGCAGCTCGGCCAGACCGATGATTTGGGGATGGAATCGACGAGTAATCAAGATATCAGGCAAAAACAAATAGGACAACTCAATAAGGCCAGAATACAGTCTGGTCTGACCACCATAAATGACATCATATATTCACTTTCATTGCCACGAAATGAAATCTCGTCACAACTGAGAGAGCTTCTTCTTGCTCAGCTTTATAAGCTCATTGTTTCCAAACCTTTAGTGACATATAATGAAGAGAATGCTGGCTCAAGCTCTTATGTGTCCGACGACAAAGTCAACGAATTAATCAAGATCTTCTTGAGTAAGAGTTACCGTTCAGACTCAGAATTCCTATTGATGTTCCGGTCTTGTATTGCCCTTATTTGCAGCGATATTGAGGAATTTGGGTACCTTGTCTCAGCAGAATTTCTAGGTGCTATCCAACAACTTCTTGTCGATCCGCCTACTTCGGTGGTAACCAACGAGAACAAGGCGAATCTCGTCACTGGGCTCTGTAGCTTGCTCCTTGTTTTGCATAACGGCTCTTCGAGTTTCGGTATTGACGAGAAGGTGGCCGAGCTTTTGGATATTGCAGAAGGCACAGCTAAAAGCGCTTTAACTTTAAGCCAACAATTGGAAGCTGGTGACAGAGAATACTCGACTTTGTTCGATGCTAATGCCGACAAGCAAATTGTTAATGAAGCTACCCAAAAGGTGCGATCCGAAGTAAACTTTGCCGCGGCAACTTTACATGGTGCTGGATGCTTGCTAACTTTAATGCCTCGTGGTTCCTATTTGAACGATTTCATTTCCGAACACATGCCCAAACTAGTCGAGATGGTGGACGATGATGTTAATATTGAAGTTGCCAAAGCCGCTGGTCGTGTTATCGGCTTGTGCTACGAGGTATTTTCCTACTCAGAGGAGGAAGAAGACAACGATGATGAGGACGAAGATTATAATTATAATGCACCATACTACGAGCAAGCGGCATTGTTCTCAGTAATCGAAAGACTAGCGAACATTTCCACCAAAAAGGTTTCGAAGAAGGAGAGAAAGGAGGCACACTCAATCTTCAGGGACATCCAAGCCACTCTTATCAATTACACCGATATCGAAAAGCGAACAGCTATATATCGAAAATCACAAGAAGGACAAGAATTATTGAACTCAATGTTTGATTCGACATATATCAAACTCTCAAAAACTAGATCGTTGCCTATTAACAGTTGGTTCTTATACCTTCGATTAATCCATTTAAAGTGGTGCTTCAGTTTTGGCGTTCACAACCAGCTCGTCAGTAATGACAGTATCAGGGACATTTTGAGAGAGCCAGCAACAGATTACGAACTAAAGTATGGAACGTCAGGGGACCATGCTCCCGATGACGATGCAGCTCACCATGCCAATACATCAGACAAATATGGTGACGATGAAGTCAAGCGAACTCAGCGAATTAGAAAGGCTAGGGTGAACAAATTAGCACTGGAGATGGATGAACTAGAGTTGAGATAGTTAGTATATTTGTATCAATTGGACAATAAAAGTCAGAACTCAGAATTTAAGCCAAGCTACTTAGATAGAGGACAAATTGAATTGTAGGTCAACGTTTGAGCTGGTTGTAGAAGTTGGCTGCAAATTCGTAGGTGGTATACCGATTACCTAAGCAGTATAAAGATTTCGAGTAGTTTGTGCAATTCGACAGAAACGAGTTAATAAAGAGTAGAAAGTAGCCTGGCTGCAAGCATGACCAAGGGGTTAATCTTCGACTCATTGACGTCCAAGGCGATAGAAGCAAGGACTTTGTGCAAGTGTATTACATAAGCAACGACTGAAGAAATTGTTGCAAATTATGCCAGGAACATCTCTCTTGGATTCGTCATTATTATAGTACATTTCGGTCATATTTATATATCGCCTATTGCAAGACGCTTCTGTTAGAGAATATTCACTAGCAACTCCGGATCGAATTCGTACAAAAATTTGAAGCTCTCGAACAGAAACTTGTAATTTTTGTCCATTATCAATTCGTAGAAACTGCGGTCATAATCGTAGTACCAACCACCATAAAGTTTCATGTTGTAGTTTTTCCACCATTCCATGAAGTCTTTCCACATGTTTCTATCGTGGTAAAGACTGAACCTTGACACAACACAGATACATGCAAAATGATAGTAGAGTCGTAGAGCAAAGAAATGCTTTTCTCGGAGTAGCACATCTAGAAACTCTGGAATGAATATTGCCCATTTGAAAAGCGGTACAGGGTAGTTTAGTTTGGAGGAATAGTAGAATGCGGTTGCCAAGATGTCAATGGATTCTCTCAATGCTTCGATTTCGGCGTCAATTCGTGGGTCTACCACGTCCTTGTAGTCCGCATAAAAGTCGTCCATTTCCTTATGCAATCGCACAATTATGGGAAACTTGTGTTCTCTGATGAAGGAGGGTACCTTTTCCACAGTATTGTAGATTGTACGAAATTCAGTTTGGATTATGGCATCAATACCAAGCTCAAATGTACTCTGGACACCTCGACATATAGCCACAAAGTCTGTAGAGGGGTCATCTTCATCCAGCATTTCGGTCTCTTCCTCTAGCTGAAACGATAATATAGGAACTAGTCGGTGGGGATGGAGTCCAAGAAACAGGTAGATAAGAACCCCAGCAATACCTAATTCTGCAGCACGATCTGGGTCGTTGACAACGGTGTTAATGCCAAGCAGAAGTGCCTTTTGGGACTCGGAGATCAGGTCGGAAAAGTAGTTGAGTGTTCTTTTGTACAAATTATCAGTGCTTGCGAGCGCCATAGACAGGTCAAATAAATCCACCGGCATGGTACTTTCCACACCATATTCCAGCCAACTGGGTGCTATCTGGTACAATTCTCTGGCGTCCTGGACATCTGCTAAGAATAATGTGGAAACGTCACATAATGGCCACATGTTCATGGACGCAAACAGGAACATTGCCTTGCGTACCAACGGCGACTTGGCGAATAAAGGCGGCACACAATTGCGCCACATATGTTCTGCTGTCATATTGACACCGAAAGAGAAGAGAGGAACACAAAACTGATCAAAAAAATGTAACAATCGTAATTCAAACCGACTAAGGTTCATCATAGTGGAGGTTGAATTCACCAATGTTTCCTTCGTCATTATCTCGAAAGCACAATCTCCATACCTTCGCGGAGGCAGCTCTTCATCCAGACTTGAAGTAACCGGATAAACACAATCCCGGCCCGTATGTCTACAATACTCGCAATGGGGTCTTTGTTCGTCACACTAAAAGTTAGTAAATATATTTAATTGGCGATGAAAAATTTCATTACATACCTTTATTCGGAGCTTCTTACAGCTGTAGCATCCCATTCGGGATCTTCTGGTCAGTTTTCGTGATTTGACACTAGGCATAATTGACGTTTTCCCGTTGCAAATTGAAATGCGATTATCCTTTTACGCTGACGTAACCCAGCCGTGCCGTGGTAATTATTTGCGCCAGCTGAGCCCCTATAGGGTGGTGACCCGATGTCGTTCATAAAAATGTGATATATAAAAATCGGACTTTGATCTCGGGGCCGAAATCTTACATATTTGGTGGCCGTTTATATGCAATTTGCAGCCGTTCCAACGTTTAGGTTGCATGCTTCTGATGCATATCTTGGCACATTATATAAGCGCTAAAACTGCGAGTGCAGCAAACATAGCTGCAGCGAATGCGGCTGGAGATGGTTGCAATGGTGAAAACTGACGAGGGTAGATTTAGTTCAGAAAGAGCAAAGAAGGTATAGTATTGAGCGAAAAATCTTCATGGAGAACGTTTGAAGAGAAGGATCAAGAGAAGTTATTGGAAGTCACGAGAAATTAAGAGAAGTAGACAAGGGAGAACCTCGACTCTCAATTCGTCAATTCATATCTATGTCTAACATACTCAACACTAGTTCTGGATCAAAATCGTACAAACAGCCAAGACCACCCGCGGGTAGTCTATATTGTCTTTCTGTCACCAACTTATAAAAGTATTGGTCCTTACTATAAATCCAGTCTCCGTACACTTTCATATTGTAGTCTCGGAACCACTTCATATAATCTATCCACATGTTCAGTTGTTGATAAAGGTAAAAGCCAGCAGCAGTGACGATACAGGAGAACTGGAAGTATACCCTTAAAGCAAAAAAGTGTCTATTTCGAAGGAGCTCGTCAAATAGTTGGGGTAATCTCAACGGCCATCGAAAGAGGAAGAGTGGGTAATTGAGTGTTGCCGTATGATAGAATTCCGAAGCCAAGAGGTCTAGCGACTTTCTGATTGTTTCTATCTCTTCGTAACACAGACTGTCCATATCTTTTTTGTCTTCGTAATATATCTCGAGATCTTTTTCCAATTGCACAATGATCGCAAACTTGTGTTTTTTGAACAGAAGAGGTACTTTTCTTGGTGTCTCGACGATGGCTCTGAACTCGGTTCGTGATAGAGAACTCAAAAGCAAATCTCTAGCATTCAGAAGACTACGGCACACAGATATAAAGTCTGTAGTTTCTGGTTTCAGTTCATTTTTCAGTGAGCTTTCTTCCAACAAAATAGGAAGCAATTTGTGTGGATGGAGCCAGAGAAACAGGTATAAGATGATACTGGTGATCATCAACTCTGAAGCAGTAAATGAATCTGAAGCGAGGCGTAATGGGTCAAGGAGCATGTCTTGAGTGTTTTTTATCAAATCTGAAAAGTACCCCAGAGTTCGGGTATACAAGTCAAGAGATTCTGGCAAAGACGGTTCGCGCTCAAAAGTAGAGAGTGCTTTCAATGCGTCTTTGATGAGTCCAATTTGCGGAGAAACTGAGATATTCAGATCATATTGTTTCTGGTCGGCGAGAAACAACTCTTCCACTTCGCAAAGCGGCCACATATTAATACACGAATAAAGAAAGATAGCGTTGCGAACCATCTGCGACCGACGGAAGAGCGGAGGCACAGAACACCGCCACATCTTATCAAGCTTTAAATTGACTCCAAAAGTGAATTGAAGAATGCAATAATTGTCAAAAAAATGCAACAATCTCAATTCGAATCTGCTGAGTCCCATCAACAACGAGGGAGAGTTGACCAAGCTTTCCTTCTTAATTACGTCGAGCCATAAAGCTCCAGTTTGGTAGTCTGAATTTTGGTAGACACATTCTTTGCGGGTGCAGCGACAATACTCACAAGTGGGTTTTGCTTCATCACACTTTGTTAGAAAACTCACTTAAGTAGTTTGAGATGATAACTTACCTTTATTCGTAGACGCTTGCAGTTATAGCATCCTTTACGGGACCGCAACACCTGTCTTTGGCCACTAGATCTAGGCATCTATAAACGACTTGATTTACGGTTTTCGAAGATAACGCAGTAGTGCAGATACCGTTTCTGATTTGGAGATGAAATGACTAGCCTGACCATTAGATTCATTCGATTATTCAGGCTTTGGTAGCTTGATCTACGTTGAATTGGGTCTAGGAGATATATGCAACTGTAAATCTGAAACCATTTCTCTGCTCGTTGGCTGCAAACCGCATATTTTTAAGTTTGACGTGCGGCTCGAGGTTTCAAACTTTGAAAAACTAAGCAAGTTTTCTGAAGAATTTATGAGTAAAATAGTAGGAGAATCCTTCATTCTATGAGAAGTGGGTGGGTTCACACTCACATAGTTTCTTACATTCAATCGTTGTATTTTGGTTACTCGGTCGTAAAGTTATTCATGCCTATAAACTCGTGGATCTACAATTTTTGGATGCTTGCTCCCATTGTAGCAACCGCCATTCTATTAGTTTTCTTCACATCGTGACATCATTATCTTCGCATCAAAGTCGTATAAGCTCCTAAAATCTGTAAGCAGAATTGTGTACTTTTTCTTGATCACCAAGTCGTAGAAGCTTTGGTCGTATCTGTAAACCCATCCTCCATACCCTTTGTAGTTGTACTTGCGAAACCACTCTATAAAGTCTCGCCACATATTTCTTTCATGGTAAAGACAGAACTTTGCCATGAGACTAATGCATGAAAAAAGGTAATAAATTCGAAGTGCAAAAAAGTGTCTCTGTCGAAGAAGAGCACCAAAATTTTCTGGAATGCCAATGGGCCACTTGTAAAGTGGCAATGGGTAGTTTAGTTTGGTAGAGTAATGGAACGCACTTTCCAAAAGCTCAATTGCTTCTTTGAGAACATCAATTGCTCCACTCTGTTGCACACCACCCTCATAGTTAGAATAATATTCAATCAAGTCTCGATTCAACCTTGAAATAAGAGCAAATTTGGATTCTTTTGGGAAAGAAGAGAACTTTTTTGGCGCCTTATAGGGCGAAGTCTTGCTATTTTTCAGGCAACAGTGCTCTTTTATGACTTGAATCCCACGGCAAATCGACACAAAATCGGTTGTTTCATGGATATGATGGTCTGGAACTTGTACTGAAGTTCTAGCTGAGTCTTCATCGGTGTTTTCCTCCAATTGAAATGCTAGTATTGGGACTAAATTATGAGGATGGAGCCCCAAAAACAGAAATATAAGTGTTCCGGAAATACTCAATTCAATGGCTCTCAGAGGACTAAGTGCCATCTCAGAGCCCTCTATTCTTCGCTGGCTCTCGAGTAATAGGTCTGAAAAGTATTCAAGTGTTTTTGCGTACAAATTGTTGGTGGTTGCATGGTCCTGCGACAAGTCAAAAAAAGTCAACGATTTCGAATTAATTTCTTCTACTTCGAATAGGTTATTAATGTGGTACAAAGTTCTCATCTCTTGTACATCAGCCAGAAATAACGTCTCCATGTCGAAAAGCGGCCACATACAAATCGATGCGAACAGAAACACAGCATTCCGCACCAAGCGAGACCGGAAAAAGACTTTTGGAACCAATGTTTGCCAGAACCTTTCAGCCTCTTTATTCACTCCGTAGGAAAATGCCGGAACACAAAACTTGTCAAAATAATGCAACAACCGTAACTCGAACCGGTCGAGTCCCATCATCGCCGAAGTGGAATTAATGAGCTTTTCTTTCGTCATCACCTCAAAACACCCACTAGCAGCAACAAGTTCATTCCACAGCCTCGGAACGGGCAAAGGATACTCACATTTTCTTCTAGTGTGTCGACAGTATTCACAATAAGGTTTCTTTTCATCACACTGAGTCAGTAACGGCTAAATTTGATTTGGGTTTATTCTAGAACTTACTTTTATCCGTAGCTTCTTACAGGCGTAGCAGCCATTTTTTGAACGTCTGCTTCGGGGTCTCCCAGCCATAAAAAGAGTACTTCATTTCGATTAGTCGTGAACCGATGGCTTATGTAAGCAGAAGGTTGCAACCTTCAGCGTTCCGGCTAGCTGAAGGGAAGTTGTCAATGTTATACAAAGACTCGTTATCTATGTATTGGGGTTTTGTACGAGTCGGTTATCTGCTGATATTGTTATCGGAAATCTAATAATTGATATCTGATATTCTATCTTGAGTAGATAAGCATAAGATACCGACGTGCGGCTGAGAAGTACAATAGTTCAACTGCGTAAATGCATAGTTAGAAGCCAAAGAAGCCAAAGAAAAGTTTCGAGACTAAAACCGTTTTAGCTGGTTAGTTCATAAGTCATGTCAGCTATTTAAATGTTGCTGAGGAATATTTCCAGTATTGCAGCCAGCACCATTTGCAACTGCGACTTCCTCTCTAATTCTCCAGCTTAAGAAAATTGCTAAGCATTTTCACAAGCTAGTTCGTTACGAATCTTTCACCAGCCTACTATCGATTTCAGTCGTAGTGAAGATCAAAAAACGAACTCTGGTTCAATTTTCGGTTCATTTTGTCGTGGCTGCAAATTCTAGTAGTGAATGCTCTGGCTTTAGTGGATCAAAATCGTATAAAAAGGAAAAGTTATCATACCCGAACCGAAAGTTTTTTCCAATAACCAAATCATAAAAGCAGCGGTCAAATTCGTAAAACCACCTCCCGTACTCTTTCATATTGTATACACGAAACCACTCGATAAAGTCCTTCCACATATTTGTATCATGGTAGAGACTGAAATTTGCTATAGTGCAAATACAGGCAAACTGATAGTATAATCTTAGTGCAAAAATATGCTTCTGTCGAAGAAGAACATCAAAGTATTGTGGAAGAACGAGCGGCCATTTAAATAGCGGAATTGGATACTTGAGTTTTGCGGAATAGTAGAATGCCGAAGAAAGTAGTTCAATTGCCCTATCGATTGCTTCTTTTTCCTCAATTGCTTGATAATCATCTTGATCGGCAAAAAACCTACTCAGCTCGTTTCTTAGTCTTTCAACAATAGCAAACTTTTGTGCCTTGACAGAATACGGAATTTTCTCTGGAGTAAAAAATATTACTCTAAACTTAGTTTTCGTTAAGTTGTCCTTTCCAAGCTCAAACAAGTTCTGCGTGCCTCGACACATTGCCACAAAGTCGGTGCTGCAGCTGGAATCGTAGTCACTGGTTTCCAATTGAAACGATAAAAGTGGAACCAATTTGTGTGGATGAAGGCCGAGAAACAGGTAAACCAAAATGCCCGAAACCACCAATTCTGCTGCTCGAAGACTGGACCCAGAGAAGCCTCTGGGGCAGGTAAGTGCTCTTTGTGTCTCAGATAGAACGTCCGAAAAGTAAGACAAGGTCCTCATGAACAAATTATCAGTTTTTGAGTTTTTCAAAGACATGTCAAAAAACGGTTTTGTTGTTGACTCGACTTCGCTTCCATTATCAACAGGTACTGTGTTGTAAAGAAGCATCGAAACCTTGACGTCAGAATGAAATAAAGTATCCACATCACATAGCGGCCACATATTAATTGCAGCAAACAGAAACACTGCTTTGCGAACCAAAGGTGAAATTCCAAATAACTGTGGAACTGACTCTCTCCACATCTTATCCACTCTCACATTAACATTGAACGAGAAGAGAGAAACACAAAAGTCGTCGAAAAAGTGCAACAATCGTAACTCAAACCGACTTAGTCCCATCATACTCGACGGACAATTGACCAAAGTTTCCTTAGTGATGACTTCAAATCCAGTAAACTCATTCCTTGGAGCATTACCAGGTTGAGGATTCCGTTTCACAACCTCACAAACTGCCGGGTACACACAAACTCGCCCAGTATGCTTGCAATATTCGCATGTTGGCTTATCTTCATTGCACTAAGTTAGCTAATCGTCACTTTAAGTTAAGGTTTGAACATACCTTTATGCGCAATCGCTTGCAGCTCAAACATCCATTTCGTGACCACTTGCTCAGTCTTCGACACTTCGCCTTGGGCATTTTACTCTACATGTTCCTTAGGTGACTCTTATGAAATTTGCAACTGAAAATTCATGGTTGAATACGCTTATGTAAGCGTATCTGCAAAATCTCGTATGTGCATGCACCAAGCCACGGTTTGGGAAACGAGTTCAACAGGGAGAAAGAATATGGGGATTGATAGGAGTACAAGAGCATGTATCTGTGCAGTGGTGCTATTTCAACAGGAGAGCGTTAGCAACCGGCTATGAAGTCCGTTTATGAATTTTGTTCAATTACGCTTACTTAATCGTATTCATATGAATCTGATATCCGCTTACATAAGCGTAAAGATTCCGTGCCTTTTTGAGGCGCGGCTGTGCGGCGCGATGAATACGTCAAAGTACGATTAGGTAAGCGTATTAGAGTCGATAACCTACGAGACTAAAGAATATAAAAGATGAGCGTATCTCGCTGAATTTGACATTCTTCCCAGACCACCCTTCACTACTCAATCCACAACAACAATGCTTCCAGTTACATACGCTTCTGAATGGCGAACCGTCTCCATTGTGCAAGTTGCATTTTTTGCAGTCATTCTTATTACATTTCTTACCGGCATGTTTTTAAGAATATTCAGGGTCGATGCCACTCTTAGAAAGAATTTGTTCATTGTTACATTTTTTTTCACCATGTTTTCCTCGTTCAAGATAGGTGGAGGAATTTGTGCTATTATTCAAGTGGACCAGGACAAGCCTTCGACTGGACTTATGATTGCAACTTATATTTTAGACACGGCCAGTTTGGGATTTTTGCTCAAGTCCATTGTCAATTACTTGGACTACATGATGTTTCCCCGTCCTTCATCCTCGTCCAATGGCGGAATTTTGGGAATTTTTAACAAAGGTGGAAATTCGGATTTCCAAGAGGTCCGCATTGGTCTCTCCAACAGAAAGGATAGCGAAAGCTCCACCGAAGACATGAGACCCACGGACCCAAAGAAGGATCTCAGCAAGTTTCACCCGTTCAGAGTCACCACAGTTGTAATTATGGTAGCAATTATTTTGTCCATAGTTGGTGCCTGTGAGATGTCCGACGGGTCCAGTGGAGGTTCAACAGGAACCTACTTCAAGGTGTCTTCCTTGCTTTTCTTGGCAGCCTTGATTCTTGTGTTTGGTCTTCTTGTCTATATCTACTTCCAGCAACCCACCTTCAGAAGTGGTATTAGAATTATTATGTTCAGCTTGGTGTTCTACTTGGTGAGAATCATATACTCAATTGTGCTGTCGTTTACTGGTATTAACATCTCCAGCACAAGTTTCAACAAGTTTACGTTGATTTTTGGGGATTACAAGTACTATACCTTCATGGGCTTCTTGATGGAACTGTTAATTGCCATTATGCTTTTCATCATTTCGCAGTGGTTCTTGACAAGGAACCCTACTCATTTTTAGCAATTTTGTATCAATTTCATTTAAACTCCATTGAATTGTGAGTCAGATCAGTAGATACTCAAGAAACCAGGAAAACATTTCAAAAGTTCAATGGTATACTGATTTTTGTAGTCTTGAGTAGAGCTAATGAGATAAGACAAATTTCGCACCCAAAAATAATTGAGATTTTTCTCATTATTGAATCTTCTCACTATTCAATTCGCTACTTGTCCCACTTCTTCTCTACTAATTTCACACTATATACTCTAATCTATCAGGTCTATTATTGAATTACAAAGTCAGCAACATCAAACTCCTTTGAGGAAATACCCATCTTTCCAATGTAATCTTTGGCATCCTTGGCCATTATCTTGGATGTGGCATCGTCCCATCCGAGTTCCTTGCTCATGATACTAACCACTCCATCAACAGCAGTCAATGCTTCTCTGGCATTCAAGAAAGCCAATCTGGTTCTTCTGGCCAAGAAATCAACAGGAGTTCTGATGTACTCGTATTTAAGCGAATACTTCAATTCGGCAATGGTGAAAGGCTCATCGAAAGATTGGTAAGACAAGTTGTTTCCCTCAGAGTTGACAACTTCCGATGGCTCAAAGTGCTTGGTGGCAGCCAAGGTGATTGGAAGCTTGTTGAAATCGGACTCCTGGTACAACTCCAAAATCAACGACGATCTGGAACCGTAGTTATGAGACAAGTGCTTGGCCAACTTCAAAGGAATTCTGTACTCGTGGATCAATCTAGCAGAATAGTTCTTGGAATAATCCTCACCACCAGCCAAGATGATCTCATTAGTTTGGCATGGCTTCAAGTTCTTTCCGTCAAAGTTAAACTTTTTGATCAATGTAGTAACGGTTTCTTCAGCCATTTCACGGTAAGTGGTCCATTTTCCTCCAGAAATCGTCACCAATCCTGTTTCAGACTGGGTGATTAAATGGGAACGAACAAGGCCTTGGGTAGAAGCGGTGGTGGGGTCTTGACCCTTGGGGACAGTGGAAGGGTCACGAACCAATGGTCTGATACCAGACCAAGCAGACAACACATCTTCTCTATGCACAGGGAAAACAATGTACTTGGACAATTCGTTCAAGATATCTTGAATTTCTTCTTCGGATGGGACTGGGTTTTCGGAAACGGACTTCAATGGGGTGTCGGTAGTACCAGCCAAGACCTTTCCTTGCCATGGCAAAAAGAACATGACTCTACCATCGGAGGTGGATGGGTCTAACATTCCCATATCTCTTGGACAGTAGTATTCAGGAAGAACGACATGGACACCAGACGAAGGAACAACCATTCTTGGTGGTTGTGGGATCTTTGGAGGCAAGCCCTGAGGATCTTCGTCCATTTCCAAAATCTTGTCAGCCATAGGACCGGTGGCATTCACCACAGCAGTAGCCTTGATGAGATGCTCTTTACCGGTTTCTCTGTCGACAGCACGCACACCTTCGATTTTGCCTTCATTTTTCACGAGCTGGACCACGTCAAAGTAGTTGAGAACGGTGGCACCATGCTCGACGGCAGTGATGGCCAAAGTAGCATTCATACGGGCATCGTTGAAAGTTCCGTCGTGGTACACACATGCAGCTTTCAAGTTGGAATCGTCGATCATAGGAGCAATGGCAGCGGTCATTTCTCTGGAGAAAACAGTGGACGACCGCAAGTTCTGGTGACCGGCAAACCAATCGTACATTTTGCAACCCATGAAGAAATAAGGCACTTTCCACCACTTGTAGACGGGGATCATGATGGGCAAAACGGAACACAAGTGAGGAGCCGTGCGCAACATGTTTGCTCTTTCGTTAAGCGCCTCGATAACCAAGTCCAACTGGGCTTTAGAGAGCTGGAAAATGGCTTTTTCCAAATATCTGACACCACCATGGGCCATTTTTGTAGATTTTGAAGAAGTACCCGAAGAAAAATCGGTTTTTTCCAACAAACAAACATTGAGGCCTCTTGTAGCAGCATCCAACGCGGTACCAGTTCCCACGGCACCACCTCCAATCACAAGAACATCGAATTTGGGGGTGGTTTCCAACCGAGAAACGAGCTCTTCTCTCTTTGGAGGAGCAGGCAAATCTTTTCTTAAAGGTTTGTACGAAGTGACCAACTCAGGCACTGCGGGTGGTTTGATGTAGTCCACGTACACAACAGAACCACCAATAACGGCCGACGTTGCAAGGGCCGTCTTGGCGAATTTCGACGCTAGAAAACGGGACATATTTTAAAAACGGATTCTGTTCGATTATTATCAAGATATGTTACAGTCAAAGGAATCTCCAGGGATGTCGTTGAATAACGCAAAAACTACTGTTCGTTGACAAGTTGGTCACCCACAGAGTGCGTTTTAGCGACAAACAGCAAATCACTGCCTTTTATACCGGCTGCAATGATGCGCCGAGTATGTGCAGGAAGCAACCACCCACGGACTATGCAAGGGCACTTGCAACAATTGTTGCGGAGAGAGGAGAAGCTGCGCTGTTGATTAGGGTGTTTATAGAATGACGAGAAGCCGTTAAATGAGTTTGGACACTCGAAATACCATTTTATTCACCTGGTTCTCGACAATGTCGCCTTTCCTAATTTGCAACCGAGGTTCCGAATTATGTTCCGGCGGTGCGGATCATCGCGTACCGGCCGCAGGGAGTCCATGTGGTTCAGCCGCCTGCGACGTGGAACAAGTCGCGCTCTTGGCACAATAACGCGGACAATTGGTTCTGCGCGGTAAATAATTATTGACCGTTGAAAATAACGGAAAAAGAAATAGCCATAGGAAAAAGAAAAGAGAAAAAGAAAGAAAGGAGATAGGAACAGATAATAAAATTTTGAGACAGAGATTTTGAAAACAGTATGAATTTTTTTCTTCTTCCGTATTCTTGTCCTCTTGTGTTCTCGTTAGTCTGACGACGGTACCCTCGGATTCGCTTCTTGTCCGCCTTTCGTTATCTGCATGTCTCTGCAGACGAGCGGGGTTGAGGCGGGGCAAAATCACGGGGAACGTCACGGGCATGCGTCACGTGACCAAGCCTAACTTAATTATTGACTTTGACAGGTACACCTTAATTTCCATAATTCTGGAATTGAGTTTTTCACGAAAGAATTAAGCTTTTTCATCAATATTTCAAATGCTGAGGCTTCGTAACCTTTGGTCAATCATTGATCATAGCTCTTAGTTTCCAATTCAATAATGAAAATGGCTCTGCCCGTTTGGAAGGTTTCGCTTAATATTCTAATTAAGACTGCTCGTAGTTGGTTGAATTGGTCTATTTCTTTAGGTAACTACTTGCATACTAGCCTTATCTATGATAATTGTTTCACAATTTATTGATAGCAGAATATCTGAAGAAATAGTCTGAATACCGGAGGCTGACAGACATCATACTCAGAAAATTTTCTTTAATTAAGAACTGTTAAGAAATGTTGGATATTAGATTTTCAGTATGGCTCGTCTTTTGCTCCATACTTATGGTACACTGAGAAGTCCAGAAGTTCAGAATCATGATTTCACAGTAGACGAGTGAACAACTTCCACCAATTAATTGTGCTTTTCCACCAATTTATGTGCTATTCTTCCATTCTTTCCTTATAGCTCATCGTGCCTATATGGAACTTTGAAATCTTTTCCCGTTGAGTTGACTGCGTTCCGAAAATCATACAACAGATAGTACAACTTGTTTGCAATTTTCATACAAACGTTCCATGAACCATGAGAAAAATCAGCCTTCCAAGTATCTTGGTTAGGAAGATTTCCAATAGCTCTATTGGCGTATTTTGTTCCCAATTCCAACAATGAGTCTGAAATCGAATCAGCACAACCTTCAAAGCTGATATAACCAGCAGCTAGATCCCAATTGCCGATGGGAATTATTTTTTCTTTTTTCACACACTTTGTATTGGATTTAATCCACTGGGCAGATATTACTTCAGTTTCGGATAAAACTTGTGTGGCTGTTTTGTGCTGTCCGTACTTGATTACAACAGTAAGTTGGTCCCTGTAAAATTTGGAGCCTGGATTTCTTCTAACTTTGACAGTACTCAAATGTCCATTGCAGAAATGGTATGAGTAAGATTTTATCGTCGAAGCATTAGTCGAATCGTGAACAGCTTTAACACCTGCTGCCAATTGAGTACTTATAGCAGACACTTCTGTACCAGTTAAGTCAATGCCATAAAGGAGTGATTCGGGGTAGGTATTATTCAATTCCACACCACCAACATAAACAATGTCAATACCGTGAGTTCCATTATGTAGAACATTGGTGCTGTCACGCAAAAAATAATCTAGATCAAGAGCCCAAAAAAAGTCAGCATAGACTTTGGTAAAGAAGATCAACCATGAGTATATAATCAATGATTGTTTCATCCTTGTTCTGTACTCTCTTGTACTATTCTGGTACTCTCTTGTACTATTTTTGGTGACTATTTGAACTTGGTCTGGTCACCTGATCTTTATATCTTTTCGAGACTCGATGAAAAAAGGTGCGTTAAATTTAGTTTGTGAGCCGCATTGCTGTCAAGTCCGCGAATTTTCGATTTCTCTGCATTGATAACATTTGAGAGCCACGTCTTCTTTGATTGTTTTGTAAACAATTTTTGGGAAAGTAACGCATTGGCCTATTAGTCCTCGAAATTTCATACTTGCATTTTGACAGCTGTCGCGCTGCACATGGTACTTGCACTCATGTACGAATATGCATCAAACTCATTAAAAACGAAGAAATAAAGGCAAGTCTTGAGAAAATAAGTCGGTGGCTAAACCGGATTTTTGAACAATTTGAAGGTACTCAAAACGAGACTGAAATTATCCATTTTGTTGTGAACTGCAATAGAGACGAAATAAAGAAACAAAGGAAAGTCTTAAGAAGGAAAGATGTAGAGCCTTGCGAAGGAAAAGTCGGTAAACCGGTTTTTAACAAGAGGAATCAGAAATTGGCCAAGATCTCTTAGTGAGCTTATCACGTGCGGCCGCATGCATTTACCTGCAGTACCACATGCTATGAACAAGTCGGCAGGTTAATCAATCAAGATGGATCTTACACCCGAACAGCAAGATCTTGTGACACAATTTGTGTCTATATCTGGCGCTGAGGACGATAGACAAAAGGTGGTGTCGCTTCTAACCGTCAACAATTGGGATTTAAACAATGCTCTTTCGTCGTATTTCGACCATGGATTTGACGTAATTGACCGGATATCACTGCTGGCAAATTCCGGAAGTCAAGATGCAGCAGTATCTGCATCGGGTCCGGAAATACTCCAGGACCCTGCAGAATCGCATCTCTCTCATCGACGAACCTCATCTTCGGCAGGACCCGAATTAGTCAATCTTCAGAGCCAAATGTTTCTCGAGTCGTTTCGACCAAAACTTCCCAAGGCGCCACGAATTTCCAATCATTGGCAACTAGAGCTCGGAATCCACTCATCGCTTTCGGAAAAACTGCTGCATAATCCTGACCGTCGGCCGGCCGTCAATTCATGGTGGTTAGTGCTCTTGCTCGTGCCAAGAACTCTTCTTCTGTTTTTGGTTTCGATCTTCAAGTTTCTCTTTGTGGGCTCGAGTAGTCATTTTATCGGCCGGTTTCCATCGCAATTCGATTATGCAAAGTATTCTGAGAATTTTGATTTCAAAGAATCGATTGACAACAAAACTTCGGAAGTTTCTCCAGAAGTGGTGGACTTGTCGCAATTCAACATAAAAAGCTCCGATTTCAATCTGGTGCTCCAATCTGCGCAAACCGGGTACTCATGGCTTCTTGTTATTCTAGTAGATAATCGCAGCGAATCGCAAGAATTTTGTCGGCGGCTTTTTTCCAGTCCAGAATTTGCCCAATTGCTCAACAAGACAAGTGGAACCTTTAAAGACAACCAGATTTTTGTTAATAATGTTGAAGAGTCGCCAGAAGCTTACGAAGTGGGAAAGACATACAAAGCTAAAAGACTTCCATTTTTGTGTCTTGCAGCCAATGTTTCCAATGATCCCTCGGTAATGGCATCGATGTCTACACTCTACAAGTCCAATGTGGCACCAGACTTTCTTTCTCCAGAACTGATAAATTCCACCATTAAAAAATTGACTGAAAATTTGGAGAAGTTGATGGAGTCTTATGATCCTCAATTAATTGCCCAAAGATTTGACCAGCAAGAAATTGAGTTTGCAAGGCAGCTTAAAAAGCAGCAGGACGATGCATATATCCAGTCCCTTGAAAAAGACCGGTTGAAAAAAATGGAAAAAGATCACCAGCAGCAAATGGAGAAAACCATGAAAGAAATGGCCCAAAAACGGGAAACATTTTTGATGAGTTTGATTCGAGAAAACTGGTTCCACGGTGTTTGCGAGGGCGAAAACAAGGTAAAAATTGCTATAAAACTCCCCAATGGTAAACGGCTCATCGAAACGGTTCTGAAAACCGTCACTTTGCAGCAATTGTACTTGTATGTGGAAACGAGATTGTATGAGGAGGATAAAGAGATTAATTCGGAAAACGAAAAAGAGATTAGTTTGGATAACGAAAAAGAGATTAATTCGGATCCAATTCTGCATAACGAGTATTTTGCTACATTTCCATTCAAGTTCGACCTCATTCAGCCGTACCCCAAAAAAGTTTTGGATGTGACCGGCGAGACCCTCGGCGACATTCCGGAATTGCGCTCGGGCGCCAATTTGCTCGTAGAGTACCAGGAAGTTGGTGACAGCGACGCCAGCGACGACGCCAGCGACGACGACCATAGATAACGATACATAGCCCAATTCTAAAAAATTCGGTTAAACTTTTCCGGGCTTGGCGTCCTGCAGACAGCGCACACCCCACGTCGCAACTGGGGTCGAGATAGCGAACAACACTGCGGTGTAATTGCAAGTCATTTTATAGTACCACCTAACACGTTTAATGGCATCCAGGCAGTCCAAATTGGAAGCAGAAAAGCTCGCAATCATCCAGAAATCACTTTCAGGACGTGGACGTTCTTTGTCTCCTTCTCGTAACAAAAACGAAAGAAGCAGGTCGTCGTCTCGTCTGAACGATGACATTCAAAAAGACTTAAAATGGCTGATAGTGAACCACGACCCGCTGGAGCGGTTGGTCAAGGACGGCGAGAGCGCCAACGAAGGTTTGTGGGAGGATGAAGTTAGTGAGGAAGAACATATTAGTGACGACGACGAAAACACCAAATTGCAATATGACGATACCGGTAACATTTTACCCAATTATGCTTGTCAGGACGATAAGATGTCGGAAATCTCGATGATTTTGGAAAACTCGAACCTCAATGACCGGTCCACCATCCAAAGATTGGAAGAACTTACGGCCACCGAGCGAGCGTTTGCCAATGCTAAAAACGCCGGTAAGGAGATTGACCAGGAAGCGCTCCGGCAATTGGAGCTGGAAAAACAGGCGCTCACGGGACAGGTTGTGGATTTGGGTAGAAGCGACCAGGACGCTCAAGCCAGACGCCAGAAACTTGAAGATTATTCCACCTACAGAAAGAAAATTATCCACCAGGAAAACGACCCCAGTGCCAGCTTGCGCCATGCCACCAAGTCTCCTGACGCCGACCAGGAAGTGGCAGAGGGAAAAGACGACGACAAGGACTTTATGGTGCCATATACTTCTGCGGTGGAGGATAAACTCGACTCGGAATTTGCGTCGCAACTTAACGAAACCATCCGAGAAGGCGAAGTCGATTCCAACAAGGCGTACTCCAGGGTGATCCAGACCATCACTCGGGGCAATTTTTTCCAGCTAATTGACCCTCGAGTCAAGCCCAAGATGTTTTTGGTGTGTATGGACTTTTCTCCCGAGTCCATCTTTGCCCTTGAGTGGTCGTTGGGAACGGTTTTGGTGGATGGTTCCGTGCTCTTCATCGTGTGTATTATTGAGGAAACCGATACCAACCACCACTTGAAAGGAAACACCAACAATGAAGCAGCTCGCGAACAAACCAGACTCAATATGCTCAACAAGGCAAAACAGCAGGTTCTCAATCTTTTAAAACTCACCAAACTTCAGATCCACATCGTTATCGAGATCATCCACCATCCTATTCCTCGTCATTTAATTTTGGAGTTTATAGATAATTTGCAACCAACGTTGGTTGTGGTGGGTTCCAAAGGCCAGTCGGCCATCAAAGGAGTGCTTTTGGGTTCGTTGTCCAACTATTTGGTGACAAAACTGTCGGTGCCGGTGATGGTGGTGAGAGAAAAGTTGAAGAAAATCAACCGATTCAAGACCGGATCGTCGGTGTTCTCCAATAACATCAAACCATTGACATTGTCGGAAGCTCGTATTGATTAAGTAATGAGAAAATGAATATTGGGGTTGTTGTAGATTAGGAGAGAGCTAAGTATTTCGAGAGTTGGTATTAAAGTGCTTTTTGAGCACTCCATGTCTCAGTCTAGTATCAGTATTGAGTACTCAAAATGACATGGAAGTCGAGTATTACAACTTCCTTGAAGTTCGTCCCTTTCAGGATTATAATAAACGGGAGTTGTCTTTCAAATCCTTCATTCCAGTAATTCTGACATTTTTCGAATTTGTCTCAAAAGTACAACTCGGTGAATGTTCGCTTGCCCCGAAACTCCAGATTGCATTCCGGAGCAGGACACCGTCGAGGACAACTCAACCCTGGATTTTCTATCGTCAATTGCTTGCTGGCACGCTTTTGGCGAGGACGATTGCCAATGTTCTTTATGCATCGCCCGCAATATACATGTCCACATTTGGCAACAAACACCCTCTTAGACAAATCAATGTCCACCGGGGAGATTTGCCGTGAACAAAACCACGGTGCTTGAACTCTATAGAGCCTGCTATAACGTTCCAAATTTGCATCGTATTTCGGATTCGGAGTGAACTCCTCGGGGATTCCTGTGCCCAACGGAACGGCACAAAGCTCACATGTAAATGCGGTTTGGGAATTGATATCGTTGGTGTATCCATGGTGCTCGTTTGCAGCTATGGCTTGCTTAGCATGGAGCTGTTTTGTATTATACTTGTTTTCCTGGCGCAACTTTCCATCCAAATCTCGGTCGTTTTCGCGGTCGATTCTCTCCATAATTGACCTCTCCATGGCACTCGCCTCGTCGCTGCTGGGTCCCTCAAGAAACGGAAATTCTAGTTCGTACTGAGGTTCCGAAGTGTATCGCACCGGCCGGCGGCGACGAAGATGACGACGAGGAGTGGAACCAAAATCCGCCAGCCGCCGCCACCGGTTCATACCTGTGATCACCGAAACCACCCGGCCGAAATCGCCCTCAAATGTGCCAATAGGACTCTCGAGGGTTCCAAACCGTCCCATGAGAGCCCGGCGGAATTCCTCGGTATCGTCAAACTGAGCCAGCGGCAGCACCGGTCTTTCATCCACAATCTGTATATCATCGCTAGACGTGTCCTGGTCACGCCGTAGACGGACATTCCGGGTATGAGGCCGTATTCGACGGTGGCGGATTCTGGATGGAAATATCCTCGATTGCGGAACCATATTTACGCCGGTTATTTCAATATCTTCGTGATCGCTGAGCATAGAAAGCGGTTCTATGCTGTCTCCTTCGTCAGAAAGTACTTCTACCACCTCCTGATCGGTTACCGACTCCAGAACCGGTTCACTTGAGTTTCGCAAAATCGAGTTTCGGTTATTATTTTCATTTTGGTTGACCTCCGAGGGCTCCAAGTTTGTGTCCTGCTTGCCCTCGTGGCTCTCGCGGTCCAGAGCACGTCCCGACCGCCTCCTGTGAATATTAACTGACATGGTAGTGAAGACACAGCACAAAAGTAATCAATACCAAAACGATCGCATAAAACCTCGTCACGTGATCATTTGCTTGCTTGTCACATGACAGAATATCACGTGCTGAATCTCATCTCACTCATCTCACTCATCTCACTCAATCATCAGTTGCATCAGTTCTATTTCAACTCAATATTCAATTCAATTGCAATTATATTACATGCTCTACCTACTTCTTCAATCCGCTCCTCACATAACGTCCCACAACAATACAATGGTCTCTCTCATATGGTTCCAATGTTAATTGCTCCAATGGCTTGATTCTTTCCTCTCTCAATTTCTGCACTTCTCTGGCAAAAACCGTCTCGGCGTCTACTGTCGAGTCGATACAGTTTGCCTTGATGGAGATGACAACGGTACCTTGGTCCTTCAAGAACAAGTGGGAATTCAAAGCAATAATACGAGCCTGGTCAGGTTGGGCCACATCGGCAAAAACAGCATCAACCATTCCGATCAACATTCTGTATTTTTGTGGATGACGAGCATCGTCAATAATTGGGATCACATTGGGTCTCTTTTTGGCCATTCCAATCAACTCTCTACCTGGTCTATGAGAAAATTCCACTGCGTAAACTGCACCTTCTGGTCCAACTACATCAGAAACATGCGACACCGAAGTTCCGGATGCGGCACCCAAATACAACACTTTTTTGCCGGGAGCAATGCCCAATTCGTCAATACCTCCCATAATACCAGCAGCCAACTTGGATCTAAAAGGGTTCCAAACACGGTACTCGATTTTGGTGGGGGCTTCACCCTCCACTTTAGCGGGTTCATCAACAGTGATTCTCTTTTCACCATAAACAGATTCTCCTGGTGCTCCGTTCTTGGTCACCAACAAATCTTCCTTGCCTCTGGCAATAAACACACCGGCGTGTCTGTGGGGCTCGATAACCACCTTGGCTCCTCCACGAGCTCCTCCACGAGCTCCTCCTCTAGCGCCTCCACGAGGTCCTCCACGTCCTCCACGAGCTCCACCACGAGCACCGCCACGAGCGCCTCCGCGTCCTCCGCGGGCTCCGCCTCTCATACCTCCTCTCATACCGCCTCTGCCGCCTCTTGCTGGACCGCCTCTACCTCTGGGTGCTCCAAATGCCATTATGAAAATTGGTGAGGAAAGAAAATTTTTCGATGAAAAAGGGCGGCTTAGGTAATGATGGGTCTGTGCTTGGTAATCACCCGTTACAAGACGAAAGTTTGGGCACAAATTATGACTGATCCGTGAGTGATATTGAGACTTTGATAGTACCGTTATCTTTCTTGTACTTGGGTGTATTCTGTCTCTTAATTTGGGGCTGGTATCAATCTTCTGACTTGAGTTATTGCAAGATTTGTCTTGAAATAACCACGTATTCCCATTTTTTCAGTCCACCAATCCTTTCAATGAGTTTCTTTCTCGATTTCTAATCTCTTCGCCATCATCGCTATCCCTTTCATTTCACCTCATCTCCACAGCTCCTTTCTTTAAAGTGCAGTCGTCTTCCAAAATCATACCCCACGGCTCGTTTCGATGCTCATCATGCGGCTCACGTTAGACGGATCCTTATGTCAGCAAGAGGCTATAATGTCGCGCGGCCGTGCGTGTCGCGGCCACCATGGTACCAACTCCGCATGCCGCGTTAACACGCATTACCCACGCATAACATTAACGCAAGAAATCTGCATCACTTGCATAATGACAACTGTCAATTTTCCACTTGTGGTGCTTGGCACCGTTGTCACAGGATGTGCCAATTCGCTCTTCAGCAAGTACCAAGATAACCAATGCGTACGGAATTGTGATGGACCTGTGGCAGATCAGCATTTCTTTGAGCAGCCAGCACTTCAAACTCTTCAAATGTTTGTTGGAGAATTGGCAGTGTATATAGTGTATAAGTACATGTATAGCTCGAAACGTCCGCAACCTCAAGTGGGAGTTCCTGCCGAGGAATTGAGCTTGTCAGAGTCGTTGAAGCTCGCTATACCGTCGATATGTGATTTATGTGCCACAACTATGCTCAATGTGGGGTTGTTATACACTCCAGTTTCAGTGTACCAGATGATTCGAGGGTCGTTGGTTTTATTTGTAGCGTTGCTTCTGGTGGTATTTCTTGGTCGCAAGATCACCAGAATTGAGTGGACGTCACTTTTCTTGGTGACATTGGGAATTGCATTGGTGGGATTGAGTGGTTCTAGTAATGCAGATGGTGCTGATTCCGGCAATATCAACAAACCTCCATCTTTGGTGGCTGTTGGAATATCACTTATTGTCGTCGCAGAGCTCTGTCAAGCCGTCCAGTTTGTTGTGGAAGAACATATTTTGGGTGCTAAAGATATCGTTCCGCTCAAATTGGTTTACCTTGAAGGATTTTATGGGTGTACAATTTTGCTTTTTGTTTTAATTGTACTCAATTTTGTGGTTGGCGCCTTGCAAAATCCAAAAGATTTCACTGAGTCTCCGTTCAACATTCGAGAGTCGTTTTCCCAAATGTTTGGCAATGGAATAGTGCTTTTTTCATCAATTATGATTATGGTTTCTATTGCAGCTTTCAATTATTTCGGTATAACTTTGACCCATATTCTGTCTGCGACCGCCCGGTCCACCATTGATGCGTGCAGAACACTTTTGGTGTGGATTTTGGCACTATTCTTTGGCTGGGAATCGTTTCTTTGGTTGCAAATGTTTGGGTTTGTCTTGTTGGTACTTGGAACCTTGGCTTTCAACGGAGTTATACACCCGGAAACCTGGCTGTGGGTGCCTCAATGGTTTAAAAAGAACAGCCACCACGTCCCAATTGAGGAACCATTGCTTGCGTAGAATCAAAATTGCAGCCGATCGATATGATGTATGGATGTATTGAATTAAAATGGTGTACGGGTCTACGGTCTACGCTACCAAATGAATCGCACGTCGCCACTCACTCAGCATGAACGTGGTACCAGACAATACCCACCATGACTTTGTGAGCAGCACAAAGTTTGGTCAAGTTGCCGAGCACGCTCCAGCTTTGCAGGATGTTCTTCGTGGCCAAGAAGGACCCGTGAGCGTTGCATCTAAGCTCAACAATCGTCATCCGTTGGAAACTCGAATTCAAAACTGGGAAAAAACTCAACATGAAACTCGGTTGGAGACATATAGGCGCGTATTTGGTGCTGGAGAGCCCATCCGGAGAACCATGGAACTTGAAATTGTGGAGAATTCTGATTACAAGCCACTGATTCTCGGAGGAAGTGATTCCATGTCACGGGATATTTTGATGGCCAAGGACGCTTCCTTGGACTGGGAGGACGTGTTCAAGGGCGAGTCGGTGGTGGATATGCACAGCGAGATCGAAAGGAAGTTGAAGTAGAGCAGAATGAGAAGTAAGTGAGGACGTAGAGAAGAAAATGAAGAAAAAGAATAAATGAAAGAACTGGAAATAGCCATTGTGAGTGTGGGTTTCTTCGCTGCAATTGACCGATGTAAACACTCTTTCCCTCTTATGTTCTTACACCCTCCTATACTCTCTTCATACCCTACACACCTTTCTGCACCCGTACACCATTACCCGGTGAGAAAATTTGTCGAATGGTTGCACCTATACTGAATCAGATTACAACTTTTACGTCTTTGCCATTCAAATTGTTACTTTTAGCAAAAGAAAATCCCAAAATTGAACCCACATTATGTCACAGATTGCATCGTAAGTTTTTTTAGTTTCAAAGCGATTCATTTCAACCCCATCATTATCGCATCGCGCCACCTTCTTCATTCTTTTACTAATACAGAACAAACTACGAGTCAGAAACTCTCCAAACTGTTCCTCCCAATAAAGGCGGCCAAAGGTATCCCTTGGAGGACGTTTTCAAGGTGTGGTTTGACAATAAGGACCGTATAGTGTCATCTTCGTACGGAGGTCCGTCGCGTGAGATTTACAAATTGAGCAACCCCAGACCCATTTACCACCTTGAATTGAGCGAAGAAGTGAGTAACGGGGTATCCAGTGGCCCTGGACAGCAGACAGAGCGTCAGGAGGCACAAGGATCCGATTTGGGTGATATTGCGGTGGACCAAATTTCCAACGATTTTTCGCACCTTAATACCCATTCTATGGGCCAAAAAGAAGAGGTATCGAATGTGGATGTGTCGTTCCGCAACGGCTTGAACGGTTCTACGAACGGCACCCTTAATGGAAGTGGAGACCATGGATTTGGTAGAGTATCGGCGACCTCAAAGCACCTTGCACCCAATGAAGACTTGCTTTCTCCGCTGCAAATAGAGTGGTACTACCTCGATGCTGCTGGCCATGAGCAGGGTCCCTTCAACGGTGAAATGATGCAAGATTGGCTTTCGGAGGGCTATCTAAACCCGGATTTGCGTATTCGTCGTCCTCATCAGCAGCAGTTCATCACTCTCAAGGATCTCTGTGAACGTCTCCAGAACTATGTTCTGCCCTTTGCGGTTCCCCAGCCGGCGTATGTGCCTCCACCTCCTAAATCTGAACCGCAAACATCGCTTCCGTTCCTCAATAACCTCAATCCTCAAATCTCGCAACCGCTAGCGACCCAGCTTTCTCAGTCCATGTTGGGCGATTTTCTTCCTCAGGATCCCTTTGCCTCCAACTTCGGCTCCAACTTTCTCCACAACCAGCTCCAAATGCCAAGCTTATTGCTGCAACCTCTCCAGCAGCACCAACAGCATCCGGCAATTGCTCGTGCCAGTGGATGGGGACTCAATTCCGGTCCCAGCACTCCTCATGCGATGGCTCCTTCGCTAGCAAGCTTGCCGCTGCAATCGCAAGTTTCTCCGTGGGCCGCTGGTCTGACATCGCGGGTTAGTTCACCGTTCGTTGGAACGCTTGAAAAACCGAGCGAGGATTCAGAATCTAGAATTGAATCTAGAATTGATTCCAGAACTGAACCTAAAACTGAACCCGAACCACAAATCCCCAAAGAAGAGCCTACCGTCTCTAGTCGTGTGGAAGTGAGCGAAACTCGTGAGGAACGAGTTCCTGAGCCATCTCATGAGCCAATTCAAGAACCAGTTCGTGAACCAGTTTCTGAATCAGTTCCTGAAGAAGCACCTCAGCAAACTCGTGAGCCCGGCAATAACGCCCAGACGTCGCCGGTTGCGGTGAAGAAAGTGGTGAAGAAAATGGACGTCAAAAAGCCAGCACCGGCTCCTTCTTCACAGCCTGTGGTTCCTCCATGGGCTGGCAAGGAACAAGTTGGAAAACCGCAACTCACTTTGAAAGAAATCCAAGCTCTTGATGCCGAAAAGCACGAAAAACAAAGACAACTCGAAGCTGAAGCCAGATCCGCCGAAGCTGCTAGGGCTTTTGCTGCTGCCGCATTGGAGGAAAAAGCTGCTCAGGAAACCAGACCATCGCTTCCTTCCACTGCCAGCTGGGGAGTTCCCACCACAGGAGCTCCAGTCGCCAAAACGCTCGCTGAAATTCAAAAGGAAGAAGCTGAAGCAGCCCGTGCCAAGGTAGCCAAGGCTACTACAATTGTATCTACTCCTACATTTGCGTCGGCTTTAGCCAACTCTGTTCCTAAAGATGATGGTGCATGGACCACAGTTGCTTCAAGAAAGCCTATGGCCAAGAAAACTTCTCAACCAGTAATCTCTACCACCACCACTGCTACTGCTGCTTCTCCTCAGGTGTTGAGATCGGTCTCCGCTACTCGGATTCCAACCAGCTCCAACAACGTCTCTGTTTTAGAAGACTTTATTGTGTGGGCTCGCTCAGCTATGACAAACCTTTATCCTACTGTTTCTAAGGACGACCTTTTGGATATTTTCCTTGCCCTTCCAGCAAACGGAGACTCGTCGGTTCTTATTGCTGAGACCATCTACTCGTCTTCAGCTACTATGGACGGACGTAGATTTGCTGAAGAGTTTTTGAAGAGACGTAAGAGAGTCGAGCAGCAGACTGGAAAGGTGACGATGCTGGAATGGACAGCTGCTATTTCCAGCAGCGCTAACAAGGTCCAGACCGTCGATGAAGATGGATGGAGTACAAGTGTTAAGGGTAAGAAGAAGAAGAGAGCTGCATAGGTAGAGCTAGCATATTCATTGACTAGAGAACAGATTCAGAGGAATTGATCTCTAACAGCTCGTAGTCTTTGAGTAGCATAAAATTTTCACTCTTCAATTTTCACTCTTCTCAATTTTCACTCTTTTCAAACTTCACTCTTTTCTACATTAATTGCGTACTGTTTATTCTCATAACTTCGTCATCTAGACTATCACTCGTCTATGTCGTCATTGAGTACCTTGGACACAAACATAACGTTCTCTTGGGGTATCATTATTATTCCGGCTCTTGCCATAGACAAGTAGTTCATTTCAAATGGATAGCTAACCGCATGCGGAAGCTTTTCCACACCCAACATTATCTTGCTAGCAAGTCCAGCCACTATACCGGGCGAGTCGAATGGGAGCAGCGACAAGTCTACGATAATTGGAATTATGACATCTTGCTCCGAGCCGATGGTATCTCTTGAGCTGAAACCTAGAGCCGCTCTTTTTTTAGGAGATTTGGGAAGAATTAACGACACTTCGTTGATTGACGTTCTTGTGATGGAGAAGTACGGAGGTACTTTGTCGGTGGCTATAATTGTAGCACTTTTGACTATTGTGTTTGTCACTTCGCCAGAACGGGAACCGGTGAGAAGTAACTTGATGTTGGTATTAATTAGGGGCCTTGTATGGTTTTCCTTGAGCCACTCAAGGCTAGCCAGCTCTTTAACCTGGCTGGTTCCCACGTTTGAAATGATGAAGCTGTTCGACAGGTCTGAAAACTGGTACCTTTTTTCTGTCAAAATATCCAATACTTTTTCCTTATATCGATGGGGAATTAACACAATATCGCCAAAATGACTCGATATGAAAAATAGAGAGATGCCGTTCTCCGATAATGGCTGCGTGAGCTTGATAATTTGCAGACTTTTGTCAGATCCATCGCTGTCCATTTGAAGATTTATATAGGTTTCATGGATCAATTGCACGTCATTGTAGCCTAATTGTTGGCAAAGTTGTAAGGGTTTTCGGAAAAGCTTGTCAGCCTTTGATTTGGAGCATATTATAGTACACTCTTCGGGCGTGAATGCTATATGGAAGAAATAGTTGTCTTGGTCGTCGTAGTCATTATCTTGTATTTCAAGTGAACTTTCAGAATCAGAGTCACTTTCATTCGAGTTTTTCCCCTGCCTAGACAAATTGTCTACAGGTGTGCCCTCTCTCAGGTTGCCCCCAAAGCCCATAGGATTATCAGAATCTTCATCTGATTCGCACAGTGAGTCACCTTCGTCTCCCTTTGCAGATTCTTGGTAGAGAAGACATAGTATAGAGCTTACAAAGATCCAGTATCTAGTCCGCGGAACCGAAAGAATAGAGAGCTTGGTCGGGTTGAGCTGAGCCTGGCTGTTCATCGGACTGTAGCATATGAAGATTTTAAGGCCCTATATATATATACTTTTGCTGCGAAAACTCCAAAATTATCCACGTGATAATATGAGTCAGATGAGTCAAAAGACCTGATGCCAGTGGGATAAGACAGGACAAGATAACCAAGAATTATCAGCTAGATCACAAAACTGGTGATTTTTTTCTTCATTTGAAAATTTCATTGTAAAATTTCATCATTTTACATTATTTCAAAATTCTCCTTCTTTACCTCTACATCATTTTAAAAGTCACCCTACTTACCAACCGCCTCTAATCCTTGCCGCTCGTAGAACGTCTCCCACAACTCTATGCTTTCCTTTTGGGATTCAATAGAACCCTCGATAAATATCTCCACACTATTTCTAAAGTCGTCGATCCGTTCAAATTCAAAGTTTTCTAGCTCTTCCTTGAAAGTCTCGCTCATCTGCTCGAATAGTTTTTCAGTCACTGTGACTCTCAGCTGAAGTTTGTCCACCTCGAATTTCAACAGACCAACCTTCTCCTGTTGCAGCTTGTTACGCTGGTTTGTCTTTTCAAGCTGGGTTTGTTTTTTGGCGAGTTCTTGCTTGAAAGATACACACAGCTGATAAATTTTTGAACGAGCCTCGAAAACATGATTTATAGAACCAATGATCCGAAGGTATTCCTCAATTGTAAAACTTAGTGTGAGCAGGTCCTGTAAATTTACACGGTCAATGTTGTCTCTGAGTTTTTGATGGACATCGCCAAACGCTGAGAGAAGATCGCTAGTAGTTTTCAGAATCTCTACCGCTGCCAATTCCTTGGAAACGATCAGAATTTCGTCGGCTAGAGACACCAAATCGATACGCTGGGCCGCTATGGTATCGAGGGACTTGTAGAGCGCCTTCAAGTTGGGTTTCAAGGTCGTCAATATAAGTTTTTTTGTCGGTGAAGAAAGAGTCTGGCTCATCAACTTTGCTGTTCATAGAAAAAAGACTCATGAATCCCGTTCCAACCGTGCCAACGGCACTTGCAGAGGCAACTACGGAACCACCTATTGAACTGGCAGCACTGCCGACATCGGCTACCGAGTCGGATCGAGAGCCAGCACCTCTTTCATCGTGCTCGTCATTGTCATGCAACTGGGTGGTTCCACTAAGTCGTTCTCTTTCCTTTGCGTCCTTCAAAAAGTCCTCACTCAGCAAGAAGCAAACGAAGTCTGGGTCATCACGAAGTTGGGGAACATGCGCTATTCTGCTCAACATTTTTTCTAAAGAGAGTCTCCTCCCTTCGATGAAATTTTCGTTGAACCGTCCGATATACGTCTGCTTTGTGGGCGGAGGAGGGATGATTTTTCCAGGGTGGTTATTTTGGAGCTGATGGTAGATCCACCGGAAATCTTTGTAGCGCCGTGAAACCGTGAACGAATCGGAGTCTGGTGGAAAATGTGGACTATCGAGTACTTGTGTGCGAATGGAGTAGACGATATGGGCTGTAGCGATGTCACCAACTTTCATAGGGTCCCCCACGGTGATATTTAGCGTCGGTTCTGGTGATTCTTTTTTGGAAGATGGCTTTTGTCCGGTTGGCGAAACTTGCGGTTTGGCGGGCGACAATGGCGTATGGGCCACATCGTACAACGGAGCATCTGCCTCCTGGACCAAGGCTTCCGCCCGTGAGTTCGACTTGACCGAATGAGGCGTCTTTTTCGTTATTATCGTCAGTGGCCCGCAATGGATCCGCCAGAGCTGGTTCTCTTTCTTCGTCGGAATTTTCCGCCAAATGCTTGGCCACGAGCTTGCTGCTGTACTTGCGAGGTCGCGGAGCGCTAAACAACCTGTGGCCCTGTTTGATCTCGGAGCTGCGCCGGGGCGAAAGATGAGACGCCAGCGGCGGTTGTGTGGGCGAGTCAGACGACGTTTTGAGGCGAAGAGGACTGCCTTTATCGGCAAACAAAGACTCTCTAGGATCGATTCTTGTGGGAGACGTGACCTCGGGAGCCTCTAGGCTGGATTCCTTAAGATCCTGGGTCAATTTCGATATCAAGTGGCTGGTTTGTTCCGACCTCTGGGTGTGACGAATATCATTGAGTTGCTCTTGCTGAAGATTTGCGATACTGGAATAACCCTGGAGACTTGGGGACCCGTGTTCGAGCTCCGGGTGGTCGTTTTCTTCGTCGTTTTCGCCATTTTCATTTTCGTTGTCTTCATCTTCGTCGCTCTCGCTGTCCTTTCTTGCCCCAAAAGGACTATCAATTAAGTCACTAAAACCATTCGTGACTGGTGGAGGCACATACGTGCTGCCAAAACCGTTAAACTCGTTTTCACGGGGCGCGAGAATGTCATCCCAATGGGACGCCGTAAGATCGTCTGAATCCATGTTGTGCGGTTGAAATAATTTTGGGGTAAAGGGTGAGATGTGTGCAGGAAAATCTGGGACGATAAGCAAATGGTTAGAGAAGAGATGTAGAAGTATGGTTAAAGTAGAGAAGAGAGAGGACTATGGTTGTAAAGATGAATCTTTTTTGAGTTGTTTGTCCATTGACGTATTTTCAGGATTCTATATTTCGTAATTGAACAAAACTGACTTGAACAAATCTGACTTTTCACTCTATTATCTTTATAGGTCAACTTGTGTAGTTCACTTAATTTCAGATTTTCAGGCTTATGGCGCACAGTAGCCGCCATCCACAATGATATCTGTGCCTGTGGTGTAAGTAGAAGCATCGGATGCGAGGTACAAGTATGCACCCACCAATTCCTGCGTCTCACCTTCTCTGCCCATTGGGGTCAATTGCCACCATTTTTCCTTCATTTCTGGTGGAACAAAGTCGGAGATTTCCGTTTTGATGTAGCCGGGCGACACCGTGTTAACACGGGCGAAATGAGCCCATTCGACAGCCAACGATTTGGACAAGTGCAAACAGGCAGCCTTGGCAGCGTTGTATGGAGCCTGCATTTGCGGCACGTTCACTATGTGACCAGACATAGACGCGGTGATGATAAGAGAGCCCTTTCCTTGTTTTTCAAAGATCTTTCCCGCAGCCTTGGCGCAGTAGAACACTCCACTGAAGTCCAAGTCCACCACCTCGTGCCAAGAATCGAGTCCCTCAGCATCAATAGCAGGTCCACTGGTCCAGGGCTTACCGGCATTGGCCACGAAGATGTCTATTCTCCCAAAGTCCTTCTCGATTTGCAAAACAGTCTTTTCGACATCAGCGGGATCCGACACGTTACACTTGTATGCCTTACACTTGATGCCGTAGGTTTTAGCCAAGTGCTCGGCCTTCTCGTCGGAAGGCTTGGAGTTGTACCAGATGGCCACATCGGCGCCAGCTTGGGCGTAGGCCTCGGCAACAGCATAGCCAATTCCTCCGGAAGAACCAGTCACCGAAGCTACTTTGCCCTTGAGTGAGAATAATGTCATGACATTGTTTGAGATCTTTGGTGGTTGTGCTGGCAAAGTGCCGATGTTTTCATTGATCATAGACTTCATTTTAATTGGTGAAAGTGATTGCAAAAAGGGCCACGGAACCTATACTTATATAGTGCGAATCTTGCTGTGTGACGTAAGCGGAATATGCGAGACGCCGGGCTGCAATGTTGCTTAGATCGGAAAAACTGCATGACAACTGCATGAAAGCGCAAGGCATTCCGCTGAATCTTGCGCTGCCGTTACAAGATATAGAAAAAAAAGAAACATAAACTTTAGATACTAAAGAGATGGACTAGAGCGGCGGATCAACTTCCAAATTCATTCCGACTCTCGATGCCTAGATTGGAAACCGATCCGCGCGCCGCACCATTACCGTGCATATGCAAGTACGAGGTGAGACACCAAGACACCAGGACACCAACCATCTCCGGGTTCTACAACCTCTAGACGATAACATAAATACAGTACATACCTAGTACACTCTCTTGGCAGGAGGAACTGGCTTACAGTCGTTCTCATCCAAGGTCGTTCTGATCACATCTCTGTAGTCCAACTTGACTTCTTCACCGAATCCAGTCTGGTACGATAATGTGTGCTTTCTCCAGTTTTCATCGTCTCTTTCTGGGTAATCGTCTCTGGCATGAGCACCACGAGACTCCTTTCTGGCGGCAGCAGAAACCGCGGTTTGGGTGGCACAAGTCAACAAGTTTTGCAATTCCAAGGTTTCCACCAAATCAGAGTTCCAAATCATCGATCTATCGGTGGTCTTGACATCATGGAACTTCTTGTCCACCTTCAAAATATGCTCTACACCCTCGTCTAAAGTCTCCTGGGTTCTGAAAACGGCACATCCCTTCTGCATTGTTTTTTGCATTTCCAAACGCAAGTCTGCAGTTGAGTGGGTTCCGTTGGCGTTTCTCAATCTGTCCAAGTTTTCAATCGACTCGACTCCGAGATCCTGAGGCATAGGCTTGTGGGGAGTATTTGGGGTCAAGTTGTCACGAATGGTGTGCGAAACAGCACGACCAAACACAACCAAGTCCAACAACGAGTTGGCACCCAACCGGTTGGCACCGTGAACAGAAGCACAAGCGGCTTCACCACACGCCAACAAACCGGGAACAACCTCGTCTTCACCCTTTTCGTTCTTCTTCAACACCTCTCCGTTCCACTTGGTTGGAATACCTCCCATATTGTAGTGGACAGTGGGCAAGATAGGGATGGGTTCCTTGGTGACATCGACACCGGCGAAAATGTGAGCGGTTTCGGAAATACCTGGCAATCTTTCTTTAAGAACTGCAGCAGGAATATGCGACAATTGAAGGTACATGTGGTCCTTGTGAGGTCCCACACCACGACCCTCATTAATTTCCATGGTGATGGCACGAGAAACCACGTCTCTGGAAGCCAAATCCTTGGCGGAAGGTGCGTATCTTTCCATGAAACGCTCACCCTCGGAGTTGACCAAGAAACCACCTTCACCACGAGCACCCTCGGTGATCAAACATCCCGAACCATAAATACCAGAAGGATGGAATTGCACAAACTCCAAGTCCTCCAATGGAAGCCCGGCTCTCGAAACCATGGCGTAACCGTCTCCGGTACAGGTGTGAGCCGAGGTACACGAAAAGTAAGCACGACCGTAACCTCCGGTAGCTATCACGGTTCTATGGGCTCTGAACCGATGGAGGGTTCCGTCCTCCTCGTTGTAGGCAATCACACCCACACAGGCTCCATCTTGCATAAGAAGATCCATCGCGAAAAACTCGATGAAAAAATGGGTATCGTGTCTCAACGACTGGCCATAAAGCGAATGCAAAAGTGCATGTCCTGTTCTGTCAGCCACCGCACACGTTCTGTACGCCTGACCACCCTTTCCGTACTCCTTGGACTGACCGCCAAAGGCACGCTGGTAGATACGACCTTCTTCATTTCTGGAAAATGGAACACCGTAATTTTCCAACTCGTAAATACTCTGAGGCGCCTCCTTGGTCATGTAATGGATAGCATCCTGGTCTCCCAACCAATCAGAACCCTTGACCGTGTCATACATGTGCCAGTGCCAGTCATCCTTGTGCATGTTTCCAAGGGCAGCATTAATACCTCCCTGAGCAGCAACCGTATGAGATCTAGTAGGGAACAATTTGGAAATACAAGCAGTCTTGAACCCAGCCTCGGCAAGTCCGAAAGCAGCTCTCAACCCAGCTCCACCAGCTCCGACCACTACACAGTCATATTCATGATCAATGACATGATACTTTTGGCTCATGTATTTGGAAGCATTAACATCTTTTCCCTTAATATCACCAATGGTTTGGCTTCTTATAGCCGACGATGCAAACGACCTGGAGATGGCCCACCGTGCCTCAGCGCGTCCTATCTTGGCCACAGAAAGCATAGTTGATTGTGTGGAGATTTACTGCAAGATGGTTTTGTTCGGACACCGGCCAATCAAATATGGCCAAATAAGCAGGCGTGCGCTGCCCATTTCGCGGGGCCGGGTCGGTGGTGCACGGGTGCGTGTTCCGGGTCGATTTTTCACTTGCAATTGTGCCATGGAAATGGGTCGTAAAAAAACCTCGAAAAAAGGAGTGGTATTGGGATGGTCATAGGAGGACGGCGTATTTTTGTTTGTTGTTCAATGGGCAAAAATGGCGGTTTTGAATCGGGGTCAAACGACCGACCTAAGCAGGTATGAGAATTACGCCGGATCGCGAGGGTGCGTACAGACCAGCACAAACAGATTACCGGGGAAGATACCGGGAAACCTATTTGGAAATGAGACATTGAAAGAGAGAACCGCGAAACAATAAAATATCAGAACATAAACAGTTTCTGAGGTTAGGTTGAACCTTACTCTCTGAACCGGACTAGATTCTGGTATTATCTTGGTTTTCAATTCAGCAAGACATTACTCCATTAATCTTCATTTTTGTATTTGGTTCATCTACTAGTGTGTCTAATGCCATTCTAATTTGTATCTCCTGCTGATGAGTTTATATCTTTCCGGTACTCAGTTCCTCAAGTGTTTCTAATAGCCATTCTGATTTTATATCTTCTGCTGATGAGTTTGAATCTTTCTGGTTCTCAGCCTTGAAATTGTATTTCATCTCCATTTCATTTATACTTAGATCTACATTCCATCACTAACCAATTTATTCTATGTTAAGTATCAATTATGTTTAGACTAGTAGTCTTATGCTATGCTATTATACGCTGGTGTATCCTCCATCCACCTTGATGTCAGATCCAGTGGTGAATGTGGAAGCGTCTGAGGCGAGGTACAAGTAAGCTCCCACCAACTCTCTGGGCAATCCCTGTCTACCCTTTGGTGTCACCATGTACCAAGCGTTTTTGATGTCTTCTGGGACAAAGTCGGACAACTCGGTGGCAATATAACCAGGAGAGATCGAGTTGACTCTGGCGAAATCGACCCATTCGACGGCCAAAGATTTACCCAAGTGCATGACAGCGGCCTTGGCAGCATTGTAAGCAGCTTGCAATTGAGGACCGTTGACAATGTGGGCAGACATGGAAGCAGTCAACACCAAAGAACCAGTCCCTTGTTGTTTAAAAATACGGCCAATGTTCTTGGCACAGTAGTATACACCATTCAAATCCACGTTCATGACATTGTGCCATTCGTCGTCGTTTTCTTGCTCGATCAACGCACCAGAGGTCCAGGCGATTCCGGCGTTGGCAACGAAAACCTCAATCGAACCAAAATCTTGGTGGATCTCTTCAATGACAGTTTTGACCATATCAGCCTTTCTCACATCGCAGTGTTTGAACACAATTTGTGTCTTTGGGAACCGTTTTTTCAACTCACCAATGGCAACGTCGTTGTCGGCGTAGTCGATAATAGCCAACTTGGCAATACCAGCTTGACAGTAGGCTTCGGAAATACAGTATCCAATACCACGGGCGCCACCAGTAATAACACCATTTTTGTTGGTCAATAAAAACAAATCCAAAACATTTCCAGGGAGCGAAGGGAACTCAGCAGGAAGAGATCCGATGTTTTTGTTGAAAACTGATTGGGGTGTAGTATTGTCGATCGTCATTGAGATGATTTGCAACTGGAAACCCCGCAAATTTATACTTTTGCAGCCGGAAAAATTTTCTGCAACACCCCCGGCTTATCGACCTGCAGATGCCACGATGAGCGTCATTCTTGTGTCATTCTCCGAAATCGTTCCGCGTTAGCTACCGGTGTCCGGGCGTGGGCACTGGGTGTAATCACCTCACTATGCATAAAAAGCAACTTATCGGAAAGTTTGCCATGCAGGCCCGGCCATGCAGGAAAGATGTTGACCGTCTGAATGTTGACATAATGTCGATTGACTAATCTGCATTCGGTCGATTCGTACAAACCTAATCTGAGATGTTGACCTAATCTTGCAGTGACTCGTCTCTTGACATGATTTCGATTAACTAATCTGTCTTCCGAATGATTTTCGTACATTTTTTTTGATTGACTTTCTGCATTTCTATCTACTAAAATATCACATCATCCTCGTCGTCCTTGACCAAGTCCTCGCCTTGAGCCTTGGCATCGAGCTCCTCCACCGCCTCCACTTCTTTGACAGCATTGGCTCTCTCCTCCACCTCGGCCGCGGCCGCAGCCTCCTGCTTCTTTTCCTGCACCTTCTTCAACCGGTAGAACTCTTCTCTGTCCAACTCGTCGAGTTCGGAATTGATGTAAGTGATGGTGTTTTCTGTTCTGGGGATGATTACGTGCTCAATTGCATTGACTCTTCGATTGGTCACCTTGATAACTTCGTCCAAAATTATAAATGCAGTTTGCAATGAAGCAAGCTCCACCAACGTTTCTACCGCACGAGTGTACACAGCCTTGGCTTTTTGAACCTGTTGTCCTCCACGGCCCAATCCGGTCAATTTGAAATCGTTGATTTCTTCATTAATATGACTTTCAAATGTGGGCAAAAATACTCCAGAAACGTTCTCTTGCTTCGCCTTCACTTGGAACCGAGCCTTCTGTACAGATTCTTGCACTTGATACGAAATGTTATCGCCCGTAGCATACTGAACTTCTGCAAGAGAAAACGCAGCAGTCTGCATAACTCGGCCCATTTTTCTTTTAGCATCGTCAATCTTCTGGGTTATATCTCTGAATCTTTTTGTCAATGCTTCCGATTTTCTTTTTAAGAGTGAGTGTCCTTGCTGTGCGCCCTTTAACTTGCCTTTCATGACCCCGAGAGTCATCCGCGTGGGGAAAACCTGTTCCCTATTTCCAGCCCCCGACATGTAGAGTTGAGTTTCTCTCACCCTGAAACTTTGGTGGCTGGTGTCTGGGTGCAAAACAGGAAAGAGTAAAACGAAAAAGAAAAAAAGAAGAAAAAACAAAGAAGAGGAAAGCTACGAGACGACGAGTTGAAAATAGAGATAATTCTCAAATTTCCCATTTCCAATTCTGTTCTTCTCTTATCTTCATTTTTCTGTTCTCTTACTCCTGCATCTTGTCCCGCACCCACCTGCATCTCATCGCTCAGCTTCATTATGTGGTCAATAGATGAGTTCGTACGACCGGAAGACCAACCTTATGAGGTCGAAATTCTGAAAAATCCCAATAGTGTCGACTCGTGGTTCAAGTATTATCGGTCCAAGCGCGACGGGAGCTTCAAAAATAAGATATTTGTTCTTGAAAGAGCAGTTCGTCAGTTTCCAGAAAATGATGAATTTTGGTCTTTGTACTTGGAAACATGTCAGAAAGAGCTCGCGAGCTCGAAACCAGAAGCAACAACAACACAGGTCAACAGGGTATTTCAGAGACTGCTACTACACTTTCAAAACGATGTTAACTGGTGGCTAAAGTACCTCGTCTACCTTCTCAAAACCCAACCATTCGAAATATCTTTGATACGACGAAGCTTCAACGAGTGTTTGTTTCGGATTTCAGTAGAGGACCACGTCAAAATTTGGCCCACTTACCTTGAGTTTGCAGAAACGGCAGGCGGTGCCACGGGTGCCAACATATATCGCAAACTACTATGTTTTGCAACTCCCGAAGAATTGGCCAAAGGAGACGAGTTTTCCTCCTTGGCTTCGCTAGAGTCTGTGGTGTTCAAGCTCATTGAATATGGCGACACAAAATCGTCACTGGAAATTCTCAAGCAAATTTTAAACCAGCCCGCACTTTCGTCAACTTTGACTACTTCTCCATTCCATTTTTTCCTCCATTATCTCGACCTTCTTGTACAATTTGCAGCTGTGCCAGAAACAGACAAGCTCATTGAAGATTTGGTCAAGTCGACGCTACCAAAATACTCCGATGAAGCAGGAAAAGTATACTGCAAAGTCGCACAGTACTTTATTAAGCGTCAAGATAGCGACAGAGCTCGCCAGTACTTTGACCAGGGACTTCGAGAATGTGTCACGGCTGAAGACTTTGCCTTGATATACGACTCGTACACTTCTTTTGAGGAAGAAATTTTGCTGAACTTGGCAGAAGACGACCCTGAGGTGGACAACTACCTTGAGAAATACGAGAAACTACTTGACCAGCGCTCACTACTTCTTAATGATATGTTCCTACGCCAAGACGAAAACAACATCGACAACTGGTTTGGCCGTGTTTCCATTTTCAAAGAAAAAAATGATACAAATTCTGTGCTCACCACCTATGCAAGGGCGCTCACCCAAATAAACCCTTTGAAAGCCTACAGTCTTCTGAAACGCTCTGAGCATACTCTCCCGAAACTCTGGAGTGACTACGCCCAAGTTTACTCTTCTCACAAAGACTACGATACTGCTGACTTCATATTTGCAAAAGCTGTGAAAACCAAATTCAAAAGCCCCGACGACTTGGCTACAATTTACATAGAATGGTCCAAGCTATGGCTCGAGAAGGACTTTGAGAAGTCAGTTGCTATTCTCCGGACTGCCTTGGAGAGTGAAATCGAACACCCAGATACAGTCGACTATACTAATTCCAGTGTACCGATATCCGAAAGATTAGTTAAATCTATAAAGTTGTGGTCCTACTACCTCGATCTCCTAGAGTCAAGCATAGACTACGAAGATCCCGAAGGCAGTAAAAAAGCTATAGATGATGTGGAAAATGGCTACAATCGTTTGGTTGAACTCAAAATTGCTACACCATTGACCATAGTGAATTTTGCATCTTTCTATGAAGATCTCAAATTTTATGAGCGTTCCTATACGGTATATGAAATGGGACTCAAAGTGTTTAAGGACTCTCGAGTAAGATTCGAAATATGGAATGTGTACTTGTCCAAACTATACAAACGACAGGCGAGCAAAGAACGTACCAGAGAACTATTTGAAAAAGCCATCTATGGTTCTGAAGACGACAGTTGTCCGGCTGATCTTTGCAAGCCCCTTGTACTATTGTACTCTCAATTTGAACATGAAAACGGAATGGATTTAAAGTCTGTCAAAGTGTTAAAAGACGGTATCCAGAAAATATCGAAAGCCTTAGATACAAAAGAACTCACCGATAAAAGGGTTATGGCGAGCGATTTACTTGAAGATAAAGTTGCATTGTACAACATTATTCTAGTGAGAGTGGAAAGTATTGGCGACAAGTCTTTAACGAGAGAAACTTACGAACAGTGCTTGCAGGATAAGCACTTGAAATTATCACACATTGTCACTTTTACGCTTCGTTTCATAAAGTACGAGTCTTCTCTTGGTGAGACAACTCGAACTCGAGCTCTTTTCAAGTATGTTTGCAATCTTGGCCATCCTGAGCTTCCCATTTTGGTGAGAGCATGGGACGAATGGGAGCAATTTGAGTTGAAAAATGGAAATGAAACAACTTTCAAGGACATGTTACAGTTCAGAAGAACTGTTAAGGAGTCTTCAGAGGCCGCGGAACAGCTTAAAGCGGGTATCAATCCAATGGGGTTTGTTAAAGAGAATAAAAAAAGACCCCGGGAAGAAGAGACAAACAATCCAGATACCATAGACATAGATATGGATTGAGCGGTTCATAAAATGCATAAGATTACAATAAGATAGAACTATAGTAATAACCACAATCCAGCGACTACTATTAAGTGGTCTAAAGCACCTTGAAAGTTTCCACCCATTTGCTGGTGAAAGAGTCCAAGTTTGTCGTGGCGTCGGCGGTGTTGTTGATGCGGATACTCTTGTTGCAACGAATAAGCTCGCGGTAATCATTCCAGTTGATGTGATAAAATTTGAACACCACCATCAAGAAACTCTGAATAACTTTCATATTATTCTTGCCTTGTGTCTTGGTTGCAAATGAGTATGTTACAACGAGCTGAATGAGCTTGAATACCAAGCTGAAAGCAGCAGAGTTCATGCACAAGGAAGCTTCGACGCGAACTTCGCCGCCATCAATGGAGTTGGTTTTGGGTGAAAAATTAGCCGCTGGCTTAACATCAAAATTGAAGCCTGATTGTGCAACGATGGGAGTTGAGGGCGCCGACTTACTGAGCGGAAGCTTATCGTTCATGTGAGTCAACATCTCGCAGAAAGCAGAAGGACTCAAATCTGCAAATTCTCCAGCATCGTGAAATTTTCGGAGAAACTTGTATATCTGGCTGGACGAGGGAAAAGAGCGAGTGGACCACTTTTCAAGAACGTCGCCCAATTGACGGAAAAACAACCGGTTGAATACTTTCCGATCAATCAACTTGATCAAGGTGTATATGTTTTGCAAAGACTCGGAGTCCTGGAACATGATAAGAAACACGGGAATGAGAAGTATTTCGTCCTGCCGGCGGAGACTGTCTTCGTCCTCACTGAGGGAAAAGGCAAAGAGCAACTTCATGTAGTTTTCACGAAAGAGCGCAACGTCATCTTTACTCATTTCCTTCATGATAGACTCATACAACGGTTTCCGCAAAACGGAGTTCATAACGTCCGTGAACTCGTACGTTTTGGTCGCTTTCATCGAAGGTGAAAGATTACTCACCTTTTCTTGTGCTAACAAGAACCCAGATGACAATAATTCAACCATCTTTGCGGAATCGTACGACAACACTTTCATCAAGTACTGAAACTTGCATTTGTCAGGACAAACCGAGTCCCAGTTGAGTCTTCTGATAGAATTTTTGTCGTCGTTGAATTTTTTCTTCAAGTCTTTTTCATCTGAAATACTCAAGATCAATTTAAGCCAGTGCTGGTTGTGCACAATCATCGATTCACTGAGCTTTTTTCGAGAGTCAAGGGTGGATTTGCTAGTAATCTCGAGGTTGGACAAAACTTTCTGGAACTCTCTGGCATGTTTGCTCTTGTCAAGTTCTGCTTTTGGTGGGAGATTAATGGGACGACTCTGATCTACCAAAATAAGCTTTTCCGGAGAGAAAAGTCGAAGGTCTTCAATTGAAGATTGTGATTTGACATAATGCGGAAGCTTATACATCACTTCGTTATCTCGATCGTTCCGAGCGCTTTGCAAAAATGATACGGATCGGTCGCTATAAAAATCAGATATGTTCTGGGTGATAGCCACGTCGCTGTCCATCGATACAGAAAACGTACTCTCTTCTCTCGACTCATCTTCCTCTTCTATGCTATGTTCTGCGATGGTCGTGGAATTCAAGGATGTGTTTGGCAAATCGGAAGTGGAGCTGAAACTCGAATTCGTGCCAAACGAAGTAAGATTTGGAGGAAGTGGTGTCGGCTTCATGGTAACAGAGCGGTGTAGTGAGCCATAATTGTCGTCTTTGTTCGAGATGAGGTCTTCACGAGATATTCTCACATTTTTATTCTGAGCAGAAAGCGACGGTTTTCGGTAAATATCGGCATGGTTCTTTATGACAGGAACATTGAAAAACAAGTCTAGATCATTCGATAGTATTTCGTCATCGTTCTCATTCTCTTCGTACATTTTCTTCCGACGCTGTTGACGCTCGCGGGCCTCCTTTGGGTCCGAGTACTTCGACTTGGTTCTATGAAGTGAAAGTGACGAAGTGGACGACACCGAAGGTGCGCGTCGCAAGATGTTGGAAGTTGAGGAAGCTTTGACTCTTGTCTTTGAAAGCTGCGCCGGGTGCGGTGCTGACGAAGTCAACGAGGAAGTGGACTCCAAGGAGTTGTTGTATGGGGCACCTGAGTTCTTAAGGGTAATGGTGGAAACTGAGGAGGCAAGATCTTCGTCATTGTGGAACAGCTCGTTCTGCGACTTTAAACTGTCTTGAGACTTATCGTCGTTTCGCGGAAACTGGTTATTGTTGACCATAGGCGAGTCTGCTGGCGTGGTGATCGAGTGACTAGTCATCGAACTGAGACGGGAATCTTGACCGTCAAATTGAGATGACCCCAGCAGAGACACTTCGTCCGAGTAAGAAGACGGAAGAGACACTATGGAGTCTCCCGAAAACGGACGAGGTGCACCTTTCTGGTTTGTGGTTGATGATAAATTGATGGAACTATTGCTGAGTTTCTGAATAAAATAATCTCCTGGTCGTTTCGAGTCTCCCGTGAACGAAGCACTGCTTGCTACTCTGCGAGGAACGTAATTATTGGGGTATTTTTTCTTGCTTGTGAGCGCTCCAGACGCCTCACTGGATAGGGTTATATCATAGTAGTTGTCTATACGTCGAGACATAGCAAAGTTGGCGAATTAAACGGAACGGAAAAAAATATGGACGATGATAGATCTTAAGAAAAACGAAGGTTTAGTCCTCTGTAGCGAGTGAAGGGACTGGATATGGTTTACCGTGGTACGAAAAAGTTCATTCAACAATTATAACACCCAAACGAGAAAAAATCAATTTAAGCGCTACTCACGGAGATGTGTATATATTGTGCAATTTGTTTATGAAGCAAACGCCAATTGGGCTATATGCAGTACACACGATTCGGGAAGCGACCATGGGCTCGTAACAACGAATTTCTGGGCTTAGATGAAATGTGCACGAAGGACAAATTTAGCCGAGAAGAAGTCAAATGCACTTTAGCATAGGGCAATCGACTTGAAAAATGTTTTCGGAATCAAATAAGCGCCGAAATAAGCCCGAATTGTGAGCCCGATTAATTCCGCAATTTGTCCGACAATCTATTTTTATCTTTCGGTTCCTTGGTCTAGCCAGTCGGTTGTGCTCATCTGGGAAAGACGAGATAAGGCCCTGGCAAAAGCAAATTTTTCCTCGTCGTTAGCAAACATCGCAGCCTTCTTAGCCACACTTTTATCAAATCCGTGCTTAGTAACAAGCTCGTCGTTTTCAAATGTCTCTTCCCCACCGATATCTTGTTGTCTTTTATAGAGCAGATAATTGTCTTTGGCCAAGTCTTCGGGTTCCACGAAAAGGTCCTTAAAGGGGGCTGCTGCTGTGACGGCGAGACGGCCGCGGGCATCGTAGACAGCATCTAAAAATGTAATAAACCGTCGCACGTTATCTCTAACATCGATGCTCAAGTATGGAATATCGGTAACAATGAAAGAATGGTATGAGTTAGCCAAAGAGAGATAATCTCCCGCTGCCAAAGGGCTACCGCAAAGCTCGTGGAAGGTAAATTGAGCCACATAGGGACGAGAACTAATGGGAACCACAAGTTTACGACCCCATACCTCGAGGGTATCGTTGACAATGGGCAGTTTATTATCGTTTTCTTTGTTGAAGTATTCGTACCATTGCTCAATGTGCTCCTTGCACTTCTTCTGGTTGGCCTTGGACATGTACTTGACACCTGGTTTGGGGTAGTAGTACACCAGAGACATGGGTCGAGGTATCTTTCTGTAGTCTGTTGGAGAGTTCAAATAAATCACCACCGTTTGTCGTTTTATCTGCTGGATACACGGAATGAACGAAACCCTTTGAATTCCGTTCAAATAGAGGTCGTCAGGTGCTCTGTTGGATGTAGCAAATAGAACCACTCCATAGTGCGGGCTGATGAGCATCAGTAAAAGTCTACGCAAAAGCATTGCGTCGGCCACGTCTGTGACTTGAAACTCGTCAAAACAAAGCACCGTCGCCTCCTGGGCAATTTCCGATGCCAAGATGGGAATCACGTCCAAATCAGCGTGGTATTTCGTCTTAAGCTCGTGCGACCGTTTGTGCAAATGCTGCATAAATTGGTGGAAATGAAACCTCTTTTTGGCAAGATGTGGAGGAATTGTCGAGTAGAAAAGGTCCATGAGCATGGTCTTGCCGCAACCAACATCACCATATAAATATATTCCCTTGACAACGTTTTCATCGGTGGAAATCGTCGTTGGAGCCGAGGATGTAAGCTTGCCAAAAAAGCTCCGGAAAGCTCCAGAGATGCCAATTTTCGGCTTCAATGACAGTATGGACGGTATCTCCACCGTGGGAGGAGTGTAAGTCGATAATCTCTCGTGCAACTTGGAAAGATTGGTGATGATTTTCCGTTGGTAGCCATCGTCCCTTAGTTTTTTCGTCTCGACCCGATGGTTATATTCTTCTAAAGGAGTTTTTAGGCATCGCAATGAGCCATGGAACAATCTCTGGGAACGAAAGAGAAGCCTTGGAGCTTTATACAGCCGTATTGGGCGTGACATGGCCCGCGATTTCATCTTTATATTCGCATCTTGATAGGACCGCGGTGACAGGGGAGTGTGCAGGAAGTCCGGGGTAGAGAAGAGAAGAGCTTAAAACAGTGGAACGCAATGCTTCTTATTTATGCTAGTGTTTGGCGAGGTTGGTGTCGCTCATGGTGAACAAGAGATCATCGTCGTCGTCAAAGTGGCTTCTACTAAGCGACTTACTCCGAGCTTTCGCCTTGAAGTACCCATGATGATCTTCGTCTTCGTCGTCATCGTCAAACACATTTTCGTAGTGGAGGTGCTTGCGATAAGTAGATGGGGTTGTTGCCAAGCCCACGATTTCATCGCGTGTAGTTGCTGATGCTGTCTGAGACATTGCATGGGCAGAAGTTGTCGAGATTACCGGCGAAGACATCATTTTCGAAGCTGGTTTGATTAGCGGGCCTGGAGCTGGTGCCGTAGCAGGAGCAGGATGTGGTTCAGAAGACTCGCGGAGTCTTGAGTGAATCGACGGAACGTGAGACTCGTAAGATCCAGGCGGAGATGAAGACTTGCGGTGCATCATAACGCTAGCATTGACACTATCTCCAAGTTGTTGGTGTTGGCTCTTGAGCTGGTGGAACCGGTTAAGCACTTCGTACTGAGACCCCAGCTGAGATCCCAGACCGCCGCTGTCGTGACCAAAGCGTAAGTCTTGCTTCGAGTCGATCATTCTCACAAAATCACTGATATCATCGTCAATGTAAAGACCGCTCAATGGGATCAGAGTAGCCAGTCCAGCACTGGTTCCGAGCGGCGAAGTGGTATCGTGCAAACTTCCGTGTCTCACCGAAGTATTGGAAAATCTTCGACTGGCTCGAGAGCCAAAAGACGACAGAAATCTGGGGGTATTGGCAGCACTGTCGGAGTCCTCGTAGCCGTAACCATGAGACAGAGATACAGAGCGAGGAAATCCACCGGTGACCGGCGCACCTGTACCTATCGAACCGGCAATAGGAATGGAAAAACTGCTTCGAGGGTTCCGCAAAACAGCTGCCAACGATGCGTTCGACGTGGATTTGTTGCTGGTGATCGAGATGCGACGTTCAAGCGACGAGCTGGCGGGAGGCGGCAGATTTCCAATAGAACCAACTCTGAAGGGTTGGATGGACGGCCGTTTCTTGTCGTCTCTAGGAGGTGAGCTAGGCGAGCCAGAAAGCGAAAGCGGCGACGTGCCTTCATGAAGCTCTGATTTGAAATCGGACCCTTCGAGTTTGACCGCTTCGAGCTGCTTGAATTCCGGCTTGAAGGGCTTGTACTGGACATGTTCTGGTGTTTTGTCTGATTTTTCTTCGTCTGTTTTGTACGCCTTTTCTTCATAAGGGATGCTCTCTATACTGTGATCCTCCTCACCTTTGCTTTCTACTTGCCTGAGGTCTTCTCTCGGCTCTTTTTCTCTTCCGAGCTCTCTATGATCCCACTCGGCCAATTCCGTGAACTCACAGTGACTACGGTACGCCACGCTCACCTTGAGCGTTCCCAACAGCGTCTCTATGGGCAGAAAAGTGCGGTGCCGTACATGGGTATCGGTGAGCATTTGGTGCGGTATTATGGTTTTAGAAAGGCCAATTCGTCCCTTCAGACTTATGGGCTTGCTTCCATCCACTATTTTGTTCGCTAGCACATAATGAGGCAGCTGGTTCCGAAGCAGAGCAGCCGGCATAATGCGAATAATGGTGTATATGCTTCGGCAAAGTATAATAGCCTGCTTGTAGATATAGGGAAGTTCTTCAATGGTTCCAAACTCATTGGGATCAAACTCAACGAGCCATCTCTCCAAAACCACCTCTGTCTTTTTGGAACCGCCTTTTGTAACCGGCCACAAGTTGCCATGTTCATCCTTAAGTGCAAGGGTATGTCCTTGAGGAAGGTTGCCCAAATCCAAGTATGTCTCTACGATCATAGGCGGTACTGCCGTCAAGTCAATTGTGGACCGCCAGAGCCGCAATTCCAGTCGTAAGTCGTCCGAGTTGAAGGTGTGTAAATTGAACCATTTGTTGAGTTTTCCCTTTCCATGCTCATCCAAGCTTCTGGCTTGAAGGATCATTTGGGACGTCTTCAAGAAGAAGTTGACCGTCACCTGGGTGAGCTTTTGTTTTGGTTTCTCCATGATAGATCGAAATACGCCACAACACAAAAATCACCACCAACGCGAGATTTCAATTTTGTCCTTTTTGTGGCTGTGCAAAATAAGTTGCTAAACACGAGGAGAAAATACCACTGTAGAACCACTGTATTACCGTTTATCAGCCTCTATTCGTGGTTACTCATCTACTAGAGTGACTAATGTACGCTTATCTTTGTAGGGTTCGCGGATTGGGGAAAGTGTATGGGGTAGACACGTGACACTCGGAACGTGACACCTGATCGATACTGAACACTGAAATAGCGTATTACTTATCTTCAAATCTCATATTATTGCATATATTATGTTATTTCTGCTATATTAACATAAGCAACATGGACTAAATCCATATATCTTACTTTAGATGTGTTTACCTATTACATAAGTAGATATAAGTTCATTCACCACAGCAGTTTCTACGCTATAAATAGGTTTATCCTCCGATTTCCGGCACTGCTTATTTAGCGTTCACGGTGTCTGATTCCGCATGTTGCCTTCCCTCTTCGTTTTGTCTGATCTCCGGTTCGTCACCATTGCCTCGCTTAATGCTGATACTGACAACACCCCAAAAGTTTATTGTAAACTCATTGCGATTTACTGTTAGTAGTCGTGCAAATTGCATTCTACTCGAAGTCGGTTGAAAATTTCGAAATAAACGTCTATAGATTTTATTTGCTTCATCAACCAGTTTTATAGTGGGTTGTAAGCCTCATTGTGGCTTTGACTCAGGTTGAATATTATCTAGCCAAGAATGCTTGACAGGCATATGACACACGACCAAGAACGCATTACCAGAGAATGGCACAAATACCCAAGTTTCAGAGCCGTACCCCGTTACAACTCACTATGGATCCTGGTAGAATGGCTGCGAAAAAGATAAGATCGGCGGACTGCATCCAAGCCACAGCGTCGGTGGTCGTCGGTGCTCCCCGGCGTAGTCAAGCGACAAATCTCCACCGTTCTAATTTGAGATTACAGAGGCTTGAAGCAAGGTTGTATCGGGTCCTTCTATGTCTTGTCCAAAGTTGCTTTTCGGCTTATCTGTCCCACTTGCCGACACTAGCGGTGTATGGATGGCATGCACGACGCACTATTTGACAGGGCCGTGCGTAATGACAGAAGATAAGCCGATCAGTGGCCATCGATGTTTTTGGGAGCCATGCATCGCCAAGACACCAAATTACAGCTCTGTACTGCTAGCAGTGTGTAGAACCACTGTGCAAAATATGGGACCGCAATCGCCGAAATTGAGCCAGAATCATAGTACGCCAGTATTGCTAAAGCGTATTTCAGCGCGCGATATTTCGGAGCGCAATGAAAAAGGCCGCGTGGCTCGCCCGCAGTGGATGAATCGAAAACTTTCTAATTTAAAAAGCTTGACAGCCTATGATACAATTACCCACGTTTCAGAGCCACAGTAACTGAAAGATCTGGTTGAAGCGGTACCGAAAAAATAGCCCACTAGTCTCCAAGTTAATCTATTGAATATAACCTCTACATAAACGGTGTTTCATCAAGTTATACCTGGGTCAATATCTGTCGCGACATCTCAACTTAAACCTGGAGTAGGGCCAACTTGGATGGGTCTAGTATAATGGCTCTTTGCATGTGCCGCAAGGTGTTCATGCTTTTGTGGGCATTGGCGAGCTCATGAGCAGTTATCTTGGTTTCTCGCAAGCCAGCTATAGCGAGAGCCATTGAACTATTGAGTCGCATCCACACATGGAAATCGTGTGGAAAAAGCATAGCAGCCTTCCTCCACACCATTTGCGCCGAGGTGGAGCCTAGACGAGTATTGATGGCAGAGAGGAGCCGTGGGATCGACCGGAACGAGTCTGCCACCACTTCCTCAAGCGGGAGGGCTTCAAGCTCCTCTTTAATGGGTTCGAGATATTCGGCATAATTCTCCGAAATTGCCAAAGCTCCGAGTGTAAGAACTACTAGCAACGACGAGCCCTGGTGTTCAATGTATGCGAATAGCTGGTCGAGAGCTGCTTGCTTGGTTTCCTCGGATCCATAGGCGTATAAAACTTGTGCTGTCAAAGTTGTGATTCTCATGGACTCTCCGTTATTGTCAAGAACAATTTTAAGCTCATTTATCGCTTCGGAAAATTTGTCTTGGAAAAAGTAGCAAAGGCCAATTACAACATGGCACGAAAGCTCTGTGGCCGGGCTCATCGTGGAAGCGGCACCACCAAGTTCGAGAGCCAATCTGGCCAGTTCAAGTGCTTGCTCGTAGTCTTCTTTGCCAAGATACAAACGAGCAACGTGCGCAGTGGTATCGGCATATTTAACAAGACTGGTCTCATCCTCGTTCCTTTCATAGAGCTTTTCGTAAATCTGGCATAGCTTGGTTCCAACCTCAACTCCAAAGTCAAAGTTCTGACACCGCTCACTGATGAGCAATGCTAGTTCAAGACCCAAAATATCATTTGGCAAAAATTTGAGATACTTCATCATTGCAAAATTAGCCACACTCATCTCTTGAGCTGCCTCAATATCCTGGGGACTATTTCCAGTTACAACGACTCTCTTTTGTACCACTGACAAGCCATACATGAGTTGAGCCAAGGGTATTCTTCCGTTTGCGACAACGTAGGCATGTGTGAACAACGACGACGCTTTCATATTATCGTTCAAAATTTGAGCACTCAAGGCATTTCCCAACCACGATTTGGATTGTTGTGGAGACATGGACTGAGCACGGACAAATGCCGTTTGTGCTAACTCAGCGTCTCCATGGCGCAAGTAAAGCGCAGCCAAATTGATCCATACTTCCGCATCTCGATTATCAAGTGATGAAGCCTTGATGTAACAATGCTGAGCTAGCTGAGGATTGGAGTCTGAATAAGCATTTCCTAGTGCAACCCAGTAGGTTGCATTATGCGATTCGAGCTTGACTGCTTTTTTGAGAACCTGAGTGGCATTCTTCAAGCACTCGTTATTGGAAATGAAAGTATTAGCCTCCAAAAAAGCTACTCCAAGATTGAAATAAGCGACAGAACGCAACGCTCTAGCGGAGCTTTTGGGAAGAATAGCAAGTCCTCCACAAGCAGAAGCAATGAGAAGATAGGATATAGCAGAAACGATCTCGTTATCTTCATACAGAGTCATTGCCAGGCTCAAGTACTCACCACAATTATGAGTTTCTGGCGTCCCGCAAATTAGAGCTTTGTGCTCCTCAAAAATCAGATACACTTTATCGAATGGAAACTGGTCTGTTCGTTCTTGAACCACCAAAAAAGAACGAAATGCATCGCCCATAGCTTTCCATAATTTAGACGATTTGGGGTTGAGTGCAACTGCCTTCTTGATGGTTTTCAATCCTCTAAGGGTAGCCTCGATCGACTGTCCAAAAAACCCTCCGCCGATTAACTTTTGAGCATATTCTATCTCAAATTCATAGATAGCATTGAGGACGCATTCTTCGTTTTCGCTGAGCTCTTCTGCTCGATTCAACCTTTCCAATCCTTCGACAAACTCACCCATTCCACAGATCACCAACCCTAGCATATAATGGACCACCCATCTAGATTCGTCCATTTCTAGAGCACGACGAAATACTTTGGCAGCAGCGTCAAATCGTCCACAATTGTAGTACGCTTCTCCCAAACCTATCCAACACTCGATATCCATGGCTGTCATTCTAAGAGCAGTTTGGAACCATTCAATGGCATTTGCATCTTCCTGGTCATTCAAGGCTGAACATCCTAATACTCTGTATGGCCAGGATTTATCTGGGTCTTCGTATGAGTTACTAAGAAGCATTCTCCTCGACCGCTCTGTGTCGATTATCCGTTTGCACAAGATCTCGGCAAGACTCCACTGGTTTTTGTCGGTGAGATCTGTAACCAAATATTTAGCAGATGTAATCTCGGCTACATCAAGTTCGAAAGCCTTGTAGAAACATTTCTGGGCTCGAACATGATCATCAAAATGCTCCTCATACAAGTATCCAAGAAGAGTATAAGTGGGAGCATAGCTTTTGGCGTCTTTGAGAGAAGTCAAGAGATGCTGATGTGCACTTTCAATGCGAGAGCCATCCTGTGGCTGCTCATCAATCAAACTCTTGGCTATTCTCCAATGAATCACAGCTCGTGTCTCACCACTAAGAACATCTTGTCCACTAACTTTTGAGATAGCAACTTCCAAACCCGCTCTTCCTTCTTGAAAGCGGCCTAATTTGATCAAGCACCAGTAGTATTCCACCGACGCATCGATATTATCGGGATTAGTATTCTTCACATTTTCAAGAAGACTCAATGCTTCAGAAAGCTCTCCTTTCTCGAGCAAAATCAATCCTTTTCCAATGAACGATTTGACATGCTGTGGACTGGTCTCCAAGATTTTGTCATAGAGCTGGAGGGCTCTGCTGTAGTTCTTGGGTGCCTCGTAATATGTGTAGATGGTGGCTAGCGAACAGAGAATATCTTCTCTGGTATGAACCAATTGGGCACCTACGGTCCGCTGGGTGTCTGCTAGTAACTTTATAGCTTCCCGACAACGTTTGGAGCCCTCTCGGTACTCACGGATGTGAATGTAGTAGTTGCAAATGATACGGTTTGCGAGAACAGAATCTGAGCAGTTGACATACCCGTTTAGCATGAGAGAAAGAATCTCCGAAGGAGGTAATTTCAGAGGAGAAGTGTCGTGGTCGGTTTCCTGGTCGTCCTCAACGTCTTCGTTCGTTTTAGACTTCACATTATAAAGTTCTGGAAACTCCTTCTCGGCGTCCCATGGAGATATGTCGCTCATCAAATATGCATAGAGCACCTTAGCAAGACCATCAGTCAGGAAATGCTGGAGAAAGTATGAGAGGTTTGCCTTGTCCAAATCGGCCAAAACAGGCACATCCGACCAATCGAAATAGAGTTTCCAGCAAAAAAGACTTTGGGTTTTCACAAGAACCATATCGTCTATAGCCTGTTTGATTTCCGCAAATAGAGCATCCTTTTGAGGCGCAACTCTTAGAACGCTATACTTGTGCTTCAATCGCAATTCCTCGTACCGCAGCCTTAAGTCGTCGTCTCGACAATAATTCATAAACTTGTCGAATAAGGGTCCCAATTCGGAATCTTTACAAACAGACCATGCAATTGAGTCAAGGTACGATCTGTTTTCCTGGGTCAACACACGTGGAAGCTTGAGTTTCTCCTTCTGTATCATGCGGTCAATGGTTTCTGCCTCTGATCGAGACAAAATATCTATAAGTTTGCAGAAATTGGAATCGGCATCACCAAAGGAACCCGGAGCCAACTCTCCCAATGTCGTTCCTGGAAGCACATTTTTCAAGTATAGCACGTACAACGGTTCATTCTGCTTGTATCTGTGGCGATTTAGGTAGTTGTGAGCATCTTTAATGGTATCTGCAAAATTTAAGCTCTGGTCGTGTTGAAGTTTAACGAGTTTTGTGAAAATTTGAAAAAAGTCTTCGTAGTTATCTCGCGAGCACACAGATTGGAAGTATCCTTTCCACCCCAAAACGTTCTCCGGCTCCAAAGTGGTGGCTTTTTTGAATGCTTCGATGGCCTTTTCTGGAGTGTCCAAAAGCTGGAAAGCTTTACCACGAAATATATATGCAAAGTAGTTATTTTTTTCATAGTAAAGTGCATCCTCCACAAACTCTAGGGCCACCTGCGGATCATTGCGTTCTATCGCGCCCTTGGCACCTTTCAAACTCTGTTTTAACGACATGACCGTCGCACCACAAACCACTCAGAAATTGACCTTGATTTTGCACCCGTGCACCCACCGTAATTTTTCGAGTTGATTTCGATGAGCATTGACTACTTGCTGTTTTATGACGTATTTGGAGGCACTCAGGACGGCCCGAGTGCAGTCTCCGCAGTCCTACCTCTACACGACGGTGGCACGAATGCACTTGGGAAGTGTTGCTGCCGTATGTATCTCCATTCTCATTTCCAGTGGCAGAATGACAGTGAAACAGTTGTCTTCAAAAGCAGGAATTCCGGTCAAAACGGTCAAAACAACGTTGGTTTCGCTTATCCAGCTTCGGTGTGTGCAATACTGGCGCGAGGAAGGATCGGGAAGGGTTCTTTACTCGTTCAATGAAGAAGGAATATGGATCTTGTTACAGTCTGGAGAGATCATTAATTGGATTCGGTGTGAGTACGGCGAAGAAGAAGCGGAAATTATACAAAATATCTTGGAAATAGGCCATATAAAGGTGGCTGACTACTTGACTAATTTTGAAGACCAAAAGAGACACGATAGAGAAATTATCTTGATGCGATTGTACTCCGATAAATGGTTGCGAAGATTGCAGCCGTTTAATTTCAATCCTTTAGCTGACATTTGGGAAGCCAAGTACGAAGAGACGATCCGGTCAATTCCTCGGACCAACACTACCAGCGAAATCAAGCGTGTAACCGAAGCAAAGGAGCAGACAAAACGCAAAATCATTGATCTTTTTCAAAGTGCTGACGACCCCAATGTGGTTTTCACAGTAAAAGACGGCATCAAAAAACTCAATCCCAACATCACCATATCATTTAATTTGGCCCGCTTCGAAAAACATTTGAGGAGCGAAGCACTTTTCCATCTCGCCAAATACAAAGTTGGCACCTTGACTGCTAAAGTTTACGAGACTGCCCTCAAGTTGGTGGAAGCCAATTCCCCAGACTTGAACCCACAATTTTTGTCCATTTCAGGGTGGTGTGCTGACCCAGAAGAGGTCAAATCTTACAAAAATTCCATCGAGAACAAGCTCGTCGATGACAGAAAAATCACGTTTGGAGTACGGGATGTTGCCCGAGCTTTGCCCGAAGACTTGGATTTGAGCTGCTCCATTCTCACGCATAACTTCTTGAAACCAACCAAACGAGCCCTGGACGGAGCAAATGGCGCTGCATCCAAAAAAGTCAAATTAGAAGACGGTGAGTCTCTCGATGTCTTTGTGGAAAACTTGGAAAAAAACGACTCTCAGTCATCTTCGCTCATTCTTCATCATCTCAAAGCATTGTGCTCCGGCACTAATATCTCTTTTTTGCACGAAACTTCCCCATCTAACTTTACCATTCCATACTCTGCTCTCGTGGACGAACTCAAAAAACACCATTACGACTTGTTGATAAAAATCACTCTTGGTCCCAATGCTTTCCGAGTGCTTCGAGCCTTGAAATCACTCAAATTGGCGGATGAAAAAGCATTGGCAAATGCGGTTCTACTCAAGGAGAAGACACTTAGAAATGAAATTTTCAACATGGTCAATTTGAACATTGTTGAGATTCAAGAGGTGCCTCGAAGTGCTGATCGAGCAGCATCCAAAACATTTTTCTTGTTCAGACACAAGGAGCAAACAGCCTACAACTTCCTCATCAATAGTTTGACCTTTGGTATGGCAGAACTACTTCAGGGAATTGTCGATTTCAAAGATGAGCATCGCATACTTTTGGCCAAATGTGAGCGAGAAGATGTCAAAGGTAACGAGGAGTCATTATTATTGGCTAGTGAGTTGAAAACGTTAAAGACGCTCCAAGAAAGAGAGATGGTTAGCATTGCCCGGTTTAGCCGGCTAAAAGCGTTGCGACAGGTGTTTAGCGCATGAAAATAGATGAAAATCGATGAAATCTGAAAGTCGATGAAAGTTGATGAAAGTCGATGAAATCTGAAATAAAATCTACACTAGAATTTAATAGTTAATTCAGATAAGTAAGAGCAGTTTGTAAACAAAAGATGAGTAAGTGTTTTGGTAAGAGATTCTCATTGATAAGATGAGATTAATAACCATTCAATGGGTAATTATATAATTCAAGAATCCATGAGAATCAATGAAAAATGAGAAAGACTCGAAAAAATGGATATCAATGAAAGACTAGAAAAAAATGAGATATCAATGAAGGTTCAGTGAAGTTTGATGAGATCTGACCAGCAAACTAAAGTCTTATAGGACTTCTTTTCTACATTTTTTGATGATTCATCGATTGACAATTAAAGCGATGCGTTGCTGTGTCAGCGGAAATTAAATATTAGGTTATTAGCAACACGTTTAATCGACGTTTAATCTTGGTGGAAACGGTCAAGACCATCGTCGTCTTGGCCAGGGTTACAGGTGTGGTAGTCCAAAATGGTGAAAACCTTCCAGATACCAAAGGCAATGACAGAACCCAAAATTGGGCCAACCCAGTAGATCCAGTGGTAGTTGGGGAACGATCTAGCAGCCACACAAGGACCAAAAGTTCTAGCAGGGAGAATAGTCTCTCAGAATTGAATGACAAAGACACTGGAGTGATGTATAATATTGTGACATGAATGACCATCACCCAAAAAAATGGTGACCAAAAAACTATACGAATAATACCAAAATTATATCAAAAACGTCACAAACAATTTGACCAATAAGGTTTACCAAAACGTTCCATCAAGGCTTGGAAACCTGAAATTTCTCAATTTAAACTTTAAAATAACAACCGCATGATTGCCGATCAAGGTGGGGTGAGAATTAAACCTAAAAAATTATTCCGTTCAACTACACAAAGGACTACGTTGAATGATCTCACCTCCTTAATTACGGCGTGATTTCATTTTGCTGAGGTTGTCGCAGTGGTAATTAATGTGCCAAATTGGGAGTCATATGCAAGCTAATGCGCGCAGAAGATTTTTTTGCCTAGGCCCGCAGCCGCTCGCAGGTACTGAAGAAACCCTGATCATTGTTTTTGGGAGCAGGTACATGCCAAGTAAACTTTTGTTTTGTGGTCAATGGGTAACTTTGCAAATTGCTATTGTATCAATTCTTCCTGAGTGCTTCTTTTCTTTGGCTTCACCTCGGATTTGCACCCACTTCCATGCACCGAGAATGAGAACAATGTGGTGCATGCAGTGATTCATGCGGGCGAAATTCCCCATTCGGGCAGCCGCGGCCCACTTCTGCAAGGCTATTAAAACCGATGTAAACACCTCGGCCAAATCCAGAAAACTCCAGCCTCACCCAAAACCGCCATATATCCGAGGTAGTAGAACGTTTTGCGTCAATGGTTGACCCAGGCGCTTATTCATGCCTATAATTTCCGATTGTGTGCCCTGGGACTTGTGCTGGGGATATTCTTCGCGGGCCAGAACACGCGCACGTGATTACCAACAATAGATGTACCTGCGACGGGCTCGTACACCTGCACGGGGAGATCGGCAATACGATGGGTGATTGGCGGTGCGATCGGCTGATAATGGGTACCAAAATCAAGAAAAGGTTTGGAATTTTATTGGAAGGATTGTGTTTGTATTAGTTGTGGTGTAACTGGAGAAATAGTGACAGCTGGAACAATTATACAGTCTATGGTAGTCTTGGTTGTAGTAATTATAGTGGGTAATAAGTATAGTGGTTGTAGTGGTTTTGAATCGTGGAATTTAGTCGTGAGGTTAGTTCTGTTAGTCAATGCAGCTTTAATCAATTCCATTGTGTCAACTCGATAAGCTTCCGTGCGGGTTCGCGAAAATCATCAATCATGTCATATTAATTTACGAATACTTCATTTATTCCCAATAATATGAGGTATTTTTAATACAATATGTTGATCTGAATTCGCATCTTGAATAATGTCTCCATAATCATTGGTAAATGATTACTCAATGTGGTGTACTGTCCAACTACACCTATACAAAAGTCTAAAGAATATTATTTCCAATCAGAATATCAGTCACACATTTCATTTCCCAACTGTTGCCTTTCTACTAGCCTTCCTTCCTTCTTATTTCCTCCTTTTCCCCATCTGTTTCCTTCTTCTTTGTTTGCTTTTCGCAGCCGTTGTTTTGTCTGCTTACATAACCCTTCCCCATCCATCATTTTGACGAGATATGCTCAGAGATGGCTCCCATGTTTCCATCACCATTCAACACAAAACGGCTAATTTTCAATGAGGATTCGATTTCAAAACAGGAGCAGTCTACACCCAATGCTTCTCAAGCGGAAATAACCTTGCCTTTGGTGAAAAAATCAAATCCTGATGAGTTAGTTTCGTGGATTGACAGTCTTGAGTCCAGAGTAAAAGATACACTTCGGCACCAAAACAACGAGTTGGAGCAATTCAATGTGGAACATGAACGCGAGAAGGCCAAAGATAAGTATAGGTATGCTGTGTTTGAGCAATCGTTTCAAAAACTTGGTAATATTGTTCAGAATAATCGACTCGATTCTGATGCGGAATCGACCACAGAAGCAAATAAGATGAACATTGACGAGATTGACGAGAGTAATTCGAAAGTTGGAGGGGAGTATCAGGGGTATCGGAATGTTTCAGAGGACAAATCTGATATTGAAGAAAATGTAGTTTCTGACGACTCTGATATCATTGAGATTATAGAAAGCGAAGAGGAAGGAGATCAGCAAGAAATTGAACAAGAAATGGAACAAGAAATCGAACAAGAAACTGAACAAGAAACTGAACAGGAAAATGAAGAAGATTTGCTTTTTGACGAAATGAACCCACAGCCCTCCTACTCCAAACCACGACTAATGGACGATCGAAAGTACATGAGTGGGCCTTTCTCGTCCTACACTAAAGAGCCGGAGGAACATGAGTACGAGAGTGAAATCGAAAGTGAAAATGAAGTTATCGAAAGTGAAGTGGAAGACGAGAGTAATGAAGAAGTTTCCGTTTCTGACAGAGAAAACGATTCCGATGAAATGGTTGAAGTCCAACATTCTGCTGATACTTACGGTGAGCCTGAAAACCACCAAGAAAATGAAGATTCCAAGATGAAGAACAAAACCC